ACGGCCTATCTTTTTGGATACATCATGGCAGCTTTCTAGGCCTGCAAGATGCCTCAAAGTTTCTGCTTGAAACTATAGTAATTCGTACCTCTCGATGACGGTGCGTACTAGAGCTGAGTACCAACTACATATTGTGGTGGTTGTCAACGGAAGCGATACTCTGCGTAGTATCTCTTAAGCTTGCCGTAACAGGCCCCATAGATATAAAGGCCACATGTAGTCTCCAGAGAAGCCCTTGAAAGTATCTGTGTTTGGTGACACAACGCACCAGAAACGAAGGGGAACGCCAAAGCGTCGTATGTTGAGTCGAAATAAGCCAATCTAATGGCTAGGGGTTTGGAGGCTACTTGATGCATTAGTCGTACACGGATAACAAGGAGATCGGGCTTTCATGCGTACAGGAGTCACTATCTCGGTCAGCTACTGTCTTCTATCGTTTGGCTCTAGGCCCCTAGTCTGCACTCATTATGAAGGGCCCCCTGCATTCGCGGTATAGGATTTGCTTTGTGTTCAAGCCATTGTGATCCTTATGGATCTGCTGTTGAGGAAGACCGAGCGAGCAGCCACTAAAAACCATAATAAAGAAATAGGGTCTGTGATCTTTCCACGCAAGCCACCGCCACCCTGGGCAAGCGGGTATCTCCCACCCTTGCATGGCTGAGATCCACAATCCACAATCCAGAATCCAGAAATTGAAATCTGAAGTCTGAGATCGGATGTCTTCGATCTCGGCAGGAGGAGAAGAAGTTTTGTTCTGCCGCTCGGGAGTCTCTGCTGCTTCTCGCGGTGTCTTCTGAGGATTCATCCCATCCTTTGGCTCGTCGGGGTCACTACCGTTTGGCACCAGTGAGCACACACTATCTCAGGGTCCTGCGTCAGTCGCGACGGCAAGCTTGGCCTTGAGGGAGCAGCTGACCCTGGTCATGTACTCCAAGGTCTTGGTTCTCTATGATGAAGATCGCATGCCATGAACTTCGGGATATCAACCTCTAGTTCTTCGAGGTGCTTCTTCGTCTTCTCACGGATTGTATCATCGGTCCCGAGTATGATCAGAGGGTGCGCTCCCCGTGCGCCTCTATCTTGGAGTCATAGTACGCGTTTGTGGATGTCGATGGAGCACTCCCATGTGTTGTGTCGGGGAAGAGGCTCGGCCCTCTGCTCATGGATCGCAGTGCGCTCTTGCAGGTGGTCCGTCACTCAGCACGAGATCATGTCGACGCTCACCCTGTGCAGTGCGTCTAGCTCAGTGATGTGTGGGCTCCATCCATCCTCGCATCACATGGTGTGCTTGGGGTGATGCTTCGGTCTGTCGAGGCGTCATCCAAAGCATCACGAGCGATCGGGACCGGTTCGCCGTTAGGCCGTCTCTCTCTACAACCGGCGCCCGTCTACTCGAGGGTGTCAGGCACTGCCAGCTGCTGTGGCAGATGCCCGGCAGGTGGCCCAGGTCACCACTCTTCGGTGCGGGCAGGATCAGTCCACTTCTGTCAGCCAGACACTCCAAGGATCCCGACTTGCCTGTCGAGGGATTCACATGGGTCACGTGTGGGTCCATCCTGGCCAGCTTGGCGAGTGATTGGTGCCATCACTGGCTTCGGCCCTCGGTTGTCTTGGGGGATCCTTGAGACCGGCCAGGAAGGAGGCCTCCTGCCCCTCAGTGCTCCTACACCCAGTGCTGACCGTCAAGCCATGTTGCTTCGCCAGGCCTGTCGCCTCTGTGACTGTCCCCATCGCGTCACTGTCGTCAATATAGACACTGAGTGGGGCATCTCCTTCAGTTCCTGGTGAGCAGGTTCTGTACCACGCCGCACAGAAGCATGCGCAGGGCCCTGAGGGACCGAGTCCAGATACCTCGTGTGTCGCGGCCGAAGGAAGGCCTCGACGCAGCTCCTCGGGATGAGGGGTACACTTGCCTGGGCGAGGCCGTCTGCTGTTGGGGCTCTCGTTATGTCGAGCAAGACCGCTGTGCCCATCAGTCTGCGTCTCCCTGCACCGTGCGAACGCCGCCCATGTACATCCAGTGGAACGCAGTCTGCTAGGTCTCGAGGAAGGCCAGGGTCTGGGTCTCCAAGCGGCTCGGGACTACCTTGTGAAGCGAATCATGATCGTCTGCTGATCGTGGTTGTCCTGTCCCATTCTTGGGGAAGGGCCAGGCGGAACCGTACGGAGCACGCATCCCATCCTATGGATCGCACTGAGGATCTCGTTGAAGGCCTGTTTAGGGGCCCCGGAACGCCTGCACCCGGATGGACTCGCCAGCGCAGGCCCGGGGACTTCGAGCCCCGCGGACTGGCCGTCCGTGCTCTCCGATGGCTGAGGGGGCTCTTGTCTCTCAGGGGCCAGGCCGTCCTGATCCGGCCCTCTGGATAGCAAGGTGCTGGTCGTCGGTGGCGCTGTCAGGGTGCAGCTCCCCCTCGAGGCGAGGCAGAGGCTGCAGGCCGGGCAGTAGGATGGTGATGCCGCTCCTCCGCTTCCCCGCTGTGTGAGCGAGGCGCGTCTCCTCGGCTCTCGACTGGAGCTCTGCGGGGTGGTAGGTACCCTCCCCTGAGCACGTTCGCACGACGGGTGCTGAAGAGGACGTCCTTCTCTATCCCCGTTGCCCCACTCAGTAGCACCCTACATCCGGTGTCTGTGCTGTAGTGCGTCTGGACGGCCTCGCCGCGGAGGGTCTTCGCGCAGGACAGGCACGTGCTCTTCCGCTCCTACTACTTTGGCGTTCGCCCGGTGCCGCTCCAGCGCAGAGTGCTCCTCTCCGTCAGGTTCCTAAGGTCCTCGTTCTCGCTGTGATACCTGATCTATCCCTCTTGAGGGGTGGGGTTCACGGTGCACTGGTGCGTGTCCGGGGCGACGTCTCCCTTGTAGAGTTCTGCAGGTTCCACGACCCTCTGGGGATAGCCAGCGACTGGGACCCCTGTTTGAGGCTAGGGCTGGCCTGGCTCCACCGGGCCGCGAACAACTCAAGGGCGCTCTGGTGTTGCTGGTCTCTCAACCGCACAGACTTGGCCTGTCCTGGCAGATAGTTGGGGTCGTCCCTGAGCGCCTCCGAGGAGTCTGGGAAGCGCTCCGGTCCGATGCTTTCTGTCCGGGGCATCATGGCAGGCAATGGTGAGGGCCCACGCGGGACACCGCGCTCGGGCGCCGAGACCTGGTGCGTGGGCTGGCACCGTCTGTCTGTCGCAAGGCTGCAGAAGGAGCTCAGACGGAGAGGGTTTCCCAAACGTGTTGCTCGAGGCCCTTCGAGAGTCGAAGGAGGCGTGATAGGAGACGCAGAAGTGGCCGAGTGGCTCCTCGTGCTGTGGATGATGTAGGAGGTCCTCAAGGGTACAGGCCCGTAAGTGAACTCCGACATTCGTGAGCCAGTTCGTATAGTCAGTGATTGACCCTGTCGGGGCCAGGTGGTCTCCTGGAGAAACGGTCATTGAGAGCCTTGCCACCACGCAATCGTTCTTTGACACAGGGAGGTTCGGTGGGGGGAAGAGAATGTGGGAGTTCCCTTACTCTCGTCTCCTGGCCTCTTCGTTCACGTTGCTGGGCGCTTTCTTGGCGTTTCGCTCCAGGGTCCTAGGGACCTTCCTCAGTGGCGCCTCATGGGAGCAGTCGCGGATTTATTGCTTACTGGGGACTGGACATCGGGGCCGTCAGCTTTCTGTTTGGGCTTCTTCTCCCGCCGGAACTGGACGACGTCTGATTTCTGAACTCTGGGTTCAGGTCTTGGCTGGAAGCAAGCAAAGGCCTGCTTGCCTAAGGTGGTGGTGGCTTGCACGGGAAGATCACACTCAGACAGCAGGTGACAACCTCACCCCAATGAAACAGAGAGAGTAAACCTTTTATAATAAAGAACTAGCCTTCATTATCATCGGCCGCTCGCTGTGGGGCGTGGTGCAGCGGGAGCATACTGACACTTGACATATTTGGCCGGTTTCCGGTTGTTGAGTCACGACCCGGGTTCGACTCCCGGCGCCTCAGTTGTTCGCCTTTTCCCCTTCTGTCCTTTCTCCGCATCCCTGAGAGGCCACGTTTTAATCTTATTAACCTTAATAGGTGCCCAGTCCACAGGTCGGCGCCTCTGCATGCGGCGAGAAGGCTACTAGAAATCGCCGGTAATGCCGATCATTCCAACCTGCTCTATGGCGCGGCGGTAGCAGAGCCTGTCTGCGCCACGGCCACCCATCACATCGCAAATTGCGACTACTCGTTAAGGAGCAGCGCTTCTGGAAGTATGTTTGCATGGAAGTGGCCACGCTGCAATGATCTCAAGTCCCTAGGATTGCTCTCTTTTCAGGACAGAACAAAGTTACGGAAGATGAAGCCAGATATGCTGATGAATTCTGCAACAGACCCCTTGTGTCTGTAAGCAAAGCATCGACACCTATGTGCTCTGGGCATTGTGATATGAGGCGTAGAAAAGCCGCAATGCATCCCAAGTCACGGTGTATTGCTCTCGAACTGCCCGCTTAGTTACTCCACGACGTGAGGTAACATATGGCTCTTCACGCTTATATACTAATCGGTGTAAAGTCGCGCTACAGAACCTCTGCGCTAATGTTGGCGATCTCCTAAAACCGCAACCCACCAGTTGAGGCAGCGAGCCTGAAAGCCAGACCACCATGGTATCCCGGCGTGTGCTGTGTGCCGCTTGCTGAGGCTTTCACTATGGATTCTGTGCTCAAGTGGAATCGTACTCACCTTTACTTTGAGCCGGCCGAGACTCCGTGCCCTAGCCACTGCAGGCTAGAATAGTACCCCGTCGGCCGGCCGGGCGGAGAGCACCTAGCTACATGAGTCGTTGCCTTAGAGAATTGGTATACTGCTTTGTTCAGTCATTCTTACTACTTTGTCGTTTTCAAGTAAAACATGCTTTAAATGGCTCTGGTAATTGTAATGTGTTCCCAACCGTAAATATTACTTGTTAGCTTTCATTTTCGCAAGTATCTAGCTTCGACATTTTTGTACCATTACCATCGAAAATAATTTGAGTAGCTTTGCTTTCATAAAAATCCATGACAATGCACGACCCTGACCAGCTGAGTCAACCAACTGAACCCCTACGAGTGGACCAATGTAATCCTGTGGCGTGCGGTGTCATTGGAACTGTTTATTCTCTTAAAAATTATCCTGACGCTGTGGTCAGGGAAATCAAAATCGGCGACCTTCCTCCGGATATTATGACAGCTTTGGAGACAGAAATAGACATTCTGCCTCGACTCGCACATCAAAACGTGCTTGAGTATCATCAAGTTTTAACAGCCAAGGATGTAGTCTACATTTGCTTACCCCGTTATTGTTGGACCCTCTCTGCAATAATTGCTATTTCCGATATAAAAAACAAGCGTTTTTCCGAGCAGACTGTCTGCATTATATTTGGTCAGATTGCTTCTGCTCTGGCATATCTCCACGATCCAAATAAATGTGATATCAAGGGAAATCCCCTCCCAGTCTTTATTCACCAGGATCTCAAGCCAGACAGTATCTTGGTCAGCGCAGACGAAACTCAATATGTTATTACAGACTTTGGATTCTGTAGAGAAGACCTAGATAGAGGATCTGTTGTTTTGGGTGTGCCTGAATATGCTGCTCCCGAGGCGCTTATTCTTAAAAAGTATACTTCTGCCTCTGATGTATGGAGCTTAGGCTGTATTGTTTATGAACTTATAACTTTAAAAAGGCCTAACTTTGTAGGAACTCGCAAACCAGCCGAAGTTTTTGTCGATGATTGGAGTCCTAACTTAAGTGCTATCAAGAGTACGTTTCTGAAAGAAATGCTCAGACGCATTTTTGTTGTTAAGCCTGAAAATCGTGTCTCGGCTAAGGAGCTTGCAGAAATACTTGAGACGTGGAAAAGCTCACGCTATATAATTAGAGAGCTTAAGCACAAGGAGCAACAAATAAAGTGGAATCAGATGCTCATCGATCGTTCTAAGAGATTAGAGGAAAATTGCAGACAGTTGAAAGCAACGCTAGAAGATTCCAAAGCAGAAGTTAGAAACCAAATAGATACTATAGCTAAACTTGAAAACCAGAGTAACGAGTCTTCTTTGAGAATTAAACTATTGGAAAAGGAGATTGCTACCTTGAGAAGAACTATAGCATATCTAAGTCCCACTACTGAAAGCGCCTCGTCAACTACTCTTATAGATGCTGTGAAAAACAATAGTATTGATTCAGTTAAGTCATTGGTCCAAAACTTAGAAGGACTTGGCCTCCGTGACGCTACGGATACGACAACTCTTATGTGCGCTGTTCACCAAGGAAAGTCTGAACTTGTTGAGCTTTTGGCAACTCTAAAAATGGGACTGCAGGATAATAATGATAGAAATTCTCTTATGCATACTGCGATTCATGATTATCTCCAGGTTTCCAAGATTCTTCTCCCACATGAAACAGAGATTAAAGATGGCAACAATAACACAGCCGCGATTCTCACTGCAAAGGAAAGGCATGGAGATATTGTGGATCTTTTCACTTTCTTGAACAAGGATGGTACTACAGCGCTTATGCAGGCAGTGCTACAAAATAATATTAAAGCAATAGATGTCCTCATTCCCCTCCAAAAGGGCGCCAGAGATAATAAGGGCATGACGGCACTAATGTATGCTGCTGCGAATGGTCATACAGATGCCGTGCGTTTTCTTCTTGAGTACGAGAAAGGAATAAAGGACAAAAATGGTCATAATGCACTTTGCCATGCTCTTAAAAATAATCACCTAGAAATTGCTAATAGTATTCTTCAGCATGATGATCCTACTGACACCGAAGGAGTTACAGCACTTATGCGAGCAGCCGCGAATAACAATGTAGCAATTGCAAGGCTACTTTTGCCAATACAAAAATGCCTAAAAGACAATAAGGGAGCAACTGCACTCATGCACGCAGCTAAAGCAGGTAGACTAGAGATGGTTGACTTGCTCGCTGAGTACGAGTCCAAGTGCAGGGATAATAATGGTCAGACCGCACTTATGTATGCAGCTTCTAATGGCTATTTTCAAGCAACTAAGGCTCTTCTAAAGTACGAGGTACAAATGAAGGATAATTATAATAACACTGCGCTCTCCTTGGCTATTAAACACAGACACACAGAGATAACTAAGCTTCTTCTTTGGTACGAAAACGATCCTTCTTGGACTGCTCTCATGTGCGCTGCGGTTACTGGTGATTTTGAAACAGCTAGGAGGCATATCAGTGAAAGAGATCTAGTGGACAATAATGGGAGAACAGCTTTAGATCTTGCTAAGGAAGCAGGACATGGATCAGTTATTGAAATTCTTGACCATCTGGATGAAAAGGGTTTTACAGCTCTCATGCGGGCTGCTGCGCAAGGAGACCTGGATATGGTAAAGGTTCTCATTCCTGTTCAGAAGGGCATGCAAACTGTTACAGATGGAGAATGCTCTTGTAAAAATGATAAGTACTGGTTCAATAAGGGCACAACGGCACTTATGCTTGCTGCCCACTATGGTCATGTAGACATTGTAAAGGAGCTTGTGAAGCATGAGTACAATGTGCACGATACTCGTGGCCGAACTGCTCTCATGATAGCCGCTGCATGGGGGAAGATTAATGTTGTAAGGGATCTTATACCTTTTCAAAAAGGGATGCAAACCACTGGTGATGGAGAATACGAAGCTGGGGAGCAGGGATTTTGGTTTAATAAAGGCTCTACAGCACTTATATTTGCCTCAAGACATTGCAGACTAAACGTTATCAAAGAACTTATAGAACATGAAAGCCGAATGCATGATGAGTTTGGTGGAACCGCTCTCATGTGGGCTGCACGACATGGACACACCCAAGCTATTTCACTCCTAATGGAGAGGGAAGGTCGAATGCAGAATGAACGAGGGTGGACAGCTCTGATGTGGGCTGTGCATAGTATTAAGTTAGAGGCTGTGAAGCTACTAATAGAGTATGAAAAGGGAATGAAGAGTACACGTGAATCAGAAACTATTCAGCATAATTCAAGCAGTCTTTCTGTTATTTTCAATGTAATACCGGACTCCTTTCCCTCGGGCTCAACAGCACTTGCGATAGCTAAGAAATGCAGCAAACTATTCGTTGGAAATTATCACCCCATTATCAATCTTCTTTCTCAGTATCCTGAAGAACGTTATTAGCCTTTTCGATAGCAGCGTCAATCCTCCACTTCGAGACATCAAAAAACATGCTGAGTTCGTTAGCTTTGGTTTCTCTGCCTTTATTAAAGCTATAGCACATTTAAATAGAGAAGTGTTGAAGTAGTTCTCTAAGGCAACGACTCATGTAGCTAGGTGCTCTCCGCCCGGCCGGCCGACGGGGTACTATTCTAGCCTGCAGTGGCTAGGGCACGGAGTCTCGGCCGGCTCAAAGTAAAGGTGAGTACGATTCCACTTGAGCACAGAATCCATAGTGAAAGCCTCAGCAAGCGGCACACAGCACACGCCGGGATACCATGGTGGTCTGGCTTTCAGGCTCGCTGCCTCAACTGGTGGGTTGCGGTTTTAGGAGATCGCCAACATTAGCGCAGAGGTTCTGTAGCGCGACTTTACACCGATTAGTATATAAGCGTGAAGAGCCATATGTTACCTCACGTCGTGGAGTAACTAAGCGGGCAGTTCGAGAGCAATACACCGTGACTTGGGATGCATTGCGGCTTTTCTACGCCTCATATCACAATGCCCAGAGCACATAGGTGTCGATGCTTTGCTTACAGACACAAGGGGTCTGTTGCAGAATTCATCAGCATATCTGGCTTCATCTTCCGTAACTTTGTTCTGTCCTGAAAAGAGAGCAATCCTAGGGACTTGAGATCATTGCAGCGTGGCCACTTCCATGCAAACATACTTCCAGAAGCGCTGCTCCTTAACGAGTAGTCGCAATTTGCGATGTGATGGGTGGCCGTGGCGCAGACAGGCTCTGCTACCGCCGCGCCATAGAGCAGGTTGGAATGATCGGCATTACCGGCGATTTCTAGTAGCCTTCTCGCCGCATGCAGAGGCGCCGACCTGTGGACTGGGCACCTATTAAGGTTAATAAGATTAAAACGTGGCCTCTCAGGGATGCGGAGAAAGGACAGAAGGGGAAAAGGCGAACAACTGAGGCGCCGGGAGTCGAACCCGGGTCGTGACTCAACAACCGGAAACCGGCCAAATATGTCAAGTGTCAGTATGCTCCCGCTGCACCACGCCCCACAGCGAGCGGCCGATGATAATGAAGGCTAGTTCTTTATTATAAAAGGTTTACTCTCTCTGTTTCATTGGGGTGAGGTTGTCACCTGCTGTCTGAGTGTGATCTTCCCGTGCAAGCCACCACCACCTTAGGCAAGCAGGCCTTTGCTTGCTTCCAGCCAAGACCTGAACCCAGAGTTCAGAAATCAGACGTCGTCCAGTTCCGGCGGGAGAAGAAGCCCAAACAGAAAGCTGACGGCCCCGATGTCCAGTCCCCAGTAAGCAATAAATCCGCGACTGCTCCCATGAGGCGCCACTGAGGAAGGTCCCTAGGACCCTGGAGCGAAACGCCAAGAAAGCGCCCAGCAACGTGAACGAAGAGGCCAGGAGACGAGAGTAAGGGAACTCCCACATTCTCTTCCCCCCACCGAACCTCCCTGTGTCAAAGAACGATTGCGTGGTGGCAAGGCTCTCAATGACCGTTTCTCCAGGAGACCACCTGGCCCCGACAGGGTCAATCACTGACTATACGAACTGGCTCACGAATGTCGGAGTTCACTTACGGGCCTGTACCCTTGAGGACCTCCTACATCATCCACAGCACGAGGAGCCACTCGGCCACTTCTGCGTCTCCTATCACGCCTCCTTCGACTCTCGAAGGGCCTCGAGCAACACGTTTGGGAAACCCTCTCCGTCTGAGCTCCTTCTGCAGCCTTGCGACAGACAGACGGTGCCAGCCCACGCACCAGGTCTCGGCGCCCGAGCGCGGTGTCCCGCGTGGGCCCTCACCATTGCCTGCCATGATGCCCCGGACAGAAAGCATCGGACCGGAGCGCTTCCCAGACTCCTCGGAGGCGCTCAGGGACGACCCCAACTATCTGCCAGGACAGGCCAAGTCTGTGCGGTTGAGAGACCAGCAACACCAGAGCGCCCTTGAGTTGTTCGCGGCCCGGTGGAGCCAGGCCAGCCCTAGCCTCAAACAGGGGTCCCAGTCGCTGGCTATCCCCAGAGGGTCGTGGAACCTGCAGAACTCTACAAGGGAGACGTCGCCCCGGACACGCACCAGTGCACCGTGAACCCCACCCCTCAAGAGGGATAGATCAGGTATCACAGCGAGAACGAGGACCTTAGGAACCTGACGGAGAGGAGCACTCTGCGCTGGAGCGGCACCGGGCGAACGCCAAAGTAGTAGGAGCGGAAGAGCACGTGCCTGTCCTGCGCGAAGACCCTCCGCGGCGAGGCCGTCCAGACGCACTACAGCACAGACACCGGATGTAGGGTGCTACTGAGTGGGGCAACGGGGATAGAGAAGGACGTCCTCTTCAGCACCCGTCGTGCGAACGTGCTCAGGGGAGGGTACCTACCACCCCGCAGAGCTCCAGTCGAGAGCCGAGGAGACGCGCCTCGCTCACACAGCGGGGAAGCGGAGGAGCGGCATTCACCATCCTACTGCCCGGCCTGCAGCCTCTGCCTCGCCTCGAGGGGGAGCTGCACCCTGACAGCGCCACCGACGACCAGCACCTTGCTATCCAGAGGGCCGGATCAGGACGGCCTGGCCCCTGAGAGACAAGAGCCCCCTCAGCCATCGGAGAGCACGGACGGCCAGTCCGCGGGGCTCGAAGTCCCCGGGCCTGCGCTGGCGAGTCCATCCGGGTGCAGGCGTTCCGGGGCCCCTAAACAGGCCTTCAACGAGATCCTCAGTGCGATCCATAGGATGGGATGCGTGCTCCGTACGGTTCCGCCTGGCCCTTCCCCAAGAATGGGACAGGACAACCACGATCAGCAGACGATCATGATTCGCTTCACAAGGTAGTCCCGAGCCGCTTGGAGACCCAGACCCTGGCCTTCCTCGAGACCTAGCAGACTGCGTTCCACTGGATGTACATGGGCGGCGTTCGCACGGTGCAGGGAGACGCAGACTGATGGGCACAGCGGTCTTGCTCGACATAACGAGAGCCCCAACAGCAGACGGCCTCGCCCAGGCAAGTGTACCCCTCATCCCGAGGAGCTGCGTCGAGGCCTTCCTTCGGCCGCGACACACGAGGTATCTGGACTCGGTCCCTCAGGGCCCTGCGCATGCTTCTGTGCGGCGTGGTACAGAACCTGCTCACCAGGAACTGAAGGAGATGCCCCACTCAGTGTCTATATTGACGACAGTGACGCGATGGGGACAGTCACAGAGGCGACAGGCCTGGCGAAGCAACATGGCTTGACGGTCAGCACTGGGTGTAGGAGCACTGAGGGGCAGGAGGCCTCCTTCCTGGCCGGTCTCAAGGATCCCCCAAGACAACCGAGGGCCGAAGCCAGTGATGGCACCAATCACTCGCCAAGCTGGCCAGGATGGACCCACACGTGACCCATGTGAATCCCTCGACAGGCAAGTCGGGATCCTTGGAGTGTCTGGCTGACAGAAGTGGACTGATCCTGCCCGCACCGAAGAGTGGTGACCTGGGCCACCTGCCGGGCATCTGCCACAGCAGCTGGCAGTGCCTGACACCCTCGAGTAGACGGGCGCCGGTTGTAGAGAGAGACGGCCTAACGGCGAACCGGTCCCGATCGCTCGTGATGCTTTGGATGACGCCTCGACAGACCGAAGCATCACCCCAAGCACACCATGTGATGCGAGGATGGATGGAGCCCACACATCACTGAGCTAGACGCACTGCACAGGGTGAGCGTCGACATGATCTCGTGCTGAGTGACGGACCACCTGCAAGAGCGCACTGCGATCCATGAGCAGAGGGCCGAGCCTCTTCCCCGACACAACACATGGGAGTGCTCCATCGACATCCACAAACGCGTACTATGACTCCAAGATAGAGGCGCACGGGGAGCGCACCCTCTGATCATACTCGGGACCGATGATACAATCCGTGAGAAGACGAAGAAGCACCTCGAAGAACTAGAGGTTGATATCCCGAAGTTCATGGCATGCGATCTTCATCATAGAGAACCAAGACCTTGGAGTACATGACCAGGGTCAGCTGCTCCCTCAAGGCCAAGCTTGCCGTCGCGACTGACGCAGGACCCTGAGATAGTGTGTGCTCACTGGTGCCAAACGGTAGTGACCCCGACGAGCCAAAGGATGGGATGAATCCTCAGAAGACACCGCGAGAAGCAGCAGAGACTCCCGAGCGGCAGAACAAAACTTCTTCTCCTCCTGCCGAGATCGAAGACATCCGATCTCAGACTTCAGATTTCAATTTCTGGATTCTGGATTGTGGATTGTGGATCTCAGCCATGCAAGGGTGGGAGATACCCGCTTGCCCAGGGTGGCGGTGGCTTGCGTGGAAAGATCACAGACCCTATTTCTTTATTATGGTTTTTAGTGGCTGCTCGCTCGGTCTTCCTCAACAGCAGATCCATAAGGATCACAATGGCTTGAACACAAAGCAAATCCTATACCGCGAATGCAGGGGGCCCTTCATAATGAGTGCAGACTAGGGGCCTAGAGCCAAACGATAGAAGACAGTAGCTGACCGAGATAGTGACTCCTGTACGCATGAAAGCCCGATCTCCTTGTTATCCGTGTACGACTAATGCATCAAGTAGCCTCCAAACCCCTAGCCATTAGATTGGCTTATTTCGACTCAACATACGACGCTTTGGCGTTCCCCTTCGTTTCTGGTGCGTTGTGTCACCAAACACAGATACTTTCAAGGGCTTCTCTGGAGACTACATGTGGCCTTTATATCTATGGGGCCTGTTACGGCAAGCTTAAGAGATACTACGCAGAGTATCGCTTCCGTTGACAACCACCACAATATGTAGTTGGTACTCAGCTCTAGTACGCACCGTCATCGAGAGGTACGAATTACTATAGTTTCAAGCAGAAACTTTGAGGCATCTTGCAGGCCTAGAAAGCTGCCATGATGTATCCAAAAAGATAGGCCGTCCAGGTAATGGGAAGAGACGCAAAGAGATAGAGGTAGACCAGAATGCGATAGAATCAGAGGATCTACCGGTTGGTGTCAGATTGCGTATGGCTGAAAACTATCTGACCCTCACAAGGTATCTTTCTCCAAATACAGGGTTGCATAAATCATCAGTCAGCTGCCCCCTGCATAACAGGTATTAAGTTGCCTTCCGCAAAGTCAGGCCGTTAAAATTAGCAACGTATCTCCCTACTTGTATCTGTTTACAAGTAATTACCTTACGCCACGCATGGCTGCTTACACAAATCTATTTGTGGAGCAGTATTTAGCACATTATCTTTTCATTAGGCGGGCTACATTGAAGAAACTGTCCTATTCATCCTAATGAGTTAAGCTAATCGTAATTGACCATAGGAGTGGCACCCTCCCACAGGCCCATGCTTCGTCTTGCATATTTTTTACTGGAGAAGTTCGTTTGCTGTTTGTACGATCCCGGTCTTTATAGCCCTTGCAGCCAAACTCAATTGGATCCATGTCTGATTCTCTGCCCAGGTCTCCTCCCGTCCTCTCTACCCGATCTGCTACTGCAGTAACGCCTAAGAGACGGTGCTTAGTTCGTATGTTTGTCCAGGCCTTCTGACCACAGAAGTATACGGCGGTTGGAATATCGTTGTGCCAGTCTACAGTTCCACGAATGCCCGGCCCATAGCAGACTCATTGCGCCTGCTAGCACTGATAAGCGTTATGCACAGAAACTAAGCAGGGTCTGGGTGTAGTGTACGGTGAACACTGTGCCAATTAGCCAGAAACAGGAAGCTTTCTCCCGTGCATCAAAGTGCAAAGACGACGCTCAAAAGATGCCATACTGCGTATTGCGAAGTGGGTCAACATGCGTTCCCGTGTTAGGGAAGTTGAATCAGTTGCTGGCCTAAGCCGAGTGTCCTGGTGAGAGCCGCATAGCTACCTACTGTGGAGTCATATGACTCTCTGTCCTGGCGAAGCAATTTGACTAGGCCTGAGGGTAGCAGAAGCCGTGGCTGAACGGGCTGCGGCACTTCCAGAAGTGCGTTCCTTGATGTTAGCTGCAGCGTAGCGTTCTAGATGACTATCGATGACACAATTATTACAGCTATTAACCGATATTCCGGCGCGCTCATTGTAATGCCTGTTTGACCATTGGTTGTAGGGTAGTCGAGCAGTTAGAGATCCTCTGAGTCATGTAACGGTTCGTGCTTGTCTAATGCAAGTTTGAATCAAGGATGCTCCCAGAATGCTCTAAATGATCTGAGACCACAGAAGTTCCAGGGGAGCCCACTCTGCTGAGGATGCGCGCCCATCTAGCCCAGGGTGGAGAATGGACCGGCAATAACCCATCTGGCTGTCTACTGGTCGTGTACTGTTGGGTCACAAAAGATCATGTGGGAACTTTTAGCCGCAATGGCCAGAATATTGGCTCATCTACTGATCCAGACAGATAACGAAGGCCATGCACCTTCGGAATAATTAAAGCACATCTTCGAGCGGCCCAATGGCTCGCTGCTGTGATCCATGGCCCCAGACGTGGGAAGTGACACGCAACAGTGCAGAGTAACATAGCAGAATAGAAAGGACACGTCACTCCTGGGGCTGCACTAGCAATAGCATATATTACTAGGGTCAGTTAGCATTCTCACAGTCTCTGCTGCTATGCTATAGTATTGCTTTAAGGACGTAATCAAGGCTCAAGCGTAATGATTAATGTAGTCCGTCGTAGCGGTAAGAACAACGGGCCCTTGCTTAAGATCTTGCGTCCCTCAGCTTGTTCTTCCCTAGCATAGCACAGGCCACAGAGGATCCGATCCAGCTCCTCAGCAATAGCCATGGTGAGCTGCTGGCTTCTTCGAGGCCCCTTCCAACTCTGGCATATGCAACGCAGGCGCCAACAGGTGGCTCTGCCCAGGAAAATAGGCCGGGCGGAGTGTCTATGCACATTGGAGTGCGCGATTTTTTCCTAGACGCTCATTTTTCTGAATCGAAAGCAAGTCTTGTTACTGGCCAGACAATGACCTACCAAGATGGAAGCCCTGTTGCCACAATGATTAGACACAAATTTTCCAATGAACCACACTGTGTATTGCGCGCAATGTGGTACCCTGAAAACCAATCTTCTTACGTAGTGACTATATTTAGCATGCCATAGCCTGGACAGAAGTTCCTAAAATTAAGCCGTACTATGCTGCAGATCAGTTTTGATACACGCTGATAGATGTTCTAGAGAGTCTGCCCAAGGCATCCTTCTATTAACAGACAACACTATGGTTTGTGGATCCTTCCTTCGCCTCTTTCAGTCTAAGCATAACCTTAGTACAAAATCCCAGAGCTCTTTGCTCGATCGCTTGAGATGTCTCGAAGTGCCTAGACTTAAGAGAAGCATCTGCCAGCCCTGACGAGTATGGTTGTGCCCTTATTAGAATCGTCCGAAGTGCTCTTCTGTGGTCCCAAAAATGCGTTAGCATAAAGCAGCGTTCTCTTAACAGGTATCCAGTATGTGCCCACCCGACTATATTACGTGCACGCTAGTTTCGCAAATGGCTCCCTCTTATCTTTAATACCCGGCAGAGTATCCTCAACGATCTTTTCTAGGCCCTTGTAGTACGCATGCATATCCTTCTGATGTTGATGCGCACATGTCAGACCCAGGCCCCAAGAGACCTGACGGCAGGCCGAGATTTGCTGCAGCGCGCCATCTTGTAGTCCCCGCTAGTCGTCGCTGGTGACATGCTGAACATACGCTGGAAGGCTGTGCAATGTAGCTTCTAACGCTGTTGCGGCCCAGCCTTTTCGGTGATTTCTCTGCGAGGGCCACTCCTCCTCTCGGTCTTCCGTGACCGAGATCGAGATCGAGAGTCACTACCTATAGTGCCACGGAATTCAAGACGCGGATATCTCGACGGACAGTCTACTCTTCTAGTACCCGATCCATCTCCTTTCAAGGCGGATCTTTATCGATGCAGAAGGTAGAAGGCTAGCTCTACTGATGCTTACATGCGGCCTTGCTGGACTGGCCGGTCCTACCGAGCAAGCGGACTCTGTGCAGAGACCCTTGCATAACAGAGCATGCAGCGCAGAGAGGTGGGCAGGGACTCCAGTCCGGATCAGAAAAGTGGTTGGACGGGCACCACCGTGCCATCAGCAAGTGTAGACCCTTGGATAGGGTGCTTCTTCTATACTCGCGGTCATAGTATTCCCTGCTTGAATGGCTGGGTTATCACCGTCGTCAGGCAAGTCGAGTACATCCAGTGTGACCGTGTATCTGAGCATGTATGCTTTCTCTTTGCTATTGTCCTTTGGACATACTTGGGCGGTCGCTAAGCTTTTGTCGAAGGCTAGAAGCCGCGGACGCGATCTATTGTAAACGGTCTATCTGCGCGTCCCCGAACAAAAGCCAGATCACAGGGGCCAATAGGTGTGAACAGAGATCAAAGCTCTAGAGCCAAGTTCCTCTATGAGAGAATAGAAGCGGGCCTGCGCTCTTCACTCGGTCGAAGTAAATGGTGTCAGAATTTCTATCGGCAATATCATAGCCAGTAGCAGCCTCTTTTGTGTGGTTTTTGTCACGTGCCGAAGAATGCACAGGGACAGTGAACGGGCACCGTGGCAGTGCCCGTTGCTTCACAGAGATACCGAAGGGCACAGCAGCTAGTATCTCAAGCCAGGCTCTCAGAATGTGCAGAGATCCAGATGTCTCATCACTATATTCTTCTCTTTGGGGAGGTTCGGCACTTGCGGCAGAGCTACCCTGCTAGTTGCAGTATGGAGGCGATGCTCTCAATTATCGTGCTGCGTATGGCAAGGACCCCCGAGATGCTCTCAGAACCTAAAAGGTTCTCTTCTGTGCTTATAGGGAGCCAGCAGGCCTGAGTAGTGCCGCTTGCGATGTTCCTTATAGCCCCAACTGCTCTCTCCGTCGTGCGAGATAGGCAAACCGGCAGAGGAGCCTCTTCTTTTGAAATCTAGAACCATCGGGCAGCCTGTACTTGGTCATCGAAAGAGTACGGGGAATCTGATGCTGCACCGAGAACTCTTAAGCAACTGCACAGAGCCTGTCTCTGTTGCGAGTCTCCGGTAGCTGTGACCAGCATCGAGGTACTCAGCACACTCAATGGCTAGGCGAACACACCGCTTGGCCCGAAGCATCTGCACGATCGCGCCTCTGCCATCCAGATCCCAGGCTCTTCCTACAAAGCTCGAGAGCAGGCTTTAGATAGCATGCTCCTATCGCTAGTCCGGGATGTCATCTGCCCACAACATACGAGGCTCGTCTCCTTCGAGTCCCCCGCTCTTGCAGCTGGCCTGGACAGACTAGAGGTCACCAGGGCAGCTCGCCGAGCCTGCTGTAACGCATAGCGCTAGAGGCAGGATGCTCTCCGTGCGTCGCCCGTCCGGCAACGGAGGCCGTCTTCGGCCTGCCTCGTCTTCTACGCGCCGGCGGACACTCAGCGGCGACGCGGGCCACCAGGGCGCTACGGCAAGGGCGTCCCCCCGCAGCAAGGGCCAGCAGGCAGAGGCCCGCGTCGTGAGGCGTATTCAGGAGAAGAGATCATCCTATGGCGGGACATGTGACTATATCATTTTCACGTGACAATGTCATCTTTTTTGTACCACCAAGGTTGCAGATCCATTAGTGCGTCTACTTTTTCTTTGTTAAGGCAAAACCTCATTGGCTCTTGAATTCCTTAGCGAATTTCCTTTTCACTTTGTATATTATTAACGCACAATGACTATAGACTTTAGAACCATTAGGCTCCAGGAGGATAGAACCCGAGGCTTGCATATCAATGAGCGGTGTACATCTGCACTAGGATCTACTGTGACAGATGCTATCGAGGACCTTGAAGGCACAGAAATAATACTTAAAAGCAGATACTTGCAAACACCACAAATGTCAACTACACATCGCACTGTCTTTCTTTCGTTGTTACTTAAGCTGCGGGAGGGCATTCGGTATATCTTCAACATGTTTTCGTCATTTAAAAAGGAAACGTACCTAATTGGCATTCTTTTGCATACTCATGACGACGGTTTTATGATACTGCAAATTAACACGCACGGAATTCTGGACATTCTTCTAGACGAACCCACAGAGCCCTCCACTTCTACAAAATACCTGGCCAAGTTAAAGAAGGCCCTCCTTCAGATTGAGAGCTTTCCGATGGTCAAGCTAACTATGATGGCTTCTCATACAAATAACATTTCAGTGCTTTTTCTCGGAGCGCTCTTGGGTCTTGAGGGTTTATACTATGATCAAGAAAATTTCTGTGTAACATCTATTGTTCAATACTACAATGATGCTGCTACCGTTCAGCAGAACCAGGCCAGTTCCCAAGACACCGGTACCTTAGGAGTTACCTTAAAAGGGATGAGCATGCAACAAACCATAACAGTATCTAAGAGTTTTCGCCTTCTGGTGCTCAGAGGGCCATTTATAAAACCTTATTACTCCATTAAAATGGCGGTAGATGTAATACATAAATTGGTAGAGAAGTTCGAGGCGTCCGTTGTTCTCCTGACGGGTCCACTTTTGTTAGAGTACCCTTCCGACCCTACGGACTATAACAGTAAGGAGCCCCATAGCCTAGCCCAACAGTACCTTTTGACCTTTCTTCTGGCCTTGCACATCTCCATGCTTGAAAACAGGTGTCATGCTATTTTGATTACAGATTGTAACTGCCTACTTGCCCCAGATTCATATTACCCTACTCTACCTCATAGTACAATGCTACCAGATACTACTTCACTTTACAAGACAATATCGTTTGGCGGTGATCCCCTTTGCTTTTCTATTTGCGGCGTCAATCTTGCGTACTTCAGCAGTGCATTACTTGGATTTCAGTTTATTGAAAGTAGCTATCTAAGTCGTCACAAAGAAGCCTTGCCGTCATCTCCACAACCTTCTCATAGTAAGCCTAGTGCGTCAAGTCCTCGTTCGCCTGAATGCCCGTTTGTATCCTCCTTACCAACTACCTCTCAGTCCAGTCCTTTTAAAAGAGTTACAGTCCCAGATTCGCCATCCCGCAATCTATCTAACGGCCCTCCCATTCTATCTAAAGTACCCCCTACACCGACACGCTCAGATGAGACCACCGATACACCCCGAACTATACTTCCAAATGAGAACCTCTTGGGTCTATGTGACAGTCTTATTGAAGGCAGAATACTTGCTCAATCCACTGACGCTGGTATCCTCGTAGGATTGGAACAAAAACGCCTTTTATACTATATCAACGCATCACTTGAGCTTCAAACATCAATACCAGAGTTTCCTTCTTCGCGACCTTTGCTTCATTCTAGAACACCAAATGCGTGGTTGAACCCGGAGACAGACATAGTCATAACCACTCTACCAGCATTCTCAGCACCCTTATTAGTGACGATATATGGAAAGCCCCGCATAATTGTTCCCCTATTGGAGAAGGATGGACAAGGAGCAGTCATTACGTTACGACAAGGAAATGGTACTATCGATAATTTGGCACACTGTGAAACCTACAGCTTTGCCATTAACTTTGCAGAATGACGTAGTCTAGTTGAAATGTATTCTATATAATTAACATTGGAAATTATAAATGACCGAGACAGCAGGTTCACGCGTCAGCACAAGACCACGGGGAAAGCGAGTTCGTCACCCACCTGGGTATAGATCCTCTACGATTATCTCTTCTGAACTCGATACAGCGCCGCTTCAATCGCGCCCCTGGCTTGCAAGAATGGAGTATCTATACAAGCTGTCCCACCTGCTTCCGTTTCATTCACAGCACTATCTCAAGCGCATGCTAGGAATCGCGGCAATGACAACTCTTCGTTTAGACCCTTCAATTAAGGGTACTATATGTAAGAGATGTAAATACCTTCTGATCCCGCACCAGACTGCAACACTTAGCGTCTATCGCCGTGCCCCACAACTACAGTGTCTAAATTGCGGAGCGATGCGTATCCTTGCCCAAACTAAAAAATCTAAAGCTCTTCATGAAGCACATAGGTCTCCACAAAAATCTGGGACACAAGGCTTATGAGCATAGAGACGTGTATTCTAATAGGTCGTTTCCTTTATGCATAGTCAGCAATGTCATTGACGCAAGTTTTGCTTGTACATTAAGCCTATTGCATGTGCTATCAACCCTCTCACAGATTTACTTTTGGCTCCTGGCTACTACAGCTCTGTGTGCTTGCACCCATTACTCGCATTTTCCGACGGAGTTAGATGACAGTCAGACATCAGTGCACTTCAGTATGACCGAGACAGGTTTGTGCAAGTACATAGCCAGCGGATTTGATATTGCACCAATGGCTGCTCAGGGCGTCGCTGGAATGGAGATGGATCTCACCATAGGTGTAATTAAAGTCAAGGTATCGGATTTGTCCGTGAATGAGCTATCAGTTGAGAGCTATAAAACCCCCCTCATTGAAAATGCAGATAGTCGCTATGTTGAGTTTACTGGAATTACCATTGAAATTCAGTTGAAAATCGCTGTTACTGTCTTGCTTGTCCCCATGGAGGCTGTGATCTCGATTGGGATACCGCGTGCGAACGGCTACGCTTCCGGCCAAGTTGATATCAGCAACACGTGTCCTTACCATATATCTATAGACATCACTAACACGAAGATTGATTTTGATGAGATCACTCTTCAAGTTGTTGATGGGGATTCAGGGCTGTTGGGGTCGTTCTTACCTGGCTTCAAGTCTCAGATAGAGTCGGTCTTGAAGGGCGACCAGATGTCTTCTACTATGGCACAGGCATTCAATGCGATCAAAGATGGGATGGAGAGTAGTGCCGACTACATTATCAACTTCTATGAGGACTCGGCAAAGAAGAAGACGCTCGTTGATGTACGCTATACTGGGTTTCTTTGGGGTCGTAACTTAGTCACGTTGAAGGCAGGTGGATACACTTATCCGTTTCTTGATGCTGGTGCCGATGGCTCCACACAGATACATTATGAAGGACAACGAGAGACAGCGACTATGCCAACACAACTAAATGACAAGGACTGGCAGTTTATCATTGATGTGTCCGCATTTAAGTCTAACCTGGACGTGAACAATCGAGAAGCAAAGCTTTACGATGTCCAGTTCCGGTCTGACGACCTTAAATCTGTTTTTGGTAAAGCGTCGGCACCGGGTCATCTGATGGTGGCCGTTACAAACAACGCCTCTCCAACTGTGTTAAAGGTAGGGGGCGCGGGCCTCAAGTGCTCTTTTGACATCACCGCAAAGATGTGGATTACCAAGAGTGATACGGACATGGAGAAGCAAGAGGATATTGGGTCTGTGCACCTTGTTTTTAGTGGTCTGGCGGCAGTCGGAGCAGACCAGTATCTCTGGACGGAGACTCTGAACACTACCATAATATATCCTTCCTTTGAACAAATAATAGACATTAAGGGAGAAGTGTTGGAGAACCACGCTTCGTTTACACCAGGGGATGAGTACTGGTATAAGGAGATAGGCTCTGCCCTGGAGGTGGATTATTTCGGTGCACTCCACCCTATTCTTAGAAGGACCGGTCTTACATGGACTAATTTGAATTTTGCTAATTTCTCCGGTGTCCAGATAGTGTACCTCCCCGAGACGCTGGTCCTTGTCAGTGGGGACTTCTTTGACACTGCTGCTTCTGCAAGTAGTAGGGGTCACAGACGGCAGCCCCTTTCTCTTCGCTAATGTGTGAAAGACCACTGTGAGTGCAAACACTGCCTTTGATGTTCTGGCTTGTGTAAATATGTCTTCTATTAAGTACTACCACTTTACTAGTCCCAAAATGCTCCTAGGGCTTTAGATTCTTTGAGAAATGTATCTTTCCACGTCATGACTCTCTTTAAGGAAATGTACTCTTGGCCTCCATGAGTAACAATAGAAGGTGCTAGATAACGCTTAAAGTGGTCAACCATCTTGATAGTGGCTCGGTTCAAAAGAGTGAGCTCATAGTCAGTTGGCTGATACGGTAGGTTCTGGTCCACAGACTCTAAAGGAACCAAGGTCAAGCAAAGAGAGAATGGCAGCTCTGCCTTATTAAGCCGCTCTAACCCAGTGACAAACGTAATGCTAGGAGAATACTCTGTCAGGTAACCAATCTTCTCGTAAAATCCATCAGCAGAAACAGCAACCTCGACGGCGCAACTGGTCAAGCTGGCAGGGGTAAATGTAAAAACGCTGATGTTTCCGAGGCCGAAGGAATTAGGAAACGAAAGAACATAGTTCCCTTCTGTGGTCTGCTGGAATTGGTCTGAGTACCCCAGATGACAAACAACGCAGCCAAACATGGCAGGTCCAGATCAATCTTTATTAATTTAAAATTTCTTTTTTGAGACAAAGACCACCCTCCCCGTTCTATGATTGACATCCAGGCAAAGATTCGACACCAGGCACTCAGCAACGCTGCCGCGCTCAAAGAGGTCGGGGAATTTGTTGAGCGTATCTCCAAGAAGGACGAGGAAGCCACACACGCTGCCGCCACATTTGATCCATCGACCGTTAAAGTGCCCCCCATCCGGTGCTATGAGATTCCACTTGAGGAAGAAAAATCGGGGCTGTACACCGCTGAAGAGTATAAGGCTGTTGGTAACAAGCTGTTTGGAGAGCGCAAGTTTGAGAAGGCATTGGACTACTACGAGTGTGCCGGACGCATAGACCCAGGTATGGCGGCTGCCTTTGGGAATGCAGGCCTCTGCTACCAAAAGCTTAAGCGCGAAGATGAGGCCCTTGCCTCCTTCTCACGAGCTATAGGGATAGACCCTCAATATACGAAGATACTCGTAAGACGTGGACGTCTGTATCTAGATCGAGGAGACTACCAAGCCTCATACGCCGACCTGTCCTTGGCACTCACTCTCCTTCCTGAGAAGGGGCGACAGGAGGTGCAGCAGGACTTAGAGCTTGTTAAATCAAAGTTAGTACCGGTGACTACTGTCACTACTACCACTGTAGGAGCAGCCGATATATTTGCTACTCAAAACACAGCAAGCAGAGGGAAATCCATCGCCATAGACATGAGCTGTCTCGATGAGGCGGTCGAGTCAAAGTCTCCCATAGGCTCTCCGTCACGCCCAACAGCCGTTCGGTTACGAGATTGCAAGAGAAACATCCCTTCCAACAAAGCCAAGCCTTCCGTTCCTCCTCCACCAACTTCAGCATTTTCTTTGTATAGCGACGTGCTTCATCTAAGTGAGCACTTGGACGTCTTGGCAGAATATCTTAACTCCTTCCACAGTGCGGTATTAGAATCTTACCTGTCAAGCCAGTTGACTGATAAGGAAATCAAGAGCATCGTGGCTGCCATTGGCCTACACAAGCTTTCCGCAAAGAAAACCATCAATACCCTTTATGCACTGACTCGCTTACCAAATCTCTCCTTCCTAAGCCCCTTTTTGTCAGAGGAGATAAAAACGACCATGCGTGCTACTCTTGAGTGGGCATTGCATCAGATTCCAGAGGACCAGGCTGAAGTATATAATGAGAGAAACGATGAGGTGCGCGAGGCCTTTTGTCTCTAGTTGTACTCGTATCTGTGTCCTGAGAGGGACATAGATCGATCCCTGAAGCCGTGTAGGTGTAAGAACCTATAGCAGCACGTTCTAAAGTAAACAGCCAGGTTTTAAAAGCACCCACTATTTACAGTCCCCCCGAAGGATAGAAAAATGAAGTAAGATAGAACTAGTCTCCCATCATAGCTGAGTTGAAGTTGAGAATCAATACACATCAACGTCCATCTGCTGACGTCGGATGTTGGCAGCTGCATCTTTGATTAGAGAAGGTGGTAAACTGATCCCCTTCGCCTTAAGCATTTGGCGAAGCTCGGTGACCTCTATTTTAGGATGCTCAGCTAAGATAGCTGCGATTGTTGAGTGCATTTCGGGGGAAACAACCTTCTTGGATCTCCGCCCCCTCGGCCCCACCTCAAGCTGACCACAATCTCGGAACTTTCTAACGATGTTTATTGCTGCACTATACTTTAGGTTGAGTTGCTTCACTGCTGATTGCACGTTCATCCCATCAATGCACACCATGTGAATAAGCCGCTCACGCGTTTCCTGGGGTATGATTAAATACTCTCTTTTGTTGCTAGCTGATCTCCCTCGTTGAGGGATATGAATAGAATGATCTTCAGGGCCAAGCTCACTAATGCTTAGTTGGTCATGTTCGTGGATTTGATTCTGGTTATAATCTTGGTGACCGTTGTTCTCTTCTGGCATGGTGTTGATCCCTAAAGTGAGGCTAAGCTTAGGATCAGAAGCCGGTCCATGATCATGAGGCAGGTCAGGGTCGTGGACAAGAGTGATAGTATTATCGGGAGCCGAGTTAGAATCGGAGCCGAGGCTAGTGCCAATCCGCTGCTCAACGTGCTTAACTATGCCTTGCTGATTTTGGCCAGGACCCAGATTGGCGGGTGGCATGAAGTCATCTCTGAAGAGCTGCCCATTGTCGACTTGCGGTAGCTCAAAGACATGATCCATGTCTGGTCTATAGAATGTACAGCCCATGCTCCTTTTCCCGCTGCTGCTAGATAGCGATACATTAATCGATGGTGGGTCATTCAACCCTATTCGACTGGCCTTCAGAGAAGATGAATGCGAGCTAGGAGTGCTGCCATTTGAGCCTATATCTTTAAAAACAGGTAACATGTCACCATCTCCAGGGATAGCTGAGATGGTGGATCGCCGCAAATTCCGAGCGGATGTGATAAGCCCCGGGGGCAACTGTCTAAACAATGGGGAGGTTAATTCCCGACTAAGCTCGGTCATCAGGTCTGTACCGCTTCCTGAGAAGACAGGAGCATGCTCATCATACTCGGACATTGGCAATGTATAGGTGAGCAAGACCGAGAGGTCTGCAACCGACAGGTATTTTTTTAGGCTGACGAATCAGAAGACGGTTTACTTTGGACGGGGGTATACAATCTTAGATAAAAGATCCAGGAGTACTGAGCAGGGACGTACCTTCAGGTTGGAGGATGCCCGAGTTTGGTTTTATGGGCGCGGAGGATCTCTTTTGCCTTTTAATGAGGAAATAGAAAGCCAGAGTTGTCATAACTGCACAGAGAAGTACGGTGACTATCACTGAGATGGCTACGGCTGCGCCTGCCGAAAGACACTTATCAGAATTTCCAAAACCTGCACAGATGCAATCTCCATAGGCCATAGTCCACCCATTCTTGCATGATACGCAGTGTTCTCGCTCTCTGTCGTACGAGTCGTTATATCGAAAGCACATTCCTCGACTCAGAGATCGATAGCAGCCGTTCCCGATTTTCTGATACCCTTTGCTACAATCGTGACACGTTGGGACAATCTGGTCTCCCTCATGCTTAAGGTTGCAGTTTCCAAATTCAAACTGCTTCCAGCAACTTTTATCTATAAGGACGTGGTCGTTCGTGCAAGCCGTACATCTGATTTCCTCGTCATTATAATGAAAGCAATTCTCGTTGAAGCAATATGTGCATGTAGGGTAGCACAATCTGTCCGCGTCAGTGTCTTGGGGATTCACGTAGGGCGTGTATCCTACCTGGCACGTGCAAGCGTCTGTACCCGCACCAGTTATGCAAGGAGCGGGATCAGTTGCACCTTTAAATCTATATGGCAGAAGCCACAGTGTAGCTGCAACTAGAGTAGCAGCCATCTATAAACAAGCGAGAGATTTATTTTCCCTTACAAGAGAAAAGATTTGCTTTCTAAACTCAGAGAGAGGCCCTTAGTGTAAAATAGTAGAGTAAAGTTAAGGCAGATCAAGGCGGAGTACCTTTTACACGCTATAGTAATTTACATCATCCTTTTAGCGGCTTCAGCTATGTTTTCTAGACAGGGTCTTTCCGCTGGGTCTATAGATAGACAGGCGTTTAAGACGTGCCTCAATTCATCACTAAATTGGCTCTGTGACTGTTGCATCACGTTCGGGCTACCATTATTAGATGGAATCTGCTTCGTAGGAAGCCTTGTAGGAAGTTCGATGGGCCTGGGAAGACGTGTTATGCTTAAGTAGAGGTCTATTTCGCGTCCTGTGGTAAATGGGCGCTTCTTGAAGATCAGCTCGTACAAGTAGCAGCCAAGGGCCCATATATCGCCCGACAGAAGAGTATTTGTCGCTCCAGGGACGCTGTCACCGTTGCTGTTGGTTTCAAGTTGCTCGGGCGCCTTGTACAAGTCTATGGCTACGGATATGTGCAGATTTAGGGGTGCGGTTATTTTCAGCTCTGACGACATCCCCACATCCATGAGCTTCACACTCCCATCTTTGTCCAGGTATATGTTTTCGGGCTTAAGAGAGGCATGTGCCACAGGGCCCCTACCAAGGGGGTTTCCGTGCAAATATCTGAGCGCGGACACTATCTGACTCAAGGTCTTCCATATCATGGACTCAGTCATGGGCTCGTGGCTTCCAGAAGCACCCATGCTCTCTCTCAAGCTGGGACGGGCCTCATCACGCGAAACTAGCTCTCTAGCGTCCCCGAGGAGAGGGGAGATAATGTACAATCGAAGGATAGTTGAATCATATATGGCATCGATGGGCGAATTGATGTTTGGATGGCATAGCTGCAGCTGGATACTCGCACACTCAAGGAGCTGCTTTTGATGAGGCTCAGTATACATGTCACAAGGTATTTCTTTGCATGCAAAAACCGTTTTGGTATTTTTCTTACGAACGACATATACGCGGCCGTGTGGACCCAGGCCCACCGAGGCTGACATTATGAAGTACGTTTTTGTCTCATCACTATAAGGGTTTAGTTTGACAGTCTTTTCAACAGGGATTTCCTCTTTATCATAATACTCAGCCAGGCTACCACTCCTAATCCCCGCGGGAAACGCCATCTAGCGACCTTTTTTTGTTTACATGTAAATATTTAGTGTTTTAGATGTGGCGTCGATGCAGCACCGCTACCGCCTCCCAACGTGCATGGCCCGCATCAAGACCACTAACATACCCACGACATCGGAGTATATCTTCAAGGTGTATTTGGCCCAATCAGAGCAAGTACTCTTATTGACTGCCAACCACACATCAACTATCAAAAACAAAGCATATACAAGGCAAATAAGGACAGAAACTACCACAGTGGTTATTGAGTAAGATTTTTGGCTCCCGAAGAGATTCCAAATGAAGAGCATGGGGTACAGTAGCCAGAGGAGCTGACTGCAGCAAATGGCTATCAGAATCATCACCCAAACCTTTGTCTCGCTCTTAATGCACAGCGCTATAGATGTACAGAAGACCAAAATGAACAGAACACAGAGTAATGATGATCCAAAAACTATGATGTTGGTCACCATTGAAAGGCCGATAAAGAGTATGCTCGAGAAAACTGGCCCAATTATCAGCAGGGTGATCGTGCCACACTTTCCAATAGAATCCATGCAGCACGAATTGATCATAGAAATTACGATATACCCTATGCAGCCGACAGCAATCAGGATTACCTCGGTGATAAAGTACGTATACAGTAGTTCAGGTGAAACGACTCCGTTATGAACTTTGAAAATAACAGTCGTTACTAATATGTATAACCCGATTGTTAAGATTGCAGTTCCCATTATCATTATTGCCAGGGTCAAATATATCTTAATAGTCAATGATCGGCGGATTGATGTCTCAAAACCATTAACGGTCTGTTCATACAAACTGTTACTGCCTCTTGTGTTGACATTGCTCGTGTATTTGTGGCCATCCTCGATTCTATTCATTCTTAGCGTTTCCTCATTCTCCTGCCTTCTACTGAATCCAGCAGGAGCCAAATAGGGCTGGGGGCATCTCGCTTGGTCGTACGATGTCATGAGCTTCTCCACCTGATTTTTTAAATCTCTTTTTTAAACCTGCGATGTCTATCATTAATGCATAAAGTTATTAAGCAAATTGTAAAGCCTTTAGCCTTTCAGCAATTGTCTTTTAAATCAACACCTTGAGAACAAAACATAACGCATCAGCGGTTGAACCATGGCCATCTAGAACCAGTGCGCTGTACATACTATAAACCCTGTGCATACTATTTTTACACTCCTTCAACACATACGTTGCGGTGTTCAGCCAATTTTTCGGAAGTTATGTTGTCAAGAGAACATCTAAGAAAAACCTCGCTCCATATTCCTCGAGCTGCTCTCGGAGTGGCTTACTATTGGATTTTAGATCTCTATGTTGCGATAGAATAGATAATACATTGTTGATATGGCAGCCCCGGATGTAACTCAGCCCTGCCATGATCACGTCAGCCATTCTCTTGTACGCGCCCTTAAATCCGGTGCTACGATAGATGATGTCAAGCAAGGATTGAGCCAGATAATCGGCTGACCTTTGGGAGATAACTGCGGTATCGACTACGGCAATGTGCACTAGAGCGACGCGGGTAAACGTTAGAATGTTGATAAACCCATGAGACGTGGGTGGGAATATCTGGAGAACTCGCCGGGCCACATAGAGTGCTTTTACGAGTAGGCCTGCTCGAGCATACGCCTCCAGCAGCACGGAGCAAACAAGCTTAGAGGGCAAGAGCGTTGCGTCGGAGCGCATGTATTGAATGCTTAATATCGAAATGCTGTCAAAGTCGGGAAGGGACTCCTTGTAGATTGCCTTGGCACCCTTGCTAGTAAAGGGAGTGGATTCAGAGTCGTCAGTGGGAGCCCCCTCTGACTTCTGTGTAGAGATAAAGGTAATGTTGTCCTTTTCAAGCAGTTCCGCCTCATTTCTAATTCTGAAATACTTGCAGCAGCACGCAATCACAAAGATGCATACATTGAATACGCATTCCTTTATAGCCACCATGTTGTTGTAAGCGACCTGGCACTCAAAGGCCAGCGTTTCCAGCTCACTAGCATTTCTGAAGGAGAGGAAAGCACTGGTCGCATAGAGGCACAGAGCGAGAGGCTGCGATATAACATTCTCTACCACATCGCTGGATAGGAGATAGATCGTCTGTTTGTACGAAATAAGGTGAGCACGCACGGTTTGATCAATGTGGGGAAGAATGTGTATTGACGTTAGCTCAAAGATGTAAGATAGTAGAGGAGGAATAAAGTTGTAACTCTGTAACGACCTCTCCGCAGAGCCCATTGTTTTTTGAGACTTTGTTTCTTCTAGCTGCAGCATCTCTGCAACGGCCTTCACAATGTGGAACATTGCGGCCTTGGGGAGCTCGTGAATGTAACTTGGAGCAATAGCTGCAAGAATCCCTATCATGGCAATTCCCTCAATTGTTGTCCCATACAAGAGGCACCGCTCCACCATAGCTGCTGCCAGTGACAAGTACAGCTCCGTTAAGTCCCGTAAGAAAAGCGCATAAAAGATAAGGAAGAGGAGCTTTTGGATGGATCTCTCCAGCAACGATGCCCTCTTCATATATTGCATAAGCGCATAGGGGGTCGAGGGAGACTTCAGTGAGTCAAAAGCAACCATGATTGCAGCCTGTGGATGCGGCTTCAGTCCATTACCCTCAACAAGATTGGTAGTGAAGAGAAGAGAGAGGGTCGCAACAATAGTGTCCCGGTGAATGCTTTTATTCATGGTTATCATAGGTAGGAAAGCGTTGATGTGCGCCTCATCTCCAAGCAACTTCTGCAGCATTGAGACAGCGATTGAGACAGCCCGCGCCGGCTTGTTACTCTGTATCATGCCCAGTGTCCACTCCCATATAAGTCCCAGCCAGTAATGCTTGTACACCTCATTTGATAGTTTGTCGGTTACATATGTGGACTGCACCAGATTGTATCTTGTGGTGAAGCGGATTGACTGTACCGAATAGCAGATGCTGTTTGCACATGTAAAGTTAAATAGCAAGGGAAATGCATTGTACAACGCGGTAAGTTCAGAATCGGTACCGACCTGTATGGTCTCATTATACATTGTGTCAATCATGTCTGTCGGATCCGTCCCATTGGGGTCTGACTTTGAAACCAGGCTTTGGAGCGCATTTGGTTTACCAGGCAGAGCATCTGCATTGCCACTGGTAATGGGAGAGCTGTGGGCACTGTTAGGGTTTGAGAGTACACCTATGGTACACTTGAGTAGCGAGTCTAGGTCAAGGGAATTAGCAGTTTTGAACGTCAGCAGGGGCCTCTTCTGGGCAACAACCTTATAGTTCGACAGGGACCAGTTCTGCCTTTCCATTGGATTGAGACATAGCATGGCCATAGCAGTCCAGATTTCGTGCTCAGCTGACTTTGCCATTGAAAGGTATTTGCTGATGTCAGCAAAGCTCTTAGAGAGGATGTCGCATGCATATGTGTTTAGTCTCAGAAGTTCATACTGGTCATAAATGTCGAGCAATTTGCTTGCACACGGATTGAGGCACTTCAGAAGCTTGGTTATGTCCACAAAAAGTCCATCATATTGCTCTAGGAGACATGCCCGTGTGCTTGGTGTTCTGAGGTCGGCTTCCATTTGCTTAAGAAAAGCCTCTTGCTGTTGCCAGTTGTTTACCCCCATGTTATGGTCAAAAAAGAAGGTCTTGTGAGTGCGCAAAGCAATCCGTAATGAAAGAGAGGCCTTGTTAATCTGAAGATCATTTAATGAAACATCTGCCGCCTTACCCGAAGCCCTCAATAGAGAAACAAAGTCCAAGTGGAGCTTTCTGATTAGTTCTCCCGTCTCCAGCTCTCTGGGATCATAGTTTCTTATATAGAGGGACGGCTTAAGGTCGGATTTTCTCTCCAAAACAGAGTCCCGTGCAATCCACCTCTTCCGAAGATATAGTGCGATCAGGAATAGCTTTTGGCTCATGCCAGATGTAAATGACTCTTCCAGAACCTTGCATAGACTGATATTATTAAACAGAAAAATGTAGCCTATCCGATTTGTAGATTTGTTAGGATTGTAGGGATTGTGGGCTAGGTCCACGCCATGGTCTGCACCTCCTTGTGCATAAAGCGGATGCCTAAGCTGTACAAATTGTGGGGCGCAAGAAATTAGATGCATATTAGAAAGCTCAGTGAGAGACGTGAGGATCACATCGTCGTTACTGTAATTGAGGGCACTTGTAAGCCAGCGCATGTCGAAAATAGTGCCAAAGACAGACGATGCGCAAAGTATACCCATGTCCCCGTCCGATAGCTTCTTAGAGTTTCTCAAACCAAGAAAGCGTCTTAAGATAACCTGATCTATGTCAGGAATCGCGTCTAGAGCAGTCTTGCTATAGCGCGCTTGCGAGCCTGTGATGCCAGAAATACCATACAGCGTCAGAATCAGCAATTTGATGTTGAGCATTATTGACCCTGATTTCCTCAAGATCTGCTCCACCAAGTCCACCGTATTAACAGATGGGAGTCCTCCCTTTCCTTCTGGGCCATCTGGCGATAACATGAGGGACTTCAATATAAAGGTTTGTGCCATGTCATCTGGAACTTGATCCAGTAAGATGTAAGACGGGTTAAGCAAGCGTTTGACTGCTAAGTTGAAGCTGTATGGCCGGGCAAATAGGTCTTTAATCTTTAGCTCTTGGTTGGAATTGCGTGCAGAAGCAGAATATCCTTGAACATAGCTTTGCTTTATACCAGAAGAGAGAACCGATGCCCCTGAGGCGCTGTTGACGCTAGTTGATGAGCGTGCGTCATCAACTGTCGACTGAGCCTGCGTCTTGGTACTAGCTTGATGAGTGGGAGACTCTTTGGATAGCACCTTGAAGGACGATAAGATCTTTTTTGCTCTGCTGTACTGCTTGCCAGAAACAGGAGAGACAGCATCATCCTTTGTATTCGGCGCAGAGTCAGGTGTTCCAGTCCATGAAAAGCTCTCGGGATATATGCAAGGGGAAAGAGACTCACTTAAAATGACATAAAATCTATCAACATTGAGATTGCCTACGAAAGAATAAAATCTTTTGATGAAGTCCTTACTGCACTCAGAGACTAGGTCGTCGAGAACAAGGACAAAGACAGATGCACGGGTAAGCACAGAGCGAACCAAAATCCCAAAGACGGACTCATAGTAATCTATGGAGACAGCAGTTTTAATATCATCTAGCTTCCCGCGTATGTTCATTGCTGCAGCCAGAGATGGTAGAACAAAGGGTAACTTAGCTAGTATACTGGGATTCATCTTTTCTCCGATGCTACTGAGCAAGGGCTTGTCATCTAACCTAGCGATATACCTAGCAAGATAGAGATCTATCAAATGAAACTCACCGTCGAACTCAATGTACGAGTGTGTGAGCTTGCACTTTATATCATCTTCTGTGAGATACAACATGGGCGACAATTCTGGGCCTGAAATACAAGACAGCACATCACCATTATCCTCTGTTTGTATGTGACTTTCAAATCGCTTCAGTTGCTCGGGTGTTTCAATTTCTTGCATACTTTTAGGCAACTCCCTAATCAGGTGTGAAGTTGTGTGACACATTCTGTAGTAGGTAGCATCGCATGTGTAAAGGTTGCGCTCATCATCAAACGCAAAAGAGCTAGAGATTTGCTTGAAAGGCACATAAAGGCAGAAGCCGAGCAGGCTATCTCTGACTATACGCATTAGGTCCCCAAGCAACACAGACCTGCCAGATCCCCGTAGGCCAGCCAAGCAGCAAATCTTTTTCAGAGGTCGAGCTGCACACTGGGTCTTAGTTGAAGAATAGGCAAATAAGTTTTGCTGAAGGGCCGGAGTCTCCTTTTTTATATTTTCGAACGCTAACATTGCTTTTCTAGTGGCTAAAATGTCATATATCTCTGGAAGCTCTACCGAATAATGGGACGCCGTATAGCACTCGACTACATAGTTAGTATCTGTCTTGAAAAGAGCTCGACGAAATTCAACCGGAAAAGTCTCTGAAATGTTCTTCAGTATTGCTTGAATGTGTATGTCATTGAATGAGAGCCGTATGGAGAGCATTCTCTTCACCATCACCTCAGAGGATAGAGGGTTTATGGGCATGTTCTTAGGTAAGGATGCCTCGAGAAGCATTGCTGGGTTTGCGTTGACCGCCTTCCAATAATTCAAAATGTCAGTGTGAGCCTCTGCTGCAGAAAGATAGATCCGAGACTCTGAAAGGCACAGCAGGCGTAAGATAAACTCGTTGCAGAATGGACCCAAGCTGTACTGCTGGAGCTTCTTGAGCGCGTCCTCCCTTGCTCGTCTCCACCCCGGTTCTGCGTCATGATATTTCAGTGAGAACGGGGAGGGTGGACACTCTTGCGTGAGAAGCTTGTAGAGGAAAAACCCCATTTGGTAAAGGTCTGTAAGTGGGCTAAACCTGAGGTTGAAGCGAACGCGCTCTGTGGGTGTAATAGCCAGGAACTTTCGCAGCTCAGTAAGGTGTACAACGAAACTTCCTGTTTGAAGAAAGGACTCTGAAAGAGGAGGAGCATACATAATTATGTCATGGAAATCTGCGGAATTAAACCGTGGTGGAATGTAGGAATGAAGCGCTGTTTCGAAGTCAGGGGTTGTTTTGATGATTCCGTATGATGCCACCAACATTTTGTTATCACAGGAGTCAAGGAAGACAGATTCTGATGTTATGTTTCTGTGTAGCGTGTTTATTGAGTGTATCTTAGCCAGTATTTCAAGGCATGCGATGGCAAGGACCACAAGCTGCCCGGGTTTGCGAGACCACGAGTCTGGAGTAAAGTGGGAGATTGGTCTACCAGGCGTAGAGATAGAGCGAATGAAGATAACGTCCCCAGACCTCTCCAAGTAGTCTGGGATAATCACTCCATTCTGGCCACGGAGGATAACCCTCTGCATTTCGAGTGAATGGTAATAGGCATCGGCGTGCTCATCGGCCCATCCGAGCGTAAGAACCGAAGTTTCAATACACACGCGCGGCTGTGACCTTACAGCCATTGGTTTTAAATTTACTGTGTTTTTTGTATCGATAGATTTTGATCTGCAAAGAGGAGATCGTCGTCCATTGTTTCGAGCATGGCGTGGATATCATCAATGGAAAAGAGATTTTCTATTCCCAGCTCTTTAATATCAGTAGCAACTTCTGCAAGGGAGCCCTTTGAAAGGCGTTCCATTAGGAGATAGACCTTCGATCCTTCTGCTTCTCTCAGAAGCGGACTATTTTGCGCATTCTTCTCCCACAGATGTTCAGCATAGGGCCTGGCCTCCAGTATACGATAGTCTAGAGCATGGGATATGGCTAACCCCAGGTCGACATAGTTCATTTTCATGCACTGGTAGTAGGTGTTGTGGAGAATGGTCACCCCTAGATCGGCAAGTTCTTTGTAGGTACTCTTGTAAATGCAGAGGCCCAGCTGTACTGCGCATTCCAATCGATCAACCTTAATCAACAACTTTGCAATCCACTCTGTTGCACGCAGCAGAGGCACAGAAAGCTTTAGGCTATTGTTGTCAAGAAGAGTTGGCTCTACTGCAGCAGCGTCACGGATGTGCTCAAGGCTAGAAAGTAGTGCTTGTCCCAGTGTGACAATCTGCTGCTCCAGAATATCTGGCAAGCCGTCCGTAAAGATAGACAAGGCATTGCTCCCAATTGTGTCTTTCCAAATGCCAACTAAGATGTCTAGGCTGTCATCCTGGAACCTTAGCGGTATATCCTTTGGCTTTCTAGTCTCCAATCTGTTTGCGAGCTCCCGGGCAGCAAGGATAAATGAGTCTGCGTTTTGGACAGTGAACGCAAGGGCGTGATTGGGATTCGCTGAGAGGATATGATGTAAGAAAAGGGTGTGCTGGTTCAGGTGCTCCGAAAGTCGTATAAACAGGGGCAATGCCCGCTCAAATATTATCACCAAGTGACCAGCTAGCAAGAGGATACGGAAGACAACTGGTGTGATAGATAGTAATCTCTTGAGGTCAAGAAGTGCGCTTTCAGGGTGAATGGGTATAGGGCACAGTCCTACATCATAGAGGCATATCTTTCCGCTCGTGGTACTCATAACCACGATACCCAGCTCTGACGATACAGCACAGCAAGTTGGGATATCTCCACTCAACAGTGCTTGATCAGCAGCGTCTGTCCAGGTATGTTTGACGTGAAGATTAGCTAACGGAATAGTTACCTCCTTCCCACGATCATCCACACCATTCCAATGGGCGAAGAGGCTAGATATCGACCCGAGGATTAAGGTTCCAGTCCTGTCTATGGCAACAAAGTGGTGCATGCTTGCTGTAGCATAAACGGGAGAACTTGCCAGTTCAATAGCGAATTGAGAGCAAACAGTATTAGAAGGAGTGATAGTTCGCTTGATAGATATAACAAGGCGGGACGGCTGAAACTTTCGTACGAAAAATGTGATCAACATACTCTCTAGTAGCACAGATTCTATAAGAACGGTGTCGCTAGGAAGGTCTAGGGAGGCGACCACAGCAGTTTCTCCGTTAGAGCTACCCCTGTGAGCCTCTATCAGATTTTCACTTCTAACGTAGTGCAAAGGAAGGGCATGGAGAGGTATTTCACTGATCATCTCGAGGCTGGCAACCTCCTGCAGAAATAGGGTACGCAAATCAAACATAAAAGCGTGTGACCGAGAAAACCCCACAACAAAGTAATAATCGCCAGCAGCATGTGCAAACACTGGACACGATGTAAGTGCGACGCGGAAGAAAGGCATATATAGTTCAGGCAGGGGTCGTTTGAGAAGCTCATGTGGGCGTAGCAGAGCAGAAGGCTCACACGTATCACTGAGGTACAAAAGTTTAGAGAAAGGAGCGTCAAGGGGGTTATGTTCAAAGGAGCGCATGCTCTAGTCTAAATGGGGACAAACGAGTGATGTGCAAGCGATCGCTTGAAAGGATCAGAGATCTGGGACAGAAAAATAAAAACGCAGCGAGATTATGCAGTCGCTGAAAGACCATGAATACGATTACAACGAGATTGACAATATTCTCAACCAATACCTAAATAGATACGGCATCTCCTACACTGGATCCGTAGCGGCAGATGAACAGTCTCAGACCCGTAAGGATGTATTAACAGCAACTCCAGTGAGTTCGGCCCTTCGACCGAGTCAACTAGGGCCAGCTCGTGAGAATGATGCTACTACATTGCATGACACACCACGGACTGTGGGGTATGAAGCTAAACAAGAAGGCTCCTTGATGATGACGCAGAACGATGGTGACGACCCAGTGCAACTTGATTTGGTAGACTTGGAGGACCAGTCACATGTCAACGAATCTAGGACGGTTCCCAACGTGGAACGCAACGAACGAAAGATAGTCGCACACGAGCCATCCATCTCCACACTTACCAGAGATATTAATGCATTGGAACAACGGGTTCTTGGTAACCAGAGGCCCAACGTTCATTTGGCTAACCTAGAAGATGACAAGAGCAGGGCAGAGACAGCCATCCAGCTCGATGACCTGGACGATGTACTAACTTTGAGTGAAAACATGAGCGAATCTCTTAGTCAGCACACACGTGCCCTTGCACGACTTCAGTCTAATCTTAGAAACTACAGTAGACATACGAATTCCGCAAACATTTTATCTAATACTCGGAAATATTCAGGATACAAACATGCACTTGCCCAGCAGTACTACACTAAGGGGAAGCGTCCACCATCATGTCAGCGGACAAATAGAAGTGGGCCATCGACCTCACACAGAATGTCCTCCTCACTTCCTGACATGTCTCTGCAAACACCAAAGACTCTGACGAAGAGTACTAACAGCAATCCCATTTACACATCAAGATCCGAGAGTCAGCGGAGGTCACAGTCCCAAACACAATACTCGCGCAGCGTGCTGGACGACAGCCTGCTGGACTACCCGTTCGACACCAGCAACAAGCTTGTCGGGGCGAGCAGGGCTCTCGACGCCGACGCCGCCTCGACGGTCGTCGTCAACGGGAAGCTGACGTCCATCGAGGCCAGAACCCTGTTGGGGCGGGTGCACACCATGGAGCTTCTGCTCGACCAGTCGGCCCAGACGATCGGGGAGCTGCGCCGCGAAAACGCCAGGCTGCAGCGGGTCATCCTGTCCAAGGACGCATCGACGCAGAAGATCTTGACCCTCGAAGCAGAGGTCCTCGCCCTACGCAAGAGCCTCAAGCAGTCCGAGGAATCCCGACGGCGACAGGCCACCCTCATCGAAAGACTCAAGGCAGATTCTGGCGTATGAGCCAGCGAACGAGCACGGTGAATTCACTGGTTGCGGCTTAGCAGCCCTTGGACCCGACGTACTTTGCTAGTTCAACAAGCTTGTTAGCATAGCCGAACTCGTTGTCGTACCAGGCAACCAGCTTAACGAACCTGCTGTTGAGCATGATGCCAGCCTTGCTGTCGAAGTTGCACGTGCTGGTGGTTGAGAGGAAGTCGCTGCTCACGACGTCCTCGTTAGTGTAGGTCATGATCCCCTTGAGCTCGTTTTCAGAGGCGCGCTTGATCTCAGCGCAGATCTCATCGTACGTTGCGTCCTTCTCAAGAGTACAGGTCAGGTCGACGACAGAGACGTCTGGGACAGGGACACGAAAGGCCATACCGGTAAGCTTTCCGTTGAGCGCGGGAAGGACCTTCCCGACAGCCTTTGCGGCCCCGGTGCTGGACGGGATAACGTTAGCACCGCAGCTACGGCCGCCACGCCAGTCCTTCTTGGACGGCCCGTCCACTGGGAGCTGGGTGGCCGTGACGGCGTGGACGGTGGTCATGAGGCCCTCCTTGATACCAAACTTCTTATTGACAACCATCGCAAGAGGAGCAAGGCAGTTCGTCGTGCAGGAGGCGTTGGAGATGACCTTCATCGTGCTCGGATCGTACGTCTCGAGGTTACAACCGCAGACGAACATAGGGGCGTCCGCCGACGGAGCGGAGATGATGACACGCTTGCAGCCGCCGGTGATATGGAGCTCAGCATCCTTCTTCGTTGTAAAGCGACCTGTACACTCGAGCACAATGTCCACCTGGGTCTTGCCCCATGGGATCTCCTCGGGCTTCATAGACTTGAAGACAGAGATCTTGTTCCCATTGACCGTTATGGAGTCTTCAGAGTGGGCGATGGTGCCGTCAAAGCGCCCGTGCACCGTATCGTACTTGAGCATGTACTCCATGTACTCACAGTCCGTGAAGGGGTCGTTGATCGCGACAACCTGGACGCCGTCGATGTTCAGAGACGCCCTCAGGGCCATCCTGCCGATGCGGCCGAACCCGTTGATTCCGAGGCGAATAGGCATTTTAGATTTTTGGGCAGCCCTGTGTTAAGTTTTTTCACTCAGAATACTTTGGACATTCAGGTGGCTTTAGAAAAGATTAGCAGGAGTAAGTTCCCAGGAATACAAGGCTGCAGACCGGATTTACCTCACTTTGAAGGCTCATTAGCAATGATCAATTTCCATCATCTGTAAATTTTAAGGTAGATCAATCTTTCTTAAGGACTGCACCGAACAGATGGTGACCTACAGATCAGCTCATGGGTCTTCAGGCTTCAATGTCACTCTTTCGGCTTTTCATTTACATTTTAGGCAGCCTCTGGATCTTTAGAGCTGTCCTTGATGTGTCAAAAGCGTTTCAGGACAGAAGTAACGATAGGCCTACCTGACACAACAGCTTAGAAAGAGTGGAGCAAGCAGCCACATTCGACAGACGATTATTTAAGTGCGAGGGGAGTAGCGAGGCATTGTTCTTAGAAGTTTGTTCAGTAAATTGCATGGAACATACATGAAGGTAAGTTAATTGTTTGCTAATGCTGCTTTGATTGTCTGCATGTAGATTTGGGCTTTCGAGGTGTGGCGGCAGAGGACAATCTTGTGTGAACATTAGCTTCTGTATACAACAAGTTTCTTCTTGATTCTTCTGCTTTCCGCTTGGCAGTAGCTTCCCAGTCGTACCGAAATGGGGGCAGGCGAGCAGAGACAGAGCTCAATCTACTAATGTCTGCATAGTACCGCGGCGATTTACCATCTATATCGAGTGTAGTGACATTAGCTCCAGACTCAATTAGGACATGGGCTATGTCTGGATGACCCTTGATGCACGCTATGTGAAGAGGTGTCCTGCCATGGTTGTCGACTGCATCCAGGTCGAGGTAGGCCTTTCTTTTAAGGAGACACGTCAACATTTCGAGGTCATTGCTTGCAGCGCATCTATGCACTACCGTCCCACCGTGAATCGCTGGGTCAGCCACGTTAAAATTAAAGCCCTTTTCGAAGAGATAGTCCAATGTATTTACGTTGCCATTGGCGACTGCTATGTGAACCGGAGGAACCTCGAAGCTGTACTTTTGGAGCGGAAAGATTGCTTTTGCAAAAATCCACTCCATACGAGCCAAATCCCCCTCATATGTGTACGCTGTGAACAGCTCGGCAAGTAAATCCTCCGTCTTACTCATCAGGCGTGCCTTGCGAGAAGCCTAAACCTCGCCTACTTCTAAAACAAAAATATCCGGGTTCTGATGACACAGAACGGAGCATCGCAAATCCCCGAAAATGTACTCAAGTGTGCATACACACGCATCACCGATGATCTTCGGCAGGCCCTCCTAAAGTGCATTGATTCTACTAAGAAGGCACGCACATTTGGGAGCGTTTTTGCAGAACCGGTTGATTACGTTGCGTTGGGCATACCAGACTATATCGAGGTCATTAAGCGGCCGATGGACCTCAGTACTCTCAAGAGCAATTTACTTGTTGGCGAGTATATCTTTCTCCACGAGTTCCTCAAGGACGCAGAACTTATCTTTTCCAACTGTAGGACGTACAACGGAATGTCGAACGACGGATACTTTTGGAAGGCCGCCGAAGAGGTTGAGAAGTTTTTCATCAATACAATCTCGCGCATAGATGGCTTGAACCTCACTTTAGACATCTATAAGAAGATAGTCCAATCTCCCATACCTGTCATTCCAGAGTACAGTGAGCTTCCTATGACGGTCTCCGAACTGCAGATAATGATCAAGAGAATGTCCGAACTGCCCAAGCCTGCGTTGACAGCGTGCATCCAGTACTATCTGCAGAGGAAAGGTGCGAGCGCGGAGGAGATGGCCGGGAAAGAGTTTACTTTGCACTTTGTCAGCACTGACAGCGCAATCCTTAGAGACCTTGACAAACTAATAAGAAAGAAAGCAATGGAGGCCAAAGAAAACAAAACTCAACGGGCAAAGAAGCTAAAGCATTGATGTGTATCTCAAATGAATAAGCACGCTACTACTTGATACACAATCGTCACGCTTCTGTATGTTTCCGCTTTACCTACTGTGATATGTTAACGAAGAAGCAACCGAAGCCCAAACGTACGGCAAAGTACGTAGCCAGAGGAAGTCTTGGGCCACTATGTGGGCTGAGCTATCTATATCTATCTTTAGAATGACTCTAGAGCCGGTTGGAGAGCAGAGCGCCACGATTCACCCAAGTTCTTCTCCTGCTCTGCCAGCGACAGGCTGTTTGCCGCGGCAGCAGTACTGGCTGTACTAATCCCAGCTCCATGGAAAAGTGAGCCACGAGAGTTCGCAGTTGATGGCCGCGAAGATCCTTGAGCAGCTGCATATGTGTTTAGGCCAGCACTTGTAACATTAGGTGCTGTCCCCGTTAAGCCTCTACTATGCTGTACAGGTTGCTTCTGTGTGCGGGCCGTGGATCCATGGTGGAGCCTGTCGAGCCCTGCAGCCTCCAATCGTTGATGAGAATCCATACCCTTGTTTAGTAGGTTCTGAGACAGGTGCTGGTTCATCATCTGCTCGCAGGCCGTTATGTTCTCCGTGAGTGTGTTCCTGTACGCTATTGCAGAGGTAGTAAGGTCCAGATGGGCGGTTGCATTCATCGACCTGTCCACATCAAGGCCACTAGTATTAAGCTGGGATGCGCTACCCGCGGTGTACTGGTTCTGTGATCGCATATATGTGTTATAGATCATACGATTTGTGTTATTTGCCAGCGTACGTTGCTCTTGTGGGTCAATCTGATGTTTGAAGCTGACAGTTGGCGTCGTAGCTTCAGCCGGTCGTTCTGTGGCAGTCAGATTGCGATATGTGAGTGTAGAAGTAAAGTAGTTATCACGAAATGTGTCTGTGTCCCATATGTTCGTGGTGTTCAGCAAATTCATTAGCCTTAGGGTGTCAGTTGCATCGCCTTGTGGTAAAAGTGCTGTATCTAGAGTGAGGTTCATCAGAGTGTCATTAGGCTTCAAACCATTGCGAGCTTGCATGTAGTCTCGGAGCCTAATCTCCTCGAATTGAAACTCAATAAAGTTGTTTGAGAAATCAGAAATGATCAGTGTCTCTTCCTTAAAGGGCAATACCTCTTGAGTTACCCGTGCCCCCTGACGAGATGGAGCGACTGGTTTTGCGTCTGGAATGGTGGTGGGCTGGATTGATGAGTGTAGGGTGGGCATTTTTTTGAATCTGTAAAGCTATTTTTTAAATTGCTGTGTCGTTAGTATCTCTGCAATTTCCTCCACGCAAGGTCCCTGGTGCAATGAGCAGTGTGAGCAAGACGTAGACAGACGCATATGTAGTATCATTTACTGTCTAGTCGTCCTTCCACTGTCCACGCTTGTTCTCCTCGATTGGAGTGGAAAATTGGGCATGCCTTGGATAGCGGCCCAATTCAGGGCCAGTGCGGCGCACGTTGATTGTTCCTGTACTGTACAACGTCACAGGGTGGTCATAGCGCGCTTGAGTAAGCGGTCTTTCAATCTCTGGCTTGGAGTAGTCTGCAGTGTATGTACTAATCTTTTCGCCATCCGCAATCCGACCGGCCCTTCCATCTAAAGCATCTTGACGTAGCTGGACATAGCTAGCCCATTCCTTTTCAGCTTGTGCACGAAATCTGGCCTCCAAAGCGGTCCCACTGGTGACGGGGCGGCCCACTGTATCAAAATTACAGTTGGGGTTGAAATACTCCTTCTTATTGGCACGAAAATCTCCATATTCCTTGTTCGTTGTGTCACTGGGCATCTTTTGATCCGGATTCGTTGTCTGTACATATACCGTTGGCACTCTACACGTTCCCATCTTGACGGTTCCATCGGGATTCAAGGCGGTCTCGTAGAGAGATCTCTCCTCAACCCAGTTATCGATCAAGACACGAGGGGGGCCGGGTTCCCGATTGTAAAGGTTCATTTCTTTGAAGAGTCCGAGGGTTCTTTGAATTACGTTTTGAAGTAAAAATTAAAACAACATGGATTATCAGCGGTCACGGCAAAAGAGCCCAGTCGGGAAAAAACAGTGGCTATCTAGTAGTCAGCGGGATCATCGGGCTTCCTGCACTACTGCTTCAGTTGATCTCCGCTGCGGATCCCAAAAGTATTTTGACAATTGTATGTCATCGCCTCAGATTTCTCAAGAATCTAGTGGGATAACACCCGTCCCAACAAACTATCACTACAAAGACTGTGCTGTTCAGCGGAAGGGCCATCAAAGCCTTTCTGGGATCGGTGTTATGGACACTGAATGTTGCTTTGATTTACCTTCTATACCTGCCTCTGACCGGCAAAATTCATCATCGGAGATATCCCAACCATACATGCTTCGATCAGACCGTGCTCAGCAAATATACAAGCCTCGCGCTATACGGCCAGCAGCTGGCCACACCGCGGTGGTCTATGGGCACAATCAAAGTCAACACCAGGAGGATATGCTCCCGCGGAATGTCTATAAAAAGCTAACTCAGATGCTTCAAGCCAAAATTGCCGCTGATAGCGCATACACTGAGGAAGACCTTGTCCGGCTGTTCACTTCCCTTTATTTTTCTAATGCTACGTTGGACAAATATGCGCTTGTAAAGTACATAGAGACAATGGCCGAGGCGTTTGCAGTCAGTGACCCGCTGCGTATTATTCGGGAGAAGAACCTCGCGCAAGGCCTGGACATCTTTGGCAAGAGCATAGCCGATACAAGTATACGACTACCTAGCGAATTATCTCATGAGTCTATTTCTAAAGCTGCAGATAAGTTGCTTCTACGAACTTTAACGCGTAGTTCTAACAATCCACGGACACAACGAAGTTCTGGCACTCATAGCTTGCCTGTCTCTTTGCCAGCTTTGCCAAACACCCTGAGCACTGGACAGAAGAGTAGTTCTTCTTTCCATAATCACTCAACTGTGCAACCAACTACTTGTCTGCAATCTCCTTCTCCTCCATCGATCTCTACAAACCAAGGTTTAAACACTGATTCTACTCTTAAAATCTTAAGTCTAACCACTCCAGTTTGTCCTCCACTAGTGCAGTCAAAGCAACAGCAACAACAACAGCAATCTGTGTCTCAAATACCTCCTGCAACCCTCCAGGAACAGTTTCAAAGAATACTAGAGCAGCAAGCTATTCAACAAGCTCAGCAGCAGGCCCAAATACAGCTTCTACAGCAGCAGCTATGCATCCAGCAAGAGTTGCAACAGCAGCAACTGCTTGAACATCAAATTTATAATGAAAGGATCCGAAATCAGGAATATATCGATTATCTACATACAAACAGGCAGGTGGAACCCTTTCCGCATCTCGCTCGCATGCCAACTGCGTCTCTATCTCTTCCTCGGTCTACAACTGTGGCAACCTCTCGATCTGCAGGGGGCATGGGTGTTTTCAAAATACCAGTAAGAAGAAGGCAAACTGTCAATTGCCACCAGCTAAACACTAGAGCGAACGTATCTCCTGATAGAGCGCATGTTAGTGATCGACGGCAGCAGCTTCTCTATGAGTGCCGTTCTCGTGCACAGGAGCTGGCTGATATCCTTCTCTCTAATAAGATAACAGATAGCCAAACAGCGAATGAACTGGCAAAGGTTGATTGGAACCAGTTTACCTATTCAAAGGAATTAGAGAACGACCGGGTTTATGATGCACCCGCGCTCCCCAGTCAGGTAGATATACCAACGGGTATGCAGAACAGCGCTTCCCAGGCTCCATTAATCGTTGTCGAGGAGCTTGACAAGGCCGTACAGAACACAGTACAGGAGGATCTGCCAGACACCCCCATCCTTCTTTCTAAGTGCAGGCCAAGACGAGCAGGAACTCCTCTGTTATACAGAGAAGGAATTACGACTATTTTATCATACGATGATGAAGATACAGACCCTAACATCATTTGTAAGTTAGAGTCTAGAGGCAGAAGTAGGCTTGGAAGGCGTCATATGAATTCAGATCTGGATCACCACCAGTTTAGTGTCGACATTGATGTTGAGTTAGAGGCAGACTCTGTTACACTCGACAATATGCCCACCACCAGCAAGCGCCCCGCAGATCATCCTGTACTATAGTGAAATGGCACAGAAAAGCTGACCACTAGTGAATTATTATCTCCTGTCGAACACTGCCTTGTGCTAGGCCATAGTTCTTACACATTAGCCCCAAGAATGAATTTACCTGAGAGTTGCACGCAACCCTTGAAGTATACAATCCTAGTATCTACTGAGGTCTTATCTTACGAACTGACCCTGCACAGTGCAACGAGATACCTCTTTAACGTGGCAGCCAGCCAGCCAGATGCAAATCACTGGAAGATGGAGAGAAGTCTCTGGAACACGGTTAGTCGCTCTGTTCTGCCTCTAACAGGCTGCCAGGCAATCTCCATTTGGTTATAATAAGGCCAGTCTGGAACTGTCGCCAGTGCTGCCAGACACAGGCCAAAGGCGTGAACAAGAAGACCAATGCCCATGTTCTTGAAGGCCCAGGCTGTTAGAAGACCGAACAGTGCAAACAAAATAATGATCAGACGCATCAAGTGCCCCGCGCGAATCTGTCCTCTATAATCCATTCTTTTAAAAATAGGAGAGTCGAATGCCCCTTCCTGTTGGTGATATCTGTAGAAAATTCAATACCGTTGTGCAGATACTGATTCTGATGACTACCAGCATCGTCCTGTTCTCCTCTCCCTTCTGCCTTGTCTACTATGTTTCTTTCTCATACAAATTAGATTTCCTTGGAATGCTTGTAAGTCCCGTGACTCTCGTGCTAGTTGCCTTGATTTATAATGTCTCTCTTTTAGTCTACACGGCGTGTCTATTCTTCTCTAGGACACGCGCTCCAGAGCTGGAGTCAGATGCCTACATGAACAAACGGTCGAAGAGTGACCTTGAGCGACAGCACCTCCTAGCCAATGAGCACCCTCTAGGAGATGTGGATGTAGATGATCGGTATACGAGAACAGCAAAGACTCACCTTGGCCCTCTTCAGAGCTTCTTTATGAGGTACATTAAAAGACATAACATCACGGCACTGGTCTTATTCTTGCTTTCCTGGGTATTCGCACTGGCTATAGCTTGTTATTATTATGCTCCTTTTAACCCAATTAAAATTAAGTCAATCAAACCATATCAAACCCTCGCATATTCGAATGCATCAGAATCCATTCAAATCACGTGGAACAAAGACAAGTCGCGGGATAACAAGCTCCTGGTGTTCAAAGAAAACTGGATGCCAACCCGGGACGACATGGTGAACCCCTCTCTGTGGGATGAGATTGTCCCATCTGTTAACAGCAATCAGCGCTACGCAGTCTTTACTAATTTGACACCGGGGCGATGCTACTACTACTATGTCCCATCATTTACGACATCAGATGAGCTTAATAGCATGTGCCTCCTCCCCACTGATGCCCAGCCAACAATAGCGATTATCGCTGATATGGATTCCTCCCCGTACATCAATCGGCTGCTCAACGAGAGATTGCATAGTCTCAACCCAAATCTGACAGTCCTCCTGGGCAACATGGTGAAGTTTGGAACTCAGGAATCTGAATGGCTACTATTTATGCAATCGCAGGGGGTGTTCAACTATTTTCGAAAAAATCCTGCTGTTGCACTTCCGGGTTTTAAAGAATCTAAGGGGTCTGCCTTCTTTTCAAATCGCCCCCGTTACTTCTATTCCCTGGTGTTTTCTGACTCCCAAGTTCTTTCTCGACACAACAATAACAGTAACAGCAGCAACAGCAAGGCCCACTATAGCACAGAGGTAGCCAAGAGTACGCAACCCATATTGCATCGACGCACACACTCATACACCCCCAAGACCGTCAGTTCTAAGCCACAGCCATATTACACAGACGATGATATGAAGTATATACCAGAGCATCTGCGCGAATACTATCATGATGAGCAAGTGATATTGGAGCAACAGGAGACAGTGGGCGAGTACAAATACTATATAACCGGTGATATGGCCCTCGTCCTCTTGGATTCGATGCAAGAAACCAAGCGTGCACACAAATATAAGGTCCGGCTTGGCTCATTTTTGACGGTTGAGCAGGTCAATTGGTTAGTTTCAATCCTGGAGACCGATGCTGTGAAACGGGTATCACATGTGGTCTTGTTTGTGCAGGCACCTCTTTATAGCACAGCTGAATTCAGCGGGGTAACACTGCTTGCAGAGTTACTCGAGCCGATTATTTGTACATATAGGATCTCTGCTGTCTTTGCTGCAGATTCACGTATTTATGAACTCTATCATGATAGCAACACCTGTAGTACATATGGGGTCAACCACACCTTCCTTCACGTAACAGTTGGTAGCGGAGGCTCGCCGCCTGCGTCCATGCTATCCCTCTTTCTGGGGAAGCGGCGCTGGAATGCACTGAGCTACTCTGCCAACTCCTCTGGAGAGGATCCAGAGCCTGCCAACGGCCTGCGTACCAGGGTGTATGCAAGGTCAGGGTTTACATATGCGACACTGGCTCTTACTACGGATCATGCATTAGTGGTTACCGCGTACGATATCACCACAGGAAAAGAGGTCAGCAACTTTCAGCTATCCGTGCAGAAGCGATGACTTGCTATCACCACTATTGCACACCCACAGACCCCTTAGAGATCCATCTCACTTGTATTCTTTTATCTTGTCCAACAGCATATTGAATTTGGCGTTTATTTCTTTCTCTCTAATGTTTTCACTCAAGCTCTTCTTCAGCCATGTGCGGTTTTGATGAGCCAGAGCTTGTTCGCAAGACTTCGTCTCCTGCTCTTCTAATCTCACTGCCAATTTTAGATGTTGCATCTCCTGTTTTTCAAGCTCCCTCTCCTGTTGTCTGGCCATTTTCTTGAAGTGCATATCTCTGTCGTACTCTTGCTTGAGTGCAACAGCCTCTTCTTTCTTACGAGCAATGTAGCTAAGTTGGGCATTGTGAATATCTTTCCTTATCGCACGGGCCTCCTCTCTGTCTCTGTCTTGCTGCTCCTTTTCCTCCATAGCTCTTTGGCCACGTTCATGCCTCGCCTCGTCATCAGCGTCTTTTAGAAATTCTTTCACCCTTATCTTATGTGCCCGCAGTATATTAATTTTATCCTCTGGGCCTGCGTAGCAATCCATCATCCTCTCAGCAGCCTTCTCCGATATTTTTGCCTGCCGCTTGCTCTCAATTAAAGAATCTACGAATTCTTGGTTTTTAATTGCTTCGAGTCTCCGCTGCTCGGCCTCCTGGGCGGCTCGTAACTTCATTTCGTTCATGTATTCATGTGCTTTTCTGCTCTCCTCCTCCTTCTCTGCCTGTTTAATGGAATCTTGAACCTTCCTTATTTCATCTTCCTGTTTTTTAAATTCTTCTACTTCACGTTGGTAGTCAGCCTTCTTCTTTAGCTCTTTTTCACTATCAGCTGCACGCTCAGTATAGATCTCTGTTAATATATCTTTTATCTCTTGCCTTTCTTGCTTGAGTCTCTCCTGCTTTTCTTCGTCGGCTTTGCGTTTATTGTCCGCAATGGTCTCCAGCTGCAATCTGGCCGCTTCTGTGTCTGGACGATGAGTTTGCCGAAGGTACATGGTGTTCCGTTTGTTGAACAGGCCTCTTGCTTCCTTCTCTGTTGACTCTAGGAGAGGCAAGAGGGCAGCCTTTTCATCGATACTCATGGAGTAGTCAACTACTGCTACTGTGTTATTCGTCAATAGTTTAACGAGGGCATCTGCTTTTATGGCAGATGAAGCGCTAGTAGACATCGATTTGGTATCAGATGGTAGAAAAGGCTCCACATTAGACTCTGAGACAATAGGGTCTCTACCACCAGACTGGGGGCTCATGATGTGTAGTGGGGTCGTAGATAAGCGCATAACCTTGTAGGTCTGTGGTGTCTGGGCGGTTAGCTCAGCGTTACTGACCCGTGATCCCGAGAGCGAAGCAAGGAGCGATACGGGCTGCGACGGGCGTAATCTGCCAGGAGTTTGTGTAGATTGCGATGCTATCGGCAAAATGGGCTCAGCAGGCACGGTTATACCTAGATGATCTAGAACATTAAAAGCCATCTGAATTTTAGTGAATTTCCACCTCAAGACCTTAAGCAAGGACCTTAAAGCAGATGCCTTGATTACATTAGTAGCTTTAGACTCAATAAGAATTCAGTAAGGATTTACTAATAAAGACGATTACGAAGTGACTGGCTTCAGTGATCCGATTACCTTTTGGACAGCAAGGACAGTCTGCACGAGGTCGCTGACGACATAGCCACAGGCCATGGCTCTGTGCTCACTTCCAATAAGCTCTGTCACATCTATACCCAAGAGAAGGTTAATTGTCTCCTGCACAAGGACCAAGATTTCCGGGTCCACATCTGCTTCTCTTTCCTCAAGGTGAGAAATAATGTGGCGAATTTCCTCTTCAAGAATCTGAAGAGCGGCCGAATATTGCCTAATCTGCATAGGAAAGGTGGAACTTCCTGTGTGAGACGTTATTGCTCCAGTAGAGACGGAGTTATCTGTGGCAGAGTCCCCGCTCAAAACGACCCGCTCAACGTCTGAAACCATGACCTTTGATGCAATAAGGTGTGCAGATATCACCCCATTGACTGTAGCGAAGGCGTATGCACGAATGCACGGTCTGTAAACATCGATGTCCGAACTGAGCTCAGTGCAATCGACACACAGTAGAACCTTTGTGTGATCATTCTTAAACCCTAGGTGCTCGTGGATGACCATATCTGCAACCTGAATGGCAGTCCCACTTGTGTACCAACCCACCACACCCTCGAAGTGGTAGACGCGTTGGTAGAGAGACAGCATCTTCTTCTGGTACAGCATGTCTATATAAAATACGCCATCCTGCCCGCGAGCTTCAGAAAATGGAACGGGAAAGCTCGTTGTTACCCGCACCGTTCCCTCTGAACAGGTGCCAATTAAACAGCCCAACACTCGGCGGTTTTCCGGTCCACCATCTGCAAGTATTCGCCGACGGTGATCTGCGACGGATAAGATGACTGTTGGGCTGACCTGGACCTCAAGCTGAGCCATAGCAAACTCCTAGTTTAATTAAAACCCTGTTACCCTGTTTCAATCAGGCATCATCAACAGCTCCCATCAATCCGCTGGAAGCCCTCTGTGCTGCTTCATCTGTGTATGCTCTGTGGTAGTGGTGTCGTGGACTTGCGCAGACGCTAGACAACGTGCTAATTTTCGGTCTTTTTGTACGTTGATGGGAGATGTACCCACAGAGTAACACTCCTAACATTATTACCTGTTAGGTACACTGATCGAAATTGACCGGGGCGATCTGAGAGCATAAAGGTCAAAGCCATGGACACTATTCGGGATGTGAGTGGCTAACTTGCATGCATGCATGCATGCATGCACTTGTAGCTAAAACCGTGGGGCAAAGGTCACTTGGGCTCTTTCGTAACCTGTCTGTGACCGTAGCAAAGCGCTCGGGCTGATTAAAGAAATCTATGGTTGTGTTTACCTTTTTGGACACGTAAACGCACGCGCTTAATTACGTAGCCGGCCACGAAAGCAATTGAATGAAGGTAAATTTGACTTTGGGTAAATAAAGTTAAATGTGGCCCACCTTCGCTAAATATGAAGAGTACTATGACTTCACTGTCTCGCGTTCCATAGAAAAGGATTGCTACTGTTATACTTTAGCCCCATCATCACCCATTTCTGTTCCTGGTGTAATCAAATTTTTGAACTGCTACTTCTCCTCCGTGCTAATACTTTTCACTCACGTTAATACGTCAACTCGCGTACAGGCCACGGAGTGGATTCAGCTCATGCCAACTCCATACCTTGCCGAGGGAGGTACAGATGTCTTTACAATTTACCGCGAAGCCTTTCTTCCACCGTACAACAAAGAGAATGGTGCCTTAGATAAGCTAGAACTAATACATCTTCTTTGCAAGCAGCCATCGCCAATGTGGGCCAACACCTCATTGTCACAATTTACTCTGTTTCATCGCATATATACCGATGTGTCGCGCTTGACACAGCCGCAGGCGCCCCAAATGATGTTTCAAGACAGATGCGAGCGGAATGGTACGCTTGTTTCCAAGAAAATATATACATTATTAAATTCCATCGCAGGGGCTCAGTACTACCTAGAGCAAGTTCAGGAACTGGATAAGAACGCACAGGTAAGCCCCACTACCAACCCAACTTCCACAGATGTCATTTGCACAGACTTGTCTAAGTACTGAGTCCGGCCCACCATCAGTCGATGCTCTCAATGTAATTTTCTAACTTAACAAACGTAGGAAAATCGATATAAGAGGTTCTAGCATACATTTGATTGCAGATGTCCTCAATTATTGCCCTTTTCCTATCGTGGTCTCTCTCCGAAAGATCCTGTCTCCACAGCCTATGCCGAGAAGAGGCAACGGACTGGTCTGCTTGGCGTCCCTTCTCCACACGCGGAAAGTACCTGTAGCGCCAGCTGACTGCAAAAGCGTGAGGTGGCATGACATAAGGTGTTCCCGTGGTCGTGGTCGTGGAGGTGCTTGTGCTAACATTCATTCCGGGGGCGCGTGCATATCGTCCACCAGCCGAGCCCGGCGGGAGCTCAATTCGCATGTGCCCAGGGATTCTCACCCTCGCTGGGTGCATCAGCATAGCACCGTTCATTGGGTACTTATTTATCTGGGCCACATGGGGAGGGAGCTCTCGCCCAGCCTGCTCTACGGCCACCCGATTCATTCTTGCTGATAATGACGTGTCTACTTGCAGTGCCATAACACTAGGAGGAACGCATGTGCGGGCAGAATGAGTTTCATAGGAGTTCCTGTACTTTGCGGCGGCATCTGCCAGCAATCCCCCAAGGCAACCTCTTGTGATACGAGCATCCCTCTGCTCTCTACCGGGTCTCTCAATGAGCTTCTCCTCGTCTTCCTCAAGGAACCCGTAGAGCTCGTTATTGATAAAACCAGAATCTACGCCAAAATCGGGCAACATTGCGGTAAGGAGCTCTTCTGACATGTTAGATGTAAGACCACTACTCTCTATTAACTTGGAATATTCGCCACCTTCCAGTTTGAGATTAGAGTAACTACTTGCACTTCGTATTATAGCGTTTTGTAGATTGGCTGAGTTGATAAAGGGATAGCGCCCCTGATTATAGCTAACGGGACCCTGCATCTGCCCTGGATGCTGAGCATTTGGGACGGTACCTATCCGGCTTAACGAGGACTTTATTAGTGTGTCACATATAGTGTTATTTAGAGTGTCTCGGAATAATAGCACGTGACTAGATTGAGAGCCATCTCCCTTATATGTATGGTCTAAGATCGCTCCAGATAGGATATCTCGCTGAGCCTGAGTGAATGTGTACTTCCCATAAACGCGTGAAGGAGACGTAGCCGCAAGACAAACCCGGGTGTTGAACTGTCTTGCGACCTCTGCTTCTCCTAGTTCAGTAAGGGAGCCTCCTAGATTAGCGTAGAAAGCCAGAATTGCAATCGCCTGACTAAACTGGACGTAGTTGTCCCTCAGCTCCTCGTCAGTACCTCTAAGTACATATTTATCGTTAGTAAAATTCTGCTTCCAGAGAATAATATTTGCGTACTGCTGAAATGCATGCAGACAGGTGACAGGTGAAAAGTCTCTGTGCTTAAGTCGTGACGAAACGGCGATGAAGTTGAAGCTGTTCTCTCTTGTTAGGTCAACGATTTCCACTAGCTGCGCGAAGGACCAGCGAGGGAAGTCGTTTATATGCAATAAGTAGGAATAGTAGCGCTCTTCCGATAAAAGGGGGAATGGAGGAATAGTAAGGCTTTTGATTGTGCTCCTGTAGCGATTAACCAGGCTCTTGCCGCTTTCGTTTGCGAAGGGTGTCAGTAGTGCCACCGGAGGGATGTATCGATGGTCGCTTGCAGTTGGATGTACATCAGAGAGCTGCCCTGTTACTAAAACCTTGGTGGCTGGTTTAATATAATGCTGAAGAGATGCAAATGGATGATTGGAGGCCCTGGGTTCATTGTTGTTGCTCATGAAAAGTTACTTTAGATCTGGAAGTTTAAATTTGGAAGCTCTATTGTTGGCATTACCGGTGAGTTCATCATGAGGCCAACTCCTAGTTCTTCCAAGAACACTACAACGCCTCAGGGACCGGGAGATCTCTCTGCAAGTTCTTCTAATTCCGTTCGCCCGTCGCATAGGACGCAGTTGATACACAGTTCAAAGGGAACCAGTGAGAATGCTACCAATGATAATCTAATACGTTTGACACAAGAAAATCTATATTTACGGACGAGACTAGAGCAAAGCAAGGTCTTATTACGGGATATCACCAATGCAGCAAAGATTAATAATAGCCAGTTGGAGTTAATGAAGACCTATAAAGAACAGTATGAGGGAATGTCCAAGCGTTTAGCAGATGTAGAAGCAGCGTACTTAGCAGATGCCGAACGGCTCCAGCAACTCTTGGCTGACAATCAAGTATTACAGCGTCAAATTGGAGAACTAACTGTGGTAAACAATGCCTACTGTGAAGCCTTGACAGGCCTTCAGAGTATGCACGGGGAGATGGTTGAGACCCATACAAAGGCTGTCACTTCCAATCCAACCCTGGCTTTGTCAACAGATTATACTGCACTTAATAATGCACTTAAGAAAGACGTCCAAAAACAGCTGCTAGCAGGCATTGAGTCTAGCTTAATGCAGCTAATATCAAAGCACGATCCTTCTACCGCAAACGCCGGACGTGGAACGTCTAGAAGCATAATATCTAAATCTAAATCCAAATCAAATAGTACAATTAACAATTTACAAATAAAATTAGACAGATTGGCAGTAAAATCTAGGTCGCGAAGCAGCTCTTATGGCGCTCATAAAAGGAAGGAATCTGGAAAAGTCGCAAGAACAGCCAGTAGCGGAGCTAAGCGAGCTCGTAGCACGGGCGGCTCTGGAACTGCTTCTACAAAGGTCACTCTTGATCAAGTTACTAGGTTAACATTTAAAGAAGCGGAGACACCGCGACAAAATATTGAGCCAAGACCATCGTTGTCCGAGTATCCGTACAGAGATTCCTCTCATGTATCTTCAGAACTGGAGGGATCTAGGGTCCCCGACAATAGCTTTACAGCACGAGATGTGGGCACAATAGAAAGCGGGGGATGTACGCCTTCCTTTTCTACTAAGGGTGCTCAGTCGAGTCAAGTAACCCCTGGTACAAGCAATCCTCAACCGAAGCGGTCCACCACACTTAGTGACACCCTTCAAGGAGGCGATGTTTATGGGAGTACTGATAACGTTGCCTTTGTGTCGGTCAACACATCACTAGTTAATGAGAAAATAGACCATGCAGAGCAAGGACTGCACCAAGGAGTAGTAGCTCCTGGGCACATCTCCGAATTTTATAAGCAGCATATCCGGACAGTTACTGAGCCTCTACTGCAAAGCATTGCTGGCCTAGAACATGATAATAAAACACTACAAGTTGTAGTGGAATCTAAGGACAAGGAGATATGCATGTTAAAGGAAATGTTAGCTAGATTATATGCTAAGCCAGAAGGCATACAACCAGGTTCAATTGCTCCAGCATTTTCAGAATCATCGTCCACTATAGGCAGTAGTGCTGAATATTCTAATCGTTTGTCTAATAATAGCACATCCTATTCGCATACAGATAGAGGACTCAAAGACATGGAATCCATTGGTATGTGTACAGGGAGCGGACTTAATACGAGTAACACTAGTTTAAGATGCAAGGATCTAAACACATCTAAGGATGCGCTAGGCTCTAGCTCTCCTCGTAAAGACTACAAAATAGCGTCATCTGGGGACTATGCCGTGTTGAGCGATGTTGAACGGGTGCGCAGCATTTTGCAAGACGTGGAGAAGATGCAGCAACAAATAGTTTCTGAAACGCCGAGCTCTTGAAGTCACAAACAGTCGCATTGAGCATTGGGACTCTTTTATCCGGTGCCAATATAACTTAACCACGTATGACCTCTGAGTGACCCCTTGTGCCTCGAAGGTTTCAAGTTTTGTAAATTGTTATCTTGCTTGCTAATCATATCAACTCAATCCTATCTATCCAAAAATTAAAACGGAACAATGTCTGAAGCGAGCCCTCAGGGTATCCAAGTAGAAAATCTGAGAGCCACCCTTGCTGACGACCTAATTCCTAATGAGCTGCGGGACACATTTAATGGAAAGCTGCACTTTTACCAAAAGGAGACAGTCAACTTTCTAATTTTACGCTACAATGAATATATGCGCAATTTAGACAACCCAGACATTAAGTCAACTCAGCAACACATCAAGAAGCTCACTGGGTTCATCGTAGGGCATGAAATGGGTCTTGGAAAGACGGTTATGGTACTGTTTTTCTTGCGCTGCATAATCAAGCATCCACACCCTGTGATGCGTCCCCAGCGCATTGTCATTGTAGTGCAGAAAGTACTAATCCCGCAATGGAAGCAGGAGATAAGCAGATGGTGCCAAGCAATTCCGCTTTATACATATCACGGAAGCCATCAGCAGCGCAGACAAAAGCTTATGCGTGCGAAAAATGAGCGCGTATGCATCATCTTGACAACGTACGCAATGATAAGTAACGATGGGGAATACATTATGAGTGTTTTGAAAGATACAAACCCATCTTACTCCAGCCTTCTCCCATCCGTAGCTTCTGACTCGTCTAGTAGCACTTCTATTGATTCCATTTCTGCACAACCTATAACAGCTGTGACTCCTAACGCTATAGGCAATGCCGAAACAGGATCTACTGATCAAGTGGACCAAGAGCTTTCCAGCTCCAGTAGCTTCCTCGACCCAGTGTCTGAGTTCTCTTGGATGATAAAGAAGCGATCAGAGACTCCTGGGAAAAGCGCTGCGGCAGAGGCTGCACATCGTTTAAAGCACCTTTCTCTTCAGAGTCCATCTGAGCCCAAACCAAAGCATAATAACACTAACGAAATCATCCATCCTTCTTCACAACTGCCCACTCTCCCTGCCTCACAGGCTCAAACAACAAATAGCACTTCAGTCCAGGGTAATGATAGCAATCCAGAAAATCTCATGTATCTTGCTCCTCCTCCATCCAGCAAGCTTCCAAAGCATTGTATAGACATCCTTATTATGGACGAGGCGACCGCCATTAAGAATACTGCTACTAAGATATCACGGGGGTTGAAGAGTATAGACGCAGGCTTTAAGCTAGCGCTGACCGGCACACCTGTGATCAACAACCTGGGTGAGCTTTGGGCAATCGCCGATTATATTAATCCTGGATACTTTGGAAATCGAACTCAATTCGATAAAAATATTGCTAAACCCATTAATACTGGCGAGCTTCAGGACGCCACGGCGCGCGAGAGGTTCATTGCACAAAAGGTACGACGGGCTCTTAAAGCTAAGCTTTACCCCATCCTCATTCGCCGCACAACTGCAGATCTTGGGTCCTTAGACGTCAACAAGATAACCATTACGTTCTGGATCCCACTTAACGAAGTCCAGTTTATCCTGTACGGTTCTGCACTTAGAGCAAAAGCTTTCCAGGAGATTTATTGCAACTCATCCAACTACACAAAGATGATTTATTTGCTGCATCTCTTGCGTAAAGTGTGCGACAATCCTTGTGAGCTATCCACAGAGGACGCTGGTTTCTTTAAGGGTAACTTAGAAAAGGCAATCCTTAATATAAAGCAAAAAGCAACGCAACCACAGGCCCGCGATGGCGACTACCTGCAGATTCTAGAAGACCTACAGATATCTAAGGCATCAGACCAAGATCTTCCTCAGCAAGACCCTCCACGCTTGGCTAGATCAAGTTCCGCTAATGATACTGATATTCCTCTTATCAATGGTCAGCCTACCTTGTCTCACGACATGGAACACGTCAAAAGAACCGGTGAGATGGATGCAGTAGATACACCTGAACGAGCTGGTCTCAATGAAGAAGATAGTAGCGACAATGAGCAGGACGCCCAAGAATGGGCATTGGCGCGCTCATTTGATGAATACATCCACAAATCCCCAGATCACTACGACCTTACGGTTCGGAGTATCACCGCTCTCTCTAGCAAGTATTCACTTTTCATGGAACTAATTACTCATATCAAGAACAACAACCATCGTGCACTCATTTTTTGCGACTACCAGATAATATTCAGCATGCTGGAGCACCTACTGTCCCATAATGATATTCCATATTTACGTCTTGACGGCACGATAGCCGATGTTTCTGAACGTGATAGGATCTGCAAAAGCTTCAACGCAAACAAAAGGTACACCGCTCTTCTCATCTCAATTAAGCTGGGCTCCATGGGTCTTAATCTTACTGGAGCAAATAGGGTAATTCTGTTTGCCCCTGCGTGGAGCCTGCAAGTAGAAGAGCAAGCGATAGCTCGAGCCTATCGAATGGGACAGAAACACAATGTGGTAGTCTACAAGCTGGCCTGCATCAACACATTGGAGGAGAAGATGGTGGTGCGCCAACTGCAAAAGGCCGGTATAGCTAATGTAACACTCGACGATGAGAAACACAGATCTGTAATCAAGAAAACTGATTTGGGCAATCTATTTGAGTTCAGCCCTAGCAAAAGATTGGAAGGGCAGTTGCCAGAGAATATTAAACATCACGCAACATCAGAACATGTGCGGTGGACGATTCAACAGGCGCTTGGGTCATCATGGTGCGGTGACGAACAAACAGAAGCGGATAAGGAGTTGGAATTTGTGAACTCTTTAATCACTAGGGACTTTTGTATCGATGTGTCAGTGCTTGATTATCTACACAGTAAAGCGAACATAGACAAGGAGATGGATATCTCCGAGCAGGCATCGTCGCAGCTGGGAGCATCAGACTTTGATAGAATCTTATCCGTGGGGCTAGAAGCGTCTTCCAAGCCGGAAGAAGATAACTCAGGAGGAGAAAACCATGCGAACCTGGTGTTCATTTATATTGAGTCTCATCGTACTAACTATTTCCGAAGTATCATGGTAGCAATCTTCACTTATTGTAAAGTTCGACCATCAAATCTTGATGACGCGCTGAATGCGTACTCTAAACGATTGCGTGATAGCATATACACTATGAAAAAGAACAGCAATCACACCAGGACTTACATACCCAGACCATTTGTTCCATTTGTGAATCCAAAGAACCTCGCCCACGTTGCCGAGTGGCAGTGCTACCTCGCGTGGGCAGTTCTGAGGGCATCTATTCACACAGCCGACGCAGAAGCTTTCCCACCCGAACTTCAGGACTTCAAAATAACATCGCGTGAGAGACTAGCGTTCGCAACATCCGACCCTAAGATTCAAGAACTGTATGCCTACTTTAACTTTCAGCTTAATAGTATCATTTCTCACTTCACAATTGAAATAAAAGGGAGCCTGATTGCAGAGATGCCAGACATTTGCGAGATTTGCAGCACAAACACCGTGGAGGAATACGTCATTTACCTGCACAATCTGGTTGTCAGTAGAATCAAGCTCCTAATGAGCAATAAGAGTACCTTTAGACCCACTCCCACTTATCCTGCAACGCTGAACATAATATGCTCTTTGTGTCAAGCCAATAAAATACCTTTAGCAACTCTAATTGCAGCATATGACAATCCGCAGAATTGGATCAATTCAAGGTTCAAGCAAGCGCCTCAGATAGAAAAGGAGAAAAAGAAGATTCCATTACTCTGGGGCCCGATGGCAAATGAGTTTGAGAAAGTACAGAAGTCTACGCTGACTAAACTGCTACAGAAGATGTATGGTCATATCAATTACGCTATCCTTGACACATGCCTACTTGATTCTAAACCATTGGATCCAGCGGGTCAGGCAACAACTAATACCATATCATTAAGCGACGTCACAACGTGCTTTGAAGATGAGATAGTTATCATGCAAGCAAACGACACCTTCAGCAAGATACTGAGTCAGTACCGCTTGATGAGCAACGAGGTTAGGGCAGTAATTCTTCAGGATACTTATCAGAAGCTATGCCACTATCAGACATTACTGCCAGACAATGCTCATCACATAGCTCCCGCCCAATTTACTAACCTCATCGCTGTGTCCGCGCCGAATGCACCTCAGCATACCTACGAACCTGAGTCCAATGTTAGTGTTAGAGAGAAATTGCAGACTGAGGCACAGCCCAGTGGTTCTAACGCGAAAGGCTACGAAGACGAGGAATCAATTGATATACTTGCGTGAGAACCCATTGCGCAAGTCCACACTGAGCTATCTTTTGATGCCCTTGGCTCTACCTTCTACAGTACCCGGTGTCACAAAATTGAAAACCTTTTCCGAAATCTTAGCATCTTCGAATAATAACAGTAGTGAGGATGGAGTGGCAAGTCTCCCCTGCAGCTGCTTGGCAACTTCTTCCACTTCATTCGTAGGCAAGTAGCGCCGAAGATTCTGCACGAACTTGGAAGTGCCAAGGCAAGAGCACAGGGCAGCGTAATCCAGTTTCAATCTTGCTCCATCTGCACCAAGAGTGCTGCAATCTCCCAGGACATGTTGTGCATGCGCCTTATCTCCTCTAAAGAGCTTCAAGCTGGATAGCTGGGCTGTTGTTGAACGCTCAGTTAGAGATAGGGACAAGCAGTTCCCCACAATTCTTGCAAACTCCATCAGCTCTGTTTCTCTACCTGTCTCGTGTCCGAATCTAATCTTTATGCAGCAACTCACGAAATCAATCAGATCGGGCCCTTCCTCCGTAAGAATATTCTCTATCTCGGGAGAAAGGCTGCCTGAGTGGTCATCGGAATTAGGTTCAAGCAGATTGTGTAGATGGAGATTGACTTTGGCTCTGAAAGCGTCAGCGGTAGTGTTCGGCGATAACGTATACCCACAAACCATACAGTACGAAAGAAAAAGATCATAAATTTGTTTCTTATATGTTTGAATGAAGAGCATGCGCATTCTGAACAAATAAACATTGTGTTTTTGCGAGGCATCTTGTCTGGGCGGTTTTGGGTTGGAGGGGCTAGAGTTATTATTTGTGCGAGGGTTGTCATGCTCTAGTGGAAGAAAGAACACAACTCGAGATATGATTGATTCTAGAAGAGTCAACCCCAGTGAATACACATCTCCCAAAGCATCAAGAGACGTGGGTGTTACACTTTCTTGTCGGTCAAAGAGGGAACCATTAGTAGAAAGGAAATCATAGCATCTGAGCGTCGATTCAGGCGCCCTGTACACGAGGGTGCACGTTGTTCCCGTTGAAATGGGGGAGTAGTGATCGGCGGAAAGAACCTCAGGCTCAGCGTAGTTAGCAGAAGCACTTGGAGAGGAATAAACACAATATTTAGCCATCCCCAGGTCTGCAAGAAAAGCAGAGCCGTTGCCATCCAGAAGAATGTTCGACGGCTTGACGTCTCTGTGTGCGATCCCCAGTCTGTGAAGGTTCCGAAGACAAGTAACCACAGAGTGCCAGAAGAACACCATCTGGGACAGTGTAAAGCTGCTTACTAAGTTGTACGTTCGGAACCTTTCACAGTCGTGTGGATAGAGCGGAGTGACAAGGCAGATTAGCGAAGAGCAGTTCTCGAAATGCTTCGCAAAGGGTAAGTCTTTCGTTGTATCATCGAGTCGTAATTTGAAGCTCGAGATAAGATCGATTGCAGGATTCTTAAAAGGCTGGCCGCCAGCCGTAACCTGAGCCAGGTATGCGAGTAAGGTCACTTCACGCAGCACCAGATGGTTGAAAACGCCTGAAATGCCGACAGCCTTGAGAGCAACAGGTTTGCCCGTCTCCTTATCTATCCCCTTGTAGATCGTGCCGTACGCGCCTGCTCCGAGGTATCCTGCGGGTGACCAGTCGATCGCATACCGCTCGAGGGAAGAGGGGATGGTCGGCTGTGGCTCGGTCATCAAAACAAGGGAAAATGCCGGGACCGGGAATCGAACCCGGATTGTTCGGACCACAACCGAACGTACTAGCCTTTATACGATCCCAGCCCGGCGGGCGCGACAAGCTAAAACCAACGGAAATAATCGTATTGGCAGATGGTTTGTGGTGTGAAATGCGTTCGGCTATGGAACAGCTGATCCAATCCACACTACAGACATCATGTGATACTTGCACGAGACTTCCACGTACTATAGCTCCCCACATAGGGCGGGCTCCCAAGGCTGCAACAGGGCCACTAGGGGTCTGCTCAGGGAGCCGCAAGGCAGCACCAGCAGACTGCTCCCAACGGTGGTGCTCTTTACGCTATCGAGACGGAGGCGCCGTTCTTTGTCCTTTGCCTCTGCTGCTGTGTTAGGGCTTGATCTACCGGGCCTGGCAGGAATAGCGGTACCAGAGGGTGCTACCATAGCAGGCGTCCCGGTACGTCTTCCGGCAGGATGGATTGCCATACAATGGAGAGTGTGGTTGAAAACCCTGCTGCTTACGGGAAACCAGTTCGGACCGCCTGCTGTCTTGGTGTGGCCGTGCTGCCCAGCTGGATCAAGGTAGTAGTCCCACTGAAACCCGTCACCTTCACGGACACCTTCTACCCTCTTGCAAGATAGGAACTGAGTGCTGAGGACAGTACAGAGGTCACAGTCCCAAACACAATACTCGCGCAGCGTGCTGGACGACAGCCTGCTGGACTACCCGTTCGACACCAGCAACAAGCTTGTCGGGGCGAGCAGGGCTCTCGACGCCGACGCCGCCTCGACGGTCGTCGTCAACGGGAAGCTGACGTCCATCGAGGCCAGAACCCTGTTGGGGCGGGTGCACACCATGGAGCTTCTGCTCGACCAGTCGGCCCAGACGATCGGGGAGCTGCGCCGCGAAAACGCCAGGCTGCAGCGGGTCATCCTGTCCAAGGACGCATCGACACCCAATCACAATGAAGAGTGGATCAAGAATATTCACTTCAAGATTTTGCGGAGAGTGGCCACTAGTTGCCTGAGGTTCCTCCTTTCCCTTCGAGGATGGCTATTATCTTCTTTTGACCCAACTGCCTGGCTATGTCAAGGGCAGTCCTTTTACCATTATCCCTCATGTCTCCCTCCTCTTCCAGGAGCAGCCTGGCACACTCTGTGTGGCCATTCTGTGCTGCAAACATAAGGGCTGTTAGTCCACCACTCCCTTGCATTCCCCCCTCCTTCTCTAGGAGCAACTCGACACACTTCTGATGGCCGTTCCCTGCTGCCCACATGAGAGCAGTCTTACCATTGCTATCCTTCATGCACCCTTCCCTCTCTAAAAGCAGCTCGACGCACTCTATCTTATTGTTCTGTGCTGCAAACATAAGGGCCGTCATTCCACCACTCCCCTGCATACGCCCTTCCTTTTCTAAGAGTAGCTTGACACATTCTATGTGACCTTCCTTTGCTGCAGCTATGAGGGCGGTCCATCCGTCAGTCCTCTGCATGCGCCCCTCCTTCTCTAGGAGTAGCTCGACGCACTCTGGGTAGCCTTTCTCTGCTGCCCTCATCAGTGCTGTTTCCCTGTAGGTGAGCCAGTGGCCTATCTTGACATCCCCCGTCGCTGTCTGTTTCCCCTGGAGGGGAGCAAGTGCCTTCACAGTCGTCAAATCGTTTCTGTCGACAGCTCTCATGAGCGCTGTGACTCCATCCTTATCGGTGGGATCGAGGAGCTCCACGATGTCCTTGCACCCCGCCCTCGCTGCTATGATCAGTGCAGTGTCTCCATTGCTATTCTTTTTGTCCTTGTCAGAAAGGTACTTCTTGACTGTTGTGACGTCCCCATCCGCAGCAGCGCGCATGAGTGGGGTCCAGGATGAGACATCATGCTCACTCGTGCGCTTACAGAGCAGTCTGGCACAGTCTGGATGACCATATCTCTCGGCTACATCGAGGGCGGTCTCTCTATCATTATTTTTTATATCCTTTTCTCTCTCTAGGAGTAGCCTAGCACAGTCTGAGTGGCCATATTTTGCTGCACACATAAGAGCGGTCCATCCGCCACTATCTCTCATGCCTCCCTCCTTCTCCAGGAGTAGCTTAATACATTCTAGGTGACCTTTCTCTGCTGCAAACATGAGGGCTGTCATTCCATCACCCCTCTGCATGCACCCCTCTTTCTTTAGGAGCAATCTGGCACAGCCTGTGTGCCCGCTGTGTGCTGCAAACATAAGGGCGGTCCATCCATTATTATCTCTCAGACCTCCCTCCTTTTCTAGGAACAACTCGACGCACTCCGGGTGGCCATACCATGCTGCAAACATGAGGGCGGTCCATCCACTACTATCCCTGAGACCCTCCTCCTTCTCTAGAAGCACCTTCGCTGCCCCTGCATGACCACGTGCTGCTGCCCTCATCAGTGCTGTTCCCTTACAGATGGGCCAGCGGCCTATCTTGACATCCCCCGTCGCTTTCTGTCCCCCCTGAAGGGGGAGGAGGGCCCGCACGGCCGGTAGGTTGCTTCTATCAGCAGCTCTCATGAGGGCAGTGACTCCATCCTCGTCGGTGGGATCGAGGAGCTCCACTATGTTCTTGTGCCCTGCCCTTGCAGCTATGATTAGCGCAGTCTCGCCGTCATTGTTCTTCTTATCTTTGTCCGAAAGGTACTTCTTGACCGCCTCAACGTTTCCGTCTGCAGCAGCGTTCATGAGGGGCGTCCAAAACGAACCTTCATGCTTGCGAAGAAGCAAAGCTATATCTGTGTGCTTGTTCATGAGGGCATGCATAACGGCGGTGTTTCCGTCCTTATCCTTCATCTCCTTCTCGTGCTCGAAGAGGATCTCCACTGCTCCCTGGTGGCCCTGACGTGCAGCCCACATGAGTGCCGTCATCCCAGTGATATCTGCACGCCTCTTCTCATGGAGACTGCTCTTGATTGCATTGGTGTCCCCAAAGTATGCAGAGTAGATAAGGTTTGTCCAGCCTAAGGCATCACGCTCGCCTTTGCGCTCACAGAGCAATCTGACACAGCCTGTGTGGCCATTGTATGCTGCAAACATGAGAGCAGTCCACCCATTACTATCTCTCATGCCCCCCTCCTTTTCTAGAAGCAGTCTGGCACACTCTGTGTGGCCTTTCTCTGCCGCAAACATGAGGGCTGTCATTCCACCACTCTTCTGCATGCATCCTTCTTCTTCTAAGAGTAGCTTAACGCACTCTGTGTAACCATTTTGTGCTGCAAACATGAGGGCGGTCTTATCATTGCTATCCTTCATGCGCCCCTCCTTCTCCAGGAGTAGCTTAATACATTCTAGGTGGCCGTTCTGTGCTGCAAACATGAGGGCGGTCTTGCGGTTGCTATCCCTCACGCCGTTTTCTTCCTTCACAAGTAGCTCTACCACTCTTTCGTGCCCACGCACTGCAGCTATCATTAGAGCTGTTCCATCACGTATGACCCAGCGGCCTATCTTGACACTCCCCTTATTCGGTCCAAGCTGAGTAGGTTGATCATCAATAATCCTTTCCACTTCCTCCGCATTACCTTTGTAAGCAGCCCACATGAGGTCAGTTGCAAAATAGTCCCTCGTAAGAGCAAAAGTGCCAACTTCTTCGCCTTCAACTTCTCTAGCAGGAACGTCACTCAGCATTTTTTATTCCATCAAAGCTAAAATAGAGTAAATGATATAATGTCATTCCATGTATGATAGCATAACTATGCGCTTGCTCTTCTTTTCTTACTTTGCTAGTAATTATGTAACATATGGTGTTCACTGCGCCCATGACCCCGGCCTCTGTCCCTTCGTGCTGCAACTGACCGGGATCTTGTGACAGTCATGATCTCCGACGCCTTATGTTTACATCTGTGAGTCTTCTATGGTTGAGAAGAATGTCTGTACGAACAGTATGGGGCTCTCCCATGGTTCGCAGCTACACCCATTGCAGAATCTCCCTGAAAATAGCCTGCACCACTTCCCCGTCATCCTATCGGAGGAAAGATCAATCTCTTTGTTGCTAATATTTGCGGTGAGAAAGCCAAGCGCAAGGCTGTCGTGCATCGAAGTCCATTTCTGTAGACCGTAGCAAGCTCCCGCTTTGGTTTGAAAAGCTTCACTGAACCTGCTCTACAGCTGACCATCTAATGCATACTCTTCTATCTGTCTGAGCAGTAAATTGTAAGGTCAACTAAACCTCAGACATCTTCCTTTTCTAAAATTAGGATTATAGGCTTCATCATGATGGGTATGAGGTTATGACAGCAATCCTTTGACCTGGGAAGAAGAGTGACAGGGTATCTTGTTTATGAACGTGCTTGTTTATATATGAACGTCAAAAGACTGCCTAGCGCACGGAGAAACTTAAACCCGATTTGAGAATTTAGCCAAGTTCTGCAGTTTGCGAACCTAGCACGAGCCTGCAGTTCATGGGTGTCTATCCCCACAACCCCAAGTATCCAAGGAAGACCTCCTGTTACTAGATTTAAGTAGGATGCCTGGTAGTCCTTCCCTTGCAGCGCACGTTCGAGACAAGCCCGGAGATCTTCAGCTGCGCACGACTGCATTCGCCGGGCCTTCAGTAACTGAATAAGTGGCGCAATCCCTAATCGCACTTGTGATATCTCTTTGCCATCCCCACCGGCGATCTGTTCTCGAGCTCTCCACTCCAAGAGAACTCGCTTAATCACAATCAGGGAATACAGCTGTGCATCGTAGGACACTTGCCCGTCTGACAAGTATCGGGAGTTGTATTTATGCAGCTTTGGGTTGGCGAGTAGCTCCCTCACTTGCGCTGCAAGGGGAGATGCACACAGTGGGCAAGCCTCAACCTGCCCTGAGAGTTTCACAAGCGCCCGGAGACGCGCAGACGAAGAGAAGGAGAGGGACACTTCTATTTACTACTTCTATTTACTTAAACATAGATAAGGTCATCCAGGACCCGACCCTTTGCATACCCTGGCCGGCTAAGAATGTCACTGCCATCCTTGGTGGTGCACAGACCAACTGTGTTGTTTGCGGCAGCAACCGCTGAGGCGTAGGCGCCAAAGAGCGTCGCATGCGCCACACCATCACCAACGCCACGCGGAAGCGGCCGACCATGGCTGACAGCAGGTGACCCTGAACTCAGCCCCATGGTGCTATCGCGGGACATAGACGAGCGCGCAAGTGCAGAGTCCTCCAGAAAGCCTGCGGAGCCAGAGAAGATGGGCGCCTTGCCGGCTGAGTAGCTGAGGTAGTCTATGCTCTCAAAGTTGTCATAAACCGGCCTAGAAACGTCGCGCGAAGACTCCATGCAAGAGCGGATGCTTCTCACTGCGCGATCGTCGTGGTCCGACGACGAAAGGAATCTGCTAGTGGTGGTTAGCGAGTCGCTCAAAGCGAAGGCATGGTTCAGATCCTGCGGGTGCTTGACGCGCGAGTGCCTGCTGGCGGTCTCTGCAGCAGCCTGAATCCCGTTGAGGCGGCGAGCAGTCTCGATGCGAACAGAATCGTTCAGGGGCTCCTCGTGGTGTCTGAACTCCCTGCGGACGTAGGAAATTCCGGATCTGTGCTCAGGTCTGGGATCAGCGTAACAGTTAAAGGTTTGCTCGAAGTTCATTATTTTTATTTTGGTGTGGCGCGTAAAGGAGGCTCCTGTTTTGCGCGCGTTTTCTTTTGCGCATAAAAGAACGAATGGCTTTGCTGTGGACTATGGAGAAAAGAACCATTTGCAGTGGCGGGTTCGTGACTGTAAAGGTCTTTGACCAAGCCATTACAGGGTTTGATGTCCGCCACCCATGATAGTTCTTATTGCATCTCCATCGTTCATCCTTATGTAGCTAGTACCTTTTGAAGACGCCTGTTTGGCAGGTTCTCGCCTTTTCCCTCTGCAAGCAAGGAAGTATATGCAAAGCCCGCCTACGGTAAGAACTAGAAGAATAGGCACGATTACAGCCAGTGCTATCACGCTAGAGCTGGGGACGCACGTTATCCCATCAGAGCTCTTTTTAAATCCGTCCTTACAATTGCAGACATGCGTTCCAGTGTATGTTGATAGATCACAGACTCCACCCCCGCCGCAGACTTTCTCCGATTTAGACGACGCACCAAAGCATGCACTAGGCCAACACAGTCCCGTTGATGAATCAAGTCTATATGTATTTGCGCAACTACATTGCCATTCATCAGATCCTAAACTTGTCTCAAGACACTGCCCACCGATGCCACATGGGAGATTCCTTTCTCCACGCACCTCGATTGGACAACTAGGGTGCCAGCACTGAGCACCTAGTAAGAGGTAGCCGGCTTCGCATACGCACCCAAAAGAATCGGAGGATTCGTCGTATGAACATGTCCCCCGATTGCTGCACACAAGGCCGTTGTAGAAGCAGGACTCGTGTGCACAAACACTAGCTTTAGTGCCATTGGAGAAAACCTGCGTAGCTAGTTCAGTCATCGTATCACATTCAGTGCAGAACTCGCCAGTATATCCCTTGGGACACATGCAAACAGTACTCCCAGCAGACCTAGAATCTCGCCCTTTGCGGTGAGTTAACAAACTTATCGAGTCGTATTCAGCTTGTTTTAGCAGCCCCAATTGGAGGGCGTTGGAGGCGTCTATGCATACTCCACCATTTAAGCACTCGTTTCCTGGAGTAAGACAGTCACGTAGTGAGCACACATCACCCATTCTTCCCGGTCTACAATTGCATTTGGCAGACTCTCCGTCTTCGACACAAGTGCCATAACCGCTGCATGCAACACCTGCGTTATCTATTCCGCACGGATTCACGGCACAATCATTACCATAGAAAAACTTTGGGCATAGTTTGCAGACCATGTCACCAGTTGTTTCTATTACACAAACCCCTCCGTTGCATGCGTTGGGACTAATATCACAATTAAATGTCTCGCATGCAGATCCATAATGCCCCACCCTGCATTCGCACTGATAGATCGGCATTTCATTCTCCAACTTTGACCCAACAATACAGACTCCAGAGCCTGAACAGAGCCTTATATCACCGGTCTGGTAATCCTGCTCAACACCGCATGAGTTCAGGCCACAGTCCAGCCCGCTGAATCCCTCAAGACACTTGCAGTGCGACGTGCTAGAAATATAGGGAGACGTAGTGAAAAAGCACGTTCCCCCATTTAAGCACGAGGAGTCATTGACACAGTTGAATTCCTGGCAAAATACGCCAGTGAAGTGTGCTCTGCACTGACATTGGTACTCTCCTTCTTCGGTTTCCACGCATGTTCCTCCGGCGTTGCAAAGTATCCACTTGGGATTATCATATTCATCTATGTAATTATAATCGGCTTGGGCGCCACAGTATACATTTTCGCACTTAGGTCCAGAGAAGCCAGTCAAGCATCGACAGCCACCCGTTGTACATATCCCGCGCTCGTTGCATACTGTTTCATGGCTTCCATTAAAAGTCCTGCAATTCTCGTGATCTTCCTGTCCAACGTGTACATCACATATGGCGCCACTAAAGGAACTAAGGCATGTGCAGCTGAATTCGCTACCAGTATCGGAGGCGCTCCGCCTGCAAAGACCATTGCTCGAGCAGTAAGTGTATGGGATATTAGCCTCTGGATCGTCAAGGAGGGTTGGGTCAGTGCCTTCTTTGAGAGATACGCCACACCTGTTTATCTCACAGCTACTACCTTGTACCCCGAAGGGACACTCACACTTACCATTGTCATTGCAGCGCCCTATCGATGAGCAGTCCTTATAGGATGTGCATCCACTCGCTAAGACAACGGCGATGAGTACCCATGCTGGCAGATTTGGCAGCATAGATCTTTTTATTTTCTATCTAAAAAGAGTATGCGAAACACAGGTTTGCACTTGTATTAGTGCATTCGCATTAGTATCATATCATTGGTACCCCTTATTCTGCTTTAATCAGTTCTTTTAAGGTTAAGCCCTTGAGCAGTATCTTATCATATGCTTCGCCAGGATGGAAGAACCCCATTTCCACAAGGTCGCTGATGTAGATTCCTATGAGAGATGATGAAAATTGATGGGGAGTGATGATAGTACGTATGGTTCGTAGGCCCTTGTACTTGAACACAGGACTAAACGCAGGATCTGTGAGCATCCAAAGGCATCTACTAAGCCTAGTGAGAGGAGCAATTATCTTTTCTGTTATGTCAGCGTTGCTAATTCCTGCGCCTACTTGTTGGACCTTATTAAGGTGTGAAGGCTTAACAGCCATTAGAGCCAGGTTAAATAACACTGATAAAAGACAGTCGGAGTGAATCTCATTATTTAAAGGGTCAGCTCTGTAGCGGTCCCCGAGAGTTAGCACATTTTCTGTTAGACACTTTGTGAGAGGAAATGCTTCAAGAGGGAAGTCCAGAGCACCGTTTGAAATTAGAATGACGTCAAGCACTGCAGATATCTTTGGTATAAACATGAAAAGAAAAGATTGGAGGTCTTTTGAAAAGCGGTTAATTACTAAGCTTCCGGCGGCTTTATGGGCGGCCAAAATATCTGATAAGATAAGGTCGTATGAGCTGTCGTCAATGGTTACGTGAAACATTAGGTCATCAGTAACACTGATTAATATTGAATTGGGAAACAAAAACTGTTCTACAGCTCTAAGAATGTGGACAACGAAGCTTGTGATGCTATCTTGGTTGTCTAGCATCGTTTCTCCTGGGGCAGAAAACTTCAAAATGGAGTATAGACGGCATGAAACAGGGTGTCTGTTGTAAGATAAACCGGGAACAGCTGCATATGCCAAGAGCCCATTTCTCCTCCAATCTAAAGCTTCCTTTGAACAAGTAAGCACCTCCATCTCTTTTTATTTTTGTGAAGTCGGCTAACTATCTCTCCCTGCACTTCTACGAGTGCAGGTCTATGCCCTGAAAAAACAAAATCTCGAAATAGACAAAATCTGGAATTGAGACTTTATGGATTGCAAGACAGTGAACCTTTACACCACTAGCATGTCGGCAAACGAGCTTGCTGCGTGTCTTCGTGTAAAGGAGGTCAGCAGCTCCCACTCATCGCCTTATATAGGCAGGTATGTATCGTTACTTTCAGAGCCTAACCTTTCCCACAGAACGCGCCAGGATAATCCTTTTTTGACCCCCGTGCAACAAGTAGCTAAACAGATTGTGGAGCTACGGCCAGCTCCTGTCTCTGCTGTTGCGACTCTGTCGAATTCTGCGTTGTCTCGTCAGTCCGGTTATTCTTCTAATAAGCACTCGATGAATACTGTACTTTCTGCACGGAAAGAAACAGGTAAGCTAGCTGAGGGCTGTTCGCTAACGACCACTGGGCCATCATCTCGGGCAATTTCTAGTTACAAACCAGCAATCCGAAACCTATGTCCCCAACCAGAGTCACATCCTCGGGATTATAGTACGCTTAAGATAGTCAGCAGACTGCCAAGTGCCTCAGACCATGTTCTTCGACCAACCACAACGGCTACTGCGCCTTATCTACTTGCTCCCGGAGGACAGTATATTTCACAGTTAGTTATTTCTAGAAGTTCGTCGCAGCTCAACCGGCCATCAACAGGCTCTGGTTCTAGAGTACCTTCAATTCGTCCTGCCTCTTTCTCTATGTCAACCAGTAATAGCACGACATCGTGCGTCTCACAAACTTCCCAGGCTACACATAGTTCACTAGTACCACTTAATACGCTTGAGAACGACGAGCTAGATGCCCGTGAACGAGAATTAGAATTAGAGCTACAACGAATCCAAGTGGAGCGCCAAGCTCGAGCGGTAATTAAAGCATCAGCACAGCTACAGAAAGAACCACCTGATCAGACAAATAACCCCCTTATAGATTTACCCGTTCGACTATCCGTGCCAGCAGAAGCTGCGAAGAGTAGTGCATCTACACGAACCATAGTAGAATCAGCAAATATACACACAAACGATCCATTAGTAAGCTCCTTGACTGCGTTGTCAAGGTCTTCGTCTAGAAATGTGTTCTTGGAGTCATATGTAGCAGAGGAAACTGTACGCAGGTGTCTCCAGAGATCCAATATGACTGGGTCACAACCATTAGCCAGCCACAGTGGTGAAGACGTATGTTCCTCTCAAGCCAGCATCCTCACTGCTGTTCATTTAGAGCAAACAAACACAGAAGATCGAAGCAGCCCACAGGTGGCAGCATGCGCCCTAAAGAGATTGATTTCGGAGCTTCTGGAGCACCCCCGGGCAATGTCCCCAACTGCGGACCGTTCAGGGACATTCACGAAGCAAAGTGTGGAATCTCAGTCAGAATCTAGCAGTCCATATCTAAATACGTATTCAGCGCGAGACTATGTGACACACGAAGACGTCCTCTCTGTTTTTGACGAAGACAACTCTTTGAATTTTAATCGGTTTAAGTACCTAGCAAAGAAATTCTATGGACGTATAAGCAAAGCAAAACTCTGGTCCGTTGCAAAGGAGATAGACTTGATGGATAGCATAGACGAGAAGGTAGACTATTTGTATTCGTTCTTATTCAACAGGTGAACATAAACTGTCCGCCCTCTTTCGCACGTCTATTGAAGGTGTCTAAGAGGGTGAGAATCTTCATCTGCTCTAGCTCTATGTCGAGAAGAATGTGTTCTATTGATACGGGCTCGTCCGTCGCAGTGCCATCTCCAAAGACGAACGGGGCTCGTTCTCGTTTGCGCCCAGCCTTGAAGACGAACGGCGTGCTGGCCAAAAGGTTCGTAATGTCATATAAACGTCTTGTCTCTACTCCAGTCAGCTTATGCAGTTCATAAAAGGTTGCTTTTCCGCACCGCTGGAGCGCCTCAACAACCTTTCTGGTCATAGCATCGAGCCCCTCATGCGCTCCCTGGCGTTGGGGACGTGTGCTCGATATACATGGGTATGCTCTTTTTGCAAGTGGCTCCAACGATGATATTCCCTCAAAGACTTGGTGAGTAGCGCCCTCCCTGTTTGTGTTTGTTGTAGTTAGTGCACGTTTTGAACCAATCATACTAGCCATATCAGATGCCTTTTGCTGGAGATTGGTGTCCAGATAGGCTGGCGTCGCGGGTCCCGGATGTGGATATATGTCTGTTATCATTTCCTCATGCCAGTGCATCGGGAACTGCACCGAATGAGAGAAGGAGGGAGGTCTGAATTCGTTTGTACAGCCAAGTAAATTAGCTGGGAAGTGAGATTCACAGACTGCCGAAAACGCATACAGGTCATCACCGCCAACGGTGTGCTCAGATACATCTTGAATATAAGCCGGGGAGTCGCGGCCTGCAGATGGGCCGGGAGACTTGGTGGTCATTTGGTTTAATATAAAATGTCTCGAGAGGTGCCAAAGCTATGATAGTAACCCATTGCATATTAATGCGACACTTATGAAGATTTCAGTGGATACCTTTCTTTTAAAAATGGAAACCCAAAAGAATTAAAACCATTTTCTCTAATCCCGTGGATCAGTTGACCTGAAGGTGTGGGCGCCGGAATAGCTGTGGAATCTCCCTTATTATGGCCTTTCTGTGCTATAGTATCAGTGTTGGTCTTCTACCGCAGCTTTTTGTGTCTTTGCAAAGACTTACGAAGTCTACACAACTCAAGTAATCTATTGTATTAATCTACCAAGTAGTCAACTAATGAAATTATTCTATCGCCACTGAGAAGCTATACAATTGTGGGCAGATGTGTGTTCTGTTTCTCTTCTTTTTATCTACGTTCTGATTGAACCTGCTCTTTTGTTATCGAACTACTACACCTTAATGCAAGAACATTTTTTAATATCTGGTCTTTTGTGGCCATTAGTCGACGGGTATTTGGTCCTTATTAGTAGTTGCAGGAGACTATTGCCTCAGATTATGTTTATAGGGTGGATATAGATTGAAGTGAAAAAACCACTTTCAGAAGCAGAAGCCTGCAAGATAAAGAACTTCACTATCTTTGCAATTAGTCTAACGGACGGAAAAGATTTGAACAGTTGTTAAGAGCTTTTACATAACCCTCGTCACTGCTTAAGGCTTAACTATCAAGAAATTATGGTTTCTTCTCCATCCTGTTGCACCAGGGCATAACGACGCAGTAGTTTTGGAAACGGCTGCATATAGTTCCGCTTAAGTGACGCGATAGGCGCCTGCCAACGTTTGATCATTGTCTAAGTTCAGCTTCGTTTCCACATCGGCAAAGACTCCAGCAAATGGAAAAGAAAATGGACAGCACTGCAGATAATCTGATCATACGCCCAGACCACTTATCATCCACGCTGAGTATTTACGGTCCCTTGAGCCCGAGATACCCTTCCTCGCCATCACAGTATCTTCAGAAACAGATCCCCAGAGTGTCCTGTGCTGCTGATACTGCGTGTGCGTCGGTACTGCTGAAGCTTAAGTCCTCTCGGGTCATTAAGTTGTGGAGCCCTCAGGAGGAGGCCATGCTCATTTCCTTTTACGGTTATTTTCAGAGTAGCTGGAGTCTTTATCGTCCATACTTTGACCGTACAGTGTCGTCCATAAAGATGAAGTATCATAGCATCTCTAGAAACCGACGTAGTTTGGTCAGGAACGCTGCTACAACTTTCAAACCAGACGAGGATCGGGTGCAGTGCAGTGGACCATCCATACTTATGACAAACAGACTCGAGGCAATGAGGTACATTGAGCGTCTAGAAACCGTGGCTGCAGGTAATCCTGCGCTAGCTCTTCAATTGATGCGCATCTGTGGAACCTCCGCAGAATTAGACCAATTTACACAACAATTTGCATGTGATCTGCAAAGAGCAGATATGCACGAGGTCCTCAGCTCAATACCGCCTCTTCAGTCCGGTGGCGCACCAGCTGGCTTCGGTGCTGGTATCGCATATCGACAGGGGGCCCAGACTGACTTTACTTCTTATTCTGTCAATCAGTGCAGCACGTCACCAACAAACTACCCTGTAATAAGGGATCCTAGTGTATCTTTGTTCACAGCTGACTTTCTCTCGATGGATTCTGCCTATAATCCTGACCTGTGACATTTCTATACATTCATGCTTATCGCTGGGGCATCCATGGTGACCACGGTCTTATCTACGCCCTTCAATACCTCACCATTGATGATTATTTTGTTATTAGCGTTGTACTTCTGAATGGGTAAAAAGGGGGCTTCAAAGAGCATTGACAGACATGCGAGTAACGTGAAGAATACCATGCATTTTTCCGTAGCGAAGAATACTACGACACATATGAGAATTATAATCACAGTAAGAAGCCGCTTTGTGAGTACATTTTGGAGATATGCGAACAGTCTGTATGGTCTGCCCGTCAACAGAGTAAACGGTATTAGTGATAGAGTACTACAACAGAGGAGTGCGGCTGCATCGTACAGGATGTATCCTAGATAACCTGTCGCATTGACACTCGCTCCACTGAGATGAAACGGTGCTCTGATAATACTATACATGCACCGCAGTATTATGCTACCATACAACGCCACACAGACATTCGTTACTAGTTGCAATCTAGCCACATCACTAAGAGAAGACCCGCTTCCCCCCGTACCGAAGTACCCACCAATGGCACGCACACTAACAGGCGTACCACTGCTTGATCTAGAAGATCCTGGTGAAAGCTCAACTGCAGGAAGCAGAAGAGAGGTGAGGGACAAAAGAACGACAACAACCGGCGCATAGCTCCACATGGAAAGAAGCACACACGAAGTAGCGATAAATAGTCCCACATTGAGCCTCAGATATCGAAGTCCATTGGAAAGGCCGCCAATCCAATAGCATAGATATGTATCCCTCAGTTGAATGCTTCCATTAGGCTCCACAACAAACAAATCCCTAACAGTCCAGAGGCTATCTAACAAATCTGCAGAGGCCTTGACCTTTATCGTGGGATCCTTGTGTCCCTGTTCTACAAGCGGATAGAGAGCCATTCGTATGTAAAGCTCACGGTTAAACCACAATCTGGAAAGAAAGGCAAGCGCATTTGTGCTCCAAAGACCAAGTAAGTAGTCCTGAGGAACATAGAGTAACGATACTGCATTAAGCAGCTCTGGAACAAAACATAATGCTACGAACGCCAATCCAGCTACGGATGCAGGGAGGGTCATGATGCCCACCAGGCCTATGGTATAGACAATGGTTATTGGATAACGAGATGACAACCCTATTAACATTAGCAGGAGTAGCACGCTTGATACAATAAAGAGCGTGGTTGAATTCAACAGCGTTACGAGCACAGGGGAGATAGCAATACAGACCACAATTCCTAAGGAAATAGCCAACATTTCAGGGGTCAATACAGCTTCAGCTCCATAGAAGTGCAGCAGCGAGGGAGCAGTCAAGAACATTCCAGCCAACGACCCTGTGATCAAGGCTATTAGACTAACTTGAAGATTTGGTAGGCTGAACAAACGCCTAAGGATGGTAGAATGAGAAAAAGTATCTTCCTTGGTATCCTTCTCTTTGCTGGAGGAATTGGTGGCCGCAAAAACACCAGATACACGCATTAGGCCATATAGCAATGAAGTCCAGATACACAGGCCAACTAACGTCGTCAGTACGAAACGCAGCACTATCATTGTCTTCGGGTATGCAGTATACTGCTCGATGTGTGCACTGTGGAACCCACGATAGACAGTTAAAAGGAGCAGGCTTGGGTCACCCTGAGGGACATATCCTACCAGCATGAGAAAACCTGTGCAAAGTAAGGGAGTTATGTTGCAGAAAATTACTAGCAACAAACTTGCAAAAAGCGCAATCAAACCAAAGGATATCCTTGCAGCTTTCTTACGTCTTTGAGACGCGGCGGATAATGCAGCAAGTCCACTCTCAGAAAACGGAATAAAGAGCGAAATAAACAAGAGGACGTAGCACACTAAGCTAATTAACAAATAGCTACCACGTATTTTATATCCAATATGGCGTAGCTTCCCTACGTTGACAAGCGTTACCAGAATCATGAAGATGGCCCGTACAAATATAACAAAGAATAGCTTCAGTGCAAGCTCCTTTCCGGTATACTTGGAGAGAAACGAGAGACAGTAGTATCCGCCAGTAGCTATCAAGAGGAGGCCGCTCAGAAGCGCAGCCGTTCTGGACTGCGAATAAAGGGTAATGAAGAACACACAAAAACAATGCATAAGCGCGTGGTGCCTGAGTGTGGATTTTGCCTTTTGATATTGCTGCATTATGGATGTACTTTCGGGTCTCGTATCGCCCCTGCCATCACTAGTATTACCACTATTGAGCTGAGACACTTTCTCTTGCAGGGCGTAGGCAGTGAGCACGCTATCAGACCATCCGGGGAGAGCTGCGGATGATAAGAATGCGTTGCATATCAAGTGGATAATAAAGTATGCCATATAATGGCGCCCAGGGCTGATGTTTATGGTCAGTGTGATGTACTCAGCCGCGAGAAATGCATAGGGTGCATAAGGTTTCCCTTCAGTCATGGCGGAGATTGCTTGCAAAGAGCATAGAATGGCTCCTCCCACTGCCGTAAAGGGATTGAATAGAGGGCTAAGCAATAAGAGAAGATAGAAGACAGTGCTATTTGCGACCATTATGCACCTTGAGGAGAGGTATGAATAGATGGCAGTGCACGGAGCCAAGAAGAGAACAACCTCATAAGGCAATAGAGTTAAAGTGATGCAGAGATTGCAGCAAAATATGCAAGGAGCCCAGATAAGATCACCGAAGACGGGTTTGTGCAGCAAAAGAGAAACACCTATCTTTAGTTTTTCAAAACGCCTCTTGCTCGTGGCCGCTATAGTCTTCTCCTTACCATCTGGACTGAGTTCAGATTTGTATAAAACTTGCTGCTCTTTGGCTCGATCAGAAAATTTAACATAACCTTGCTTAAATATTCTTGGGGAGAGCTCCCGAAGATACAGGCCTTTCTTCATAAAGTAGAGGATAAGGGCGGAAAGGGAGAGTGTCAAGGTGGTAGAAACAATGCAGAGTGGCACTACTAAAAAGATACTGATTGGACGTGCATAGAAAAGGCTCAAAACAGGAAGGACATAGCTAATCGATATATAAGTGAGACCTCCTAACAACATAGAACACTTACGGGTCTTGTCCGCTTGAGATAAACCCTTGTGCATAATCATGCCCCTATTACCTACCCCGTCTGAATTGGTGACTCCAAAGCCTGCGGTAAAAATGGAGTCGCCTGTGCAGTATAGCGTTAGTCCCTTGTTGATCAGCAACTCGTGCACGATCCTGCTGATAGGGAGAAGGAAAGCCAGTGCCAGAGGGTACCAGGCTCCAAAGAGAATCGGGGAAACACTGAGGAAGGAGAAGGCCAGAGTAAGAGAGGAGCAAAAACAGAGAGCTGCAAATCCATAGGGAATGATCTGCCTGTCTCCGACTGCTAGTAATAGAGCCAGTACTGCTATGGCCAAACCAGCACCGAGCGCCAGGAAAAAGGCAAAGATATCAAATCTTTCAAAGACAAGGCGATTGTGGACCCTGAACGACACGTAAAGCAAGTACTCTGCAAGGAAAGAAGCCAGCAAGTAAACTATATGTGTTTCGAAGTAGTTCGAGGAAATAAGATCTAGGATAAGCCCGGCAACAAGAGCCCGTAGCACCCCATCCCCTCCTGCAAGATATATAGAGGCTACGACTATCTGTGGCACGCAGACTAGTGTGCACGCTTTAGCCCAGCCCTTCATAGACAAAAGTGAAGGAAAGCAAACTAAAAGCAATTTATTAACCGGCGACGTAATGCCCAGAACCAGACCTGCAGTCAGGGTACTGATCCCTCACAATTGTTGAGCACCTACTAACGTCATCAAGCTGTCTCCGATAGTATTGCTTGTCTGCACCTGTCATATTTAAGAGGGGAAGCCCAGACTGGACATGGAAGTAGTAGCGCACGTTTTCAGCGTAGAGATCAGGGTCCTTGGACTCCTCCGTTGTTGGCACATATCTTGGCAAATAGCGGACAGTGCAAGTAGTCCTGAAGCACAGCATCATTTTGAGGATAGCCACCACCATGTTCTGGTGTGCGTCGCTGACGTCTAGTATTCTTCTGTCATATGTGATATGGCAGGCGTGAACCGGTTTCCCGGGAACAAAGAGACCGCGTTTGAATGTTATAAAGACAGTCCCATTTGTTGTAGTTCCCTCGGGTGCGCCCGCAACAAGTGGCCACTCTCGGGGGAGTCCCAGAGGCCCAGAGGCTAAGAGTGTCCTCTCTTGAATAGCCTTCTGAATTTTCTTCTTCGAATCAGGATCGTTACGGTCGACAAACAGCCCTTGGTTTGATAGTTCTACAAGTCCAAAGATGGGCATGTTGCGAATACTAGCTTTGTTGATATGCGAAGTAAATCCTAGCATCGCCAAGATTGCTCCATCGAGAGAGGTGGTGTGATTGTATATTAAGAGATGATCTACTTCGCTATTCGGCTTATTCTGCACATCCTTCTCTATAATCCTACAACCCGTTGACCAGACAAAGAGCCAAGTGACGAACATGGTCTGCGCCCGTATGAGGGTCCTCCGAAAAGGGTTGATAGGCCTTGTAAGATCTAGCTTCAAGGTTAGAATGCGCAGTGATACAAAGGCTATTATGAACGAGAGCACCATAGTTAATAATCTGAAGGGAAATAAAATCGGAGAGGCGATGAACTGCAAGCTCCAGAGATAATAATAACGCAGAGTCCTTTGAGGTCTAACGGGGACAAATGCATGCAAACCTTTCAGTTCCTTAGAAGGTGTGTCCATCCTTGGGTCAAAGACCGAAGAGCAAGGGGCCAAATAATTTGCACAACCCTTTTGCAATCTTTGTAAAAATGTCTTTTAATATTAAATTTCCATAGCTCTCCTACAAATCCTCTTATGCCTTTCCACAATCTCTTGATGGCGACGCGGGCGGGAGCTCTCTACATCTCGGACCAGATGCTCACGGTGGACCTGCGGCCGACCATTCATTATGAACCCTTACTATCACTTTTGAGCCGCGCTACTGTATCTCTTCGAAACGAGCCAAACATAGTCAGGCTAGCGCTTGGAGATGCTCACCCAGGAATCGTTACTTTAAACCGGCGCAAATGGGTGCTCTCTCGGGAGGCTATCGACTTTCATTGTTCTGAAAAGGTATATGTTGTTGGAGACCTCCATGGAAACTACTCTGCATTAATAATCTTACTGTTAGAGGCAAACATTCTTCGCCGTAATGATGCTGGCTACCTCTCTATTGACCAGAATGCCTTCCAGTCCACGCATCTCGTCTTCTTAGGAGACTATGTGGATCGAATGTCCCACTCCATAGAGATCATTGCTCTCCTTTGTTATCTAAAGCTGTCCTATCCTAGCAAGATTACATTGTTGCGTGGAAATCACGAGACTATCGCAACGTCTATGGGAAACACCACTCACAAAGAGCTTTGCATCAAATACGGTAGGGAGCGCGGTGGTAACATCTACAGAATGCTGACGAAGTTCTTCTGCTCTCTTCCACTGGCGTGTCTCATAAATTCCATTGCCCTATGCATTCATGGGGGAATACATGCCCCAGAGCCGGCTCGAATAGGTGACCTGGACATAATAAACCGGTTTCGCGAGCCTGATCAATTAAGAAAGAAAGCAACTCCCTATTATGACCACCTACAGAATCTTCTATGGTCAGATTATGTTGATGAAGATCCTGACGAGGCAGACAAGGGGGGAATATGTCATAACGCCGATCGCGCTACCGGGATTCTATACGGTCCAACCGCGCTTCATTCTTTCATCAGCTCTAACGGGCTATCAATGATAATTAGGGGTCATGAGTGTGTCCCAGATGGCTTCCTCACCAATGAGTTTGGAGCTCATAACACGATATTCTCATCTCCTCTCTACGATGATAAAAACAGCGGTGCAATAATGCTTCTTATCAAGCCATCCGAAGCAGATATTCCTGCATCATACAGGCCTCAAAACATACATCTAACTAAGAAGGAATTTATAGCCACATTTTCACTAGCATACACTAATATCTTTCAACACGATACAATGAAGATACATCCTCTCATATTAGCAAGATCTACTGGCCTAGTTCCAGTTCCTCAGCGAATATACAAGATAGCCAACGCCCTGGAGCCTCGTGAGCCTGTCTCTAAGCATCTTAATCTTGAGTGCACTACTACAGCTCTTAGCCAACAGCATCCTATAGTGTATGATTCTGTCTTGTGTTTGGACGGGTGCTTACTTGACATCCCTCCCGATCACAACCCTCTAGCTGGCACTCCTGCGCCACTGTATGAGCTTCACGGATGCGATGGATCTTTTATCCTGGCCATACCTAGTATCAGACGATTCATTCGCTTACTATCAGAGCTGTGCTTGCATCTTGGGATCCCCAACTATGCTGTGCTGAGTGCCGTAGCTGACCACTACAAATGGCTTGTTGCTCCGAATGGATATAAGTACGAGTTTACCAAGGTCGAGATATCACAAGGGAGTATGCGGCACTACTATTTACAACTCGGAGAAAGGACTGTTTGTGTCCCAAGAGTTCTGTCCCAGCCCATATTCCCCCTCAAAACGCTGATTCTCTTGGCCAGAAAGTCTGAGAAGAGCTTTCTACATGCCTTGGCATGTCTATCTAAGCTTCAAACCAAGCTCCTGGCCCTAAATACCAGTGTTGATGCCGGCCCATCTCTTTTCAATAAGTTGGCCTCCGTGCTCTTGGCTCACGCCTGATTGGTTTTCTAGTTAATGATGCCTGAAAACTACTCTAGAATAGGCTATGACCCCGTCTTCGGCGACCGCTGTAACGACTAACGGGCTTAGCATCCTTTCCGTCTAGCCTAGCCTTGACTACTTGGTGCAGTTTCCACTCACGACTGAATTTAGCAGGTTGTTGCCATTTTTTACCCTTAAGGAAACCTCCTGCGCGTCGCTTTTCAGCGTTACTCATTTGCCTAACCTTAGAGTACCCTATTTGCTCTTGCGCCTCAGTATCCCCAGTAGGGTCGTCTCCATCTAAAGCCGCAGGTAGCTGTTCAGGCTTATGCCCCGAGAATAAAAGGAGATAGAACTTCTTCGCCATAGTACTGTTTGGATAATCGATAATAAGGCCGCCAGTGAAGCCCGCCTTGATGGCGCAGTCTTGCATAAGCGAAATCTGGTCATTATTTTCAGGATATATCTGCAGAGCTGCCCGTGCTCCATGACAGAGACACGAGTATAAACTCTGAAAGAACCGAATGAGCCTTGCACGGGGATTCTCGCTCTTCTTGTTAGAGTAGCAAAGCCACTGGAGAGCAGAAACAGAAATGCAGCCGTCAAAAAGACCGTGGGTAAACGTGAGGCCATCACCCACGTCTTGTTCGACAAGATGGGGATTGTCGTTTATGCTCAGCATTGCAGGTGAGATGTCAACGCCTATATGCTCATGACCAGCCTCAGTCAACACCTGACCAGATATCCCGGAGCCACACCCGACATCCAAAATCAAGCAGGGCTGATTGGGAGGTAAAGCGAGGAGCTGCAGTGCACGCTCTGCCATCTGTCGCTGGATATACATTATTCGTGTGTTCTGGGTGTATTTGGCGACTTCAAACTGATTGTAAAACAGGTCAGCAGGGCCTGAGGCCTCGGGTCTAGACATAAGATAAATAAATCAATTATTTTTTAAGTTTAGAAGGAGCAAGCTCTCGTGTGATCGGGGGACTCGATGAGGTGTCTAAGAACAAGCTTACATACAATTAACAATATTTTAAGACTAAACAGAACACCTTTTTATAATTATCGCAATCAGTCCCTTAAAACAAAATGACCATTGTTCCTGGTCGAAACATTGACAAGGGATTTGCACTGATTAAGGAGGCCGTCGTAAGCGACAATGCCAAGAAGTATCCTGAGGCATATGAAAAGTATAAGAAAGGAATTGAGCTCATCTCCATTGGCCTTACGTCTGAGACCATAAAGGGTCGAAAGGAAAATCTAGAGAGTTATCTCGAAAAGGCCAGGTTTAGGATGAAACAACTTGAACAGGTCCTGGTTACCGCACGCGAAAAGGCCAACATGAAAGGTTTGGGACCAAAGCAAAGTCCTGCTCCTGCACAGCCAAAGAAAGATTTGACACCTCAAGAGCCTCGTAAGAATAATTCTGCCAACGACAGTGTAGAAGACTCAAAGCCAAAGAAAGCGATTAAGCAGAAGACTGGGGAGGATGACGCCCTCAAGGCTGCGATCTCTAATGTAATTATTCGCATGAAGCCTGATGTTAAATGGGATGACGTTGTTGGTCTTACAACGGCTAAAGAGGCCCTCAAAGAGGCTGTCATTCTGCCGTTTAAATTTCCCCAGCTTTTCCAAGGCAAGCGCGAGCCGTGGCGCGGGATCCTCCTGTACGGATGCCCCGGCACCGGCAAGTCGTTCCTCGCGAAGGCGGTCGCTGCAGAGTGCGACGCCACCTTCTTCTCTGTCTCGAGCTCGGACCTGGTGTCGAAGTACGTCGGCGAGTCTGCCCGCCTCATCAAGGCCCTCTTCGAGCTGGCCCGCGCAGAGAAGCAGGCCGTCATCTTCATCGACGAGATTGACGCCCTTGCCTCTGCTAGGGGCGGCGGAGAGGAGAGCGACGCGTCTCGCCAGATCAAGACCGAGTTCCTCGTGCAGATGCAGGGCGTCGGCAAGACCGGCGGGAACGTCCTGGTTCTGGGCGCGACAAACTACCCGGAGGCGCTCGACAGCGCCATCCGCCGCCGCTTCGAGAAGCGCATCGAGATCGTCCTCCCAGACGCCGCTGCCAGAGCAAATATCATAAAGAATTGCATCGGCACTACGCCCAATGTGCTAGCAGATGAGGATATCACTGAGCTCGGACAGCAAACAGAAAACTACTCTGGCTCTGACCTCAGCATATTGTGCAAGGAAGCTCTCATGGACCCCGTGCGCGTGTTGCAGAAGGTGTCCTACTTCCGCCTCAATAAGATCACAGGCATGTACGAGGTTTCAGCATCAGACATGCCCGGCGCTGAGAAGAAAGACTTTATGGATATTCCCAACGATAAGCTGACGGTTCCCTATGTCACTGTGAGTAGCCTGTTGCGTGCCAAGGCAGCCGTGAAGTCGAGCGTCTCCCAAGCTGACAAGTCGCGCATAGCGAAGTTCACAGCGGAGTTCGGCTCCACCTGAGCTGTTATAGCTCTGCCGTCATAGCCTTTACAGCCGCCTTTCCTCCAAGGTCGAAGTGAGATATCCAGTTGTCTGTGTCTGTGCGCTTATCAGTCTTCGTTTTTCTTTCTGATTGGGCCTATTAAGGCTGGAGCAGTCTACCGTGAAGTGACGCGTGGTCTCGATTGTATGGTCGTGCGAAAGCATTTCCAGTCGCAAGCACAGGCTTCCAACAACCTCCGAATCGAGGACGATTGGGTAGGTGTCGGATATTTGTGTAAACTGACGATCCTTATGTGTCATGTTCCTGCTGAATGTAAATGGGCGGGCCGCGACTTCACCGACCACTCGGGAGTCAGCACCTGGGACCGGCGCCGTGCAGAGCTGCAGCTTCACCAAGAGATAGTGCAAGGACTCAAGAAAGAGGGGCGGCGGGGGACAGAGCACGATGCACTCGTTGGGGATCTGGACGGAAGGTCCGTGGTTTGTCTGGATTCTGGTAAGAATGCGATTGGCGGCGTCGTTAGTCTTACAGCGTGTGCCAAGCTCCGACCTGACTACGATGTTGTGGACCGATAGAAGAAGAGGGGCACAGGAGTTCACGCGCAGAGACACCCACCTTGGCAGTCCTGGCTGCACCGGGACGGTGGGGCAGATGTTTCCATGCCCATCCAGGTATAGTACATGCAAGGATGTCTCGGCCGAGGACGCCCGAGTCTGTGTCTCTTCGTCCACGGATACGCGGCTGTCTGCGAGACGCTCGGTGTGGTCCATAAGTCGTGTGCGCTGCCTTGCAAGCTTGTCATACCGTATCATGTATCCCTTGAGACGCTTCGCCCTCTGCTTGGCCTCCATGTTGTTTTCCAATCCACACATGCTTTTATTATGACAGAGCCTCAATCCAACAATTTGGGTGTCACTGACCGCAAAAGACTCGTTTCTGCGGGGTGTCGATCGCCCTGCTACCTGTCTACGCAAGCGCTCTGTGGATTTACTAGCATATGCTAATTCACATCGACGTAAGAAAATCGACGAGGTCTTCCGAATCTACCGAACACCTTACCATATTGGCAAAGATACTGTCAGGCTTGTGAAACAGCACGCGCGGAGGACCCTGCTCGACTATTTGACCACCGGCCATAACAATAACCCTATCCTGGTTGCAAACAGTGCGGAGTCTATGGGCTATCGTAATAATGATCTTTTGCTCCTTATATGCCCCCAGGGCATCCTGGATAGCCGTCTCTGCGGCACTATCCACGTGTGCTGTTACCTCGTCCAATAGGATGACTTCTGTGTCTCTGAGCAGCGCGTGGGCTACGCACAGAAGCTGTCGCTGTCCGAGCGAAAGGTTGCTGCCGTTATCAAAAAGGTGGTAGTCAAGTTGCTTTGACTGAGCTCGAAGTATTCACGCAAGTGCGTCTTCTCCAAGACACGCCACAGCTCCTCATCTGAGAACCGTCTATCCCCGGAGAGATAGGCTCGCAGTGTCCCGGAGAAAATAAAAGGATCCTGTGGTATCAGCGTCACCTTAGACCGTGCCTGATGTAAGCCCATCTTCAGCAGGTTCAGGCCATTCAAGAGAATCTCAGACCCGCCTCTGGCTCGACAAGTCTGAGAATCGCATTGACAAGGGATGACTTGCCAGACCCTGTCTTTCCTATGATTGCAACGCGCTCTCCCTTGCCGCTGTGAATGAGATCCCATGAAGCACAACTGGCAAATGCTGTTGATAGCGTAGCGAAAGATCTTGCACAATAAGCCCGAGAGTAGAGTCTGCCGGCAGCTACTTGGGCTATGCGGAGCGCTTGTACTCTCTGGTTCAAGAGTAGCGTACTCTGCTACCCTTCCACGCTGGCCATAGAAAGATCCATTGCAACAATCCCGAAGCACATATCTATTAACATCATGACAACATCAAAGCCATTCATGAGTACGGTACCTGAAAATATCTCTCCGTTAGCAAAAGAAGACGTTATGATAGTGGACACAGTAACTACTGCGGACACACAGATAGATAGAAGGGTAGTTGTAAAGTGTAGCCATCTGTAGAGGGAAACATCCATCCAAAATGCCGCCTCCATAGCTAGGACGGCTCTGGCGTAGTAGCTTGCCGCCTGGGCTTCATACCTATACGCTCTAAGAGATGCCAGGTTGTAGTATGTGTCTAGAATAAAGTTACACACATGGCTATTCAAGAGGGAGGTGGTGCGTCGCAAGAGGGGCGACACAGCACGAAATCCCATGAACATCCAAAGGAACAGTCCCAGCAAGGGAACTAGCACAAACGTAGATGGCCAGCTCATCAGCAAAGTGGCCAGTAATGAACCCAGCACAAAGATGGAGTTCTCACATGTCGCTGCTAGGCCATTCTTCACCGTCAAATCACATGTACCTGTGTCTGCTATCAGGCGGTTAAGGATCCGTCCAATGGGGTGTGCGTCATAGAACGACATCGATGTATTGATAAGCCCCTCTTCCATGCTGTAGTACAGCTTCTCTGCCGCCTTCCGTGTGAACAGCATATAGAAGAGCTGCCCAACGAAGAGGATCACCATAAATGCAAAGGAGAACGACAAGAACAGACCTATGCAACCACCTGTGCTCAGCCCTAGCCGCTGTCGGTCCAGAAGTTGATGAGCAGCGACGCCAGTTGCAACATAAGTATACAGAAGACCCACATGACAACATAAATGACGAATTCCAGGTCCCGCCTGCCTTGAACCATAGCTTGTAATATTTAGAATTAACAGATCCCAGCTCCGTGCATTCTCCTCCTTAAGCACTGCTGCCATTCGATGCACTTGATAGTCAGAGTCGTGTTTCTCTACAGCCTGTATAGAGGTTAGTGAGGGACTTCTGCGACGGGCAGAGGAGAACAGTCTATATCTACGCTCTCTGGTGTCACTTCTTTGATCGTGCCAGCATCTATAAATAGCACCTTTAAGCACGAACGAAAGTAATGCATCTGATTGGTCGCCAACACAACGGTCTTCCCCCTTGCAAGTAGATACCCTTTGATGGTCTCGCTCCATAACGACTTGCAAACATGAGAGTCCAGAGAGGCGAACGGATCATCAAACAAGTAAATATCCGCGTCGGAGTAGATGGCCCTGGCAATTGATAATCGAGCTTTCTGTCCTCCAGACAGTGTCACACCGCGGCTGCCAACAAGTGTGGCAAGCCCCCCTGGTAGTTCAGAAAGGTCCCCATCCAGACAGGAGAGCCGAGTTGCAAGCTGCATTTTCTCTTCATCATAGGGTAAGAATAACTGGATATTGAACTGTATGGTCCCTGTAACACGGACGGCACCTGCGAGCAGTATGCAATACGGCCCACCGAGTGTATATGAGCGGAATCCGAACTACTTGATGTCGAAAGGGCCACCTCTCCCAGAATAGCCAATAGGAGCTCGACTTCCCGGAGCCAACACAGCCCCCCACCCCAACCAGGCACCCCCTAGGAATACTAAACTGCAAGGATCTAAGAACTGGCACGCACTCTGTCTCTAATTCGCGTACGGAAGACTGAAGTACGGTAATCTGCCTATGCATGGCTGCTAGCTCAACATAGTACTTCCTTAATCTGTCAGTTTGAGAGGAGCACCTGGAGGCATCAGGCGTTGCCGGCTGGGGCTTTGGAAGTAGGAGTCCATCGGGGGCATGGGGCTCGTCGCCCCTAGGAGAACCAGCGGCTGCCAGGGACGGCGTCTCGATCGGACCGTCCATTCCGCACCTACCAGCACATCTTCAGGAGCCTCTTCTCGAGTGCATTGTATGCGCCGAGCAGTTTAGAGCCGCCCTCATGGACAGCAATCTTCTGTTCCTGGCTTGTAAGATTGCTGTTAGAATTGAAAGAAGAGGGTATGTGTCTGTGGCACTGTCTCCCCCACGAATAACTCGGGTTGCCCACTGTCCATATAACAAACTGAGCCGCTGTGGAGTCGTTCTTTTCATGGAGCTTCCCACAATAATCGCCCTCGGGCAGAGTAAGAACCTGCCTCGCTCTGTGGCAGCTGACAATTGCAGAACTCAATGAAGAGATCAAGTACGGTAAATCGATAATGACGCGAGCAAATATAGTGAATAGATACGCAGCCGTATAGGCGTGGCCGTGTAAGGTGCCCGCTTAGCACTGACAAGAAGGCACAGAGAAGCATGGCGGGCCAAGTCATGTAGCCCACCAAGTGGATGCATGATCGCGCAAGGGTCATCCTTCCCACGTATATGAGCTCTTGACGCCTACGTGGGTGCATTCGACTCCTGCACAGCTCCTGATAATTATAGGCCTTTATCACCCGTAGCCCTGCTATTACTTCGGTGACATGCCGTGCACGGACATCGCGCGCAGCAGCATATCGTTTTTCCAGAAAGAGATTGTACAGGGTCAGGAGACTAATGAAGGGGAGCGTAACGAGGATGCCCCCAAATCCAGCAAGAGCACTCCTATCAATTTGAAAAACCAGGAATAAAACAATCATCAACAACTTAAGTGGCACCGCTATCATCCTTGGTATGTTCGACACTAGATTAGAAATGGAGCGGGCATCACCACTAATGAAAGTAATCACCGCCGGAGATAAAACGTGCGTCGCTGCAACATTGGGAATGCGTATGAGCTTCTTGTACAATAGCATCGAGATGGCCTGGGACACACGGATGCTCTGCTCAGCACAGATTGTTGATGCAATGGACTGGAAAAACGCCGTCAAAAGCTGTGCAACAAGGTTAATAACTATCCATACCCATGCCTCGCGGAATAAGCCAACAAGCACACTGCTACTAGAGTCGCGGAGGTCAGCTATATGACCAGTATCTAAGACCTTAAGGAGCTCTGTCATAGTCTTTGGTTGCACAAAAGAAAGAAATACAGCAAGTCCCATTAGTATGGAAGACACAGCAAAGAAGGGCCAGCTCGTCTTCATGACTAGAGAGCCGATTCGGGCGGGTCTAGCAGTTGCCCGTGCCACCGCCAAAGTGCCTTCCAGCTTAGTCAAGACCTTACCATAATTCATGTTTGTTGGCAGAGAAGGAATGTCTGATGGTTTTAATACCCTCTGCTTTCTCGCTCTTGCCACGAATGGTGTCATCCATAGAAATGTATAGTAGAGGATGAATGGGCAGCGCTCGCTCTGCGGCCGTGCACTGGGAAACGCAGTAAACTCGTAGCTCTCATATCGCTCAGCCCTATCTGCCATATGTCCCCTATCTGCCCGATTCTCGTCTGCCAGAGTCTAAGGGCTTTTATGGATTGGGGACAGAGGGGCGGCGAGGGGTCAGGCACGCGGAGCAGAGGCACCCCTCGCAGCCAGCCGTGCGCCGCTAGCGAATCCAGCAAGACGACGCCGGGGCCATGAAAACACAAAAATGGGGGACAGAAACCTGGACTGGAACCGGACGACCGCCCCGCTCCCGTTCGTGTGGTCGGACATGGAGCCGGCGATCTACGAGCTCAGCGAGTCGTTCCTCCCCGTGGACCTGTCCGCCTCCCACCTCGCGCTGGGCAGGTCGTCGTTCCTCTCGCTCTTCGAGGACGAGCTGGGCGCCGACGAGGCGAGGCGGGGCTACGACGGGCTTCTGCCGGAGAGGCCGGGACCCTGCACCCTGGCGGCCTCGCCCCTGCCGGCCAAGCGGGCGCACGTGAGCTCCCTACTGGCGGAGGCCAGGCGCGGCGCATTCGAGTCCCAGCTGGAGCGGAGCGTCCTGCCCAGCTCCACCGTCTTCGCGCGCCTGGAGCAGGCCCTCCAGCGACCCCCGGAGGGCAGCAAGGCGGCGCTCCAGGCGGCCCTGTTCTACGTGCTCGGCCTCCGCATAAGCTGCGCCCTGCCCCTCCCCCTGGACCCCGACACCGTGGTGAAGCGGGCGCTCCTCCTCTTCCTCCACAACGGCGGCTCCTTTTTCAGGCAGGTCCTCAAGCGGTTCGGCGTCCTCGCCGGCGAGTGCGCGGTCTCCCTCTCGGACTTGAGGGCGGAGTCGACGCAGAACGCAAGCAAGCAGCTCCCGCCTCCCCTGACCCACTGCATCCAGGTCCTGCATCTTGTGCTGACCTCCCTGAACCTGCGGGGGGTCACCGTCTTCGAGCACACCGTCTACGATCGCCTGGACGGCTCAGTCGACTGCTCGCCCTACCTCCACACCTTCGAAGGCTTCGTCAGGGCTCTGGTCCACCCCCTTGCGCTCCTACTCTCCAAGCTGATCCAGGCAGACGCAGGCCCGCACAACAACACCTTCAACAACGCGATCGCCCGCTGCGTGGCTTGCTGCCGCCCGGTGGCCCTGCTGAGACAGGCGCTCCTCCTCCTCCTGGGCCCGCTGGGCGACCACAAGCAGGCCCGGAAGTGCCGGAGCATCCGCAGGATGGCCCTGGAGGAGCAGGGCAGCGCCGGGTCTTGCGCGATCAAGACCGTCAAGCGGCTTCCGCCCCCGCGCTTCCGTGGCTACGTCAACCCCACATCCTCGTCTGTCGCGGCCCTGCTGCGGTTCTTCGAGGGCTCGTTCAGGCCGAAGGACACCCCCTTCTCGTCCGGCAACGTCTCCCCCTACGCCGATAAAGGCGTCGCAGACCAGATGGCAGAGTGTGCAAGCGTCATTACGGCCTTCAACGCCCGCCAGCCCAACAGGCGGCGCCCGGGGCTCTTCCCGGGGCTCGCAGAGGAGTACGCCAACCGGAGGGACGAGGCCGCGCTAGGCCTCTTCCAGCTGCTCCCCAGGCCGGACGTGCGGATCGGCCTGCAGTCCCTGGCAGACCTCCACGGCGGGTACATGGCCATGCGGTACAGCTGCGACGCCAGAGAGTCAGTCATGTCGCGCTCCCAGGAGACCTCTGTCGGCGGCCGGAGCGACCTGGACGGCGGGTACGACGCCGAGCTGGAGCGCACCCTCGGCAACGTGGTGGTCACCAGCGACTACCGCATGTACCTCAACAGGGTCAAGCGGGGGCTGACCGCGTCCTTCCCGTTCTCGGGGAGGCCGGTTGCGAAGGGCAATCTGCCCTACTTCGAGCGGTGCATAGAGAAGGTGCTGTCCTTCAACTACCACGAGGAGCGGTTCCGCAGCATCAAATACCACGAGCTGGTCAACGTGCTCACCTACGCGCTTCCCCTGGACGTCCAGCGGGCGATGCTCGTCAGCATTTCCAACGAGGCCGACTGCGTCCTGGAGCACCAGTTCTACCACCTGATCCGAGAGGTCGACATGCCGGCGTTCCTCTCGTCGCTGCTCCGCCTGGCGCTGTGCGGGGTCCCCCACATGCTCGAGACGGTCCTGTCGGCCAAGGCGACTGCGGGCACGACGAAGGACGCTGAGAAGGGCGCGTTCTCCAACAACACCCCGTCGTCCACGCGGCACGTCCGGGAGTCTGTGCTGAAGAGCTGCCTCCACGTCCTTCTCCTCCTGCAGGCGAAGGCCCGCCAGGTCCACCCGAGCGTGGGCCTTTTCGTCTCCAGCATAATACAGCGGTGCAACGGTCAGGGGTGCGGGCTCGACGCCGTCATCGCCACCATGTGCCTGCCTGCGGCCGCGTACATAACGGGCGTGGACCCGCGGACCGCCGCGCTGGGCACGTGCCTTTTCCTCCCCGGCCAGGCCGCGGACGCGCTCGCTCCGGACGAGCGGGTGGCCGACGCAGGCGAGTTCCTCCAGGCCAGGCCCGCCAAGCAGGGCGCCCCGCCGGACCCGGCGCTAGACCCCGCGAGGCCCCTCCACAGCATGGCGAGCGGCAGGCGGCTGTTCTGCCTGCTGACGGCGTCGCGCTGCTTCTACGGCTACATCTCGCACTCCGCGTCCCGGGCCCAGGAGGCCCTCGCCCTCTACTCGAAGGTGAGCGCCAATTACATCTCGTACATCCTGCAGTCCTCCAGCACGGCGGCCAGCCAGGGGTCTGCCGCTGCCGCCGCAAGCCAGGCCCTTCCAGACAACCTCAGCCAGACGACCGTCTTCACCAGGGGCGCCCTGCAGCGCAAGGCAGGGGCCGCGGCGCAGAGCGTCCCGGGCGGGGGCTCCAGGCCGCCGATGGCGTACATCCCGAACAACCTGGCCAACCTGATGGAGTTCCTGCGCGGAGACAATAGCACCAACAACCCCGCCAACATAAACACGGCGGGCACGCTCACGTGCAACTTCCCGGGGTACCAGCTGTCCAAGGTCAACAACCTTTCGTCCATCGTCGTGCTTCTGAAGATCGCCAAGCACATACTGCCCTTCGCGGCGGGGGACTACTCGCGCATATACGGGGTGTTCGAGCTGCAGGGCCTCCCCGCCTTCCGCGAGTACCTGACGAAGCTCATCTACCAGCTCTCCATAAGCCCGTGCAGCGAGGACAGCTGGCGCTGGACGAGGGACGTCGTCGCGAAGAACGCGGCGATCTTCGCAGAGTTCGAGCGCGCCGCCTTAATAGCCTTCACCGAGAAGTACCTCCTGCCCGACCGCCACCCGTCGCTGGCCCACTACGGGTGGCTCTACGAGAGCAGCCTGCCCGACGCCCCGGAGCAGTACGCGGCGGAGGAGGCCGTTGCGCTCTCCCAGCTCCACGCGGGATGGCCCTGTAACCGCATCTGAAAAGGACCCGCGTGTCTTTAGCCAAACAAAATATAATGAACAATGGGAAGCATCGGTTCTACAGTAAACCTTGTCTGGGTGGATTGATGGGAAAGAGGGTCAGGGTGGATCTTGGCTATGGCCGCTGGGTGGAGGGGGTGCTTGCAGAGGCAGACGTCTTCACAAATCTGGTCCTGTCAGACTGTCACGGGTCGCGTCCGCTGGCTCCTTCTGAGGCTGCACCAATCACCGTGTTTCCGTCCTGTGTGGTTCGTGGCGCAGCTATCAAAGCAATCCTACTGGTGAGCCCCGACTAGGTGGACATCTGCAGTGCGTGGAGCGCCTCTTGGCGTTTACTTGAAGACCTCCATGAACTCCTCAACTGGCTTATTGCAAGCAGGACAGACCTTGCTGGCCACGTCCTTCCCGCAGTCCTTGCAGAGGACGTAGTGCTTGCACGGCATGCAGACCAGGTTGGGGGCGTTGGCGCGGCACTTCACGCACTTCGTGTACTTCTTCGAGTTGAGGAGCTTGCGGATCTCGCCCAGGCACTTCTCGAGGGACTTGTTCAGCTGCTCCTCCGAGATCTCCGCCCCCTGGTCGATCCCCGAGCAGGAGAGGAAGTAGAACGCCTCGAAGAACGAGCGGAAGATGGCCATGTTGTGGCTCTTGACCTCGGCCTGCTGCGACTTCTTGGCCATCTCGGTGTAGGTGGCCGCGACCCTCTGCCGGAGCTGCTCCAGCATCGCCGCGTCCATCGTCTCGATGGTCTTCAGCCGGAGGACCTTGGCCGCCTCGAACTGCTTCGCCCTGGAGGCGTGGTTGAGGGCGGAGAGCTTGCCGGCGTCCCGCAGCCTCCCCTCCTTCTCGAAAAGGGCCTGGATCAGCTCGAGGTTCCCCCTCTTTGCCGCCGCGATCAGCGCGAAGGACCCGTCGTTCGAGACCAGGCCCGCCTCTGCGTCGACCAGCTCCAGGGCGACGGCGGTGTGCCCGGCCTCGGCGGCCCACATGAGCGCCGTCTTCCCGTCTGCGTCCCTCTGGCCTGCGTCCGCGGCCTTGTGGGCCCTGACGTAGTCCAGCCTGTTCTCCTTGGCCGCCTCAATAAGTGCCATTCTTTGCCTCCCAATTGCGATCGCGGCTCTTCATAAGACATATTGATAGAAAACTTGGAGACGTTGTTTCATGGCACTTTGGCACGGACCGGAAGCATGGGGCGCTGGTCCGTAAGGCCTGTTCTCCAGGGCCTTCTGCTTCTCGTGAAGGGAACGACGGGTTTACTCGTGAGATCGTGGAGCAGCTTGGCGGCTGTTGCGACCACCGAGGCCCGGTATACGGCTGTCCCTAAGGAAAGATGCTATCTCAGAGTAGCCCTTGGCCTCAAGCTTATCAAAGAGGGATTCGTCAGACTTGTCTATTAGATGCCCCTCCTTTTCAAATAGCAGCTTCACTATCTCTAAGCGGCCGCCATACGCTGCGTGCGTGATAGCGGGTAAGCCATGGGGATCCAGCATGCAGCCTTCGCGCTCCATCAACAGCTGCACTACTTCTGCATGATTCTCAGAGGCAGCCTTCATGAGGGCGGTCGCATTACAAGTATTCCCTGGGCCACTCTCATATTGCATTAGCAGTTGTACTGCTGCTACGTGGCCGCATACTGCTGCTTGTATTAGCGCCGTCCCAGTATGTGTCCATCGCTTCTTCTGAATGGGTATAAGTGCGCTTACTGCTAATGTGTCGCTTATTTTTGCGGCTCGCATGAGCGCTGTGACGCCCCTATCATCGGTTGGGTCGAGAACCTCCACTACGTTTTCGTGTCCTGCCTCTGCCGCAAGGATCCGAGCCGTCTTGCCTTGTCTGTCGGTCAGGTCCTCCTCGTACGGAGCCAGAACAGAAGCAGCCTCCGCATGGCCCTCCTGTGCAGCAATCATCAGAGCAGTACGGCCGTTCTTGCTCTTCCTCCCATGCTCATGAGGGATGAGAATCCTAGCTACCTCAGGATGGTTCCCGTGTGCGGCGTGCATGAGCGCGGTCCAGCCGTTTTTATCTTTGATACCCTTCTCCTTCTCAACAAGCAGCTCAACAGGCCCACCGTGCCCCTGCTGGGCCGCGTGCATGAGGGCCGTCATCCCCCGCTTGTCGCGCTGGCCGATACAATCTTTCTCGTTGGCCAGCATCCGGACGGTCTCCATGTCATTCGTGTGTGCAGCATATATTAGTTTGAACAAGGAGAGGTCCGTCTGGGTGCCAACCACTTTCATTTCACTATTGGATTGTGTAAACTTATCCTCCAGTGCTTTTATCCGGCCTTCAAGCGTGCCAATCCCGGTGGTCTTAACTCTGGGTTCTTGCCCCAAGGCGTTGGCTTCACTTGGCCTGCTCTCAAGAGCGCCCTTGAAAGAGGCAGTCTCAGCAGACTTGGCGTCGAGGACTGCCTCAAGAATAGCAATCCTAGCATTAGCATTATTCAGAGCAGTCTTCAGGGAGCCGCATTCGTACTTCAGCACCGCATATTGAGCCCCCAGCTCACTAACTGGGATGTCGAATGTAGCGAGCGTCTCATGCAGCTCCCTGGCCGTCGGCCTCCTCTCTGGCTCTAGTACAAAGATCCTCTCCAGAACATTCTGCATGAAGCCATCAGTGATGCCACTCAGGTCCGGCCTCCACCCATCGACGAAGACCTCTGCCGGCTCCTTGCCCCCCAAGAAGTCCGGTCTCCTCAAAGTAGTAAGCTCGTAGACGATGGCCCCGAGGTTCCACATGTCGGAGGCGGGGCTGGCCTCGTTGCGGAGGAGCACCTCGGGGGCCACGTATGCCATTATTCCCATGAGAGTGCTCCCACTCCACAGGGCGTCCTTGCAGAGGCCGAGGCCAGTGATGACGAAGTGTTCACCATCTGCGCTGATAAGGACGTTGGCAGGCCTGAGGTCACAGTGGACAAGTCTCTCGGTATCTGCCCCACTGGCCCCGTAGAGGTAGGCGAGGGCGGCGGCGACCTGCCTCAGGACGGAGAGAATCACAGCGATAGGGACGAGAGTCTTCCTTCGTTTGTGCTCGGTGAGGAGGTGCTCAAGGGTCTTGTCTTGGCGATCCGTAACGACGTAGATGAGGCCTTCGTCCTCGACCACTTGATGGTGCTTGAGGACTCCTGGATGGGAGAGGTCGGGGAGGGCGGTCAGCCCACGCTTTAGCATCCACACCGTGCTGACCCAGACCGTCGAGCCGGATCTCCTTCACAGTGAGGTAGGGGTATCCCCTGAGAGAGTAGACTGTTCCCGCGGCACTTTCACTAAGCACATCATCCAGCCCCTCGTAGAGCTCCCTGGGGGTGAACTGCGGGGCACTGAGAGCCACCGTTGCAGACCCAGACGAGGCGGCGTACATCTTGGTTTCATTTTGGTAATCTACCGTTTTGGAAACGATCCGTTTTACATGGGTTCATATCTACAGGTCTACAGCAGTCCCGTGCCTGTAGGGGCTTCTGCATAAGAGATGAGAAGGCCACCTGTGCGACCATTTCACCCACCGGTGTCCCAGTGCTGACCGAGGGTGAGAAGGCCTGCTCCCCCTAGCCTCTGTGGAAACGGGTGGTTGTGTGCCTCACTGACAGCCACCACTTCATTAGGGTGTCTGTTCGCTGCACAACTGGAGGGAGATTCTATCCACCGCCGGATGCAACCAACAGTTAGGCGCGTTCACTCATGGACTTTCTGGGCGGCATCCGTAGCCGGGGCTCCGTCAGTCCAATACCCTCACTCTCAAGAAGGGACACCACCTCGGAATGACCCTCCATATCAGCTACACAAAGAGCAGACTCCCCGCCTATGTCCTTCTCCTTCTCTAGTAGCAACTTAACACAATCTAGACGACCAAAGTATGCTGCAGCTGTGAGGGCGGTAAAGTCTTTGTCCTTCGTCATGCCTCCCTCAACATCCAGGAGTAACTTCACTACCTCGGTGCGACCGTTTGCTGCTGCCCACATGAGGGCCGTCAAGTCGTTGCTGCTCCTCATACCGCCTTCGCACCTCATCAGCAGCTTTACCGTCTCAACGTGTCCAAGCACTGCGGCGACCATCAGGGCCGTCCCGTCGTATATCTCTACCATCCCTGCCGTAACAAACCTCGCCACCATCCTTGCTTGATAATGGATGTAGCGCTTCACCGCGTCCACGTCGTTCCTCTTAGCTGCCTCCATAAGTGTGGTGACGCCATCCTCGTCCACGCTGCCTTCATCATCCATTTCTGAAGGCTCAGTTGGGTTTCCTGCGCCCTCTTCGCTCGTGTCCTTCTCTGGTGCGAGGGGCGGGGTGTCGTCGTGCTCCTGAGAGCAGTGATCCGAATCATCTGCAGACGACATTTTTATTCCATGGCCACAAAGGAAACGCATGTACTGGTAAACTTGCGATTCACGGTATTGTTTACAGATCATCCAGATAGCGCACCAAACATGAACTGCATGCCCTGGGTTCCCTCTGCCCTTCTTGCCTTGTGTGGTAAGTGCCCAATGAGAGATGACTTCAATTGTGGAGTTGTAGTCTGCTGGGCACCAGTGCAGGGTGGGCACTAGAGCTTCGGACTTCTTCATTCCACCTACCAGTCACCTTCAGCGTTGTGCTGCTAGGACCCTTGCCCACGAGCACACCCCAAGGATCCCGGGAGTAACTTCAGTCAATGCTCGATTGTGTCCGGAAACAGAAGCGAGTCGTGGTTAATAGAACAAGGGCTTCTCCGTTGCACTGCTGGAGGCCTGACTATCTTATCACCACCTTCTTTCTGCCGGGCCTCTGCTTCAAAAACCCACCGTGATGTCGGGGAAGAAGCCTGACAGCCTGTAGTAAAACAGCTCCTGTGAACCGTAGACGTTGGGGATCCTCTTGGCCACCATCCATGCACATCGGCAAGGCCCTCTGACGTTCCCAGGGCCCAGCAGCTCGCCATGACTGGAGAGGAGGGCTTACTGGGTCCTGAGCAGCAGTGATTATGAATTCCTACTATCAAGCTTCCCTCTCCACAGTCTTGGAGCCGTTGAGATAGCCTCAGCAGATCATCGAAGAAGAGCATAAGCTCTGGCACTGCATCGGCAAGCTCTGGGGACTTCGCCTTCCCTTGCTGCAGGTCTTCAGGAGCAGTCTAGAGCTGTGGCTAGATGACTGCGTTGTTACTGCCTGGAGTGCCTACTCAATGGGCCTCTCGAAGGCAGGTTGCTAGACAGCAGCAGTGGCAAGTGTCGATCACAGATACTCTGTCCGCCACTTGTGGAGGCTTATCTCCATTTAGGTTTCCTTCTCATCCTTGCAGTGCTCACTCGAGCGAACCAGAGCCTGAGATTGATAAGCCCAGCGAGCCTAGTACAAACCTCAGAGGACTCAGGAGGTCATGGCTCCCTGGTGATTGCCATGTCGTTCTCCTCGCTCGGTTGACATGCACCCTGCTAGAGGGCCCTCATTTACTCGAGCTCGTACATCCGCGCCGTGGTGATCTCTAAGAGCTCGGTTGTGAGCATGTTGGCCTTAACCCACGAGACGAAGGCGCTCTTGCAGTACGCCTCAAACGCCGCCTTCTGCTCGGCTGTCAACGAGGGATCCCGTATCTTCCTACCAAGCACGGTCAGCTTTTCAGACCTCTCCTTCATGGTCTGCCGGAAGACCGAGGGCAGAATGATCGGCAGCGCTTTGGTCTTTCCCGTCAGAAGCTTCGAGTCGAACGGGACCACCGCGGTGCAGTACGTCTTTGGATCCATGAATATCAGATTCTCACACACTCCCAGCCCCAGTGGGCTGTAGAGCTTCATCCCAAAGCTCTCGCCCTGCTGGCAGATGTCCGCTAGTCCTTGCTGCTGCAGGCAATCCTCCAGTGAGGGGAATATGTAATTGTAGGGGGCAATCTTATTCGTCTTTGTGTTGCTGTCATGCACACAGGAGTTCCGACTGGTGACATACATCAGACAGTTCTCAATGGTATTTGCCTTGAAGAAGTCCGCTACGGCAGAGAAGGTCATACGCATGCAGTAGCACATGGAGACGGTCCCCGCCACGGTCCCCAGGACGATCTTTACGTTTCTGCAGTTGGCAATGACGACGTGTGAGCAGGGAGCAATCAGAAATATGGTGCAGTTGGCGCAGTTGGCAATGACAGCTGTGGGGGGTCTATGGGTAGCGGCAGCGAAGACCCCTATCCCTGCCTTGGAAAGGCTTCTGATGCGAATGTGGTTATAGCGATCATCATACTCATATGTGGGGATCCCCGATGCAGACGTACCTGGACGAGCCTGCGGGCATCCTGACGCCAGTGCTGGGCTAGCAGGGGCACTTAGCTGCGCCTTGGCTTCCAGTGTCGGCGTCGACAAGGTTCCCGAGGTACTTAAGACGTTAGACGAAGAAGACGACAGCTGAGGCTGATAGGAGCGAATAGGATCGGGAGCTGATGAAAATACAATATTTGCACAGTCGTACGTCGTGATGTTAAAGAAGCGAGAAATAGAGCTTGCTACAGTAAGAACTGGATCACCAATAGAAATCTCGAAAAATGCACAGAATGAGTCAACGAAATCTTCCTGCTGACTTGTCTCTGCCTGAAGCAATATATCCAGGCCTTCGATAGCATCCTTCGTCAGCGCAATATCAGCTCCATTGATAGATCCTGCTTGTACAGCTTCAGGGGTAAGGCAGAGCGCAGCAATGAGGATGTTGACATTGAGTGAAAAGTAGCTTTTTATCAGCGAGTCCAGATCTTCCCCGTTCATGCTCAATGGCCACGCATCATCCGTGGCCATGGCAGACTTCTTTGAGAGCATGGAGTGTCTAAATATCACGGAAAAGAGAAATACAATGAATCTGTGAACTGTGGGAAGACTGCGAATAACACCTCGAATCCCGCAAGCAAGCGTCGCCTCGAACAAATTATAGATCATTGCAATCTCTTGTTCCTTAAGCCCGCAGCAGTCTGCGCCGACTTTTTGCCAGAGGGCAAAGGTCATCTTGTTCTGAAATTCGGTTGCACCCGTCAGACAAAGGGCTGCGATGCTTGCAAAGTTATCTAATGAGAGCCGGGACTTACTGCTGATGTTGAACAGGGTGAGGAAGATGACCTCTTCACGAAGCCGCATTCCAGGGAATTTTACCAGAGAGGCGAGTTGTTTGTTGCTTTTTCAAATTGCAATGGCTAAATATAAATGAACAAATACAATAGTAAAAGGCCAAATCATTTGCCGCTCAAATCTTTTTAATAAGACATGTCCTTTTGGAACACGAGAAGCGACTTCCGGCTAAACCACAGCACCGCTCGACCTCTGCTGACACATGAAAAGGCCTTCTACCTAGACACGATTCATCCGGTAACACAAGATTACATTACGCCGACCAGGCTCTTCCCAGTTGTTAGGCATAAAGCCCGGACGACTGCCGAAATGCGCCAAGAGATACTAGACGCTTGGGAGGAGGTGCGAGTGAAGAGCGCTGAAAAAGAACGAGAGCAGCGTTTGCTCGTTATGAAGGAAGAGGCCAAGACCCGCAAGGATACTGCGCAGCGCAGGCGCGAGGAGGCCGAGCGGCAGAGACAAATTGCGCAACGCAATGCAAAGCAAATCAGGTGCGGACGCGTCTTCTCTGAGATCTCAAGGGATCTTCGGGACTATACATTGGAGCAAATCTCTGCAGACCCAGAGCTCCAGGATCGCCTCCTTTCTATTCTACCAGGATTGCTTGCCCAGAATGCGCAGCGTATCGCGTCCCTCAAAGAAATGCTTGGCGATAAGTAAACGGTCTTTGGGCCTTACGCAAGGCCGTTGCTTTTAGATATTTAAAATTTCAGTTTCCTACATTCCCATGGCGCGCAGGGAGGACGCCAACTTCAGAGTAGTCGTGCGGATACGGCCCCTCATAGACAGAGAAAAGAGCGCTGGAGATAGGATTATTGTCTCCGCGAATGATACTCAAGTAGTGATAAAAGAGCAAACAGGGAATCCTGCTATTGACGCATATGCACCTCAGCATCGCTTCACATTTGACCGGGTTTTTGGTCCATCAACAACACAGGAAGAAATATTTGACAGCTACGTAAAGGATACCGTTGAACTAGTTCTCCAAGGCATCAACTCCACGATCTTCACGTACGGCCAGACGTCGTCTGGAAAGACGTATACCATGGTCGGGGGTTCTAGTCCACAAACGCTTGGAATTGTTCCTAGAGCTGTTGTCAAAATCTTTGATCTCATCGCCCTCCAAAGCGGAGACAAAACAGTTCCCTATTCTCGTGAGCTTGCTGAGGAGGAACACTTGCAGATCAATGCGCAGGATGGGGACCTTTTAAGGGTTCGCAGAAAATATCTCCTCTGGGTCAGCTACATGCAGATATACAACGAATCTATCAATGATTTGCTAAGCCAGGACCCCACAAAGGACATTAAAGTGCGTGAAAATTCAAAGAACGAAACCTTCTGTGACGGACTTACTGAACACATATGCAAAACCCCAGCTGATATCCTGCGGCTTGTCCAGCGTGGAAACTCGGTACGCTCAACAGAACTGACGCGTATGAACGAGCTCAGCTCACGCTCGCACGCAATACTTTCCATTGCTGTCGAGCAAGCAGTTCAGGTCAAGAATACGTCGGACAGGACCTCCGAGCCAACGGAAATCTTCAAGATGGCTAAGTTAAATTTGGTCGATTTGGCAGGCTCTGAGCGTGTTTCTCAGTCAAAGGTGGACGGGCAACGACTAGAAGAAGCCAAGCGAATTAACTCCAGCCTTACAGTCTTGGGCAATGTAATAAGCGCGCTAATAGCCCAATCACAGGGGAAGCGTAGCCATATTCCCTACAGGGACTCCAAGCTCACACGGGTCCTGCAGGACTCACTGGGCGGGAACTGCATATCCGTTCTGTGTACCAATATTAGCCCCGCCTCCAGTTGCTTCCAAGAGAGCCTTAATACGCTTAAATTTGCGGATCGGGCGAAGCAAATTAAAAACAAGGTCGGGGTTAATGAAACAGTTGATGATAACACCCTTTTGAAAAGATATGAGACTGAGATAAGAACTTTGCGGAGCGAACTAGAAAGAAGACGGGTGTCAACATCTGGCGCATTCTCATTGGGCCAAGAGCAACCAGCAAAACCCTTACAGTATTCCAAGCTTACTCCGACATTTTCCAATGCTGACGGCTTTAGTGATCCTGGTTATGGAATAATCTTGGCAACTCTCGAGCAGAGGACACGGGAGTCTCTTCAAGAAAAGAAGGAACGGCGCCTCCTTGAGGAGAAGATAGCAACGTTAGAGAGCCAGATAGGCTCCACTGGGCTAAAGGGTGCTCTTGAGCGCAACCTCTCCGCCTCAGAAGCGGATATTACAAAGACCAACAGTCTTCCGTGCAGCCCGCAGACAGCTCAGGCAAAGGCCAGAGATTATACCCGTATGAAGCAGGAGTATGAGCGCCGGCTACATTTACTAGAAAAGGAGAGGAAGGCTGTCTCTGGAGGGTCACTAGCCCTCTACGAGAATGTGCTTATGAAGCAGAAGGACCTGTTACTCGCTATTTCAGAGAGGCTATCTGATCGTGAAGAGGCAATTGAGACGTGCACAGAAGAGCTGACGCAGAGGCGCACTTATGAGAGAGTGCTGAACTGTAAGGCCTCTATGCTAAAGGAGGCTCTTCGAATCCTTCAGGGAAAAGTACAAAAGATGCTTCCTGAAGCAGGACTACCAACCTTTGTTTACGATGATGAGACCCTCAATGCAGGTGCTCTGGCTAAGATAAGTGGTGAGACAGGAGAAGAAGTGAGCTTTGATGAGCTCTCAGGTTCTGCTAGTAGTGATAGATTCTCGCGGTCCAAGAGCATTGGTAAGCTGGCAGTATTAATGGAAGCAAACCTCCAGGCTTTGAGGGAGGCTGATAGTAATCTAAGAAAGAACGACTCCGGGGCATATACTGATTTATTAGAAAAACAGTGTGATAGGATAGAGGAAAGTGTTGAAAAGTTGACCGAAGAGCTTGCTAGTCGAAGAGCTGAACTGACACGTCTCCAGAAGCTGATGACCCCCGATGGACAGGTAGAGCTAGTGAAGTTTAAAGCAACCGGTGACTACCCTGCCTTGCTGACTCATCTTTCTACTAACGCAGAGCTTCTTCCTCTACGCAACAAGATCACCGCTTATTCCAAGGAATCTACTGCTCTCCAGACAGTCATAGATAAAAAGATAGCCCCTTTGGTAACTGCTATGAAGCAGTATGCAGCACAAGAGAATCAGCAGAACCTTTGTGCATGTTACCAAAAGCTAACGACTCTGATTGATGCAACCGTCTCCGCCCTAAATGTGACTGCCGGGGACTATTCTGCAGAATAGCTGCTACACTCCTACACACAAACAAGGATCCCATTAATGAACCAAAGATAGTTCACTTGGAGTATAGCTGAACTGACAGGCCCTTGGTTGCCCTTTATAACGTACCAAGAGGGGAATGTTAGAGGAGGAGTCCACAGAATAGGATAAAAAGTAGGCGGAGCAGTGTGGAGAAGGCTCAAATGAAATAAGACATCTCTCCTTCGCGTTTCCCACTGACAATGTTTATAGCTTCTACAAAGTCTTCATGCACAACGGCTTCTCCGTGGCGGCGAAGACATACTAGTCCAGCCTCCATACAGACGGCCTTGAGCATAGCTCCACTATATTCATTAGTGGACTTGGCTATTTCCTGCAAACCAACAGCACCTGGCCTGTCACATGTTTCGGGGTCATCACTTCTTCCTATGAGCTTAATTTTCTTGCTATGAATGCACAGGATATCATATCTTCCTTTCTCGTTGGGGTAGGTAAACTCTATCTTTCTATCGAACCTACCTGACCTGGTTAATGCAGGGTCAAGGATGTCCACCCTGTTTGTGCTGGCAAGAACCTTGATGCGCTCGTCACAATCAAACCCATCCAGACAGTTTAACAGGGTGAGCATGGTCCTGGTTGAGTCTCGATCGTAGCCACCTGTGTCGGAGCGACGCCCTCCAATAGCATCTATCTCGTCAATGTAGATTATGCAACCAGCATCCATGTTCCCCTTGAGCGTGCGCTCCTTTTCAATGAGCGACTTAGCAAGATTGAATGTTTCAATAACCATTGCAGAGCCATCCCCGATATACAACTGAACCAGCTGGGTGGCCGTCAATTGTAGGAAGGAGCAGTTTGCTTCGTGTGCTAGTGCACGGGCAAGAGCTGTCTTTCCAGTCCCTGGGACACCGTACAGAAGTACGCCTTTAGAGGGCTTGATGCCAATTTTCTTAAGAAGATCAGGACGCTGCAGTGGCAGCAAGAAGCTCTCTTTGATCTGAGATATTTGTTGATCAATACCACCAAGGTCTTCAAATTTGTCCATAGGACGTTCAGTGACCTCCATAGTCTTAACACGAGCATCAACCGCTGACGGAAGCTTTTCATAAATAAAATATGTATCTTTGTTGACTGCCACCAGGTCTGTAGGGCGTAGCATCTTGCGTGGAACTGCCCCTGTTGAGGCTAAGAAGACATAGGTTTTGGAAGATGTTTTAATAATTACTCCCTCTGTTACTGTCGAGCTAGGCTTTGATCGAAGTGCCTGAGTAACCTCTCCATCAAGGCCCAGCGTGGCACGATCACTGTCTGCAAACTCCTCTTCTTTGAGCATGGCTTCCAAGGAGGAATCTGTGTTCTTTGCTGTACTTTCAGAGTCTCGATCTATGAGACTTTTCAGCTGCCGCTCGTAGGTCTTCTTTGTGGTGGCAGTTACTTCATAGTTCAGATTCAAGTGATCCTCTGAGATCTCCACAAACTCTGAGACTGTTGCTACAAGGAGTGGCAAACGCTTTGAGTTCTCTAGGTCCCTTCTATTCTTTTCTAAAAGGCCCGTGGCCTCCCGGATAATGCTCTGGTAACGTTCATGTTCACGTCTCAAAAACATGGCCTCGGACTTGATCGCTTCTATGCGCTGCGACAGCATAGCATCATCGAAGCTCTGTATCTCGGGATCGATGGGAATTTCGGGGAAGTCTTGAGACATCCACTCCGGCCCTCTATTTTTATTTTGAAAGAGTCATCGGCTCACGCTACTCCTTTCATCCACATGTAATTTACTAGAATATCAGGTTCTCTGCTAAGCGTGGTGACTGCCTGTTCTCGTGCGAGGACCTCAAGAAGAAGATTACGCAGGCGAGTGTACTGGTTTTTCAGTCGTCTGTAGCGGTCTTCTAGATCAAACGTAGACCTCTTCAGAGGAACAGATGCCGATCTCCCCACCCCCGTATGGTGCACGAGTCTTTGGTGTGCAGTGTAAGGCCGTTCTCTGAAGGAGGTGGAGCATATCAGACGCAAATTGTTCTCTGCGTCACATCTCCGGGCCTGATCAACATAGGTATCAAGCACAGGTCCAACTACTTGACTAACAAGTGCATAAAGTGCACTGGAAGATGTGTGCACAGGAAAAGACAAGGAAGGAAGAAGCCCACAGTCAGACGCATCTCCCTCTGCTCCAATCATTTTTTAATTAGCCCCCTGGTATATAAACTTCCACGTTAGCCCGCCTCGTTTGATGAAGCCGCGGAGTAGTAGATCAGATGTACATCCGAAGAAAGATCTGGTTTACCCTAACCCCTTTTGGCCTCCAACGGGGGCCTGTTGTCTACAATCGCCCTTTTCTCTGGATTACCAGGACGCCATGCTTCTGTTGTTTAGGGCCTTGGAGAGAGCTGTTAATCTCCCCATACTCCGCATGGACGATATGGCGGCCTGCTATACAGTGGCTTTTCAACGTCTTTCACTTTTAAGCTTAGACCATGACAAACTCAATATCTCATTTACGGACCCCGATAGTGATGCAGATCTACGTATGAAGAAGTCGGCTTCTGATGCCATCTCTTCTGAGGGACCGATAAGCTTTTCCAACGCCATTCCTCTCAGACGTTCCACATTACAGGTACTCACAAGTAACCCCTTGGATCTTCTTAACTTGGCCACACAGTTTTATGACTTTCTAAAGTTTCAAACAAGACTCCACAGTGAAATTTTGGCACTAATCTATTGTATTCATCGCATCCAAACATGGTCAAACTCTAGCTCAGCACAGGAATCTAATGCATCGTTTCGCAAACGATCGCATGAGTATTTTAGCTCTTATCTTTCTACATCTTTACAAAACATCAACACTATGATACGGGATTGTCCGCTATTGGTTGATGCCTATCTGTCCAAAATGGTGTGCATTTCTCTATTACGGTGCTTAGAGCCACAGATTGATACGGGACATAAGGATATGCTAAAGGAATTATTGGGTGTGGCTAACTCAGGTATTGAAAACGGTAGTGTGCTGCTTGCCCTGTACGATCAGGTGGAATACTACTCTACCAATGAATTCACTGGAGTATACAGTGAGTCTTACCTAATGCATCTTACCAATACAATGAAGTCCCTTACACACGGGCTTCTGCTTGGCTGGCACACACTGCGAGCATACAGAGTCAATCTCCTAAGGCAATTGGGAAGGTTTGATGATGCTTGTACCGAGGCCCGAGAACTCATTAAGCTAACCATTACGACCATGCAAGGCGAGAAGCACCTTTCTGCTTCTCTTTGTACTTGTGTGTCAGATACTCTCACTCTTGAACCCTTAGATCCTATCATGTTTGTTGCCCAGCAAACTAATTTTGTCCCCGTGCATTCAAAAGGGTACAATGGATTTGTTCAGCTCCCACCTCCCTTTCAGTTAGAGTTGGATAATTCCTTATCTTCATTCAGTAGTCAAAATGCTATGGGCAATACAACGACAATCAAGTTTCCCTCACTAAGAGATATCTACATGTCCTCGCCAATTGGCACTAGTCTGCCACCTGAGCCAGAAAGCTCCAACTCTAATGACCCCGTCAACACCTCAATCAACGTACCCATAAACGTAGACCAGTCCGCTTCTTTTACTGATAAGATGAGTAGTCGGCAGAAGACAAACGCCCAGGCTGCAAACACTAAGGCTAAAGATTTAAGCCACAAGGGCAGATCCCTGTCAGATACTAGTAATATGGGATGCCCAATCCATAGCGCAAGCTCTAAGCATCTAGACTATCGCTTGACTTACTTATTGGCAGTTTTGGAAGCAGGCTATGATGACGAAGCCTTCGAATACCTCATGTCTGGGGTTTTCCGCAGCAGGCTTTTCTCAAGGCTTAAGGCCAATTTGGATTACGGCACCATTTATACCACTCCCAAGAAGTCCGATTATATTAGGTTTGAAGTTCAGAACGACGAAAAGTATCACTACCATACTACTGCCACCTCTGTCAATCCTTCGCCCGTGCACTACCCAACTTATTATAGGCATTACTCAGAGGGTCTGAATCACAAGTGTGTTGACGACTATTTTGCCAATGGCCCGCAACCTGTATGTAAGGACTGCACGAAGAGGACATCTCATGGAGCGCGTCCGCATTTCGTTGTTAGGAATGATGGTGCCTACAATCAGTATACTATGCATAGCTTCCTAGCACGACACAACAAACTCTTGACCAATATACTGTATCAACGCGCCTACAAGCACATCAACCACATGTTTACAAGCAAGCACGGTACCATTCATAATAGGAAGCCACTCAGCAAACTCTCACTTGGTCGCCTGAAGCCGTCGACAAACTTCGTTCACAATCTGAGGATGTCATTCGATCCCAAACTTCTTACTATTATCAATTGTTACTTTTCGAGTCAGATACGTGGACCTCTGTCTCGCATTCTCTTCTACGGGCCATACTACCAGTTTAGATGCACAAGCGATAAGCCCTATACATCCTTTGAAGACATCCAGGACGTGATTGATATAATATCATCTTCTAGTCACCACGCTGAACAGCTGCAAGCTCAAGCAATATGGTTTAATTACCATGCGCACAACAACCAAGTAGGCACCACCACACCTGTGTCTTACTCTATCATTGATTCCCCAGCAAGCATATTCCTATGCACATCAGAGACTAAGGCGACCAACTCACTATTGCGCACAACTCCACTGACCACTACGGTAACAACCTATACACTATTATTCTTACTTCTGAAGAGGAGGGCAACATGGGCTAATAAGCTTGCGCAGTCGATCTTTGCCGAAAGGATGCTCGGTTGCAATTGTGCGCGGTCCTCTATGCTTTTCAAGAGGTCCATGAATGTGATGGACCTAGCTATGGCATGGCCAAAGAAGTGTCTGCATCTTAAGATTATGCCTTCCATGTTGCTCACGGATTTGGGAGTACGGCCTGCAATACCGTCTACCAAGCTGCTACAACTGGCTTTCTCAACAAATCCGTACGTCGTTGAGTATCTGTTAGCAAAGGCGGTCTTGCCAAGCAAGGTGGCGTTATATGGCCTGACCCTTCTATTCGATGCCAGCGCCTGTGAAGACCCAGATTGCCTTCTGGTTGCCCAGTATCCCAACGAGGACCTTCAGCTTAGTACATACAGACATGCCGTGCGTGCGTGGCAGGATCGCTACTGCAGGTCATCAGAGGAGAAGCAAGGCACATATACTATCGACCCAAAAGCTGCCTCGTGCACAGAAGCCAGGGACAAGGACATGAGGAAAACTGCCTCGCGACTGCGCCTATCAGAACGTCGTAGGGCTCTTTTCCAGCTAGTGCAGGATCAGCGTAAGCTGGAGGCAGCAATCTACGCTTCAGAATTTGGTGGTTTATGGGGATCAAACGCTCTCTATTTGCAAATATATGCACTTGCAGAGAAGCTAGCGACGGAAGACGGTATAATGGCCGGTATTCCTTTCTCGTTTTATATTCGCTCTTTGCGGATAATCACTTTGGGGGCTTGTGATGAGTGTGGGAACAGCTTCCTCAATGGAAAGGGAGTGCAGCTATCCTCGCATGGATATCTGCATATAGCCTCATTAGACTTCTTGCTACAGGCATATGTGCAGTATTTGCAATTCGAAGCGGCCAGCACTCTGAGATCTTTAGCAATTCATACGTCTATTACAGCAAAGTCATATCCCGCAGACATTATAGATACCACGGATGCCTTGGACACTAAGGATATTAAGGACACAAGCACATCGCTACGAGAAGCATTCTTCAAGAGATGGAGGCTAATATGGAGGGCGACGCTACTGCAATTCAAGGGATACCCGCCATACCTATCTCTTCGCTCAGCCCAAGCCATGAAGGAGCTATTTTATAACATGATATTCACTCACAGAAACGTATCTACTCCCGATAAGCCTGGCATGCTCAGTTACGTTAACCCTCTGTTGTGTCTTCTAAACACAAATTCACAGTTCCTAGACATCATGACACTTGCATCTACAGCCGCGAATGACAAGAATGGCTTACTGTCGCTTCTCCAGAGCTATCTGGTGGCATTCATGTCTGGCAATCAGAAGGAGCTATTTTCTGTCTCAGCTATAGAATCTCAGCCAACAAATGTCTATTTCGATATGCCTATCTTTGTCGTATTCTTTTCGTTGACAATTATTTCCATTTTAGAGTTCAAGCCCTCTTTCGCACCTGGCAGCCTTCTGTCGGAGTTCACCAGACTTACTACTTTCTCGCCTATTACCGACGCAACCACATCTGCAGGACTACTATTTTATTCTGCAAATGACTTAAGCCACCACTATATTAGTCCAATGAGCAAGACAAAGAAGCATATATCTTTAACACTATTGAATTGCATGGCTCTCGGTATGCTGTCCAGGAAGGAGGACGCCTCTAACGCCCAGATAATAGGCAACAACGCCACGTCATCGAGCGCAGCAACATTCATAGCAAATCGTGATGCATACAAAGCGCTGCAAGGCTCGACTTGTGATACCCTTGACAAGTGGCTGTCTACTAAAGTCTTAGCCACAAGCAAAATATCATCTCTATCGTTTCAATCAGGATCTAATACCCAGCATGATGTGCGAGGAAAACGCAAACCTGCGCGTTATATGAAATCATTAAGCTACCAGCACAAGCGATCACCACCGCCGTCGCGTGCACTCGAGCCACATCATTCGCAGAATATTGACGATATATTGCTGTCTTCGTTCTATATTGATGATGAGAATAGGCTTTATAGGAGCTTTCTTCGTAACCCCGGTCTTTCCTTGCGTCTTTCTAGGCTTCAGCGAACTCAGTACTTTGGACTGGCAACATTAAATACTATACTGGAGATGGAGGACATCATTGAGCGCATGTTTGTTACAGTTAACTATAGCGTCTCAGATCTTATTCTCATATACTTCATGGCACACTCTTTCGATCATACAAGTAGAAAGGCTAATCTGTCCTATATTTACGACTCGGACGCGGTTCTAAACTACCGATGCCCAATATCTTCTTTTGGAACGGCCAACATGCCACCTATCTACTATCTTGTGGAGACGGGACAAGATGAAGTCTTTATGCTGCTTATGGAACGAGTGATATCAGCACTTTCTTATAGAAACCACCTTTCTACCTTAGAGGAGAACTCCACCTCTACCGCCAGCGATTGTCCTGTCCTTCCCGAAGAGTTTTGTGGATATTCCTTTTCACTGGCCGAAGATATGGTCCTGAAAGTAGACCATGAAGATAGTGACGTGGTGTTAGAGGCTGATTCTAATTCACCACTTCTAACGTACTTGGCGGCACGACGAAAGGCCAGACTAGGACCATCCTCTGATCTAGATTTGGATGCGTTTGTTACCCCTAGTACAATCTCCTTCGGTGGAACTCACAAGATAGCAATCTATGAGGCTCAAGCAAAGATCTTGAATATCCCCTTATCTAGAGCCGAGATTGATGCCCTCTATACCGCCAAAACGTTATCTAAACAAGAAATTGAAACCTGCCTGAACCCCCTGTGGGCAAACATAGTTGGATCCACCAAGCTACTGCGCAGTAGTATTGATAGCTTGGTCCACTGCTGCTACAAAGGAGAGACGCTGCTTCATGCTGCATCTAAGAGGGATCACCTACATATTATTGAGCTAATTCTATTAATTTTTCCAGTAGATTGTTATGATCTATTACGCTCTTTTTATGCAGCTCTTCTGAATCACTCGTCGGGCGCTCTTCGTCTCTTTCTTCCCAGTCCACTTCATCCATCTCTTGAAGGTGTTAGAGATATAGCAGCAGATATAAAAGAGGGCATTTCCACAATCACCACAGAGACTCCGGAGTGCAAGTACTTACTGAAGCACTCCATAGCCGCTGCCTCTGCTCTCTCTGATATGTCTAATATTCTACTGAACTCGTTTTCGTACGATGTCAATCCGCTCTTGAAACTTGGCTCAGGCGAGTCTCCTTTCTCGCCTTTAGCCAACCATGAACAGCTAGCCGATAAGCTTCAAGAGTTCCAGCAGCTCGTCTCATCCAGTCAGTATTACTCCTTTCTTGCATGGGCACACCTTGTTAGGACATTGCGGCCATTCTGCTCTGGCACTACAGGCGGTGTCTCCTGCTTACACTGTCATCATGCTAAGTCGAGCCCCTGCAAGAAGAGCAATCTCCTTAAATATCTGTCGTTCGCGAAGACTCACTCAGCTACGAGTGAAAAGACTGAGAAAAGGCACCAGCTATCTACCATGCAAAAATTGCTTGCCCAGCAATGCTACTTTTCCGGTCACTCTCTCCATGGATGCATAGATTTACTGCTAAGCGCTAACATAGATATACGGATATGTGCCATGCAAAATATGGAACTATATAATATGCTCAGCACATTCAACAGAGCTTTTGTTATGGAACAACTGCCAATTAAAACGTCCGAGCAGCGGACAGAAATCTCTTACCCAGACCCCATAGTCTTGTTGAAATATCTTTCATATGTTTACCAAGTATTTGGTACAAGAGGATTGCCGAGTAGCAATAATAATCTGAATAGTATAGTCTTTGATCGCTTCTGCACTCCTATGTCAACGCCCTTGATTATGGCAGCCCAGTATGGAAGTCCTGTTTGTCATATACTTTGCGCCATCATAAACTCTCTGACAAAGTCTACCACTGCTGAAAGGGTGCTCAGCAATCCAAGTACACTGAGCGCATACGTCAATCATAGAGATGCATATGGACTCACCGCCCTTCATCATGCAACTATTCTGTTCATTCGAGCATTTGTTTCCATCATCAAGCATAGCCTTTCACCTATCATCTCACTAGGTCTTAGCCTTACAGCCTCTTTCCCAGCCATACATAAACCAGAAACGGTAATCTTTGATCATGAATTTGCTTGTAGTATCTTGGCCCTGTCACGGGCAAATGTTAAGGCCCTAATGCTGGCTGGAGCTGACCCTGGAATACCCGATGCCACAGGAGTGCGCTGCTGTGATAGACTCATTGCTATGTTGCTAGAGATGAATATGATACTGTTTCCACCAGAGTATGTAGTTGAGCGCTTTCATAAGGATCAGCCGACTGACATACTTATGCATCTAATACTGTGGTCAGAGAAGCACCACAAGCCTTCGCGTAGTGATGCAACTTTGAACCCTGACTCTTCTTTGACCGTTCGCATACCAATCTTAATCGAGGCTAAACACGTTAATTGGAGAGAGGAATTAGTGAAACTACAGCTCAGACAATTGCAAAGATCTGGACACCTTACAAAGGATGTGTTGTCTACTGATCGCACATCTCCACCACTAGCCCTTGATCTACGTGTCCAGATTAGCGTTGAGGTGCACCCGAAAATCTCTTCTGTATCCTCTGCCATGCAGGTCATAATACAATCCAATTGTACCCGTGTGATCTCCGAACTGTCTATCGTGCTATCAATATTCCTCGGGCTTCCCGAATATCAAGATCGCAACCAGGCCTTTTCTAATGATATCATTACCACATCCACTACCACCTTCATTCCTACCCCTGCGGAGATTGTTCCTCTCCCTTTTTGTAGTGTTAGTGCAGAGGGCATTCAGCACTATCTCGAACTCTGGTCCTCAGTGCCGGTCTTGGAGATAACGAAGCAGCCACCCCTCTCTTCACCTATGCCACCTATGCCAATGCAAGAACTACTTCTTTGGGCATACAGTCTGTACTCTGTCTATGGTCTCCGGGACTGTAGGTTCATTGACGAGTTTCATTCTAAATGGGCCACGACAGGTAACGCTTTCATTCCGTGGGATACTCAGGTGTACAGTTCCGACGCATCTGCAGAGGAAACCGTTACTTGTTCATCAGCTACAATACCTGCAGTTGACCAGCTGCCGCCTCTACTGCACTCTCTCTCACTAGAGTCTGCTATCGGCAGACTAGCACTTGGGGACAGTAGGGTGGTATACACTCGGAAATATAATTTAAAATTTTACAATAATCAATCTAATTGTCAATATTTTTCTGTACATAGATTTAGAAATCAGGTGTGGAGGCGGATATTGGGGAACTTAAGAGCTAAGCCTTCAATATGTAATGAAAGCGTACACATCCAACACATAGACTTAGACAAGACAGGGTCTGCCATAGTCGATACCATAACGATGTCCGTGTCGCACACACTACTTCAGAGCTCACTACTGGACTTTCCGAACCAGATGCTATCCACTGCAGACATCTTCACTCTTCTCAAGGAGTCCTTAGTTATATGCTTCCATGAAGAGGAAGCGTGTATAGAGTCTGAAGGCCGTGACTCACTGTGCGCCACTGTTACCTACAGAGATGTACTCGGTCTTTCTAGCTCAGCTGACGACTCCGTTCTTCTGGATCTTCGAACGATATTTCGTCGTGCTAGGGTGCTCTCTATTTTGGCTGACAACATCTGCCCGCGATCGACTCTTCTATTCTGTTCGCCCGATGATCTGTGCTTCCCATCTGCGTGGATGCTGTCTCAGTGTTTCGCGGGGTCGAAGGTGTTCCTTGAGTCACTTTACTCAAGCAACTGCAACAACGATCTAGCGGAGGGCATAGACGAACTGTACGCTCCAAAGATTCCTCTGTTGGACGCTATGATTGATAGAACACTCCAGTCTACCAAAATATGTTCCACCCTCTTTGACGGCAGAGTCACAGAGGAAGCGGAGCCCGTAGACAAAAGAACTGTACTGTTCACACCGAATCGGCTAGGCTTCGCTAGGCTGCAAAATAAACACATTTAGCCGGACATAGACACCGAAACTTAGTTTTTGTACACCGAAGACGCATCTTGGTCCATCTGAGGGAACATGACTGCTTGATATGGCTGGCCGAAGCCAGCGCCAGGGGGCACACCCATTACCGGCTGACCACTGCCAGCAGCCGGGAGCCAATACATTAACCACTGGTATGGTACCGATGGATGATTTAAGAATCCAGGGCCTGCAACTGGCGTCTGAAGAGACAGCTGTTGCCATGCAGTAGGCACAACTGGCCCCTGGCTTGGAGCTGGCGAGGTAGAGGCAGCAGCAGCAGCAGTTGCCGTTGCAGCGGTCGTGGGGGGAGAGAAGGCCGAAAGGCCCACTGGAAACACCGGCTGCGAGACCATTTGGGAAGAGGAAAAAGGTGGTTGTTGTGTAAACGAGTTCGTCGCCGGCTGATCAGCTGAGTTGGCAGTACCGTCAGTCGCAAGGGCAGCAAGAGTCGGCTTCTGATCGGCCGGATGTTGCCTCGTTTTTGACACAATAGAAACCGCGTGACGCTTAGTAGGAAGCGTAATTTTCTTGCGGCTCAGAATACGCTGTATGTCACGGCTTCTGAGCATGTTGTTGTAAGTCATCATAATCTCCTGTCGAGGATACTTGGACTCAAATAGATTACGAATTGTAAGTTGAAAACCATCCTCTAAAATTGTTTGAGTCTCAATCCCCTGGATAATAGCGTCCTTAATTATTTTCTTGTCTTCTGCTGACATCTTAATACCGGATATGCGACGCAGATGCGTTTCGTTATACCAATGATAGACACTTGCGCGGGTCATGCCCAAATCCTTAGCGATACTTGGCCAGTTAACACGCATTTTGGAAACATAACTATGAAGCGTTACCGGATTTTTAATAAGCTGCTCCATCGAGTGCTGGGGATCTAGCGTGGCGATGACTTGTACAGCAAGGGCACGCAATACTGCACGATGAACATCGTTATAATCATCCGGTACAAGCATTTTTTTCAATTCAAGACCGTTAATATATTTTGTGGTCTTTAACAGTCAATGTGCCCTAGAAGCCGCTATCCCGTTAAAGCGCCTCTTTCAGTTTATAACCGAGCAAAAAGCTTCGTTCAGGCCCTCGAGTCATGTACTAATCATGTACTGTCATGTACTATTTGAGTTGTAATTCGTGCAGTCAAGAAGTCATGACCGGCTCAACCCTCTGCTGTAAATCTCGAAGCATATGTCACCGCGTCGTGTGGTCTTCTTGACCGAGCATCTAAATATTTTCGATGACAAACCTTTAGCTAATTTATAAAGGGTTTCTGTTTAGGCAGTATCTTTGGCACGATTCTCCTCTTCGCCCTCTGGGCCCTGTCTATTTTCCCCTGTCAGAATGGTTTATGTATGGCATATCAAATTTTTGTCAAATTATATAGACCATTCAGCTTAGAATCTTGCTTAAGGAAGTGTGCTTCCGGTCTAGACGGTGAAGGTTTACTTCGCTAGTATTTACTAGTAATTTCTTTCGGTATAATCTTATGAGATCTCCTACTCTTGAAGAGTACATCTCTTACTTTCGTTCTTTGCAAAGTGCAAAAGCTTTTGCCTTTCTCTTATGACTGCAGAGGGCTGTAAGGATGGGATGGCCGAAGAGCTTTGAGGAGGTTTTTGGGGGACCTCGGGCTATGGCTATAGCCTCAGAAACAGGTCTGCGCAGCCATAGTCAAGATGCTGTCTTCTTCCGACTGTCCATTCCAGCACTGATACGCTCGACTTTGGAGGATGCGCCATGTTCTGCGGCTGCAGGCAGGCAGGAGATGAGGCCAATAGTTCATCCATGCTGGGCGCAAAAAGGTCTATAGCCAGTCCACTGTATAGTTTAGCTGAATCACATGTTAATTTATATGCCTGTCTAACTCTGTGTGCCACATGGAATAGACCTGCAAACAGAAACGAGGAGGCTACGCCAGCTCCAAACCGATAATAGAGCGCCTCGAATAGCCCCTGAAAAGCGTCAGAAAGCGTCCTATCACATAAGTCTAAGATGTTGGGGAAGGCCATCGAAATTAGATGGTCCAGCAGAGGAGACCCTTGCTGAATAGGGACACACGATAGCATCATGCTCTCTGCCACCCGCATACCCATCAAGCGCATAGACCCGTCTCTCTCTGCAAGCGCATGCGATGCAACTCCAACCGTACCCTCCAAGAGTGCCATGTATGTGGTGCACCTTGTTTCACAGCTCTCTCTACTGCTCTCAGGCAACATCTGTGTACTTGTTAGTGATACCATGTTAAATGCGTAGGTTATTGTGCGAAGTATTGACAATTTAATGGCCCGATCCGGTAGTGCGCCATATTGAACGAGCAGGAACGGGAGAGCAGCACCAACTCCAGCAGAGAGCAAGACTGCAGCAGCTGCATGACACAAGACTAGTCTTGTTGATCTAGAAACAGTACCTTCGGTGATAAAGAGTGCCCAAAAGAGATCGTGAAGTGGACACACCTTACTTGCCTGTACTACTGCTTCTACTGCTAATTGCTCCAAGACACGAACACTGACGCTCTCTAGTGCATCGGGAATCAGACGCAAGCATTGAAGGATGTCTGGTCCCATGTTCTCTACCAGACTAGAGTGCAGCTCAAATTTCGAGAGATGCTTGTGTGCCTGAGAACTGACTGTTTCGAACACCTTATATGTCGCACACAAGTAGCTACATGCATCTTTCTTATCTGCTTTCATCCGCTCAGAAATCATGGTCTCGTGGATCTGGGCACATATAACAGGTAGAAACGACACCAGTGGCCGTATCTGAGTGTGCGAAAAGGAGATGCCAGAGTTCATGATATCTACTAGGAGCTCACACACGATACTGAACCGCAATGCATCTGTGTCTGGCCTGAGGAGTTGAAATTGAGAAGCTATGAGGACAAATGCCCTTTCAAATAGCTCAGCAACCCCACTAATAGTAACATCTTCTAGGCTCTTTGATTCCACCAATAAGCGCAAGTAGATGGACAAGGGACCCAGGTACTGCGCAAAATCATTGCTGCACAGGTACTGCCTGAATTGCGGTAAGACGTGCTCAACTATGAGCACGCGCAATACACCAGGCGTAAGACTAGCTACACTGATGAGACCCTGATGAATATCATGTAACAGTGAAAGGAATCCGTGATCAGTCCGGTGAATGGCCAGGATCAGTCTCTCCAGTGATTGTAGGAGCTGGAGAAGGACTGGTTTGGATAATGATTGATGCTTAGTTGAAGAGAAGCGTCGGAGGGCAAGCATTATTATGGAAAGAAGCGTTTTATCTGATGCTAGGTTGTGCATTTGTCCCTGTCTGCGTCTTAGAAGCAGGAGAAAAGCATTGAAGATAATCTCAGGGAACAGAAGCGCAAGGTCTTGGAACACAGATGTAAAATGAAAATAAACATCACCAGGATAGTCTGACTTAGGAAGTAGGCATAGCCCTAAGATATTAGCTCCTTTTCGTTCAAGAAATCCATACACTTTCTCTCTAAAAGACTCGGCAACTGGAGCTATTCTCAAAAAGGCATTGAGAAGGAAGCAAACAGAACGGATTCCGTGGGCAGAAAAGACTTGATTAACACTGCTAAATTTGTTACCAAGAGTGTCAATAGCGGACGAGAAAAACGCACAAAGGCGGTAATCCAAACCACATATAATGGTGTGTGCATGCACAGACCAGCATATGGCCTCAATGTAAACCAATCCGTGTCTTATTAATGAGTTTGGGTGGGAAGCCAGCGTCACGAAGTGCTCATGCATTACAGAGATAGCATCTGGCGTTTCCCCTAAGCACAGCAGAATTTTCAGTATCTCTTGTGCCTGAGGGAGAGTTTTATCTAACTTTTGACAGAGACAGCTGCACAAAGTCAGGTAGTCAGTCCAGGCAATGGTTGTGACGCAGTTATGACTCTTCAGCATCCAAGTGGTGAAGAAGTGCAGGCCATCGATAACAGTTTCGCATGAGAATGAGACAGACTTTGAGAATCCATCATCATCCTTTCTATTGTTCTTAATGAATGTGGTAGTTAGTTCTTGAACAAGCCAATCAATGAAAAATGGGTTATATGCCTGCTGCATGCGTAGAACAAAGCGGAAGAAGAACGAAGCGTAGAGGTCAATAGCCATCGATGAGTCCGGTCCGGTCTCTGCCTTAATGCCCTCAAGTTGCTCTTTAATGAAGGATAGAACAAGCGAGATAAACGTGGTCATTGGGGTTGTTGTTTCAAGGACAGTGAAAAGAGTCGCAGACAACTTTCCAAAGGTAGCGATGCCAGCCTTACGGTCGAGCCGAGAGAATGCGGTCTTTAAGATGGAAAAGCGAGAAGACTGCCTTACGATATGGTGAATGTATTCACGATACGGCAGTTTTTTGCTTATGATGGCAGATAAAAGATCAAGTTGACTATCTATCTTATCGCCAAGTGGGTGCCGGCAAAGTCTTGCTATCAGCTTCTTAAGAATTTGCATGTGGATATTTGTGCTGCACTCGGGAATATAATCTGCTAGGATGCTGCAGATATCTTTAGAGCTATTGCGGCGAATAAATTCATCATAAAGGGTGTTTGGGCCCAAGGAGCCATTTTTGGCTTGTAAAGCTGCATCTGTAACAAAAAACCTAACAAGTTTTCCATGGGTGCTACACTTAAGTGCTGGTTCGATTGTCGCTGGTCCCGGCAGCATTTTAAAAAGAACTCCCTATCGCTCCCCAGGAATGAGCTATGGGTTTATTATGGGACTTTGCATGGCCTGTACAATGCTCGGGGTCTCTATGAAGGTCAATGCAGTGGAAAAGATGATTGCAGAAGGCCCGTTGTCGCTATATGACGTCATCATATACAGGCCTAATAGTGGTCCGCTAATGCTCCTAGCCATCTATGTACTCCGAAGGCTGGGTCCCTACAGTCTGCTTCTTCATTTCCTTTGGCCGGTTACCCTTGATCTTGTCGTTGGAGCCTTGTATGAGCACACAGCAAAGAAGTTTTTTAGAGAGATGGCTCGGTTGCTTAACCGGTATCTCAAGGAGCCCGACAAGCAGCCCTATAAACGTAAGACTCTCTCCCTAGTAGTATCTTGCTTCACAGCTCCCGGGGTCTCTGTTTTGGTCTACATTCAGAGGAAGATGATGATCACGGAGCTTTTCCTTCTCAATGTCTACTTCTACTTGCTGCAGGGCTCCCATGCTCCATACACGGCCTGCATCAGCACGGCCCTGGTAATGTTAGACTCTAATTACTTTCCGATAGCGGTGTTTACCTCCGTTTACTGCCTCTCATGGACGTTCCTTGTGCCACGAGCTTCTACGAGGCGCTACAGGAATTACATATTTAAGGTTGCTGGAAGACTTCTGCACATTGTTATTCTTCAACTGGTCCTTATTGCAGTGCTCATTGTCCCTTTTGCTCTGATGCATGATGATCCTGCAGAACTGTTAGGATTTATTGGTAGCAGGTTGCATGCCATGTTTGTTGTAAGACCAGAATCGGTGGCACATTCCGGAAACAATATGCACGACCCTCACTCCATACCCCTTCCTTCCTTCTGGGACATTGTATGCTTCCTGAAGGCCATGACATCGGGCAGATTTGATGATCTAACAGATTACATAGAAGATAATAGTCTTTGGGTGTGGAGCGCAGTGACCGTCATAATATTCGTTGGGATTAATCTTTCAATCATGTTCGCGTGGATGCGGCGACACGCAAGTGTAGAACCCATACATCAAGTCCTATTGTGTTTTAGTACACTAATGAGTTTCGTTGTGTTTATCCCAGAGCGGAGTTTCACGATTATTTTGCCGGTGTTGACAGCAATATATTACATTTTATTGGATCTCATTTCCACAACCTCACAAACGGCAACACAGAAGGGTCTGGAGCATGCTGTGGCAACGGAAAGGACGCATCTTGGTTTGCACCCTATTGCTACCCAGCGGGGGTTGATGAGACAAAGCAGGGTGACAGGAAGGTGCAGATGTACAGGGACAAGCACCAGCCTGAAGGACGTAGTCAACATTATTCCTACTAGCTTGGCATCTATCAGCGATACTCCATTTGCCTGTTTAAAGAACGAAAATTCAAGCTTTGACACTGGTACCAGCACCAACAACGATCCTCAAAAACAGCTTCATCAAAAGTGGTTGAAGAATTATAACAATCTTCGCTACAAGCATCTTTCACAGAAGATTTTGGCAAATCGTAATCACATGATTACACACCCCTTCAATGACCTCTTCGTGACCAATGATCTGATTCTCGGTAGCAACGTCTATAGAACTTTAAGCACAAGGGATAAGTGGAAGAGAGCAGATCAGACGTCGAAGAATAGAGCAGATGAAAGTCAATCAGCGCTCAAGTACATAAGGGACGAGAGAGCGGATAGTCTTTTCGGGAACGATGAGGCTCTATGCAGTTGTTTCTCTGGAACGCACCTGGCGTACTTCAACAAAAACATCAGAAACGGAATAGACACGGCCGGGTCTCACTTCTTGGACTTTCTTGAAGAATACAGAGACAGGCTCTCTCACTTGCTTCCATTGATTCTCCAGATGCTTTTTGCCTTCTACAACATGTATTCATCCGTCCAGAACACGGGAATAGTGCGCAGGTATAGCCAAGTGTTTAACGTAGCGTCATTCCTTGCGCTTCGCAGGGCGTTCAAAGAGAACGAGAAAACCTTAATGTGGTCTCTGCCGTTCTTGTGCATTGATCTCTTTGGAGTGGAGTGGGTTCTGCTCAACAGAGGCGTCAAGATGATTCTGGCCCTCTTTATGATCATGTGCAACACGGCTCTTCTGGCATTTGTCGGCTTTAAGTTTCTGGAAATTTAATAAAATTAAATTGAATTCTTGCAAGCGAAAAGCGGCTCAGGCGAGCTATGGCCAAGAGGACTAAAAAGGTTGGTCTCACCGGGAAGTACGGCACTCGCTATGGGAGGGCTGCCCGCAAGCAGCTCCTCAAGATAGAGACCAGCCAGAAGGCGAAGTACACATGCCCTTTCTGCGCCAAGGACAAGGTGCGTAGGACGGCCTGCGGGATCTGGACCTGCAGGTCCTGCTCCAAGACGATGGCCGGCGGCGCGTACAGCCTCCACACAGAGCCTGCCAACGCAGCCAGGGCCACGATCCGCCGCCTCCGTCTGGCCCGTGAAGACGCACAGTAAAGTAAACAGAGTGGACCTGGCACTGCGGTTTGCAACTGTCTGCATAGCTCGTTTACTCGTCCTCGAGCCAGTTGCTGTCCCGGATGAAGGTCAACATCTCGAGCACAAGGGAGTCCGTACTGTGGATGCTTGCGTAGAGGAGGCGGTCCATGAGGGATGGAGGCTTCTCCACAAGAAGCACCTGAGACCGCCTGCCACGCTCGACCATCCTTTGGGTATACCCCTGCTTGAAGCGGTTTGTCTCTGGAGGACTCGTGTATGCCCCAGATTCTCGGAGGCGTCGTCGTGCATCCTCGCGCTCCTGCTTGTTACGCGCCGTAGGATAGTTTCTTTTGCGCTCACTAGTCCATGTTTCACCTCCCTCTCGCTGCTGTGGGGTCAGGCGCCGCACGGTCGCCGGTATGAGCTCGCTAGACATTTAATCCACTAATTTTGCTGCGTGCTCAAGCCTCCTGTTATACAGTTCCATCAGGGTGTCGTACTCCGAGTCTGCAAAAGGGTCGGTGTCTGGCACTGCTTGCGGGGGCTGCATCTGTGCAGGCGCAGGTGGGGCAGGTATATATTTCTGGCATCCATCGACCATGTAACACAGCGGCTCGAAGGAGGCAGTCGGCCGATCCATAGAAAATTAAAGATGCACGTTGAGGTTAGGGTCGGACAACCCGTGCCCGCCAGCCTCCAGAGTGCTTTCGATATTCAGATACGGCCCGCCCCAAACCTGGGCCTGGCAGTAGAGCAGGCGGCCGAGATCCAAAGCTTCCTGGAGTCTGCTCTCCCGCCGTGCGTGGCCATGGAAGAGCTGCGAGGATTCCAGACGGCGATTACCGTCTACATTATGCTCGTAGACGACGCCTCTACGGATGCGTTCGCAAACCTCCTGGGAAGCGTGCTGCGCGCACTCGAGCGGGCAGGAGTCCCCGTCCTGGGCATCCCCGTCGCGCAGCCGCTCTGGGGGTCCTTCACAGCCCTGACGCTCCCCGGCACAGACCTAGTCGTCAGTGTCCAGCGCGGGAAGTGAACTGCAGGGCTTGTTTACTGGGCGGGGCTTAGAGCTCGAGGGCTCCCTCCGGGCAGGCGGACACGCAGGCGCCGCACTCGACGCAGGCGTCGATGTTCGGGGTCAGGACCACCTTGGCGCCTTGGGGAAGCTCGAAGACAGAGACGGGGCACGCGTCGACGCAGGCGCCGGCGGCAGAGCACTTGGAGGCAGTGAGCTTGATGGGCATTTTAAAATCGCCATAAAAGTAAAAACTCCTTTTTGTGGCACCACAAATTTTAAGCACCCGGACAGTTTGGCGATTTCGCAATATTGAGTGTATCGTGGGCCGGCTTTCATCATAGCCCATTAGGTACATAAAAACAGAGTTTTTACTTTTTGAACACGCTTTATACTCATGCGCGGAGTCCTCTCTGCTCTCCCCAGCACTTTCCACAGCCACTTTGTCCCACCATCCGTGGCACCGCTTCCTAGTGCTGGGCCTAAAAGTGCCTCGGAACCTTCTCTCCCCCTCGTTGGAGACCACCTGCATACTCTCGAACCATATGCACAGCAGCTCACAGCACAACAACAGAAGCGTCCTCGGTTCCGGCTGCTGGTGGCAAAGCTTCCCCGGGGAACGAGCCCTCTCCAGCTAACAACACCACTAGAGCAGGCCTTTCCATGTAGTGTGGATAATATTACACTACCCTCCAGTAAGCACGGAAAGCGCCCAAGGAATTTTGCCATAATCGACTTGCACTACAGAATCGATCTCTCTAAAGCTCAAGAGGTTTATAGACAGGCCAATCTAACCATTAAGATGAAGGCTGTGGACGTCAAGGAATCTGTGTAATTCCTTTAGCTTTTGATCAACGCTCATTAAGTCGGCGTCCCCAGCATAGCTCCCGAAGCTATAGTCATACGTTAGTGATTGTTCCAACAAGGCGTTGACCTTGTCCAGAATCTGCCCCTCCGGCTTATCTGTAGTGACTGTGGGGCTGCTCAGCACCAACCCCGGCTCATCTGTATGATAGCTATCCCCATTGTTCTCGTCATTGTCGTGCACGCGCAGGATTGCTGGGGTTTCTCTCACGTCAATCCCATCTTTCTCTCGTGCAGTGGCGTACATTGACTGCAATTCTGTGCTCATCACCTCTGGGATCTCGCTAGAGATGATCAAGTCGCAGATTTTCAATATCTTCTGCTCATCTGTGCAGCCATCGTTAGAGTTGATGACGTTCTTGGATATCTCGATAATCAGGTCTATCATTTTCTGACACTTGGGGGCCATGTCCTTCAACAGGGCTGTCATGGAATCAATTTCATTTCCAAATTTAGCGTTCAAGCTTGCGTTTTCTGCCTCCAAAGCGCCGATTTTCTCTGCTTGCTCATCTACCTTAGACCTTTCTTCCAAGATCTGCCCATTGATCCATGTGAGCTCATCATTTAAGCGATTGATCTCTGCTTTTAATTTATCTCTTTCCTTATATAGGCCTATACACGTTTGACAGGTGGCGTCTAGAGTCTTGCTGCCCTCGCCAAAATCGGTGTTCAACACTATTCTTTCAACCAAGCTGCTGATGGTCTGGCTCTTGTCTAGCCCGACACCATAGGACGGTGCCCCACTGCCACTGGCATCCAATTGCTCCACATCGAGCGCGCTTGATATGATATCCTGGTGGTCTGCTGGAACCGGCGTCAGCGGTGATGTTTGAATGCTCTTGTCACCGCCTTCTGTGCTCACGGGACCAGAATAGGCAGTCTTTGCTTTCAGAGAAAGAGATGCGGAGTCGTGCTCTTCCTTCCAACGAAGCAGTTCTTCATACTTGTCCCTCAGTTGGCCATGCTCGACAAGGAAGTCGTTCTGAACGGCTTGTAAACTATTATTCAACTGCACGGCGGTAGCATTCTCCTCCAGTAGCTTGTGAACCTTGTCCTCTAAGTGATCCTTTCTCTCGGTTAGTTGCCGGATTTCTGTTAAAAGAAGTTCATTGCTATTTTTCTGTCTGTGCATCTCCAGCAGCTGGGCTCTCAGATGCTTCACTTCCTCTTGCCTCTCTGCTAGCGCATCCCTTGCAATTTTAGTGGCATTAGTAATTTCAGTTATAAGTTGCTTGCACGTAGCGTTCTTGACGCGAAGCTGCTGATTTTCAATCTCAAGATTTGCTATTTGCTTTCTTTCCTTGCAGCCGTTTAGAATGGCAAATAACACACGTTCATCCACTTTCAAATCAGATGCTCGTGCCTTAAGGGCCATTTTCAGTCTGACAATGTACTCTTCTTGGAATTTAAGCTCTCTAGTCTGCTCAGCTGCAGCCTGCTGTACCTTGAGGAGGTCTGTCTTCAAGGACGAAATCTGTGCTTCTTTTGCCACGATGTCCTTGCGCAGTGCCTGGACGTCCATTTTCTTGGTGAAGAAAGAGTAAAGCCGAGTTTTTTACTAGAGTGCAATCTTACTACAAAAGCAGCTAGACGAGTATGATGTCTGTAGGGTCATCTGGGCGCTTGCATCGCTGCCAGAAGCCTATCACTGATGTTGTAAGCACGAAGGTAGTCGCAATTGCCCCCATGGCGGCAACTAGAGTGTCTCTGCTAAAAACAGGCCCTGTCCACTTCACATTTAGTAAGTCAGGCACTTGGTACACAGTGGCGAATGGGACATCTACACATTTCTTTTCATTTCCATACAAAGGCAGGCAGTACTGCGTGCGGGTTGGAATCACAAGAGGCACGAACGTGTCCCAACAATAGTGTTCACCAGTGTAGTCAACCACGGGCACTCCAGTCCCGCAGGATTCGCAGTTTACACAGGCAACCAAAAGGAGTAGGCAGCCAAACATTCTCGACGCTCAGAAGGTTCTAAAATGGCCCCAAAATGCTTTATTTAGCTCATCGGCTGAAACGGTAAACAAGTGAAGCTAGTACACAAATACAGCTTACATGCCGAAGCGCCACTAGAACTCAAAGTCGCCAAATTCATCCTCCTGTATATTTTCATAGTTAAACCCGGCAATTGGCTGAGTGTCGTTGCTAATGGTGACTCCGAGGCTTAGATCACCGTAGTTATCAAGAGTATAGTCGCCCTGCGAAGGCTGGGCTTGCTGCGCGGGCTTAGTGCGCTCCAGCACGATTCCAGAGACAAAGTCGCCACCGGCCATGAACTCCGAGTTGAGACTGGGATGTGGTCTCGTTGAGATTGCGTCATCCGTAGCAGCGTGGATGCTGCTGATGTCTTTAATATCGTTTAGCTCTGATGCGGCATTGGTTAAAATGCTTGTTGTTCCCTCTGGCATGCCAATCAGCCGTGCTGCCGCTTTCCCCGCCACCAGGGCCGAGTCCACAGCAGCGCTTTCTCCCATTGCACTGAGGTTGCTGTCGCCAGTCAAGATAGAGTCGGCACTCGGCCCAGGCTTCTGAACCATTGAACCAGGACCAAACCCAGAGTGAATCGTGCTATCTGCGGGTGTGATGGTGCTGTCGTACGCCTGCATATCTCGGCCTACTGCGTCCAGCAAGTTTAGTGTGGCTTGGCGGGTTGGTCCGCCCGTTGATTCGGTGATCGCGCTGCTTAACGACTCAGTATAGCCAGAGCCCGCCTTACTGAGGGTATCGTCCTGCTGGAGTTTTGCTAACGACTTTATCCCTCTACTAGAAGAGCTGCCAGATGCAGATACATCGCTGTCCTCAACTAGAAGGGCGCTTTGAAGATATGCATGACTGCTGTTGTCATACATACACGGATCAGGAACAACGAGCTCGGTCACAAGATGCTCGCTGTGTGCAGCTGACTCTGCATTCTCCTGCGCCTTCGTAGGAGACATAGTCAGATCTCTATTAAGCTTCCCCTGGATCTCAGCGGCTCTACGGGCATGCGCAGCTGTGTCGGGCGAAAGCATGGAATTTCGCGCCAAACTTCTATCTGCATATTTGAACGAGAAGTCAGTCATCCTGCTGGGGCTTTGCCTACTGCTTGAGGTTTCGTCTGGACCAAGGGAAACCCCCGGGGCCATGCTGGCGTTCGAGATGGTGAGATTGGCTTCCTGAGACTGATCATCTCCAAATGGATTATCTTGCTTGAGAGTGAACGCAGACCCCTTTACCGGCTGAGTCGGGATAATTTTCTCACAGTCATCGTGGCGCCTAGGTGAGGCGGTGTTTCGGGCGGGGCTCGTGTACTCAGAAATAGGCTCCATGCTCATATCGGAGAATGCAGCACCAATATCGGAATGGCCTGGAGAGTGCGTGCCGGGAGAAGACATAAATTCATAACTGTCCACCTCTGGCAAATCACTAAACGGTCTTCCAGATTCTAATTCAAGGACCTTCAAGGTGTTCACCATTCCTTTGTCTGTGAGCCACTTCACCAGATATGCAAGGACCTTGAGATCCTCGTCACAAATAAAGTTCGCTGCCTGTAGCAGGGGATCTACCTCGTTCAGTTCCCGGTGATGAAGGATGCCCCAAACCTGTGCGTACATGAAGGCCTTAACCTTAGCTAGCACCCCAGCAGTGTCTAGCGCTGCAAAAACGCCGCGCTTAAGATCCGGGGACTCATCAAGACTCATTGGCTTTTTGGTCCTTGGGTTTTTGATTTCTTCAGGTTCTTCGGTTCCTTCGCTTAATGAGAGTGAGTGATCAACCCATCTGGTATGCGCGGTATTACAAGAGAACATGCAGAGAGAAATTCGCTCCATAGAAGATGCAAGATTGTCTCCTTCTGGGTCAAGGCCAAGACGATCCTGGTAGAAACGTGAGAGCCCCAGCTGATCCCCAGGCTGGGTGTAACCAGTCTATTAGAGGACATTACCACGTCGCGTGAAAACGTGCGGTCACTTTTGTAAGATATTTGCACGGTTTCTGGGAAGAGTAGAGAAGTGAACGGTACCACCATAGACTCCGAAATGAGAGTGGACTGAGAATCGTTAGGGTCACCATGGATTAGTAGCTGATTGCTAACTCTATCTTCTCCACAATCACTGACACCCGGGATTACTGGCGTATAGACATAGAGCTGATCAGTTGGAAGAGTGTTAGTAGGAAGCCGGGGAAGAGCATTGGGAATAGATTGCCCCGGGAACTGATGTCTTCTAGAATGCTGCTGTGCAGATGAGGCTAATTGAGGAGTTGCAATGTAATCTCCCACGTGATTAGTCAACAGCACGGCGAGGTTCTTCAAACACGCAATGTTGAGCAAAGCCTGTCCCATCTCATACCCCGGATTATTGAGCTGAGACTCACTGGAGTTTGGCTTAGTGTAGAGAATGCGCAGGAAGCCAATACTGTCTACGCAGATAAGCTTCAATGCAGGACACTGTCTGCACAACTCCCAGACTTGGCCCGATGATTCAAAGAGCTTTACAAGGCCAGTAGGGGATAGTTCACGCAAGAAGTACAGTCTCTTCAGAACCATCGTTGTATTCACTTGAGTGTCAGTGAGAAAGGGGGAAAGATAGGTCAGGAGATCAACGAGGGTGCTGAGGACGTCTTCTACCGATGTTACTATTAAGGCTATGTAATGCTCCGTCGTCAAGAGCACCACGGAGATGACGTACAGCAGTATGCGCGTCTTACCCGTGCCAGATTCCCCTGCAATCTCAGTTATGTGCTGCTCTCGTATAACGTTTGCCAAGACCAGATCAAATGGTGACATAGTCTTTAGGTGCTTAAAGTTGGGAATAAACAAACTAGACTCCGGCCTTAACCCTGATCCTGCCGAGGCGAACAATCTAACAATGCCGCACGCATCACAGATTTTAGACTTAATTTCTTCAATCTCTCGGACTGATTTATTCTGTTTGACGGCCAATTCATAGCTGTCAGAATTTAGAAAGTTTGCAATTGTGAGACCACCAAGCTTTGTCAAGAAAGATGCGCGTAGGGCCTCGCCAAAATCTAATTCATATTTGTGCCTATTCATTTTAATAAATGACAAGCTTTGTGTCGTCCTTTTAAGAATTAAAAAACACCCTCCCAGCGCTTACCCAGATATGGTAAACTTTGAGGATTGCTCGTTCAGCAATCCAGTCACAGTTTCGGCCAAGAAGAATACCTACCTACAAGATAAAGCCAAGATAGAGCTGTCCCTTTCTTGTAACTCTGACGGCACCCTGACTCTAGAATCCAGGGGCAGGCAGCGAACCAAAATTTCTAAGGTAGTTGCAAGCAAGGTGGGATTCTTGAGGGCTGAAGGAAGTGACGCCAGCGGCGTCTTGCAGATTGCCACCCACTTGAAGATTATATTCACGGACAACAAAATCGTGGATAGCGGCTACGACCTCCTGTCCATTAAGTTTAATTTTGCAGGCTTCACACCAGACATTAATAACATGAAATACTTACTGAGCGTTCTGAAGGACTTGCCAACGGACAAATCTACTTTGCCGGGGAACCGGCAATCCACTTCCTCAGACATGACGACAGCCGCTGTAAACTCTGCGGTCACTAGATTGCCCTTGGCACAAGATCAGTCCATCTACACCTTCTTGATGGAGAGAAATGTGCAATGTGAAACGCTCCCTTCTTGCACCATTATGGCTGCAGACGATGAGTCGGCCGGCTACGATGAGAGTTGTGAGATGAACGCACTGTATGTCGAGCTGGCCAATTATGAGCCGGTGCGATTGAGTGGAGCCAATTCCTCACAAAACGAAGGCTATCTCTGTGCAGATCCTGACCCAGATCTCAGTAACATAGGCTTTAGACTCATATTTCCCAAGGCTAGCATAGTAGAATGCGCACAAGGAGGTGACAGAGGTTCACTCACAAAAGCCGACAGTGATGAAGGAGAGAATCCTTGGCTTAAGCTGGTAAGACTCGCAGAGAATACTTCCTTCAAGGGAGCTCCAGAGTTAGTATCGGAGTCTGGCCCTATCTACCCTGATCTGGAGCAGGAGCCTAGCTCTCAAGAAGAAATGCCCGTTGAAGATGCATCCTTATCGACCTCCTTGCCCGTTAGTAATATGGTGAGGGCTAGCAAACCAAACACTCAAGCCACCTTCAGGCAAGAGTCTATCAAGTCAACTGATGGTAACAATAGTGAGCAGCAGGAACCTGACAGAGCCTTGGTGTCCTACTTCTCGAGTGGTAAGAACTTACAATCCTTTTATAAACATTAGTACGAGGACTTTGGTCCGCACTAACCGTTATTCTGTCTTGCTCGTTAACATATCCTGGACCACTTGGCACAGCGGCTCAAAATCGCGCTCGACGTTTTCTCCAACAAGATCTCCGTCCACATTATAATACTCGCCTATACTCTTCTCTAGGAGTAAATTCTCCTTGTGCTTGACCGTATACAGTCCTGTCCGGGGGCAGAGGCGTCCGGAAATTCGCACCGTCCGACCCTTCGCATCAGTGAGTACGAAGATGGTGCTGTCCTTAGCCTCCAGAACCTTGTGGATTAGATAGAGAGACCAAAACAGAAGTAGACCAACGACAATCGATATGCGGCGAGTCTCTAATGGCACTTTCAAGACCGTCGGAATTCCAATAAATACGCCGGCTGCCAGGACCGAAGACCAGCCAAAGGCCAGGGCTGGAACTCTAGGATCGTACTTGGAACGAATATTATGGCGTGCAAAGAGCTCCACAATTGCAGAAGTTAAAACACGGACAACTTCAAGATTGTTATCGAGGTTGACGTGTGTCCGGTCGACGCTCAATGTGGACTTGCAGAACGAGGGCTTGGGCGGCATTTTCAGTTTCAAAACAATTTATCCTTTAGTACAGCCATTTTCATCTGTAATTTCTAATGATTTATTTTTTGAAGTGCAATTTATTGATGCCCCGCTCGAAGAGGTCTAAGACAGTGGTCCTTGCAAAAGTGGAGAAGAAAACACGAGAGGCCAAGCAGGAGATTATCAAGCAGATTAGGGAGGCATTCGACACATACGACACCGTCTATGTGATTGACTCTCATAACATGACTAGCTCGTCATGGCAGCAGCTTCGCACGAGCATGAAGGGGTATGCGCGTATTTTTATGGGTAAGAATCAGCTTATGCGATATGCCCTCGGTAAAACTGAGGAGGAGAGCTATCGGACTAAGACGTGGCAGCTGGGACGCCTCCTCAAAGGCATGACCGGCCTTCTCTTCACTAGCGCGCCGGAGGAGAAGGTGCGGTCAGCCCTTGCGTCTGTTGCGCGGCCTTGTTTGGCCAGGGGCGGGGACGTTGCCACCAAAACGATCGTAATCCCACAGGGCCCTCTGGATAGAGACAAGTATTCATTTGCGTTAGAGCCAGAACTGCGTAAGCTTGGACTACCAACGAGTCTGCAGAACACAGTCATCCATGTCCTCTGCGACCATGTGCTGTGCAAGGAGGGCGATGTTTTGACATCTGCTCAGGCAAGACTTCTGAAGCATTTCGATCATGTGTTGTCAGAGTCTAGTGTCACGCTCCGGGGCGTCTGGCACAAGGAAACAGAGGATCTTGACGTCCTAGACCCCAACTGTCTCTACCTTCTGGACACGGCTCCTGCAGAAGAGGATGAGCAGAGCGATTGATCTGCGCTCCCCTCTCTGGGGCATCTTGCCAGACCACAGAAACCACATAAAGAGTAAATGCTGTGACCCTTTTGGAACCTTTCGTCTGCGCATGGCTTACTGAAGAAGCGGCAGACTGCAACCGGATGAAAAAATAGTTTTCTGCGCGGGAATGTCCGGCTCAGATAACAGGAGGCTACAGAGCGAGGTGACTAAACTGGTGCGGATTCTTCAGGAGCTTGGTTATCCAGCAAGATCCCTGGGCCCCCTTCAAGACAATCTTTTGCCCCCGAACAGGTTCGAATTCACCTCACTTGCCTTGTTGACCCTAATCCGATGGCTAGAAACAGATTCCCTTCCAATCTACACTTCGTTTCTTTGCGAGTATGTCGTAGACCCGAGAACGATTCCGGATCAGACGGTTATTTACTTAATGTACAACGCTCTCATCGATATCCTTCACTATGAGCCGAAGCTGTCTGCAGAGGCCTTTCTAGATAAGATAGGCGGTACCATAACTGGTGAGCTGCGAGATCTCCATTACTATCGCGTACGAACGGTGAGAATCTTTGCTAAACTCTTACATGATCTTCAGCTAAGATGGATTAGGCACTCCTCAGAACGTATGCGCGGAACAGACGGTTTTATCGTTTTGCTCCCTCCGTCCTTGAAGCCGCAAATGCCTTATGTAGCTCAACGCTGGACCTCTCACCCGGCGGTCATCATGCATCAGCCAGAGAATGCAGCATATCGAGGCATTGTTTCGGAGACTCCGGCAGATATGCCTAGAATTCATCGCGCCCCATCTTTTCCTGGCCTACAACCTCACTATTATCCTGATCCAGCACATAATGCATCACATCAAATTAACCATCTCGTTGATATTACTCGCAATGCCGTAGCTGCTCACTCCCATCCCTCGTCTTTTGACGTGGCTGTTGGCATGGACAAGCTCCCCGGTGACATTCAAAGACGCCTCCACAGTCAGTTTTCTAGTCAGTCAAGGAAGCATAAGAGACACCATTCAAGCAGATCTTCATCACGGAAGAACGAGTTGGCTAGGAGAGAAGCCAGAACTCGCTCTAGCCAGGCAGGCCGTCATCGTAGACGTGCATCGTCAACCTCTTCTACCTCGGTCTATTCGTACAGCAGTAGCTATTCCTCAACCAAATACTACGATGATTCAGACGCATATTCTACCTACTCTGATTCAGTAGTGGAAGAAGCAGATGAAGAAAGGCGCACAACATCAAGAAAGAGATCTCACTCACAGGGGAGGATGTCAACAAGGACGAACCATAAAGTTAGCAGCTCACAACGAAGGTCAAAGAGGGAGTCTACCAGTCACTCAAAAAGGTCTCGTGGCCAATCTGCCCGACACCGACGCAGGCCTTCCTCCGCCACAAGATCTAGGTCAGCAAAGTCAAAACCTGCAGACAAGGTGCACAGTGATTCCTTTATTGCAAAGGACGCGCACCAAAGAAGCATTTATGAGCCCAAAGAAAAGCCTCTTTCTCCCAGAAATCTTAATGCATCGAATCAAGCTTCAGTCAATGTTCCGTCTGGACACCAAACCCTTAATACTGGCATGGATTCAAAAAGTCAAGAGGAATATATGTCAGATCGTGAGCTACTTCTTCAATTGGGCAGAGCCACAGCCAAAAAGTATGTGACTTCCGGCGGAGAATTCTACGACACGACTAGGCAAACACCCACTTCCTTGCAGCAAATGTCTGAGTTTCCTGCCTCAAACTCTGACCCTACTCAGTTGCATGTAGATCTATCGCGTTACTCTGTTAAAGACAAGAGTATTCTTGCAAACACAGCAATTGATAATGCAGATCTTCAGATCAATCATCTCAATGCCGTTCCGCTGCCACCGCGCGCTGGGCCCTTCTCTGCCGGTCCGCCAACTCTTCCTGCAGTCCCGGTAACCAGCTCCTATCCACCGAGCTGCCATCCGTCCATTAATCCGGTATATAATGAACCTTCCTATAACATACAAGCAGCGTGTCCTGCCACACCTCTTTACATTAATCCTCAAAGAGAAACTGGAGCAGAATCTGTTGGAACGAGCGCTGCTAATATGCCCACGTATAATTTCCCGAAGGATGGAGTATACGTCCCTGGATATCCTTATATTGTTCCGACTGAATTTGGTGATGCGCCCTCAAGAGAGCCCTACAGTGATGCAGAAGCTTCTGCTCTGCCAGCGTCGTTTGTTATGGCACAGAGACATGTCGAAAGCACCCCAATCATGAGTAACGGACAAGACCTGAGGCCACTCCTAGATAAGCACCCAGACCCTATGATGGAGTACATGATAGAAGCAGAGATCAGACGTGCAGAATCAGACCCGCGGCAATTAGAGGAAATAAACAATCTAGCACAAGAAGACAATTATCGGAAGAGCGTTACATCAAGAACAACCACTCTTCCATTGCCCTCCACGTCGACATCAGTAGCTCTGAACAGCGACCATCCCACCTCAGTTCCTGCTACTTCTCTGCCAACACCATCCTATTCTGGCTCTGCGCACATGGGAAGGATAGATTCTCGCACCAATGAGCTTCTGCCAGCCCCATCAGTAACCAACAGCAACACTGTCGTTAGCGCTCGTGACGGAGCGTCCAGCCTGCCTCCGCCAACGACCACAAACTCAGGTATCTCCACAGCTCCCCTGAGATATCCTACGAGTACTACTGTTGAGACGCTCGATGATTACACTGGGCTCGTGAAGCATGCCCTCCAGAACACCCCATCCACTGCACCGTCACATCCAACCACCTCTGGATCCCACACTTCTCAGAGTTTTTATGACAACTTGACTAGCTATTCTGGGAAAGAGCTATCTAGTAGCTTTAGGGAGCGTATAAACAAACTAACCAGGGAATCCAGTTCAACGCCAGAGACGGCGTCCGTTTCAGCTAGAGAAGCGATTCCAACAAGAACAGTGGCCTCTTTGAATAACAGAATACTGGTAACCAATGGCCTCCCTGGAGTATCCTCCACTCCCACAGCGACAGCAGCAGTTCCATTAATGGTCAACAAATATGGACAGGTCCAGGTCAATCCAGATATAGTCTTTCCGGAGATACCGGCTTCAGAGCGCCACAAACCAGAGTACAGAGCAGCTATTGAAGCAGAGGCCCTGCGACAAACACATGCTATCGTCCCAGATACAGCCAAGTATCACTCGGTAGGCGATCTTACTGAAGACGATCTTAAAAAGAGTGGCATTGCGTACATCAGGGAGTCGTCTACCACTTCTGGCTCTTCCAGTATCCCAGAGTGTGTGATTGGACACTTGGTAGGAGGAGGAAGTCGCTCTACCCTGTCGATGACCAAACCCACAGTTAACATAGAAGCTCCAGAGGTGGCTCTACAAGAGACGTTGACTGCTGGCGACAAATCATTCCACAAGACCAGTAGACAAGATTATCCAGATCCTTACTCTGTGCCAAAACCGTTCAATAATCTACCCACTGCTAATGTCTCTGCTGTGCCGTCCACATCTCGCTCGTTGTACACACATAGTGTCAGCATTCCAGAGTCCATCCCGTTAGGTGGAAATATTAAGACTGCCATCGAAGCGATAACTGATCGAGTTGAACACGTACAGTCAGAGCTTACAGCGGCAACGGCGGCAACTGCAGCAATAATTGGATCACACAATGGTGTTGGTGGTAGCAGTAGTAGTAGTGCAAGCGTTGCCTCAATCCGACAGCCTTATGACTTGTCCAAGACTAGCACTGGTGCACGGGGATCCAGACGTGATGATACACCAGTGACGAGTGGTCCGAGGGGAGATAGCGTGCTGAGTAGTATGAACACAATGTCCACAAAAAGCGTTCGCTTTGCTGGCCAGGACACAACGGACTCCCACGATTTATCAGAGCACTTGTCATCTGTCCGTGACGACTTTTTAAATTTAGAGCAGGTATCTAAGTCGCCATCTGACAGGGTATCTACATCTATGCACCAAATGACGAAAGAATCTAGTTCAACTACCCTGCCACTGCCCTCCACAAATACGACAAATCCAGAGAAGACACTAACATCCAACCTGCCTGTGGCGTCAAGCACTTCCCAAAACCACAGCTATGACATAGATAGTAAGCAGGCCCTCATAGAATCTGCTCAATCTCTTGGCAGAACAGCCAGTGCTCTGCAGAGACTCCAGGCCAGTGGGGTCTCCCACTCCACGCCAGCAACCTCATCTCCAAAGGAGTATATTGGACGCCGGTTCGACTCTACGCCCGAGACTACTGGTGGCTCTCTTCCTCCTCCCGAAAGCGCGTCATCAGTGTCCAACCCTATTGGTACTGTGATGTCTGGAACCGGAAGCGTATTGATTCCCCCGTCTAGCACAACTAACACGGGTGCGACAGGATCAAGTGCTCGTCCAAATCTGTATCTTCCTAGCCTTGGTCAGTCTACTGAGATGATTTCCTCTGTGGAAAATCCCAATCTTGTACTGAATAATAGTACACTAGTTCTATCCGATGGCATAGCAAATTCCCTAGGACGACGACTTAATGCCGAGATGCACACAGAACCGAAGCATCATATTCCCCAGTATCCTCCTATGGGCCCTCCAGCCTCCAATGTTCCTCCAGCCATTGATAAAGCAGCAGATGAACTAGGTGCCAAGCCAGGAGCCACGTCACAAACTAGTATCATATCCGGGTCTGCTGGGGGCTCCGGAACATCTAAGAGCTCTGGTGGATCAGGTAGCTCAACAAACACTATAAAACACTTATCTCACGGATTAAGCGATGATGCAAATGGCTTGGGAACCCTATCAGTTAATGCGCATCGAACAAGTACAGAAAGCCCCCCTAGTAATGGATTAGAAGCCAGTAGGATACCTTTGAGCGGAAGCCGCCTCCGAGAGCTTAAGGCGCAGGGAGAAAAGCTTATCAGGGCTGCAAATGAAATCGAGACAGCGTTTGTTCCTCCCTATCTTAATCAGGGGTCGTCTACAGGAACCACAGTGATTGGGCCAAGCAGCCTTGGAAGCACGAGTGCAAATAATACGACATACTCCAGTTAGATGCGCGACTTGTAAACTTAGAAAGCTACCATGTTTGTATCCTTCGCTCGTAAGAGCTACGTCGATCTGCTTCTTTAAGCCTCAGCCTATCTTGATAACAATCTATCCAACAACAAAAGGCGAGGTGTTGAATAAATTGATTGAGGCGAAGATCAAGCAGATTCTTATGTCTAGTCCACTTGTCCGTATAAAATTGTCCCGTCTCAAAGATTTCCTGCGCAAATTTTGCAACTAATCTGTTGCAGTCTCTAGCAGCCAGCGCCTCAGACCATGCCCTGAATGCTCGCCGTTGAAGAAGATGGTTAACTAGCAAAAAGCCCGCATCATAGTAGGCATGTGCATACCGTGAAATAATATGCTGATTAGCTGCGCACGCAATAAGAGACTGCCGCTTGTAAATCCGCTGACCCTTGAACTTAAAATGAGGAGCTGTTGTGTCCTTGATTGTGTACCGAGACCAATCTATGTCCGACTGAGAGTCTGTATCGCCAAGTAGATTCAGGGATGTCTGTTCATAGTCTAAGTCCGATGTGGTAGGACTCGAAGGCGCCGAAGGCGGTGATGAGGGCCCTTCTTGTGAAGCAGGCATAAGCTGAGTGACAGTCTTTGGGGTCTTGAAGGCAGTAGGAGATGCTTTGGGTGGCTGAGAACCAGCCTGAGCAAGAGGTGAGAGAGGTAGTGTATTCGGTTTAGTTGAATCTGTGAGAATCGCAGACTGCACATTGGTATTTTGAGATGGGTTTGATGGTCCAGTAAGACTCACTTCCTGGGGTAAGACCGGCTTCCATGACACGTTTCGAGGTAGTTGACAAGATGCATAAGGGTACAAAATCTGCCAGGGAGAGCTCCTTTGAAAGAGGACCTCAATACATGTGGTAATTAATTCCCGCTCTGCACCATTTGCGCCCCAGTCAGCCCCAGGAAGGACGGAGGCATAGTTGTCACACAAATCTACTGCTATAAGGAGAAATGACAACTTCTTCTTTGCATTTTCATCCTTCGAACACCTTTCAACAATTGCCTTGTGCACGTGCCACGTTTCATTAAACTTTGAGATGAACTTCACGGACTTCTTATGTGTCTCTAAAATTTCCTCCATGGACCTCAGCAGGTATACAAGTCTAGCGTGGTATCTGCTTTTGATAAAAAGGGCGTCAGCCAGATCAGTCAAGGGTACAGATCCATTGTCTTTTGGGACCTGAAATACTTTTTCTAGAATTCTATACCGGAGTAGCCCTAAGATTAGGCACGCGGAAGAAGCAAATAAATGCCGTACATAGTCATTCCATGTCAGCGTTTGCTGCACCTCTGGAAAGTTATTGGACGTAAGCAAATTGTCCTGGATGAAGGACAGGCATTGCTCTAAATTGTTATCTTTGATCATCTGCTCTACTGCAGTATACATCTGCTGAATTTCTGCCCCTACAAGAGTCCTTCTTTTGCACTTTTTAGAAGGCACAACAGCATTTGTGAAGTAGCAGAGCAGATGAAATTCCCAGCCAAAGCTGCTTGCCTCACCTGATGCGTGTTTTAGAAGTTCAATGAAAAGCTTATCGTAGAAAGGAAACTCGATGGCTAGCGCGTTGCCTTTGGCTGCCTGAGATAGCAGATGCTTCGTATAGGCATAGATGGAGAAGGGCATCATGAGACAGTAAAACGAAAACAGCGCCATCGTGTGAGCAGAAATGATGGAAGCGTCTTCCTCCATGGAGCTTTGACGAAGCGTAGCGCATAGCTTCCGCGCACTGATGGGGATCACTTGTAGCCGTGGAACAAGATACTTAAGAATCTCCTCTATTCCATACGGCGCATATCTAAATAAATCAAGAATCAGATAGAAGTATGTGTGACAGATTTGGCTCTTGTTCTGTTCTGGAAGAGTAGTCGAGCTGTTAGCCCGTTGATAGGCAATTATTAGCCTCCAGTCGTTTGGCTTACCATTGAGCTGTTCGAATTTAGTGTCATAGTTGCGGTTAGGGTCGGGAGCTATTGAAAAGAAGATGTTCATTTTTAAAACAGTTTGGTCAGTTTTTAGCAAGGCACGGAATTGCAAGGCCAATATCTCAAGTTAATAGGAGTGCAACTTTCTAATACTGTAAGCTCCATTTAACTTTTTGAGCATGGATTCCCGGCTCAGGGAACTTTGCCGCCATAGAGATTTAATAATAAATAACTGGGATTATAGAGGCATGCGCGGATTGCTAAACGTTATGTTGGTGAACGCCCTCGGTACCATGAGAGCCGAAACAGCAAGGATTTCAAAATTTGTTTACCTCACAACCGATAGCGAATGGTTGCACCGACCTCTCAGGGCCAACAAGAGGCCGAGAGCTCCACTAGCGTGGTAGAAATAACAACCGGGACTACTGTTCATCATATTACCATCCCAGCCAGACCTAGGGCTGCCAAGTCGCCGCCTTTGAGATCGGCAGTTGAAAACTTGATGAAGGGGGGTATCTTTTCAACAGCCCAGCATACAGGCTCAGAAGAGGCAGCTACAAGGGGTCTATCTAGGGGATCGGGAGCTAAATCGTCCCTGGGAGACAATGGAAGATCTTGTACCAGGAAAAAGCGGTCCAGAAGCACGATCTTGAATATGAGGAAGGAGCTTGACGATATCCTAGCGCCACTAGGACCCCCTGAGGGCTCTTCTGTTGCAAGCCCGAGATCAGGCCAAAATATACGATCGGTTTCTCCTCTGGTTGCAGTTAATAACATAGATGATACCGACACTGCAGCAATGGGTGGGAGGACTAAACTGATGATGGCTGCTATTGTAGATGACGTACTCGCTGTACAGAAATACATCACTGAACAAGGGCAGCGCACTCCAGACGGAAGGACAGCTCTCATGCTTGCAGCTGAACATGGATCAATTGCGTGTATCGATCAGTTGATCCCCTGGGAGTCCGGTCTGGTTAGCAATAATGGGTGGACAGCAATAATGTATGCCATCGCGGCACAGAAGTTGCAGGCAGTGGAGCTCCTGGCTAGAAAGCCAAAGGAGCTGACCTCGACAACAGCAGACGGACGAACTCCGCTTATCCTGGCCGCTGAGATTGGCAGCGAGGAAGTTGTACAGCTATTTCTGGAGTCCAGACTCATTGGAATGACAACAGCTGACGGCAGAACAGCACTTATGCAAGCCGCGTGGAATAGGCATTTAGATTGTGTTCGTTGGTTAGCAAAAAAGGAGGGTGGAATACAAGACTCAGAAGGGAAAACGGCTCTTATGCTGGCCATTGAGGGGAGATCTATCAATAGGCAACAACACGATAAGGCCAGGACACAGGATTTCGTTAATCTGCTGGCTAGTGAAATGGGCAAAACCACAGCCGACGGAACTACGGCACTAATGTGTGCTGTGCTGAACAATGAAGAGGATAGTATCCCTCTGCTCAAGAGTGAGCTCATGAAGAGGCAAAGGAGTGGACGCACTGCATTGATTCTGGCCGCCAGACAAGGCACACTTACAAGTCTTCATGATTTGCTGCCTGAAGCTGGAAGTAGGGACGGCTCTGGAAAACCAGCTTTATATTATGCACTGGAAGGGCGAAACATGACTCATGTGAGGGAGTTATCTGCAGAGTATAATATGACGATTGATGACGATGTGTCCATGCTCATGTCGGCAATAATTTTCGGCAATGAAGAGGCAGCCCTTCTCATACTGAAGGAGCTACAAAAGCAATCACTTACTACCCCAGCCAAAGGTCCTTTGCCCCCGTTGCATGTTCCAGTTACCGAAAGAGAGCAGAAGACAGCCCTGATTCTTGCCGTCGAGGCAGGAAGTCTCGCACTGGTGAAGGAGTTATCCCTTACAGAGCATTCTTTTCAAGATGTTAAGGGGACCACGGCTCTGATGTACGCTGCAGAACGAGAGTTTTGTGATGCAATTAAGATTCTCTTGCCTTTGGAGGAGCACATGAAAAACGTTGCAGGCCACACAGCACTCATTCAGATGGCCATGAATAACAACATCCTTGCCGTATCCTTCCTTCTCTCAGAGGCCTGTGACACTGACAATTCTGGAATGACAGCGCTTATGCACGCAGCACATTTGGGGCACCATAATATAGTGAGCATTCTTCTCAGTAGCAACGAGGTCGGGATGGTCGACACCCATGGGATGACGGCCCTCATGCACGCTGCCATGAACGGCCATACACAGTGCGTCTCTCTCTTGGCCCCGAAGGAGCACCATTACGCGCGGATGTACCGCTTATTGAAGGATAGCAATACTGGCATGACTGATGAGCAGGTGTGGTCCCACCAAAGTTTCTATTCCGGCCGGACGGCATTAATTATAGCGGCCATGTATAATTCGCTGGACTGTGTCAAGCAACTAATTCCTTGGGAAGCCTGGGTTCTCAATGAATACAATCGACTTCCCTCTACAGTGATAAATATAGGAACTTATTCTAACGACATTCAGGACGCTCTTACCATTCGAGGCATTCATAGATTAATGAAAATGTATTATGCAAGACGGCGTAATGAGCTGGGGTCCTGCAACATCTGCCTCAACAAGATCTCTAGCATGAAGTGCTACCCGTGTAATCACACTGTTTGTTGCGAGGAGTGTGCTGAGAGGCTAATGACAACAAAAAAGCCATGTCCCCTTTGCAGACGGCCAATCCTGTTCTGGATCACAGAGTGTTATGATTTGGCCACTATGTCATTTACTCTAGCCCCAAATTTCGAATGGATCGACCTCCCAAGCGACGACGACGATGACGACAGTGATAGAAAACATTCCAAAGATGAGGATACTGATGACGAGCTGTATGTCAATATACACTTGGACCACGAGATAGAAGTCTCATCGTATTCATGGTTTCACTAGACTCTCTCAGCTCCAAGACATGGATACAATGCTTAGAATATTTCAGCTAGAACCCCAAGATCGCTTCTTAAGTGTAGTAACAATTTCGGCCCTAAAAGTCTGAACCTGCTGAACATAGCTATCATCTAATGGTAACAGCTCATTTTGAAATCTAGACACTTCTCCAAATACTCCAAACATTGAATATTTTACAACCAACGCAGAGAGTGTGTCATACCATGGCGGGTACAAAACCCTTACTTGCGAAGAAGAATGTTTGCCCAGAGCCTCCCAACGGACCGAAGGTCTTTGCTCAAGAACTCTATGTCTTTGAGCCACGAGTCCACCGGTACTTCTAGAACATTTCCAATAACTACTAGAGCCTGCTCGATTAGATCCAACGGGGGCGAGAATACATGTAGAGATTTGGCATATTCTGTTGGTGGAAGAAGATCCATATAGGGCGTAATGCGAATGAGGTACGACTCGTCTGTGTATAACGAGTACGTAAGAATTTGTTCCTCATGTCTCTTTTCTGCATAATTGAGGAGGGACAAGTAGATAGCATTGGACTTATTCGACAGCTGATCAGATTGAGCCACAATTGCAGCATAGAGGAGGCACACCCGCATAGAAAAATCACATACAGTGTCCTTCTTAATAGGATGCTCCATTTCAGACAGCAGATGGACATAGCTGCTCACAAGCGCCTTCTTACAGATGGCGCGCAAGAAGTTTATGTAGACCGTACGGATTATCCTGCAAGTAGACTGTGGGATATTAATGAGAACACCGGATTCTCTCATCAGAATCCACCCAGAGGCAGCAGTGTAGTTCATTATCGGCGATCTGTCATTGTACACGCCTGCGAGCCACTGCTGGGACGAAATGACGCCATCCTCTGTGTATGCAACATGGTTGAAGTAGGAACAGGCTGCCCCTAAAAGCAGGCCTAGAATTTGTGCGTCTGACAACAGGCCGTGAGAGCCTTTTTGGAGCATGGCTAGAAAGATGAATACTTGCCTTAGAACCAGGATAGACCGTGAGCTGCAGTAGTAGGTGCTGGAAACCTCATTGGTCGTGAGCTTATAGCAAAGATCTGAGAGAGACTGGGGAGGTATCTTATAGTGCGACAACTCAAAGTATTGAATACAGGAAAAAAGAAGCCTGAAGAGCTTTTTATGGTTTGACACGTTACTCCTAAACGTGTACAACGTATGTTCTAGCTTCTCGGGCCTCTCTGCCTCCAACTTTTCATCTGAGACACTTCCATTCAAAATGATATTAGCCCAATAAGAGGCCATAGCCTCGTTGGTCATCTTCTTGAAGTTCTTGCTTACCTTGGCTGGAAAAAGCGTTCCAGTTGTGTAATCCTGGTAATCTTCGCATCCTTGAGAAAAGAAGCTATGAGGGTACTGGCTATACACATCTTCATTGATTTTCATTATAAAATGCTCTGTGTCGACTATTTTTGATCTAGAAATAATAATGGACTTTAAAAACGCCTTTTCACTGGCAGAAAGCTCCTCGATGGTCTTGTAATTCTTCTCCGGTATCTGAGGCGTTGGGCAGGCAAGATACTGTCCTCGTACCTTTACGCGCTGGCCTATCTTAGCTTGTCGGACCATGTCGTCTGCACTGAAGCTGTCACGAACGAGCGAGTAGGACAGATGCCCCCCATCGTCTGTTATAGAATCCCGCGCACAAAACGTACCGGACAAGAAGGCGTCGACGGCATTATCAATACTCTGCTCTATATGAGTGACCGATGAACGAAGGTCTGACAAATAGTTGTTAATGTTCATCGTCTCCTTCCTGCTCCTGTCGTCATACTTGTTCAGCAAAGGATTTCTGAGAGATGCGTTGTTCCTCTTTCCTATTAGATGACCAAAGAAGTAGTGGATTGTCTCCAAATGAATATCCTGGTCTCGAACAAAGAGTTGGTGCTGTATCTGTCTCATGAACATTTCTTTCAGATACAGTCTGATCAGCTTTTTCTGCGAGTTCGTGATAGCATCTGTGTTCAGAAGATCGATGGACAGGGCCAGAAGCTGCTGATGGGTCTCTTGCACTAAAAACCTAGATTTATACTGTAGCGGTGGCTTTATATCACCAGAGGGGGTATAATTGATCTCGTGTGCTGGCAAATAGAGAGCTATAATGTTGGGTATGTGCATTATCGTGTATGGATTCGAAGTAACCGTGTCGACTATCTCCTTGGTCTCAACTGCGTCACGCTTCAATGCAAACACATTTGTTATCAAGTCTTCTGCCATCTTGTCGCTCCGGCACGGCTTTGCAAGACAGAAAAAGGTGTTATAGACATATTCCATGAAGCCGATGCGCGAACGCTGGTACTTTTCCAAGAGGATATGTGATATGTAATGCGACACGCTTATCTCTGCGTCCCTTAGGCACCGGATGAATAGTTTTTTGTACCCCTGAAGATCTCCGTCAGAGTGGGGCAGAGACAGTAGGGAGATAACTGTTTCAGTCACCGAATTGTATATCTCTGTAGAGAAGATAGGCGTTTTTATAAACCAGGCGTAGTAGACACGAATCAGAATGTCTTTCATTTGAGTCGTATCTGTCGCCACTGCTACTTCATTTTGATATGCAGCTGCATCAGTAAGAAAGAATAACTGCTGATTGCCCGCTCCCGTCTGTGTGATGTATATATTAAAGAGGTGTCTTGAGCGCTTATTGAACAAGATCTCGCAAAACCTGGCCGCCATCTTGGGTCGCACAACGGGTTCAAATGTTATTGTGCAGGTCACCAAATTGGCTAGGGGAGCGAAAATCCATATCTTTTGATACACCTTAACCGGTAGAAATACATTGAGGAAGGTAAGGAAACGTGTCAGTAGCGTCACTGAAAGATATTTCACATTAAGGACAGTAATTACTTCCAGCAGATTTTCTGTCCACTTCGTAAAAGTTGATTCTTGGCACAGCATATATAAGCACTTCCGCGATGTCACAGTGGACTCCAGAACCTTGAGGAACCTGCTGCGCACGGTGCAATTGATGAAGATTGTCATGATTATGTTGAACACAGCGACAACGGAAAGAGCATGTATAAGTACATTGCTGGTGTATCCGGAAGAGGTAGAGACGTAGTTTGGCTCGGAGTTAAACTCATAGATGAGACCCAGCAAATAGATCACACAAAGTGGGGGAATGCAGAGCTTTGCGTAGAAGGTTGCATGTACGGGGGAAAAGGCAAATGAAGTAAACAGGAGGCAGAGAAAGATGGGCTGGAAAATGTCGATAAAAAGAAATATCGTTCTAATATAGTAGTAAAACATCTCGGAGATAAAGACCCCAGCATTCTGCAGTAAGTTTAGAAACATGTATGTAATAATTGGAAGGTAGCTCAGTGTCACGATCGCAAAGAGCAGGGCGCTAGAGTAGGGATAGTGCACGGAGTCTTCGGAGCGTCTTGTGCGAAAGCTTAAAATTTGTCTTATCACCCGCGCATACCCAGCGATGTAAAATGCTAATGAGATGAATATCCACTCCTCAACTACCAGGCGCGCTATGCCGTGCGGCTCCAGCTCTGCCATGCGCCTGCCAATAAATAATCGGCCAAAAAAGAGGACACAATAGATTAAAAAGTAATGTAAGTCAGGAAAAATGCATAAAAATTATGAAATGCCATGAACGCTAAAACATCATAGGCACCTTTCCGAGGAGCTAGAAGCTAGAGGAATGCACGGCTTGCACAGCCGGGTTATACGATGTTGCGCTTAAACTCCAAGCCATTGCGCAGCACCGAAATGAGATTGTTCAGCTTTCCTCGGTCAAATCTATTGTACTTATGTATAACATACTCGCTCTCTTTCACGGTGAGTACTCGCCCAGACACACCGTCTATGGTTGTTATATCTCCATATGTGGCGTCTATCAATTCAACAAAGTGGAATGCATACTCGCAAAGAGCTCTAGGGCTCACTTTTGCGAAATTTTTGGGCAGTAACGCACACTCCTCCAACGGCGCTTGTACCATTAGCGTGAACTCCCCAGCCTTCAGTTTGGCCACAACAGTTTCTCGCTTGATTCTCTCGGCGGTTCTGGTGTTTCTTAAAACATTGGTAATGTGAAAGCATGAAAACGGCAACAGCATGCAACCAACAGCACCATGCATCAAGCAAGAGAGTACATGAATGGGGACGGAATTGATGAGCCAAAGTGCCATAAACTTAACAGATATCTTCTTAGACCAGGCTAGGCTCAGCACAGGGAGACCAGGAAGCGTTAGGACTCGATAAATGGTTAGAGCATTAATGAGCGCAGTGTTAATGAGTGCCACGGATGTAAAAAAGAGAAACCCGTTGAACCACAGAAGATTGTTTCTGCCTATGCAGCTATTAGTCCAGATGCAGTGGTGATCAAAGTCCAGCACACACCTTGAGCAAACGCCGCAGTGATGAGAACGAGGCGGTCGAGGAACCATGCATGTAGAGCATACTTTTCTGGGGTACAAAAAGGTGTCATATGCACTGTCGGACTCCAGGTCCGAAGCCTCCTTTCGGGCGTCAACCTCCGGGTCTGTCACACCAACAGAATTGTTAGCACCAGTGCTAGATTTATCTGGTGCCACGGTTCCAGGATCCAGCAGGCATGCCAGCGCAAAGGAGGTTGCTGATAAAATATTAAAGGCAGGTACACTGACCATACGAACCTTACCAACTATACTAACCTTACTAGGGCTAGACGAGTAGGGGGATAAATTTAAAAGCGCTCGGGTCCATTGATACGCGCCTTCCTCTCCACTTCTTTCTGGGATGATTACTGTTAGAGGTCCTAGAATAGTTTTGAAAAAAGAATACATGGACATGATGAAGAGCAGCCAATAGAAACATACGACAAAGCAGTTGCGTCGCTGAAATAAGAGCTGGTCAAGGTTCAGAACACACACACCCTTCCTATTTCTCTCTAAACACAAAAGACATTGCCTCAACCTATAGAGGCGCGACGTACGCGGTGCTGCAGCTGCAATGTTGCCAATAAGCACCCCGAACGCAAGAGATAACGGCGCTGCTATGACTAGAAAGACCAATATGGCCATCGAATTTTATACATTTATAAAAAGTAGAGAATGCCTCCAGATCCGAGCATGATCACAAAGCTTTTGCAGCAGGCCGAAGTGGCCTCGGCCCAGCTAGGAAGCACACAATCAAAGCTAAGTCTCAATAAAGCCACTAAGGTCTCAAAGCGGGCCACAACCACGATCACAACCACGGCCACAGCAGTCCCCCCACCGGTGCTTCCAGAAGAGGAGGAGCACGGCGATGTCATGACATCAACGATGGAGCACCTTCTGCGAAACCGGGGATATGAGTATCTCACTGAACAGAATGAGTTAGCCCAAAAGAGCAAAGAGGACGCCCGCATTCTAGTTGAGCAAGGGGCGAAGGAGTTTTTCTATGGCAAAGATCTTCCGCCGATCAGCTTAACGCAAGACCCGGAACGCTACGTCAACAAGGTTTTATCAGATAACTCAGCGTTTTACTCGAACATCAGAGAGTCGTCTATCACCAACAAAGGCAACACTAAACCAGGCTGCACTTTAGAGAACACTGTAAGGAAATGCAGCTCTGTTTTATCTGATGCATCGAGCAACCCTGACACAGTCTCAGCGAGCGGCACAACAGGATCTACTCATACAGGAAGGGCTTCTAAAGAACCAGGCGCAGTCAGGCAACGCAATCATCGCACACTCGCTACGTCTCTTAATATCGTACAGAAACTGCTTAACGAACCAGTCACTCGAAAGCAGTCTATATTTACACTTTCTCAGCGCCACTTCCTCACAGCAGACTTCCTCATGGGCGACATAATCGATGCTTTAGCATCTGACTCCCGTGAGATGCGAGGTGCAATGGAGATGGCCAGGAAGATCTACACCTCAGCTTATTCAGATAACAAGTGTGGAGACTTTCTGCTGTCGGCGGAAATAGTACGCCTGAAGCAGGAGTTACACGAAACAAAAATAGCATTAGAAAAGCAGAGACAACGGGCAATTGTCTTGCTCACAGCCATGGATGACCGGCGCAAGCTGGACCAAAAGAGAGCAGAAGAAACCGTCAAGAAGGTGGAGGAGCAGAGGGCCATAGAGGTCAATGCTGCAATGCAGCGGACTCGTGACTACGGTGAGCAGGTGCGTATACTGCGGGCTGTCATTGAAGCAATTAAAAATGACCAGCAAGTGAAGGAAGTAGAGACCCTCAAGCAGAACCTGGATTCCTCGCGTGCGCTTACCAGGGAGTTGGAAGGCAAAAACGTGCAGCTCATGGAATCTCTTCAAACACTGCAGGCAGCGTACAGCGATCTTCAGATGGAGCATCAAGAGGCTGGAGCTGTAATAATGCAGCTGAGAGCAGAGCTAAAGGCTGCTAACAACGAGAGGGAGTACTGTAAGGGTTGTTCGAGTAGGATCATAGAGAGGTCCAAATACGTCGGTTCTGAGATAACTAATCGCGTAGAGAGGCTGGAAGCTGTCAGTGCCATACTCTCTGGACTGCAGGTCAATAAGGAAAAGCTTCAGATGTCTATTGATAACCCAGGAGTGTCAGAGTATCTCTACGAAAAAGAGAAAGTAGTGTCTTCCTTCTTCGATGATTTAAGGGCAGCGGAGAAAGAGAAGCTGCACCTCCTGCAGCAGGAGCCGCCTGATGCTCAAGCCGAGCATCCCGAAGGACAGAACAAAGGGGCCTCTGTCGTCGACAGAGTAGACGAGTCGTATTACCTTATTGATCTCAGCAAGTTGGCACGCTCACTCTGTCTTATAGAAATGCGCCTGGAAGCGGCGCCAAAGCTTCAGCAGTTAGACGATGAAATAACTGCTCTGCGGTACGAAAACAACAGGCTCAAGAACGTTGAGCAAGAGCTCACCGAGCTAAGGAAGGTATACCGATCTGTTATTTCTCGCACCCAGGCTATAGAGCCCAAGGCTTCGGGTGCTGACACAGAAGCGGACCCCAAGGGGGACTCTACAAAGGAAACTCAGGGCGCTTCAGCCGGAAAGATAGAGGGGTCGCACTTAGCATCAGCTCAGAACCAAGGTATCTACGAGAACTCTGTGACTCTTCTGCGCGAGCAGCCCTTGCAACTGCTTATATCTAAAAATTTCAAGATACAGCTAGTAGAAAGAGAAGACAGAGACAAGGAGGGATCAGAGCTTACAACAACACCAAACTACGTCTCCGCGGTTATTTTGAGCTTTCTCCGACACCTCTGCATGTCCTCTTTCACATCAGATACGTCGATGTGCCGCCAGCTGACCGGGCGGTGCATGCCAAAAGCCGATGGCACACCCTATCCAACGACTTATCCCATACAGGCACTCTTTACGGGCTGGGTTCATGCGCAGTATCACATCGTTCCAGAAGATAGGAGGCAGTTTGAGGTCGAGCTACTTGTCAACAAGGTTTCTTGCTGTCTACAAGCCTTTCAATCTCTCACATCAGACATCTTTATTGAAGACGAGTCAATGCTGCTCTCCCTCGGCTCCCTACTATTAAACACCTCCATCAGCGCAGACGAGGTGAGTTTCTTGATATACATTACCATTCTAACACACGGTGGCCTTCCAGACGCCCACCCTGTGCTTCTCCCTCACCTGGAGAAAGACGTAAAGATAACCACAGCGTACATCTCCCTAAAACGAGCAATTAATATTATTCTTGCTACTGTCTCCAAAACTATTCAGAAGGGCTTTATCGAGTTCTTTATCCATCAAGGCCGGTCGACATCGCTGATAAAAGACGTCACGCTGGCCGACATCTCCTCTGGGAGGGTCTTCGTGGTCGACGTATACGAAAACCTGGATGGGGATGACCTTTATGACGCGGACATTCGTGAGATTTTTGCAGCCAACAAGGACTACTTCAGCGATACTGGAGCGGCGTCCTCCGCTACCGTTGGACTTTCCTCAAGTGTGGCATCACCCATCAAGAACCTACGGAACCGTGACGATCTAACACGAGTCTCCATCATTAACGCAAACTTCTTTTTGCTGTCCATGCTCAAGGCCTACCGGACAGAGGTTATGACGCGCCTTGAAGCTACCAGACTGATGTATGCGGGAAGTCTTCTGGAGACCTCTACATTGTTGCGCTCTTCTAAGATGACCGCTCTTCCGGACACCATGAAATTCAGGATTGTGAGGGAGATAATAAGGATGATTAACCCCATCTGTGACGATAGCATGATTGATGCTGCTTATTTGGATGTCATTTGGAGGAGCCCGAGCGCCAACTGGAGCATCCTTGTCGACGCGTGCAAAACACGTGGCGTGTTTGCAAGCGCATTGAAGTTCCCGCCCATCGAGGTCATGATGCCTTTGGTGGGAGGCTACTATACAGGTGCTACAAACCCTGGGCTGTCATCTAACCCGGGTGTTGCTCCAGCAAGCATAGCGGCGTATGCAAATGACTACGATACTATACTAAGCCAAGCAAGAAGCCTTTTTGACAAAGCAAAAGTGGCCCTTCTGCACCTGTCCAGCGCAATGGGAACGGAATCGGCTGTTTGCACCAGGTCCATTATTCAGGAAGTATCAAACATAGAGAGGACAGCGCTTACGTTTGACAATTTAGGCCTTGTCATTAGTGCCCTCAAAGCAACCCTGCTCTATGCAGTAGAGCTATCCTTCTCCGTCATTTCTGCCTGTGGAAGAGACTATGGAATAGAGTCTCTGTCTGTGCGTAAATCCCTTGCAGAAGGCAAGGGCGTGTCTCTTCGCAAGGTGGCCCGACAGCCGACAGAGATATGGATCGACAGCCTTTATTACCTCACAGGGGCCCTTGCAGCCTCCTTGGGGTGGGAGACGGACTCCGGCATGTGCGTGGCGAGCATGTCTATGAAACGGAAGCTATCATCTCGTGGAGAGTCGCGGGCGTAGCGGGGACGGTTTACTTGCCTAGTCAGCGAGGGACATGGTACGGATGTCCTGGACATGGTCGAGCTGTTCTTTTTTCCACAGGTCAGGCGTAAGAATGGAGTAGGAGCTTTTCAGGGCGTTGTAAACGGCCCCCACCGAGTTCATCAGCGTTCTTGAGTGGCCACTCTGCCTCGTGAAGACATCGGATACGCCCGCGAACTCAAGGACTTTTGCAACCGTGGGGGACGCCACAATGCCTGCGCCGCGGGGCGCGGGAATAAGACGGACCCGGACGGAGCCGCACTTACCTGAGAGCTTCGACGACACCGTATGAGGATCTCCAAGCTTTCCGCCCCAGAAGCCGCGCCTGACGGGAACGATGTTGAGCCTGGCGTTCTTTGCCGCCTTCTTGATGGCATTCGCCACCTCCTTGGAGACACCTGCTCCATAGCCGATGAATCCGTCACGGTTCCCGACTATCACATGAGCACGGAACCTCGTACGCTGCCCGGCTGTGGTCTGCTTCTGGACAGACATGATATTGCACACCTCCTCCGCAAGCTCGCTCTTCGGAAAGAAGTAGTCAATGATCTCTGTCTCCTTGATGGGGAGAGAATACTTGAAAATGTCATAAAGGGACTCTATCTTTCCTGCCTTCACCAAGCGGCCGAGTTTCGTGGACGGATGCCACTCTTCCTCCTCCATCTGACGAGGTCCGCGCTCACCGCGCTCTGGTCGTTCTGGCCTGGGAGCACTTTCAGCCTGCATGCTACGCCATGGACGTTAGTTTTGGGCTACAAAGTCAAATCAAAATTAGAACGTTTTTTTAATCGCTGGTCAGAAAAGTGGACGAAATTTGAAAAGTGTGCACCTCTAATTTCAGTGTAATAATTGCAATGAGCACAAGGGACCGAGAGGCGGAGGAGGCTCTTTACAAGGACGTGTTTGGGGAGTCTGAGCTCCTGGACTTGTGCTCGGACAACAGGGCTCTGCAGGAGGGGTCTGTGCACGCGTCTCCCGGGGCATCTCCTCAATCTGGGGACGGGCGATCCGAAGCGTCTGGTTCAGTCCTCTCCGACGACTCCTTTTTTGATGACGAAGATGTCGATAAGACGGAAGAACAGAATATTCGCAATCAAAAGGCACGAGGTCTTTCCTGGGCCGTTGAACGGGCAGAGGACGATGAGTTTCGAAAAAGACTGGATGAGCTAGCCCGGGAAGAAGCTATCAATGTATTATCTTTGGGGACAGAACCCAATCTAAAAAGGACCGTATTAAGCCAATTGGGTCCTTCTAGTCAACTGGAGTTAAAGCGGCTCTCACCACTCACAGTTTCTGATTGTCCTATGCACAAGGTAACGTCGATTCACGTGCACCCCAATGGAAGACTAGCGATTGTCTCTTCGCTGGACAATAGGCTCCGTCTCTTCGAGATAGACGACCCTACAAACCCACTTGTCAGCTCCTTCCTATTCACGCAGGTTACCCCCACATCTGCCTTCTTTTCAGACAACTACCGGTGGCTGGTGATTACTGGCAATACAAACTTTTATCACCTTTTTGATTTAGAGACGGGGACTGATGTCAAGCGCAGGCTTCCCTTGCGAAAGCGGCACCTCAAAGATGCTAGCTTGGACTATTATCTCAAAGGGAGGAACCGTGAAGTCCTAGTTCTCTCCATGCAGAGCTCCATTCCAGGATGGCCAGGGAGTTCGCTTATATTTTTCAGCGAGTGCAGTGGTGCTGCAAATTATAGCAGGGTGAACAATTTGGCACACAGAAATGTTGACCCTGGGAAAACAAACGGCATAAAGGCAGGCTATGGGCCCCCAGACGCACAATCGGAGACCAGAGAGACAGACAGATACACCTTTGTTTATGGCTTACACTTAGAGACCAACTCATATGCCTATAAGCTGCAATTCCCCTTTGCTACAACGGGTCTTATACGACTCATAAGTCCGTCTAACATGTCCCTGGCGCGGATATCGGGCCACACAAATGAGCACCCTATCCTGGTGGTTTCGGGGCGGGGACATGGTAACATTGCCTTGGTCGAGTTCGATGCATCGAATTTCTACTCGGTGAAGGATCCTATAATCTTCGGTGACGACTCCTTCAATATCACGGCTATGGCGGCCAGCCAAGTGCATATTGCTACGGGCGATGAGCACGGCTTCATCAACATCTATCGCATCTCAGACGTTTACTCAGCTAGTTCCACCAATAGTTCCTTAGAGCAGGACGCCTCCTCCATCTATCGGCGGCCTCTGCGCGTTGCCCCATTATACGTCATTAAGAACATCGTCACTGAGATTATTTCCATGGAATTCAATCCGACCGGAGAAATACTAGTGGTGGCTTCTCAAGCCAACGAGACTCGCTTTATCAATCTTCACACTGGCAAGGTCTTCGACATTCAAAAGCCCCCCAGTGGTGCGTGCACGTTCGCCTTCACTCCGGATCTCAGTAGGGTCTTTTGCGGGAGCCGACGGGGTGTGGTGGACACTTATGAACTAGTGGCTTCAAGTTGATTTTCTTAGAGAGGTGACAGAGAAGGTGAATCTAACAGTGGTTTTACAGAGCGAAAAGACAGACGAGTAAATAGGTACACAAGTGAATTAGAGGAGAGTGAGCGTGGCCCCGGCAAAGCCGATTAGCATGTTGAGCAGCGCCTCGTTGACACTATATGGCCTGTCTGCAATGAAAAGGGAGGCTTGCTTGGCGAGTCCAACAATGAAGATGAATGCACCCGTGAGGCGCATAAAATTATGTGGGCCAAGGGCAGGCTTGCGAGGGATGATACAAGCTCGCAGAAGAGTCCAGACAAAAAGAAGAATAGTTGCTGAAAGAAACAGAGTCGTTAGTAATGGATTGGGGAAGCTGTGAATCATCAGGCTGTTGCGTAGTATCTTTGGGAAGAGCGGCACCTCCTCTCCACGAGCAAAGTAGTCAATGCGAAGGTTAGTCACCATAAGTGCGTATGGGTTCGCTGTTTGCTTTTTTCCAGGAAAACAAACCAATTTACAATGAAAGCTGGGGTGCATGCCACACACAAGCCATACGAGACACGGTGGAAGGCAGCATAATTAGACATGCTTATAGCGTAGATATTCTGTTAAGAAAACCATAAGACGCTTTGTGAAGAGTAAGCACACACAGAAAACTGCCAAAACTACTAGAAGGACCATATTCCGCTTATCGGACCGCCGCTTGGCCGCTGTATCTTCGAAGTATTTCTCTAGTTCAGTAAGATCCTTCTCCCTCCTATCCATGAGCCGCTTTACAGTGTAGATACTCATCGTGAGATATTCCTTAAGATCCGAGTTCTCGGCCAGGACATTGAAAGAGCGCGTAGCTTGGCGATGAACATTTGCGTACAGCTGAGTGTTCGTCAGCTCCGACGGGACATCGCGCTTCTGTTGTTGCATTTGTAAATTTTGTCCTCATTAAAAAATGTTCGAAGAATTGAAGGAAGAGCGGGAAAAGTTCGCAGCGAAGATACAGTCTTTACAGAGGGCCAGACATGAAAGCTTAGTCCGCTCGTTCTATTCTCTCCAGCCTCAAAAGTCCCAATCCCTATCGCGACTTTATAGCCAGACAATTGAGCCGGTATTATGCAGTAAAAGCGGTGATGAGACAAGAGCAACCAACCAGGTCGATCTCCTTGCCGAGTCAATTACTGATCCAGAGAAGATATATGGTGAGAAGCTCGATAGCATTGCTAATATTACTAATGTATCACAGGATAAAGCGAGCAGCACAGTGCCTCCGGCGACCACAGCCGATAATTCATCAGAAACATATTGTTCCCCTACCACATACAATGTAATACGTAGCGGATACCAGCTGTGTGACAGCGATAGCTCTTTCGGCAACTACAACACGATTGATGTTCTCAACCATTTAGCTGTTCACAGCCAGGCGACAAACGAAGAAAGAGACGAAGAAGTAAGTATCCCGGCGGCTGTGCACACCCCAGTGACGCGGCACACAGAAACTGTAGCTCACCGTGTGAACGTGACCAAGAATGCCGTATCTGCGAACAAGATAGACTATCGGCAGGCTGGGACACACACCCCTAGCAGAGATCCATCAACACAAAGTCACAAGCAAGCTAACAAGGGAACAATGACGCACAGCCTGTGTCTCAAGTCAGTCGCTATACAGGTCCATAGCCAGCCACCAAAGGCCTCCGACCACAGACAAGATGTTAAAAAGAAATTAACAGTTTCAGCCTTCGTGCACCCCATTAGAAAACAGCCCAAAATAGAGTACCACCCCGGTGCCATATCAAGCCTGGTGCATCCTGCGTATAGCTCTTCTGTGCTCCAATCATACACAGAAATATATAAAAGCCTCAGCAACACTAGCAAAGCGATACTGAGCAGCTAGTAGTCCATATTCGTCAGTACATCCTCCAGGGCATTGATGAGTTGCCGTGCACCAAGGCTTGCCAGGCCAAGTGGGGTTCTGTGAGTTTCCATGTATGATATCGCCTCATTCACCATCTTCTCTATCTGCTCACTAGATTGGCACAGCGTCGTTCCTAGCAAGGCGTGATGTTGTATTAACGGGTTTGTTAGCTTAGTCTCGCTATAGTTAACGACTGTCTGCCTGTGTACCTGCTGAGTCGTGGAGACGTCCAGAGAGCCGGGATTCAGAGACACCTCTTTGGCAGTTGAGTCTCTTGCACTGTACCCGACCCCTGGTGCAAAGATCAACGAGCTCAACGGCATAGCGCTTTCTGTGTTATAATTGATAAGCCCCTCCTGCACCACAAACTTATAGATCTTATGGATTGTGTCAACTGGTACAGGAAGGATGTCATACAGTACAAAACATTTGAACGGACGCTTCTGCGTGGTTAGATAGTAATGTATTATCGTATTTCTAAACAGGATATAGTCTTGTTCTCGTAACTTCCCATTAGACAGCTCCGATGCGAAGTAGCCCTTTTCTAGCGGATACATGATAGTTACATCTTCGAACCACTTGTTCGGTGTCACCTGGAACAAGCTTGAATAGCTAGAATGAGTACGGGGGGCTGGGCTTTTAAAGTCAAGCATGCACTCTATCTCTCCATCCAGTACCTGTCTGGCCACAATAAGCCCTGACCCGGTGTGTCCATACGCCCTACCGTCATCGGCAACCCCCGTGAATTGCGGACCAAACAAGAGGGTGTCTAGGACAGGTGGGTACTTATATTTATGGCACTTAAACTCGTCCATTATCTGTGAAACAGGGACCAGATTTCCCTGTTCATCGGGTATCTTCAAATATTTGCGCAACTCTAGCTGATTATCACTACACCGAATTATGGATAACAGTATCTTTTCGGTATCACTGTCAAAATTACTATTATAAATATAGCTAAATGCTGTCAATAGAAAGTGCTCTTTCAAGACCTCACACTTTCGTCCCAAGAAGCGCGGGTTGCTCAAAGTCATAGTGCACTGAGCATCGTCTAGTGCTGCCTTTGTCTGATGATCTATTAACTGGCTCAGCACTGGCGAGTCCTCCTTAGCACCTGCCAAGAGAGCATGTGGCAGGTGTCCGTTCTGCCACTTAGATGGGTCTGAGGTTGGACTGAACAGAATATCGACAACATCCTTGGTCGAAAGGACACCGTGAAATGATAACATCCTATGTTCGTTTGGAGCATCTCTAAAAGATAATGTGCCAAAAGAGAGTGTGACATTTATTTTTTCATAGTTATATGTCTCTGCATCTCTCTCGTTTATGCCTGATTGACTGTCAGCTGGACTAAGGGTATATCCTATGTTTTTCTTTAAAAGATTCAAGGAGGACTCGTACTTCTCAGGATGGGCTCGCATGTTAGTGTAGAAGTAACTAAGATTGGGGCTCGTAAACTCAATATCTCGAAAAACAAATCTACATCCTCCACAGTGGCATTCGTAGTATTTGCAAGAATTATCTGAGGGCTGTGATAAGGGCGCAGCCGCCACATTCGCTGACTCCTCGAGGGCAGCTATGGGAACGTAGGTTATGTTTTGCTCGGTATAGTCTGATAGCTCACATAGCTCATTGTAGTTTAACGAATCCAAAAGCCACTGGAGCGACAGAAAGACAACTTCAAGACACACAGACCTGGGTGAAACAGATTCATGGGTGTCTGATTGTGCGGAGGCATCTGAAGAGAAGGTGTCCAGAGCATCTATAAAGTTCTGTGCATCAATGGAGTTGTCAAAAGAGAGTAGGGCGCGGGACCCTAGAAGGGGGACTACCTCACTTGCAGTAGGCTTTACCCCCTTGGCCTCTGCAACAAGCTGCTTCTGTTCCACTGTGTCGTACGAAGGAGGAGACCGTAACATGTGCACCAAGTACTGGTCTTCTACAAATTCCAATATGCGGAAGGAGATTCGTGAAATGGCGAGATTGTCCTGCAATCGTCCTCGTCTAGGCTGAACAATTACTTTTCGCAGCTTATCGTCGCCACTCGGAAACCATGGAGCACACAACACAAGTGGGACAGCTGAGGTAAATACTTTGCCGAGCTGGTTGCAGGAACTAAGTGAGTCATCATCCTGCTTTTGTGTCGTATCCCGATCCTCATCGTGATAGTAAATTTCGTCAGCGTGAACTGAAAAGGAATGCTTGCCTACTACTGCTACTGAAGATGGCGCAAAATAGGACGAGATTTTGAACTTGTTACACGCCTCCCCAAGCAATCTTTTTAACTCTACTGGCATGTGAGGATCAAAGATCAAGATATATTGCTTGCCAATCCTCTCTTCATTAATAGCTGCATAACACTTCGCATAGAGCGATAGGAACTCGTCAGTTGCCATGGAGGAGATGTGCTGGTAAACAGCGTCATACCTGAGCATGATCGATGCCTCCGATGAATGAGAGATAATCATCCGCAGAATAAGGTGAAGCGTCTTATTGCGTGTTTTAGTATTGCTTAGGAGATAATGGGGGATCTTTGTTTGAGGCTGCACCCCTGCCTTCAACCCAAGAAGGGTGTCTGCACGCTCAAAAAAACACGAAAAGATACCTGAGAGCTTGTTGGAACAGTAAGCGTCCGTAAGTTTCCGACCGTCTTCAAAGAATGAGTGCGGAAGTTGCTGAATAAATGAATGAATATATGGCTGTAATAGCGTCTCCAGATAATCTTGAGACCAAGTGGCCTTGAGAAAAACCATGATAATTTATTTTAATTTCAGTAAGCCAACGGTGATTGCTACATGCCCCTCTGTTGCACAAATGCAGGCCGAAACAGTGTTCCTCGGGCAATGGACACGAAGAGCCCTTTTAATTTTAAAGTAATCTTCTGTGAGCACTCTGAATCATAGTCAAAGTGTGCTGGCATACAGATCCTACGAGATAAAGTGTGTTGAGAACCAATATTATTGATATTAGATTACTTAACTTAAAAAGCCGAATGGAGGCCTTTGTTGATGTTCGAATGCTCGGTTTGTGGGCGTCGTCTAAGGCGGCTACATGTACTAACGAGATCTCAGAGTGCCAGGATGTCATGCACTTCCTGCTGGCAGCAGAGGAGCTACTGCTATCAGGAAAGAGTGAGCGGAAGGTTCTCGTGCACTTAGGTTGCGACGTCTACGAGCCTGGTCTTTGCGACTTAAATGGGTGGATAAAGATCCACCTCGGCGCAGGGATTGTGGTTGAGATGACCTATGCAGAGGCCAAGAAGTATTTGACACGGCGGATTCGTGATCTTACCGATGAGATAGACGAACTTCATAAGACCATGGCTGATTGCGCAGCTTTATGTTCTAATTGAGACCTATCCTGTCTTATTCACTGTCTACACCTCAAGATAGCCACTTATCATTCTAGCAGCTAGAGTTCTCAACTCTCCAGTGTTATGTCCTTGTTGGATCGCCCATAACTATCTGGTGCGTTGTACCGTAGTTTTCGATGCACGTATGCAATGCAGTATCCGATTGTATCTCTATTCGGCAAACGTGAGATGTACTTGGATTTACCCTTGAGGCAGAGTATTCATCTTATTAGACGCAACAGTGCTGCCGACCAAGCCACTGCTAGGCAGAGCACACGGCCTGTATCTGCTCATCTCGTGCTCTAGCCAGCCACCCTGCGTGAGCATCTGGAGACATGCCTGGACATATGTGTGGTATTCTGCGGTGTGTACGGTCCCGTGTCCACGCAGTAGGCCAGCCAGAGAGCGTGTGCAGGCACGCCATGTGGCACCACGTCCTTTGTGGAGCGCTGGAGGAATACACAGGTGAGGGTCTACCATCAAGATGCGGACACGTTGCTTCCTGACATGGAAGGTCAATGAGGCTATCCAGATGGCCCAGCTATGGTAGAAGGCTAGCAGATGTGATCGTATTGGCCATCAGCACTGTCACTAACACCAACATGCATGACTAATGGACCTAGCAGGGCCGCAATGTTGCTACTAGTTCTCTGCTTTTTGATGAGCGCCCTCGCCGCGCAACGCACTAAACAACCCACATCCGACTGCGGAGTCGCAAACTGCGCCCAGTGCAACGCGGACGGCAGGACGTGTGATCAGTGCAGCGAGGGGTACAACCTCAACCAGGAGAAGACCCAGTGCACCAAGGCGTGCGCGGTCGCAAACTGCGCCCAGTGCAACGCGGACGGCAGGACGTGTGATCAGTGCAGCGAGGGGTACAACCTCAACCAGGAGAAGACCCAGTGCACCAAGGCGTGCGCGGTCGCAAACTGCGCCCAGTGCAACGCGGACGGCAGGACGTGTGATCAGTGCAGCGAGGGGTACAACCTCAACCAGGAGAAGACCCAGTGCACCAAGGCGTGCGCGGTCGCAAACTGCGCCCAGTGCAACGCGGACGGCAGGACGTGTGATCAGTGCAGCGAGGGGTACAACCTCAACCAGGAGAAGACCCAGTGCACCAAGGCGTGCGCGGTCGCAAACTGCGCCCAGTGCAACGCGGACGGCAGGACGTGTGATCAGTGCAGCGAGGGGTACAACCTCAACCAGGAGAAGACCCAGTGCACCAAGAACCCAGAAGCGCGATGCAATACTCCCAACTGTAAGACCTGTGACAGCCCCAAAACAGACAGTGAAATCTGCACTGAATGTAATAATGGCAACTACCTCACCCCGACAAAGCAGTGCACGCAGAGCTGCGGAACAATAGGAAGCTACTACAACGGAGACAAAGTGTGCGAGCCCTGTGATCCTAGCTGTGCTGCGTGCATCACAAAGGGACCAGCGAAGTGCACGCTGTGTCCTCCCGGGAAGAGGCTCCAGTACACAGATGAAGGAGCCACTCAGAACGGCGGATCCTGCGTAGATGAGTGCAAGCCTGAAGGAGGAGCTAGCGGATGCGAGACCTGCGGAGCCACCATCGGAGGGACAAAGTATTGCTCGAAGTGCAGCACATCCACGGAGGTCCCCGTCAACGGGGTCTGTACAGCAGACAATGCCCGCGCAGCTGCGTGCAAGGTGAAAGATGGCAAGGGAGGGTGCACTACGTGTGAGAGTGGATACTTCCTCCAAGACGGCGGTTGCTACAAACTCGGTAGACAGCCCGGTGAGCAGATATGCACAGCAGCCAGTAGCGCTGGTAAGTGCGAGACGTGCGCCAATAGTCTTCAGCCCAATAATGGAGCATGCCCCTCGTGTCACTCGACCTGTAAGACATGTCGTGATGCTAATTCTGCAAATGCTTGTACAACGTGTGCAGCTGGGTACTATATGGTCGGATCAGCAGCTGGACCATGCACTTCGTGTGACAGCAACAGTGGAAGTGTCAAGGGAGTTGCTGGCTGCATGAGCTGCGCTCCTCCATCGTCTAGTACTGGCTCCGTCCTTTGCTACCTCATGAACGGTGACAGTGCCGGCGGAAGCACGAACAAGAGCGGCCTTAGCACAGGCGCCATCGCAGGCATTTCTGTCGCAGTCATCGTTGTCGTGGGGGGTCTTGTCGGCTTCCTCTGCTGGTGGTTCCTCTGCAGGGGCAAGGCGTAGATGTGTACTTAGGTAGTAAACGCGTCATTGTGTGTGGCTTATATAAATGTGCTGCTGGGGCTATCTGAGCGTGGCCCAGAGGTCGTGCGGGTGAGCCCGCTCCTTCCTGGCCAGTCCAGGAACGATGGCTGGTTTTGGATGATATAATAGGGATCTCCCTTCACTTGTATACCAGGAGTCTTTTGCGTCCCTCAGTTGTTCCGCAGAGGTGTGCTCAGTTCGAGTGTGCGCGTCGCTCAGCCCAGGATTCAACTTACTTGTCCATCTGCATTGTCCACCATTGGTGCCACTTCTTGGTCTACCGCTCTGATGCCGGAGGGTCCCAGTAGTTGATGACCCTGGACTGACGCCTCGACAGACCGAAGCATCAGCCCAAGTGTGCTGTGCAGTGCAGATGGACCAGCCCACACGTCACTGAGCCAGACGCACTGCACAGGGTGAGCGTCGACACGGTCTCGTACTGGATGACGGACCACCTGCAAGAGCGCACTGCGATCCATGAGCAGAGGACCATACTTCTCCCCCGATACCAACGCATAGGAGCTGTCCGCCGGCATCCACGAACGCGTACTATGACTCCAAGATAGAGGCGCACGGGGAGCATACCCTCCGATCATACTCGGAACCGATGATCGCTTCATGGGGAGACAAAGAGGTGCCCCGAGGAACGGGATAGGCACCCGAGGTCGTGGCGTGCGATCTTCGTCACGGAGCACCAGGGCCACGTGGAGGCCAGGCTGCTGTGACCGACGGTAGCCCCGAGACAACAGGTGCTCACTAGATATCAGACGATGGTTGACCCCGACGGGCCAGAGGATGGGAGGAATCTAGAGGCACCGCGAGGAGCGGCAGGTCCCGGGGGAGACAGGATATAGGAGTTCTCCCGCCGGGATCGAGGGCATCCGACTCTCGGATTTCTGATCTCAGCTATTGTATGAGCGAGAGGCTTGCCCAGGGCGGCAATGGCTCGCATGAAAAGACCACTCCGGTAGCAGGCGACAACCCCGCCTCATTAAAATTTACTCTTCCCTAACCTCGTCTCTCTAGATATCTGATGGTAGGCCCATTTGACAGTCTTGCAGATGCATTAATACGACAGATGAACCTCCAGTTGGAGGACATGCGGCACAATGGAGAATACTCTCTCCTTCTAAGGATCATTCGGGGCCAGACCTCATTAACAGACAGAGTTGCCAAGAACCAAGAAGCACTATCTGTTGCCCGGAAGAAAGCAGGGGCAATTTTGACTGTATCACGACCTAAGCCACAAACTGACCCTGGATTTATTCAGAGAACGCAAAAAGCCCTTGAAGAAACACAGGACGCTATCCAGGAGACTCAGCGAAATATAGAGCGTCTCGAAGCCCAGCTAAAAGATGTTACTGCCAAGACTGCAAACAAGGATGAATTACGACGTGCTGCATTGACTCTAGCAGACAGAGAAAATGCGGGTAGGGAGGAGCTCGTTGAACTTTATCACAGCATATCGGGAGTACACTGGGATCAGCCCGACTTGGGATATGTGCTTAGCGAGGAGATTGCAAAACCCATCCGTTTCAGCTCCTGTGTCGATGCCACCAACCAGCTCTGGGAAATGATTAACATGTAGTGACTACATTCACTTCTTACTATGGCTCCGGTCATCTTGCCTTTTTCCATCTACTATCTTTGGTAGGAATGCGTACGGGTTCTGCTAGTTTCCCTTTGCCACGCCCCTTTCCGATTCCTCTGCGAGGCATCATGGGCTTTCTCACTGGGCCCAGCCCTTGTTTCATTGCCCTTGCTGCCCGTGCATCCGCTCTTCGCATCCGCTCTGTCTTGTGTGACCCGATTGCAAAACTTCCCTGGTAAGTAGAGCGTATTCCCTCTGCATTGGGAAGTAAATAAGAGGGGACGAATTTCAGGTGCATTGTCATCTGACGTTGTCTTTCTATGAGGGGGTTCGTTTTGATCCGTTTAATCAGGGCCATATCTTTGCTCTGCTGGCTGAAGTACTTTCGTAAGGAATCTGAAGCCAAAATCTCTGCCTTTATCTCAGAAAGCCGATATTCCTTAATGGCGGAGGGTGTTAGTCCATGCAGCACATCCACAACACGGTAGCGGAAGCTCTCCAGGGCTTGGATATTGAACTGAAATGGTGCGAGGAGCTCTTTTCCAAACTCTTCGCGCTGCGCCCGCAATACGTCAAGGACGACATCACGATTATCCTTACTATCTTCATGGATAATAGTTATAGCGTGCCCGCAAGGATTGGCGCCACGCGCTGTGCGGCCTATTCTATGGATATAGTTTATGCTAGACACTGGGCAGTCGAAGTTTAGCACTACATCGACTCTCGTGAAGTCCAGCCCTCTGAAAATTCCGGCCTCCTTTGAGGCTGATGGCGCTGATGCTTGCTTCTCTGCTGGGGTGCTAGGGTCATGCTCGGCAGCTTTTGTTGCCATGCTCGAACTATCTGCCTCTTGCACACCTTCAGTTTCCTTATTATCAGAAGCTTTAGTACCATCTTTGGTATCACTTTTGGTATCATCCTTGGCACTATCCCTGATACTGTCATCAACCGCAATAAGAACATACTCTGCTCCAAGGTTGTAGCCTTCAATGACTGCTTGCCGAGTCGAGACAGGAAGCTCTGGATTATAAAGAAATGCCTTCTGGCCGAATCGGTACAAGAACAATTTAAGCTTGTACGCTGTAGTGACAGAGTTGACAAAGATCACAATGTATCCGCGAAGAATTTGCAGCTTGACAAGGGCATATATTAGCATGTATTTTTTCTCTGTTGTGTCTAGAGATATTAGATGTTGGACTGGCTGTGTAAGGAGCTTTTGCTCCGTCTCCTCTAGCTTGATAAGCTTTGGCGATCGTAAATGTAGATTGACTATGTTCTCCAGTTTTTGGTCAAGGGTTGCTGAAAGAAAGAACTTCTGAGCTGACGCGGGCAAATATTCGAGGAGAGCCTCTAGATCGGGACCGTAGTCCATGTCAAAGATCAAGTCTGCCTCATCGCATACAAACTGGACGATGTTCTTGAGAGAGATCTTGCTGTCTTTGATAAGGTTCATAACCAAAGATGGAGTGGAGATGAGGATCTCTGGCATAGACCGCAGAGTAATTGCTTCTGCAGAAGAATTTTCTCCAAGATAAATCGCTGCGCAGGTGACAGTAAATGCGTTGCTTGAAAACTCCTTTATTATGGCAAGTAGGACCTCCTCGAGCTGGCGACAGAGCTCACGTGTGGGGACCACTATGAGGGCCGTTATGGCGGCCATTGGCTTAACACTCCTAGAGCGCCCCTGAAGAATGCGATGAAGAATGGCGGTGAGATATATGACAGTCTTCCCGCTACCCGTAAAACTCTGGCAGAGGATATCATTGTGTGCTAAGGCCTCGGGTATTGCAAGTTTTTGTATAGGTAGTGCCTCATATAAGCCAAGGTTTCGCAGTGCATCGCAGAGTCTAGGATCAATACCGAAGCTCTCCCAATCCATTTTTTAAATTTCAATTATTACAAACTCATACTCATTAGAAAGCTTCTGAATGTAGGAGTCTGCGCTTTCTCCGGCCAATATATTTATGTTCCGCCAGTCTAAAAAGCAGCTCGCATGCAGTTTCTGATGGATAGGATGTGGCTTTCTGTGATCGGGGCCACAGAATCGAAACGACAATCAAGAGTGTCATACAGTATTACCATTCGCTCATCATTATGTTGGATTAATTGGCCTGTAGAGAAGCATTATCACGAATGAATCACCTTGCTTCATCATTTGGAATTACTTTACAGGGCCACTTGCATCATCCTTGTTGCTCATTTTCTTTTCAAAAAGTGCATATAAATTGCTTATGCTTTCAATCTGTTTCATCAATATAGAATTTCTAATAAGAATGTTATCATATCTTGATAACTCGGCTGTAAGCTTATTAAAGACCATCACATCCTCTGGTATTAGTGGATCCGGTGATATCAGTGAAGCAGATTTATCGGCGGTCTCTGCCTCTACCTCCAGGGTGTCATGTAAAAGAGCTACAGAACCAGTGGCTCTTGAGCAGTTTTCAGCGTTCTGGATCGTATCCTTTGGCGGCTTCCTGCACAGCTGATAGCTAGATTTGCATGGCTTACAGCAGCACATAAAGCACCTGACACACAGTGGGCAAAGCCTCACAAAAAGGGGGACAAAAATGATGAGTAGGATGATTGACATGATAAGCAAAAGAATTCGCCCAACCCTCGTCGTAAAAAACAGCCTTACAATTTCAAAGAAGCCCTTCCCCTTCAGCTTTTCAAAGAACTCTATTACGTCCCGGAAAACTGTGTTTTTCCACGACGGAACTTCAGGATCAGCAAAAACAAAGTCGTCGAGACACATGTAAAGCTTGTTATCTTCACGCGTTTCATAGCGTGTTGCTCCCTCTGGGCAGACGCATGGAACTGCCAAAATGTTGGTGCTATTATTTTTCTTTCCCTTTCCACAATCTACAGAAATATTAGTAAATGGTATGTACTGAGGGATGAAGAGATCGTCTGCGCTTACCCCATCTTCCGCTGCCTTCTCCTCTGTGGATATGCACACGCCTCTTATGGACGAGAAGTATGGACGAGAATGTCCATACTTAGCTAGGCAGTCGACCGGCCTGCATGACGGAATATCACCCATTTCCATGGTCTGATCACATGAGCAGGCGACTAGGCATACAAGGGTGGATGTTTGTGGAGCTGTAAATCGTATGTCTGGGTCTACACACTGTACAGGAGAGTCTATCCTCACGTAGGTTCCTGGCGCATATCCAGATACTGTCCCTAGCCAAGAGATAGTGGCTTCGCTAGTAGCCGCCTGGGACTCGCTTTCGGGCCCCGCGGCTTGGAGAAATTGTATACTACACCTTCCTGGGCTCAAAGCAAGAGATTCGGCAACGATGACATTTGCCGGGCTCGTCAGCAAAAAGCTGTAGATGGCTGTCTTATCCACGTCAATGAAGTGCTTGATAGGCTTTCCTGTATAAGTAAAGGACCCAACGATTGGAGAGCTCGAAATGCACCGAAGAAGCTTGACTGTCACTACTCCCGGCATCATGCCTTCGTTCCCAACTGTAATGTTCAAGATGGCCTGCCTGCGGACGAGACTCACTACCGATTGAAGCACAACCGGCTTGCCTATGAGTTGTGTGAGCGTGACACTGTCTGCTGAAATGTGTAGACTAAATGCCAATAGAAGAATATCATCGCTGCATGCATACTTTACGGTTTGTGCTGAATCGCCACTCATGTTACACCCCTCTACACAGTTGCAATTGCTTGGCAAATAAGGTGAATCATCCCTGTAGTTTAGTAGCTGATCGGCAGGAAACACGTCAGGGGTTGGCGGACTGCCTATGAATGTCAGCTCATTCGTCCTGGTGCTAGAGTCTGAAGCTATAACGGCTCTCTTCCAGACGCTCGGGAGCATGCCCAGTAAGTTTGTGCCACCAAACCCGACAACATCAAAAGGCACTGCCATGCTATTGAGCACTCCCTCGTTTTCCCTGTGTATCACGTAGCAGCCAAAGCAGAACATGTTATTTGTGGAGCCTGTGGAAACAACCACGGTCTGCATGTATGAATTTCCATCTATGACAGGTCCCTTCTTGTTGTGCTCGTTGAAGATGACGTCATACTTGTTAACCGTTCCGTCTTCCTCCTCAATGGTTATGACAGCAGTCACTGTGTATGATAAACGTGGGAGACCTGGCTTCCACACTTTGTGTGGGTCGACCTGCTGCAGTTTGCGAACCTTGTTCCCATAGGGCGTTCTTTTGCAGTGGCCGATATTTGTATCCGTGAAGTCTGGGCATCGAAGGGTAGTGATTTCTAAGGTCTCTGCAGCATTATACGCATCGAAGCGCTTGGCATAATCTATGACTGCGCGCGCTTCCATCTTGATGAGGACCTTCACCAGGGACTTAAGCTCCCATCGACTGACAACGTGCCCATCCTTATCGACGATCTGGTAAATCTTAGACGTGGTATAGGAAAGCTGCTTGTCGTAAGCATCTGACTTAATCTCGCCATAGATGGAGACGTACTGCTTTCCGTCAGACGTTATGATCTCACTATTGATGCCTTGAGTCGGCTCGGTAGCAAGCGCTGACCACAAGCAAACAGCCCAAATGCACGATCTAATCATATAGTAACTATTTGCAGATCCACACGCTCACCCGTCCATAGCGGTTCGTTTCCGGATTGCTCGTTTCCAGTTGTAAATTAATTTAAAGTGAATTCTTCTCAAGTTTTTACGCGGTGTCGAGAATGATGAGACGTGTTCCTCTCTCCTACAGACTCCCTGGGGATGCTATGTACACCTTACTGATTTACTTTCCTTTTCTCAAGGGCCATTGTGTCGTGCCATTGTGTTTTTGCGGGGCTTAGTGGTTCCCAGTGCAGTCGCCCGGATCCGGCAGGACCTACTACTCTCTATCATCGTGCTTGAACCCAAACTCAGAGAGAGCAATCTCGAGAGCCTTGATCCCTTCGATGTATTCTTTCACTGCCTCGGAGTCAAGGAAGTAGCGGCGGGGGGTCATGACCTCCGTTGCGAGGATTTCTGCGGTGGCAGTCGCGCTGCGTGTGTCGTATTCTTTGCCGCGCAGAAGTTCGTCGCGCCTCATAGTGAAGAATTTGATGATGTTCGTGGCCTTGTAGAGGGCCAGCTTGTACTCACTGGTGCCACTGTTGGTCCCGTGCTTGGCGGGGAGTGATTGCATACTTGTAGACCCATCGACACCGTCTACCTGCTCAAGAACAGCTCCGAGCCCGGTGCTTTGCTGAAGTTTCTGGGTTGTTTCTTGTATCAAGCTCCGAATTCCTGTGTGTGCAGCGCGTATTATCTGTGTCTTATCGTGCAAATCTCGAGATTGCTCGATTTTAAAACGCTCTATGTTGTCCAAGAGATCAGCCTCTCTTTCGTTAAGGATCTTCCGGAGGCGCTCAAAGCCTTCTCGAGTGCGGGATCGGACAAGCTCAACGCTCTCGTTAAGCTCATCTGTAGACACTTTTAGGCTTTCGAGGGCCTGCTCCAAGTCAGAGCTCTTCTGCTGAAGAAGATCGAGGGCAGAAGACATTTCCAAGCGAACCACGGACAGCCCCTTGGCGACACTCTGAACAATGTGGTCCGGCCCAGGTGGATGGGAGCCGCTGACAATGCAATAAATACAGCACAGCTCTTGGCACGTGGCGCAAATGTGCGTCGTCACTTCTGCTTCATGGTACTTGCACATGACAGGAGGCATGTAGTCCAATGCACTGACGCGCTCATGCCTTACAAAGAGTTTGTTATGGTGGATATTAGCTTCGCATCGACTACAAAGCCAGCCTTGGCAGTTCAAGCAGAACACGGATGCCCCTGCCTCTTGACAGCTGTCGCAGAGGTGCTGCTTTCCCACAGACCTCTGTGATGTTGCGCCAGATATTAAATTACCAAAGCCCGATGCTGAAATATGCGGTTCAGCAAGATCCTCGGGCATTTTTGCCTTGGATGCCACGCGCTTCTGGGTCGGTCTGGGCGGCGAACCCTTAGTCTGCGCAAGGGGCATGATGCTCTCATAGCTTTCAGAGTGGCTTCCAGGAGACTGCCGATCAACAGACGAACGCGTCCTCGCGGCTTGCATTAAAATTCAAAATTCTTGGTTAAATGAAGTTAGAATGAAGTTTGTACCTCATGAACGAGGCGGCCTGGGGCCAGATCTAGACCGTGAATGCACACGTGAAGCTCGCGAGAAGCGGACAAAACAACAGGAGTATGCAAGGCGTCTCCGCGAAACGATCCAGGATCTTCCCAAGCGGGTGGAGAAGCCTCCACGCAAAACGGAGGCCGAGTTGAAACGCGAGAGGCAGCAGGAGTATGCGAAGAACATACCAAGACCAGCTGTACGTCCTCAAACTGACAGAGAAACCATTTCCCTCCCTCCTCTTAGAAAGTCTACAACACAGGAAGAGAGGCCCATTGTAAAGCTGATGGACATGCTTGAGCAGCACGACAAGATGCTGAAAGAGTGCGCAGAAATCTACGCATACTTCGGCCTGCAGTGAGGCTACAGCTCGGTCAACTAGGGCTCCATTATATACCCTTTAGTGTACGTCATTGTGAGAACTATAATCCCGCAAATCAATACTGTTGCAGCAATACTCGCAGAAATAAGTCCACTTTCAAAGTAACTTTCTTTTATAAATATGTATTGATACTCCTTGTGAATATCCGCAGCGGGCGCTCCAGAGTCAGTGGGGCGGAAGGAAGTCTCGGCATATACGCCGGTACCGTTTTTGTAAGCTTCCAGGACACTTTTCAGCTTGCTAGAACAGCTTCCTGTCACGTAGTACTCGATATCCTGCTTAGGAACGTTTTCAGACGAGTATACTCCCCGCTGATACATTGTATCGCAAGTAAATACTAGTTCTTTGCCCCTCTTGTACTCTGTCTCCCCAGACATTCGCACAAAAAGCCTTTCCAAAGTGATTGCTGAAATGCTAGTGCCAGAGTGGATGTAGATGTCTAAAGTAACTTCTGTCATGCCCTCAGCAACGGGGCATTCCGCCGGGGATCTTCCGATGGGTCGTAATATGGCCAAATTAGTTGCCACGACAAGGGTAGCCCTGGAAAAGCATGTTCGCTGAACACTCCCAGGATAGGGAATAATGGTCTCGGGAAGAGCTTTTCCTGAAAAGTACTGTAAGGTGAATGAACCTGTCAACGACAGATTGCCAGCCAGCAGCCTATTCATATCTCTGAGGCATGTAACAGTGGTGCATGGAAGGAACTGCTTTGTCCGTTTGAATGTAAAGTTTGAATTTTCGAGGGATATCCTAATAGTAGGTGCAAGTAACGAGGTGTCCTGTGCAGTTGTAAGCTCTCCGCAGACGATGATTTTATGGTAGTCTATTAGGTCGTTGCAGATTGAAGCGGAATCACGTTCAAGAAGCACAGCGAGGACCCCAAAGTAGACCTGCACTATAACAGACTTATAGCACTTAGAGTACCCTGCGCTGGCCTTGACAGCAGAGACAATCCCTGCTTGAGCAACTGTGCTTGGGGTCACCACTTCTACCTGAGGATCTGAAGATGAGACCGCTGTGGGGGTCTTCGACTTTGTCGTACCAGGAATGGGCACATAGACAATCAAGGTTGCAGACCACGCTGTCTCCACCTTGAGGATATCAATAAGCTCTATGCATCTATCGTATTTGTTTGAATTAGTAAGCCAGTCGTTACCAGGGTAGCGAACCCCGTTGCATGAGTAGCAAAATTGAGTTACTAAATTATGGGTATACGGTCTGATAAAGTTGGGTAGTTGAGCATTTGTGCCATGGGATGATAATGTTATGTTTAGATAAGCATCCGGTAGTGTATCCAGATGAATCAACATGAAGGCCTCATAAGTATTCTGCAAATTAGTGTCCTTGGGCAGGTCGCAGTCCGAAGGAGTCACTAAAAAGCATATCTCCTTATTGAAATAATCCACCGAGACCCTAGGATCCGTCCAGCAAGCAGAGTTATTCGTGAGAGTGTAGTAGACATTGGTTGTTACTAACGAGACCTTCGAGCTAGCGTAGTTGAGTTCCACCTGGACCACTGTAGACCCAGTGAGATTTGTCTGGCAATCTGAAGTGGCTGTTTTATCTGTTGGACAGGTAAATGTTAGTAAGTTAGGCTGCTCCATACTCCAAAACGGAACACTTATCGATGAAAATGTGTACGACCCTACCATGGCAGTGGCCGTCATCCCTGTTGTGCCCTGGAGGATGGAGCAGTCGGCGGTCTGGTGATTTAGTGGCAGCGGCCAGACTGTAATTGCTAATGAATGCTTGTTAAGCAAAATATTAACGGTGGTGTTGGGGGAAAAGCAGCTTAGAGCACTTATGGTGGCAAACAGGCCCTTTAAAGCCAAGAAGATGAGCATAAGAGGGGTTTTTTGAAATCACTTATGCCAAGTAAACGGTCTCCGGAGGAGTGGAAGCAAACAGATTGATGCGTTGCTCTACAAGGCAGGCACTTCTGTGGTACTTTTGTAGCGGCACTTAAGGCCACATTCCTCGGCTATTGCCTGCTACTTTTTGGAAAAAATCATTATCCCCTCCCCTCAGTCATCTGGGCACACGCACCTCAGAGCAACATGAAGAAAGCGAAATACTAGGAACGCCATTCAACATGCAATTAGGTATTTTAAAAACCTTATCGAAATTAAATTAAAATTTGGGAATACAAAGCCAAATCGCAAAAGCCATGTTCTCCCATGAGGTTGCCCTTAGCAGCAAGCCGCCAATTTCCCCTCAGAAGCCCGTGAACCCCCGTGTAGCTGCGCTCCTCGTTGAGCAGGACTCAATCGGGCACGGCAAGGCTATCGCGAATACGCTACTGGCTGATAACAGCCAGGCCATGGGGACGTGCATCGGGTCGTTGCAGTTTCACAACATGTTCCAGGTACCCTCTAAGATAAAGGAGGACACCATTCAGAGCAACATCATCAGCTTCATAAAGTATCACCTGGGGCGTGACTCCACCACTATAGACACCTTTGGAATGTTCCAGGCTACCTCGATATCGATTCGCAACACCCTTATTGACAACTGGCGCAAGACTCTACAGCACCAGACCGCTACAAAGGCGCGCACGGTTAACTATCTCAGCTTGGAGTTTCTGATGGGCCGCGCTCTGACCAACACGCTCTACAATTTGGAGTTGGGCCATGTTTATAAAAATGCCCTCAAGGACCTCGGCTTTACCATCGAGGCTCTCCAGCAGGAGGAGTCCGACGCGGCCCTTGGAAACGGTGGTCTTGGCCGTCTAGCAGCGTGCTTTATCGATTCCATGGCGTCTATGGACATTGCTTCGTACGGGTATGGCATCCGCTACAGTTATGGAATGTTCAAGCAAACCATTAGAGATGGGTGTCAAGAGGAGTTCCCAGACTATTGGCTGACACACGGCAGCGAACCGTTCCCCATAATCGAGCGTCTCGACAAGGACTACACCGTGCGCTTCTACGGTTATTCTAGCAGTGAGCCAGATGTCAAGAACCCTAAGCGCAAGCTTTTCAGATGGGAAGGGGGCGAAACTGTCCGCGCCATAGCTCACGATTGCCTTTGCCCTGGGCATCACACAACCAACGTATCTAACATCAGGCTTTGGAGTGCCCAGGCTAGCTGTGACTTCAATCTGGCCGCCCATAGTAGCGGGGACTATTACTCCTCCATCCGCGAGCGCATGGAGAGCGAAAACATCTCCTTTGTACTGTATCCGTCTGACAGTACGGACAGCGGAAAACTCTTGCGACTTAAGCAGGAGTACTTCTTCGTCTCTGCCTCTCTGCAGGATATGATCTACCGCTGCAAGAATATGGGCTGCAGTGTTCATGACTTCCACAAATACTTCGCGATCCAGCTGAACGATACACATCCTGCTCTGGGCATTCCCGAGCTCATGCGCTTGTTGATGGACGAGGAACGTCTCGAATGGTCGGAAGCCTGGACAATCGTCAGCAACACCTTCTGTTACACAAACCACACAGTTCTTCCTGAGGCTCTCGAAAAGTGGAATCTCGGAATCATTGCAAAGCTCCTCCCCAGACATACAGAGATCATATTTGAAATCAACCGTCGCTTTATTGATGAGTTGAGAAAGATCCACAAATGTCCAGACGATGTTATCTCGAAGCTCTCGATATTTGAAGAATGCGGAGGATCCAAGAAGGTGCGCATGGCCAACCTTAGCATTATAGGCTCATACAAAGTTAATGGAGTGGCGGCTCTCCACACGGAGATCATCCGGAACACGCTCTTCAAGGAGTTCAATGATCTCTATCCCAACAAGATTGTCAATGTCACTAACGGAGTCACACCGCGTAGATGGGTTGCGCAGGCGAACCCGCTTCTGTCTCACTATCTCACCAAGCACCTGAAGGAGCATAAGATAGCGGAGTCTGAGCACGAGTGGCTCAGTAATATGCAGCTGCTCACCTCGCTTGTGGAGCCTCTATCTAAGGATTCTCATGCAATAGCTGAGCTTTTGGAGATCAAGAGGCATAACAAGCAACGCCTGGCAAACTACATCCAGAGGCATGTGAGCTCTGAGTATACGTTCGACCGTCCGATTCCCACCACAATGATCTTCGATACCCAAGTGAAGCGTATCCATGAGTACAAGCGCCAGCTTCTGAACATTCTTCAAGCCATCCATTTCTATTTGACCCTCAAGCAGATGCACACGCACGAGGAGAAGGAGGCGTTCATGGGATCAGGGGTTTGCAAGATATTTGCTGGTAAGGCTGCATCGGCCTATGTGACTGCAAAGCGCATCATCAAACTCATAAACAATGTGTCGAAGCGCATAAATAACGATCCGGATACATGCAATTACTTGCAAGTCTACTTTTTACCGAACTATAACGTGTCATCGGCGGAGATAATATTCCCGGGCACAGACCTTTCCGAGCAAATCTCTACAGCAGGCGCTGAGGCTTCGGGCACAGGAAATATGAAGGCCTGCATGAACGGCGGAGTTATTGTCGGCACGATGGATGGCGCCAATGTCGAGATCTACAACCATGTGGGCGAGGAGAACATCTTTATCTTTGGTGCAGACACTAATACCGTTACGGAAGTGAGAGAGCAGTACTCGCAGGGCCGTCGCTTGCAGATATCTACGAGCTTGAATGAGGTCCTTGACTGCATTGAGTCTGGCTTCTTCGGTGGCCTAGACGACTACAACACGCACTTCAAGCCCCTCGTAGACATGATCAGAGCGGGCAATGACTGGTATCTTGTGAGCGTCGACTTCGAAAGCTACAACGAGTGCTACCAGACTCAGATTGTGCCTCTGTTCCGTGATAAGAAGACCTGGGGGAAGATGGCACTAAACAACTGCCTCCGCATGTCATACTTCAGCAGTGACCGCTCCATCCGCGACTACTGCGAGAAGATTTGGAATGTGGAGCCCTGCAACCCGGACAGCAGTGTTGGTTCCTGCCTGGCTGGGGTGCCCTTGAACAGAAGTGCCTAGGTGCGTTTGAAGTTTGCGCGTATAGGCGGGGCAGACGTAAATACTTTTGTTAGCACTCTTTATTTATATATGCCTCCAAGTCTGCGAAGTTTCTGCGCGTTGGGCTCGCATTGCGAAAGATGTCGTGGTATAAAAATAATTACACATGCCAACCCCCGATGTGGTGCAAGTTGACATCCCCGCAGAAGCCAATCCCGACGGCTACAGTGAGCTGATGTGGTTCCGAGCGCGGATCAATGCAATCTCCGGAGTCCACTTCTTAAATCTCATCCTGATTGTTATTGGATTTGCAGTGAGCATAGCATCTCTTGCTTTAGGAGTACAGTTCACCACGGTGCTACCCTTGCTGGCATTCGCAGGGGGCTTCTTTTGCAATATCTTTATTAATTATATAACACTATTCCTATCCACGCCTCTATTTCTTATTGTCGTTATCTACGGAATCTATAGTCTAAGCCTCTTTATCTTGTTTGCTATCTCATCTGGCATAGGATCCTTTTCGTCGAAAGAGCTCGCTGCATTTGTGTTGGACATATGCTTGCTTCCGTTGGGCATTACCTTAGTTGTGTTAAACTTAGTGGTGCGCCGGCTGATTATCAAGACCATGGAGCACGTAATGCCCAATGCGCCTTTGCCAGGCACTGCCCTTCGGTACTCCTACACGAAGGCATACACGAAGATGAAGTCGATGAACGATGAAGCATACATTATTCTGGGGCATAGCGACATTGGAGAACAGTGTCAGCCCTTAGTAATAGCTGCCCCCGAAGAAAGCCATAAGCCAGTATTGCGAGAATTTGAAAAAGACCGGCGCAAGGGAATAATTCGCTCTGGAGGCATAGGGATTTTAAGGGGCTCACACAAAAATATAAACCCGGAGGCAATATCGTACCGCTATATGGCAAAGACGTTTCTGCCTCTAGGCTCTGACTTTGTCCCATCAGGTGTTATAAAATAAGCAAAAACGTCAAAGATAGCATGTTTCCTGGCTTACCGAATCCCAGTAAGCCGGTGACTGACAACGATATTATGGACGCGTACCTCCAACTGAGGAAGCAGACGGGATCCCGGTCCTCTTCGCCAGCTAAGTCCTTATCGAAGCCGGCCGCCCTTCCCAAGACTCTTAAGCCTATACAAGTTTCGCATCAAATGAAGATAGATACTGAAACGGCTTCTCTAGCGGTAGAGCATCGGTTTACAGATCACATGTACGACCTCTTTGGAGAGCTTGAAAACGATCCTATTTTTGGGGAAGATGGGCTACTGAGGAGCAATGGTTCACTTCTACATGTCTCTTCTTCTCTCAAAGTCCCTTTCGGCAAAGAGGTTGGCATTACTGACCTTTCGCCCTCCAGATTCTCGACCGTGTCTAGCCCTTCCCCGCACTCAACCAGCTCAGGTAGCCTCAAGACAAAGGATCCTTTGGATATTTACCTAGAGTCGGCATATTCTGCTTTAGACACCGTAAACACCTTTGACCCTTCCGCCGCAGATGTGCTCTATAGGGTGATTAAGTGGCTAGTAACCGACGCTCGAGTCAAGCCTGAGGAGGTAGCGCGCCACAAGGAAGCATCTGCCCATGCTCTCGCTCTGGTCGCAGACAGAGAAAAAGTGATCGAATCCCTTACAAAGGAGAAGAACTCTGCTGTGGCCGAGTTTGAGGACCTACGAAGACAAATAAAAGACTCAGAAAGCGCTGCTGCTAGACTCCAGTTCGACCTAGACTCATCTAGAGCGGAGATTCGCATGCATCTGGAGAAGATCTCTCTTCTCCAAGCAGATTTACTTGAAGAGGAAAAAAAGTTTTATGACATGAAGATGGAGAGAAATAAGTTAGCTTACCGGAACACGGAGCTGGTCACCACTGGTGTTGAGTTACGCACGCAGATAGAGGAGTTTATTAAAGTCCAGAAGGAGTGCACGTCTCACGACGAGGAGTACACTATGGAGATTAAAAGGCTGAAGAGTGAGCTTGACAATCTGAAGGAGCAGTATGACGATGACATTGTGGCGTATCAGCAAATAGTGGGCTCAAAGACAGAGTTGATTGCAGATTTAACAATGCAATGCAACACGGCTCAGAATGAAGTTATGATATTAAAGGACAAACTAGCGTACATGCAGAATTGTATTATGGCCAACAAAACGGTCTCAAGCCAAAGAGTCAAAGATGGGAGCCTTGAGGGCAGCCTTGTCGGGATTGTCGATCAATCAACAAAGAATACTAAAGGCAGTGGTGATCAATCTGATACCGCGTCACAAGCTAGAGCGGCTGTAAAAAAATCTAAGCCAACTCGTGGTATCGCTGTCCAGATAGGAGGTGACAAAGATGGCCTCTGCACAGTTGCAGGAGAAGATCTAGAGGACTCTGAGGCTAGCTCATTTATCCAGTTCAGACTAGGAGATGCAGGAGCCGGTTCTCAGCTACTGGACTTGCCCTCTCTGGCAGCCTTCCTATCTGCCCAAGTGAGCGCGGAGGCATCGAAGGTGAATGCCCTGCTGGATATATGCTCTACTGGTTCGCCTTCTAAGCAGTCCAATGTTGCTTCCAATGTAATCAGGCGGAAGATGCAGCTATTCAACAATCAGGTTTCAAAATATAAAGAGCTCTTGATCAAACTTGCTAACTCTGAGGACGTGGCTGTCGATCTGGACGTAGACTCAGATATAGACTTTCAGGCCAGCCCACATACCCACTCGGCAAAGAATCCAAACGAGAACCCTTCCAAGAAGACTCTGCATGGAGTAAGCTCCTCTTCTGATGCCCAATTGAAGACCGATGACATTAGGACGTTGCAGACTATACAAGCAGTGCTTGGTGAGACGTTTACACTGGATGATCTCATCACTAACGAGGAGCTTTTACGCATCGTGGGAGAAGCGAAACTGAACTTGCTTCTAGGTAAACTCAAGCAGAGAGGGTGCTCAACCTTTAACGCGAGCAACCTACTCAGCGAGGCTAGCACTAAAGACGCCGATGATTCTAAGCTAAGCGTGGCACAGCATTCTCTACCACTCAGGGAGCCAGGAAAAGAACAGCTATTTGCAGCTACGAGTCCTCATGTTAAAGCACCCAAAAAAGGAGGACAAAAGAATGCACTAGGAACAGAGTCCTTAACCCGCAAAAAAGCTCCATCATTTCCGCAAAAGGTGTTGAATCACACTGGAGTTAGAACTGCACAGAAAACCATGCCTAATCGTGCAGCAGTACGTGATGGCAAACTTCCACAGGATGAGGCTTCACAGCTTGTCATGGACGGCCGCTTAGAGGGCCAAATGCTGCAGAAGATCACTGATATTTCGCAAATTGATGTCAACCTTAATCCAGAAAACGACTCACTGATAGAGGAAAATGGGCCAAGCAATCTCCTACCTTCCGATATGACTGAAGAGACGCCTATCTACGGATATGTGTCACCGGCTCTCACCTCAGATATATTTGGTGCTGACCCTAAAGGATCACGCGAGTACCCAACCAAGGTTATCACTGACAAGAACACTGTGGAGAACAAGCCCGAATCAGTTGTGCATAATAGACTCTCTACTGAAACGAGTGTCTCCCAGAAAAAGCCTGTAACAGCTATTGCTATGACAGGAACGCGAACTGCGACCCAAGAGTCAGCAGAAGAGACACACCAAGCTATGAAGGAAATTCTTGAGCCTCCTGCTCGCCTGCAAACGCCGCAAGATCAACAGAGGCAGAGAATGCCTCCTGACACGAAGCAACAGGCCATGTACACTGTCACCACCAAGCAAGACTCTCAATTGTTAACTGGAATGGTTGTTAAAGCAACAGGTCCTCTAGTTTCTGAAACGCCAGTGCGCATAAAAGGCACACCATCCGTTCAGGTAGGGAAAGCCACGCCACACATTTATAAGTCCAGTGTACGGCAGCCTAATGACCAGATGGTATTTCTACCAGGTAACCCAGTTAAGAGCATAGGCAAATTGAATGACCATCAGGACAGCGACGATGAATCGGAGTCCAGTTCATCTTCGTCTCTTTCACTAAGTTCACACTTTGAAGATGGCAAGCTCCTAGAGAAGGATGTTGCTGGCGGAGTGACCAATGAACCGGCTGCATCTCCAACCCAAATAGGTCTTACTGAAGATCGTAAACATAAAAAGAAGAAGCATAACGCTAAAGCACATATTAAATCTGATAAGGAACAAGGCATATTGATACAGCTCCAAGGAAAAGATGCTAAGAAGGGCTACTACACGTATCTACAGACAAAGAACGACAAGGCATTGCAGTATGAACCTCTCCTCGAGGGCAGCCGTGCATTTTCTGATGTTATTCTCACGGCGTCACATATTTATGATCCACATTTTGAGAATGCCCTTCTGGCGAAAAGTAAGCAGGCGCTGGAGCGCATTAAGACCAGGGCCCTGTCGGACCGCACAAAGCTACAGATGGCAGACCTTGATTATAACTACAAAATGCCGGCAAACAGCATCTTGCAAGGATCCCAACTTCTCAAACGTCAGCAATCAGAGCCGGATCTGTCCAGGGGCTCCGAGAAGCTGGGCGGCCCTATCGTTACGGCCTTGTTTGATGGAACAATTCCTCATGTAGATGGAGTTACATCAGTTGCAAAGAAACTGATAGAAAATAAAGCTATTGATCACACTCCTAGAGGAGATGCTTCTGTGAGTGACCTAGATCTTTCGGGCCTTAGAACATATGACACAGGAAGCTTTGCGTCAAGCAAGTCGGTATTGGACAATGACGATCCACTAATTGACATGGCACAACGCGCAGTGAGACATTTCCGCTTGGTTGGTAAAAGCATGCAAGCGGACGACACTCCACCCTTCACTACTGAAGCAGCTACCAGTACACCCATGCGGGAAGAACTGCCCACAAATCCTAAGCCTTTACTCTCCTTGCATCAATCACCTCCAATAGAGCTGCAAGAGCATAAGACTGCGGCTGGGGAAGTGTGCCAATCCAGTCACGATATGTCTGCGTCGAAGCCTGAACCTACCCTAGCGTCTGCAAAACGTGAGAATTTAGTCTCACAGGCGAGCTCCTTGTTGAAGAAAACAGCCCCCATCCTGGTTCGTACATTTGAACCTGATCCGCTTTTATCGGACCGAGCCACTGATGAAGAAGGTAGCACTAATAAGTGTTGTTATGATATTGAGTCTATCTTTTCACTGGGAATGCCTAGCGACGAGAAGTCCTTTGAATTGCTAAGAACTGCTGTTTCGGCGCTAGCTGCTAAAAATATGGCATTGCATGATGAGATAGAAATGCTTAAGCAGAAGCTTGCAAGCGCTAAATCCACTAGCATCGCTCATCCGACTCCGTCAATATCTATGGCATGTCAATCAGATCCCAATCCAGCGGCAATGGCGTCACCAGCAAAGACAGATACTGAGGCATTTACTGTTGCCGCGGATTCATCTCACCCGAAGCGGCAAGAATTGCGATCTTTTTATCCCCCAAAGGCATTGAATGTTCCTGCGCAGTGTTCTTCTAATGACCTCGTGGACCAGCAGCCTAATGCTTCTTTTGTGTCGCCTCCAACAAACTCCTTTGTAGAAATTAAGTCACAGGAGGGACTGATAGATACACGCTCTCCATGTCAATTTGAGACTGATCAAAGGACTATCAATTTGGAGTTTTCCAACGAGGAGAGAGTAGGTTCAGCGGTCGTAAAGCGAAAGCTAGGATATGAGGTGTTGACACACGTTGCCCAGGTAGCTCACGAGCCGCTTCTCAAGCCAAATAAGGACATAGTCCACCAATCAGAACTTTATGCCTATCCTCTTGTTGATCCAGCAGCTGAGAATACAGCGGATGGTGGCTTTGGAGCTTCACTTACCTATGATACTGCCTTAAATCTGGCGAAGTCTTCTATTAGCAAGTCGATAATAGTTAAGAACAAGGCCATAGATCATCCAACCCAGTCAGCAGAGCTCGACAATCTAATGCAGATAGACCCTAACAGTGAGCATGTTCTTGCCCTGTCTGATGGCTCCGAAGATGAATTCCATCAGTTGGCAAGTACCAACACTGCTGATACTTTTAGACCCAGTGCTACAGAACAGCACATAAATAGAATTCTGTTTCGCAATCACGCAAAGCCTCTGCTAGATGAGTACACGTCCATCAAGCATGCCAATGGACTCACTACTAATGCAAATTCACGCGACGAAAATATTCCTAGTGCTCGATCCGCAGCACTACCTGTTTTGGTTACTGATCTAAAAGCTGCAGGTCTCAAAGGGAGGCCTCATCGCTCTGCAAGCGCATCAACCAGTGTCCAGGGTACTGCTTTGCAACTGTTCCCCGCGGAAGATATTGACACGCAAAATCAGTATCTGGTAAGAACAGGATCATGCAAGGCAATCTTGATAACTACGCAAAATGAAGAGCCCCTGGGTAGCAAGGAATTAGAAAATTCTAATGGCAACATTGCTAGCAGTACTGATAATCAAAAACCTCCTTCAACGTCTGATAGGTTTTTACAGGGGCTGCAACCTCCCACCAATGGAAGAATCCAGCTAGATGGAGATGAAGATAAGACCACTGTTGTTGGCGCATCTCAGTACAATCCATATATGCAGAAAAGAGTTGTGCCTTATGGAGACTTGCAGACGAGTAGAATCCACGTCCAGGATAACTGCGAAGTGGTCCCTGCTGATCTTTTATACAAGGAGCCAACCGATGAAGAGGTAATAAGGCAGCACATACACCAGTCTGCACAGGCAGACCTAGATGCTTCGGCTGAAAGGCTTGGCAGTCTGGTGCGTAATCGGTGCAACGCTATCACAGAGCGCCCTATCAACTTAAAGTCACAACGCTCTTCTCCAAAACAATCGCCATCTAGATCTATCTCCCCAACCGTTACAGCTATGGGCAAGGGCGAGGTTTCTGCGGAGCCTCACCTCTATACTAGCGCACCTCTGAGTCCTATGCGGATGCTTCCACAGCAAAATGACGGGGCCGTTCATCAGGGCTTGCAATCCAAACGTATGTCATATCCAAACACGTTCACTTGGAGAGAAGAAAAGCACCATGATTTTCAGGTTCTGTCTCCACGACGGCACACATCAAACAAGAAGACAGGGTCATCGTTCAGCTTAGCGCTAAAGAAGGAAGAGCTGCGGCAACGGAATGAATTAGCTAAGCACATTCACATCCTAGAGGCAGAACTAGCGCTTGAGCGACAGCGCGTTGAAATGGCGCAGACAAATCCCATGATGATATCGTGCAACTACAATCCAAGCTCTTACCCCTCTGCATTTTTTCAGGTGAGCGACGGGTTCAAGACTATAATGATCAAAAATCTCAAGAGCAAGCCAGCTGCCCGTCTCCTTTTGCGTGTAGGATCAGATTCTTTAGAGCGGAACGATGCTTCTTCCGTGAGGGCGCCTGTAGCAACCCGCTCGCATAGATCTGTTCACCTTCCTTCTGCTCCAGTGGCTATTCCATTATTTGAGCCAACTGAAGTCCATCAAGGGCTGGCGATAAGCGTTAAGAAAGAGCAGAACCCGGATATCAATGAGCATGTTACCTTCAATGACTCTCTCACCTATGCCACTGCACTAGACTGTTTACTGAATGAGATTTTTCCGCTCCCGCCTTCTATCTATAACAACACGCTGACATCATCAGCATTCCTTCAGTCCTATGTTGCAAAGTTTCCAGAACTAGCTGAACTACGCAGAGCTCGGACAGCTGCAGCAGATATTCTTCTTTTAGTTCCAGCATCCTGTCCTGCAGCAGAATTGGGAAAATACATTTGTGACTACCGTGCGACTAATCCACAAACACATACCTATCCATTGGCTATCGGGGACAAGGTGACCATGGTCTTTTATAAACAAGAGCTTACCAAAGGGGATGGGCGCGTCATAGAGTCCACACCTGATCCTGCTATCCAGTTCCTGGTCACTAACTCACCAGATCTACAACTGTTACGATATAACACTACAGCAATATATGCATTACTTCCATGCCATGTTAAGATTAAATCCATCTCTTGGTTGACACGATTGATCCGACTTCTGATTGAAGAGATTACAAGTCAGGGCCCAGTATCTGCTTTGCTAGATAGGAACATGGCTATTAAGCGCGTCCATTTATGGGCAAAGAAAAAGTATGGTCTTCAACAATTGGTTACGAATCTTCTCTGGCATCTGTATTGCTCTCTACTTTTTCATCGACGCACTGATGTAGAGGTGGATTTCTTTGCACGTATTCTGTGCGGAGACTATGATGCCGACCAGCTAAACTTTTATTTGAGCCTCCGCGATCTGCTTATGCTATCTGCAGGTGCTCAAGATAAGGATAAAGATAAAAGTAGAGACAACTGTGATAGCGGAGATTCTTCTGCAGCTTCCGATAAAAGTCAACACATAATCGCCTTGAGCGCAGCATTCTCAGTGACAGACAAGCTTTTCCCGATGCTAAACTCCGCTGACGCCTATGAGGTGTTTGGGGCCATCCTGGACAATTCTACCTTAATGACAGACTCCAGGGATGTTTTCAGAACCGATCTCCGTGCGCATATTAGCACTGTAAAAGACAATCCTGACAAGTGCTCCTCCATACGGTCTCTTTCCGTGCCTGTAGGAACTCTGGAAACGTATGTGCTCGTACACATATTACTTAGCATATACACATCTAGAAGAACGGTATTTAACATGCATCTCATAGATTTGTTTGAAGCAAGTGCTAGCAGTGCCGGTCCCAAAGCAGGACTGAGCTTAGAAATTGGTCTCGAGATTCTGCGGAAAGCGTGGCCGTACCTGCACCGCGAGACCATACTCTCGTTAGTTCATAGAAAGAACCCCAACTCCGCGGTAACTCAGGTGCTGCATTTCGAGGAGTTCGTGGAGCTGTTGGCAGGTCTTGTTATTGCACCCCCTACTACGATAGACCCTCTCCTTCTACAAGCAAAGGCCGGATTTGCTGCTGCGGAGCAGCAAGCGGTGAAGTTGATACCTCTTTTGGACAAGGATGTGCCGGACGATGCAGCGCTTTTGCAGGCGCTGGATTCTTTGCGGCAAGATGCCATTGCTGCGCTGCAAAGGCAGTGTTCGCTCAAGGCAAATGTTGTGGTCGCTGAGTACCTTCGGGTGGCAGAGTTTGAAGGAATGAGGAGAGGCCTTGTGGAAGAAACTCCCGATACTCCAAACGAAATAGAATGAACTCCTTCCCCATAAAGCCAACTATACTTATGTAAAAGTGTGTGTTGTCGCTTTGAATAAAAGTATGGAGCGTGAAGAGGTTCCTGTTTTTGACCCTGAAACGCTCGAGATAATAGGGAAGAGGTATCGCGATGAACTTACGAAAGAGGACATCCATGGAATTGTCTGCGTTGTCGTCGAGAATTCCGTTGGACAGATATTTATGCAAGTTCGCTCTCACACGAAGAAGCTCTATCCTGGAGCCTTTGATCTGTCTGCAAGCGGGTTTGTGCGTGCAGGCGAGCGCTTTGAGGAGTCTGCATCTCGTGAGCTTGCAGAGGAAATTGGACTGATCGTCGACCCCTCAGCGTTGTCTGAGAGATTGATTTTCCGGGGGATGCTAGCGCCTTCAGAGTACCCCTGCTATACACATGTTTACAAGGTACAGACGGATGAGCCGCCTTTGACGTCGACTGATGAGGTCGAGGATGGAAAGTGGTTTGCTCTAGACGAACTGCGGACAGCAATGCAGACCCAGCCAAAGCGTTTCACACGACTTGCACCTTTGGTTCTGAACCGAGTTTATCCATGATTAGAGCTTAACAGCCATTAAGGACGCTCATGATTATTCCCCTCTCTGCTTCGTCAGGACACATTTCGTATGGCTGTGTCTGCTTCTTGACGTCTTGTGCTGGAGATACGCAGTAGAGCGTGCTATAATACTGTGCATAGTCATGAACTGTCAGACCTCCTTCAACGCCATTCCGTTTTGCATATCCCAGAAGTGAGTTAGATAAGCACCTGATCTTGTTGAACCACAGTGGCTTGTTCTTCTTAATCCAGTAGTGCAGTGTTTCGACCTCATTAAGCTCATTGATGAATCCTGTTTCGACTGCGAACTCCATCGCTCTCGTGCTATCTTCATCTGGAAATGCTCTGCGCAAACTGTCCACTGCTTGCTTTCCAATCTTAATGGATGTCTCGGTGTTATTACTGTAGGCCATTACAATAGACTTCGGGGCTATCCTGAGGATTAGATCGCTGAATGTAGAGTTTTCTACAGGCACATAGTCTTGTAGTGCACCTATCTCGTCTATTACACTTTCCAATTTGAACTGGGCGGTGATACTGGATAGTTTTTCACGGACCCACTGTGGCTTTAAGGATACACCTATATCAATGTATTGTGATGCTATACTTAGCATTCGCAATAGATCTGCGTACCTATTTTGTTTAGATGGTTCTTGATCTATATGGAGAACATTCAATGGGACGCCTTCATCTCGTAAGCGTCGTGCAATGCGAGCGACTGCTTCTATATGGCGATAGTCCGTCATGTTGTTGGGATCATCGTTGAGATATATCATCAAATCAGTTGTTATTCCTTTGCTCGCTAAGTACTGGATGTCATAAACATAATCTTCCTCGTACGGGAGGACTCCCTTGCTATAGTAATCTTCATACTCCCACTCCACAGACCCTGCGAAGAGAATTACGTTATTAAAGCCATGGAGTGAGCAAAAGTCTGCTAACTTTTCTATTTCTCCCTGTCTGTTTTTGATCAGGAGGATCCAGGCAGGCGTGCCGTCAATACGGTTGGTTGTGGAGTGAGACCACACATAGAGGGACTTCTTTTGTTCTTTATATGCAGTAAATTCCGGATATAGCGCGTCTACATCACTTGAAGAAGTGAATGCGTATGTTGTTACTGCAAGCTCAAGGATCAGTCCCAGTGTGAGCATTTTATTTCCCGGGCCAGAGCATAGCTTATTAAGCCATCATTCGATTGGGTACACATATGAACAATGAGTTCCTAGTGTTCATATACTTTGGCTGAGACTTTCCTCTTCAGATACGATTACAAAAGTCTAAGATCACCTTTCTAACTATTATCTGAACAAGTTTCTTGGTAAGAAGCATTGTTCAGATTCACACCCCAATACTTTATATCAATAATTTAGAAAGTTTCTGTAGACTGCTTGTATTATGCTGATATGTCTTTGAATAACTTGCCAACCATATCTGCATTATCTACAAGTAAAAAGGAGAGTGCCGTATATTGCTGACTGGTGATGCATCGCACAGAAAGCATACCACAAGACAGTTTAGATAATAATTCACTCCACCTTAGTTATTTTCATCGTCGGCTCTTTGGGACTGACTAATGGCTGCCTCTGTCGTCTCTTGGTGTCCGTCCAGTTCGTGGCCTCAGAGATACTTGAGATCTCCGGGTAGCTGGCGGTTCTTCCTTTCCAATCGCTTTGGAGACAGACTCTCGGAGCCTGTTAACTAGCCCCATCGGGTGCTCACTTTGCTGCCATGCCAAATCTCTCAAGATGTTTCTGGACATAGAATGGAGAAGTCATCTGCTCCATGTGTAATTGAGAGCATCCTATCCTTGTATCTTTGCTGCTTCCTCGTCGTAGTCAGTATGGCTATTGAATGATGCACACGTCAACTGCCTTTCACTTGCCGATAATCCAGATATCCAGCTGTTGAGTATGCGCCAGCTCCCCTACAGCTAAGGATTGTGTGAGTGACCATGTCTGGCTTTTAGTCCTTTCTTTGTGCAGCCTTGGGGACCCTCCTCCATGGTCAAGGATTGAGCAGTCTATAATGGCAGGATTGCGCTCGCCAGGGGCCCTTTTCCTGTCTCCTGGTGATCTAATAGTCTTTTTAACAGCAGCACTCCAACCTTTGTAGTACTTCGTTCGAGAGGAGGGAGACTATCTCGTGGCATCCCCATAGCTTGGCCATACAAAGAGCATCTCCTCCCGTACTGTCTCTCAGACTCTTCTCTCTCACGAGGAGCTTTACACAGTCAATACTACCAATTTTCATAGCAAACATAAGAGCGGTCCATCCCGTTTTCTCCTTCATGCCAGCTTCCTTGTCTACGAGTAGCCTAACACAATCTACGTGACGATTCTGCGCAGCCCACATGAGAGCGGTCATCCCGTCAGTCCTCTGCATACCACCCTCCAGCTCCACAAGTAATTTGACGCAGTCTGTGCGGCCGAGCTCTGCAGCGCACATGAGAGCGGTCCATCCATTGCCATCTTGCATGCGGCTTTCCTTTTTCATGAGTAGCTTAACACAGTCTGTATAACCACGACCTGCTGCAGCCATGAGAGCTGTAGTTCCGTTATTATCTTGCATACATATCTCCTTCCTTAGTAAACTCCTGGCGCAGTTCGAGTAGCCATTACCTACTGTGGCCATAAGAGCCGTTCCTCCATTGTTATCTCTCATACCTCCTTCCCTTTCCAGCAAAAGCTCGAGACAGTCTATGTGACCAGTTCTTGCAGCCCATATGAGGGCCGTCCACCCGCTATTATCTCTTATGCCCCCTTCCTTCTCCAGTAGCAGCCCCACAAGTTCTGTGTGACCGTGTATCGCTGCTCTCATCAGGGCGGTCCCTCCGCATATCTTCCATCTGTCCACATGTGTGCATCCCTTCATCTGCATGCCTCCCTGGAGCGGTATGAGGGTCTTCACTGCCTCCACGTCGTTTCTGTCAACGGCCCTCATGAGGTCGGTGGAGTCGTCCTCTTCGAGATGCTCCTCCTCTGTGTCCTCTATATTGTCTGTCTCGTCTGTCGTATCTATTGCATCTACTGTGTCTGTCGTATCTGTCGTATCCGCTGTATCCGTTGCATTCCACGCGTCCCCCATGCCTATCTTCATCCATATCTCCTTTACCTTCTCAAGCGTCTTGGAGGTCTCACCAAACTGCTCCTTAGGGATATCTGCCCCTGCGGATTTAGCAGCAAGCTCCTTCTCAAGAGATAGGATCTTGTTGTTGGCATCATTCAGAGCAGCCTCCAAAGATGCGCATCTGTTCCTCAGTGCTTTATCTTTGGCTTCCTGTTCATCAGGAGGGCCGTTGAGCATCTGAAGCAGACGGACAAGCCCTCTGGCTGTCGGCCTCCTCTCTGGATCCAGCACGAATATCCGCTCCAGAACACTCTTTATGAAGCCGTCGGTGATGCCACTCAGATCGGGCCTCCACCCATCGACGAAGACATCCTCTGGTTCTCTGCCCCCCAAGAAGTCCGGCTTCCTCAGGGTGGCGAGCTCGTATGCTATGGCCCCAATGCTCCAGATGTTGGACGCGGGAGTTATGATACCGCGGAGGAGCGTCTCGGGGGCCATGTATGCGGGGTCGCCGGTCTTCGTAGCCCAGCTCGACATGCCCATGCAGAGTTCGAAATTCGCAAGAACAATGTGCCTCCTATTTTCTGTGAATAAAATATTGTCAGGCTTGAAGATAACACCAGGAAACAGGCTGCCGTGGACACCATTGATGGGATCATGCAAGTAGATAAGGCAATTAGCAAGGTCTCTTACAAGGGAAAGTACCAACCTCTTAGGAATAGGCTTATGAGTTTCTCTGTAATTAGTGATCAACTGCTGAAGGTCTCCGCAGCGGCGGTCCATGATAATAAAAATCGTATTGCGACTCTTAATTATCTTGCCGCAGCTGAGAACATCCGGATAAGAGGTGTTTGGAAGAGCGACTAGCTTGAGTTTGGCAGCATCTACACTATACTGGTCTGGATCATCAGGCCGGATCTCCTTCGCGGCAAGGTGAGGGTATCCTTTAAGAGAGTAGATAGTACTGTAGGCATCCTTGCTGAGCACGTCACCCAGGCACCTGCGCAGCTTCTCGGGACTGAACATGGGGACGTCATCTGTATCCACCAGCCCCGCAAAACCACTAGCTGACCCCTCAGTAGGACTCCTTAGAGTGCTATGTGCGGCGGATGAGGTAAGGGGGTAAGACCGGCAGTCAACAGCCATCATTACTTTTAATTTTACAGTACAGTTTACTCTCCGTTTCACTGGGTAAATCTCCCATGCGAGCCAGCGCCGCCCTGGGCAGGTCTCTTGCTTACTCACTAACCGAAATCCAAATCCAGACTTCGCAAGTCAAACGTCGTCCACTTCAGCGGGAGAAGAAGCCCAAATGGGGAAGTCGGTGGTCCAACGCCTAGCCCTCTGCGTCCCCAGTAGACAACAAACCCGCGGCTGCTCCCACGAGTGAGCCGCTGAGGAAGGCCTGCGGGGACTCGAAGAAAAGAGTCTAGAGAGCATCCAATAGAATGAGCAGGAGGGCCAGGAGACAGGAACAAGAGAGCTCTAGCATCTTCCTCTAGCGAACCTCCCTGTCATGGAGAAGGGTGTATGGTGGCTGAGTGTGGGGGTTGTAAACCTAGAGCAATCGCCGGGTCGATGGCTTCAGCATGGCTTTCAGCAAGATGTAGCAGGGAATCCGAACCAGCTGAGCATTGGACCAGGTCCTGGATAGGAGCTAAGGGCTCCTGTGCACGGCTGGGCTGCTCTCTAGATGGGACAGGGCACGGTGAGCTGGACGGGTGTGATACTATAAGGTATCTATAGTTGTATCGATACAACTAGTAGGCCCACACTGGACTCTGAGAAGTACACTGCTAGACAGGCTGGAGAAGCCTGAGGGGCGATAGCACCATCTTGTTATCGCTATGCAGTGCTCTGTGGGCATGCATTCAAGACATCATCCCCTGGTAGCCGGGGAGGGGACAGAGTCAGGCGGTAGTGAGCATGCCCATCAGAATGCCTCTAGGTACTGACCAGCCACTCCCTAGAAGCGCAGATGTCTCGGCTAGGTTGCATCACATCCAGAGCAAAAGAGGAAGCTGTACTGTCCTATTTGTTTCTCAGAACAATGTGCGAATAGAAGGCGGCCCAGCGACTGATACTCTGCACCGTCCTCTTCATCCACAGCCTGAGCAGCCAGATGCCAGGCTCAATATGAAGACGGAGGCTGCGAAGAGTAAACTCACCACGGGGCCGATTGTCTGACACCAAAAAATCCGAAAGGACGACAGTAGCTGCTGTCTCCTTGAAGAGTGCATCACACACAGTATCGACCTTGGTCTCCTAGACGAACACTCTAGAACATTCTACACTAGCCCTGACTTCTGAGGCATTAAACCCTATAACTAGCACAGAGTGAGGCAACAGCATGCAGACGGTGCGTTATCTTCATAGATGTGTACTACAGCTTCCGACTGCATATGGATGTACCGAGATGGGCAGTTTGACCGGCTTACATTGGCGACTTGTCCGTCACCGTGTTTGCTGCGATGAGAAGCTGCGTCTGCCCGGCAGACTGAGCATAGATTACAGCAGCTTCTCTGCTGATGCATGTATGGCCATGCGCCGCCCTAGTAGGTGGCGTAAATACCATAATGCCTAACCTGTCTGTTGTTAGCGGAAAATAGCAGTTAGTCGTGTTAGAGATGCCTCTAAGTAAGCCTCTAGTCTTTGTGCCTACTCCTCTACCAATTATAGTGACGACCGTATATTCAGAAAGACTACGGAACTCTCCACCGTCTCTCAAGGAGACTAACGGCTCATGCATGGGCTAGCGACGGAGGCCCATGAACTACCTACTACGAGCCTAGCTTACTGAGCAGTCTGGATCACAGTGCACTTGATAAGCATCTATGCACTCATTTGGATGCTCACTACTAATACTGACAAGACTACAAGGAGGTTTGCTTTTGGTCACACTCCCCTCATAATGCTTAGCCCTTGGCACCACATTTCAACGAAGGAAGATGTTAGGTAGGTACGCAAAAGGCTATTTGTGCACGGTGGTTCCTGGAGAGCAAGTTTGCACAAAGACTGTAAAGGCGACTAGCAGATCAGTGAGGTAAGCCTGACGTTATAGAGACAAGCTGTAGATCCGGATTGCAATGGGGACGCCTGTGGTGTCTCTCTGGCCTTCGAGTGTAGAAAAATCGCGAGGTCTGCAGACAGGTGAAGCTAGTTTTTGATTTATGCGCTTATAGCAGTGTAATATTTATTGGGACCTGTTTCGTCTGAGGCCGAAGACGTTTATCTTTTCTCCGTATACAAGCAAGGATCTACTGTAGAGATATACTGTGCAGGCCAGTACCAATCGACGTGGTTGCTATTAGCAGGTGTCTCACTTGCACCTTCTCATAACGGGTAGCCATCAGCAGCGTCCTCGGCCCACGTGACATTCTAGATGCATCTCTGCCTTTGACCAAAGATTGACACACGCGTTGTGTAGTTTAGATTGCTCATCAGCCAGAGTGGCGTGGCTACCCCTTATCCTCTACTTGTCTATCTCGTACAACCATTGCTGATGGCCTTTCCAGATTAGCATGCAAATGCTCTTATCGGTCCCACAAAGGCATACGTCATACAAATAATCACTACAGTCTAGGGTCCTGTCTACCAAAGAAAAGGCCAACCAGTTTACCACGTAGGCATTCATTGTGCATCTCATATAGTCTGGCAAGTCTTGTGCTCCCCAACATTCCCTCGCAAGCCCTCAGCTAAAGCCCGTATGCATATCGTTATTGACAAGCGCCTTAGCTTCATCTGGCCACTTAGGGCGTTAGACCCTTTGCCTTGTACAATGAGTATACTCGGCGTGGGAGGTATACAATCAGCATCGGCCTTTTCTGCTCGTTGTCCGTATGATACTGTTGTTGCTTCTTGATTCAACCAGCAACCTAGTTAATGGCTCAAGAGTAGGTGATAGCCCGCCAACGGGCAGTCAATAGTGGCCATAACGCATACCTTCACCAAGGCACAGCCTCCCTGAGCAGAGCACAAAAGTGGACCCTGCCATTCTGCGGCCCTACTATTCTCTTGAATAACAGGATCAGAGCAGCTCATGGTTAGTATTAGCTGTCTTCGGGTCTCCACCTGTCCTTATTGTCTGAGGTATGCTTGACTCCGTAGATTCGAAAGATGCTGTACTGTACTCGTACCTGCAAGCCTCAGCCAAGCAAGGCTACCATCTTGAAGGCTTGGCAGTGATGAGCCACACAGTCGGCGGGATCTGCAGAGAGCATTCATCCCAATGAGCCTTTTACTTGTCGTATACAGGTTGTGGCTGTGACCTCATAGGCGCAGGACTTTCTGGAATAACCGGTCAACTACAGAGTCTGTCCACTCATGTAAAGCCACCTGATAGAGGGCGATATCAATCTCGTCACTCGTCTACAACATACACCAGTCGAATCTCACAGATGAACAAGGGCCACCCAGCCCGCAGCACTAGACATTAACAGATATCCTTCACGACAAAGGGGGTGAGCGACTAGTAGACCACAGCAGTCGCCTGCCCATTGAAGATCTTCCAGTCACTGACCTAGGTCAGCTTCCTACAAGATCTTGAGAGCTTTATTAGAGGTGCATGCTTATAGAATCCCCAACTCAAGGTGCATGCTGTCGGACCCTGCTATTTTTCACATCAGCTCGTAGACATCGGTTCTTTTGATCTCTAGTGGGGTCACGGGGGATCGCAAGATATGGTTCCCTCAGTAAGGCTTTATCTGACTCCTGTAGCTATATGACAGGAGGATACCGGTCTTCTATGGATTATTTAACGCATGCTAAGGTGCACCAGTACAAGTCCTACAGTGTGGCATGATTCGTGAGTCAAAAGGTAGGATGCTTGGGCTGATTGGCGTGTCTCCTCGGGACCAAATACAGCTAGGACCAAAGGTCATGAACGAATGCTATTCGATTCCCTTATCAGCAGATGGGGGTCAACTGCTCTAGTATCCACAAGAGGCTATAGAGGGTACTGGACCAGGCATCCGGCCAATTGCTGGCAAATCAACACAACCTCCTTGGATCTCCATTCTTTCCTCACAGGCATCTACATGTAGGAAGCTCTGAGGACCTAGAGCCCTACACTAACAGGCTCAAGGTATTGCACTCCTAGGTGCTTCCATTAGTGGTGGTAGTGATAGCACCAGGATGATCCAGAAGGGGGATAGAAATCCTGCCCCGTTAGCTCAAGAAATGGCACAGTTTGAGCAGGGTTTCCTCCTTGTTTAAATTTGGGAGTACTAGCCTACGCCCTCTGACCATCTGACGCCTTATCATGCGATGGGGAATCTTAATAGTATCCACTACAAAAAGCCAGAAATAGCACCATGCACACCCAACAAACCAGAGCGTCTCATAGGCTAATCTACACTGATTCGCACTTCCACGGACCCTAGCGACCACTGTAACCGTCTCTCGGGATCTTGCAAGGGACTGTCCTTGAGCGCGATTCCTCCATGACAACCAGAAGTCGCAGACATAGTCCAAAGGGATGAGAATACTATAGAGGCGGAGAAGAGATCATCTGCGCACGGGGGTCCGCAGGGGCCCGACCCGCACAGGGAAGGCGTAAGAGGCCAATTCCCCAGGAATGCAGAGACATTAAGAGAGGAACCAGCAGTGGGCCCATAACACAGGGAGGTCACCCGGGCCGCCCCCTGATTGGCCACAGGGTAGAGGAGCAGCATGCGCGCGGGACAGCATTGCTACTTATTTTTGAATTTTCTGTTTCCCTGCATGTTGTGCAGGGGTCCGCGGTGGGTGCTAGACTATAGTTAGTAGATGCTTTCGGCATTAACAACTATCTCTTGTACAACAATATTATCAAAAAGGGATTTCTTTAAGCTGGCAGCATAGCAATAACCGAATGGAGCTTTTTAGCTTTGGGTATCTTTGCTAGTAGGATTCTTGATAGTGGATTAAGAAGAATCTCAATGTTGCTGATAGCTTTCTATCTTGGGCTGAGCGCCCTTGCGGCACAATGTAAGCAAGTACAAAATTGTGCAGCAGGTAAGTGTGAGATGGTTGGCGGCACTGAAATTTGTACAGAATGCGCGACAAATGGAAACGTTCCTATCAATGGGGAGTGTACACCAAAAGGTAATGCGGCTGATAAATGCAAGAAAGTTAACGGTAATGAGCTTGTTGACGATAAGACATGTGGAAAATGTGAGAACACATACTTCATGTACAAGGGTGGATGCTATCAACTTGGCAGTGATGTCGCACTCCTCATCTGCAACGATCAAGCTGCTTCACCTGGAGGGCGTAATGCTGTTGCTGGCGTTTGCACAGAATGTAATGCTACTGGGGGATTCTTCAAAAGCCCAGAGGCGGCCGACACGACAGATTCCTGCATATCGTGCAGTGATACAACTGGAGTGCAGGTTAATGGCGGTAACACGTATAAAGGTATCGAGAATTGTGTAGTATGTGCAGCTCCAGAAAGAGGAACAGGTAACGAAAATAAGATTGCTGCATGTGAGTCATGTCTTGAAGGATTCTTCGTTGCATCTAACAAGGCAGTATGCACACGTTGTACTGATAATGATAATTGCGCTAAGTGTGATGCAGGCGAAAACAAGTGCACAAAATGTAAGGCAACAGCCAGCAAACCATATCTAAAAAAGGGCGAAACCGAGGACTCTAATACATGTGTTAATAGTAACGAATGTACTACTGATAAAACTTACTTCACTGATGATACTGACGACCCTACTCATGGAAAGATGTGCAAGAAATGCTCAGAAGGGATAGCAGACTGTAAGAAATGCGCTCCATCATCACCTTCTGCTTTAGCTACAGTATCCGCAATTGTGTGCACAGAATGTACAACACAGACCAACAAACCCAATGTTGCCGGAACAGGGTGCTTCACATGCTCCGTAGACGGATGTAGTAACTGTAGCGAGAATGACGTATGTGAAAAGTGTGGACCTAACAAGAAGGTGAGCCCCGGGAGGAAGTCATGCGTGGATAGCTGTCCCGAGAACTCCATTGACGATAACTCTGTCTGTACATGCAGCAGTGGGTACAGCCCTGACAGCAGTGGGGCCTCCTGTGTGTCCACTGGCAGTAATAGGAGCGGGCTCTCCACGGGGGCCATAGCGGGGATCTCCGTCGCAGTCATCGTCGTCGTCGGGGGTCTCATAGGGTTCCTCTGCTGGTGGTTCGTGTGTAGGGGGAAGGCGTGACTTAGGTAGTAAACACGTCACTGTATATGGCTTATTACGCTATTCTGCCGGGGCTATCTGAGGATCGCCCAGAGGTCGTGCGAGTGATCCTCGCTCAAGCTCTGACCAGTCTAAGGACGAGGGTTGGTCATGAATAACATGACGGAGAGCCCTCTCCAGTGACACATCCAGAATCTGGGCATTCCTCGCCGCTCCATGAGGATATGCTCTGTCTGGATGTCCATGCCGATCTATCTTGGATTCAGGCCTTCTCGCAGGCTCTCTACTCTACCCGTGGCGCCTCTCCATGGTCTTCCTTCGTGGTGGGTGAAGCTCCGGTCGCTGTTTTTTAGATGCTCCTGTCTGTCAGGGGCTGCCACCGGGCTCTCCGCTGGCTGGGCCCTCGGTGTCCGTCCGGCTGTGGCCCGGGCAGCGCTCTACGGTCGCGGTCACTTGGGTCTCAGTGGGTTCGGATGGTGGGGAGGCGAGGGGAGTTAGGGCGGTGAGGCCGGAGGGGCTGGAGGGGCTGGAGGGGCTGAGGTTGGTGGTGGTTGTATGCGCCTCTGGTCCCTCGATAGACTGGGGTGATCGCAGCTGTGGTGACTGGGGGCTGTCCATCTGTGACTCACCCCTCTGTGTGCTCGTGGTCTGTGAGTGCCTCCACCCAGACAACCCTCAGGAGCCGTGCACACCAGGACAGAGAGGGTGACAGAGGAGAGTCAAGCAGCCCTGCCACGAGGGTGCACAGCAGCCAGCCTGGGCTGCAGGGCCCGCTCGAGCGATGGTAGTGACAGACGACTCCCTCTGACAGCAGCCCTGGTGACTGGCACTGGTCTGCTTTCGAGGCTGAGTGACAGTGTGCACAGATGGACATGAGTGCAGGAGGACCATCCACACACGGACAGACTGTGCCCCCATACGAGAGCGCCAGGCAACCACCCGAGCACCCGAGAGGCAGCAACAGACACGGGCACTAGAGATCCCCAGCCAGACAGCTGCCATGCTCATCCATAGGGGCATCAGAGGACCAGGGGAGTCACCCTCACAATCAGGGTATGATAGGAAGCCAGAGGACTCAAACACTACAGCATAGCAGATCCAAGGGAGGCACACTCCAGCAGGCGAGCAGTGGCAGAGCCCTGATAGCTGCCAGCCCCCCATGACACCCAGGCAGGCACCAGGCTCACCGAAGGCTCTGCTGGCCTCCACCGATGATCCGAGGGGGCAGCAACCAGAGGAGTGGGGAGGCCTTCGGACACCACAAGAGGCCCGGCTGTCCAGCAGGCGATGGAGCACAGGTGGCCTCTGAGCACCATACAGGCACAGAGCCGACCATCAGAGTGATGCCCGATCAGAGACGACCACGAGCACCCTCCACCGCACTCTGAGGGGCTGTCGATCATCCCACTGCCTCTCATAGCAGACCTCCTTGAGAGCAGTGCAGTGGGTCCCAGCTCATGCACGCCTCCCCTGGCATAGGACACCCCGGCTCTCCCCGAGGGGTCATCAGAGCCACGAGAGGTGTCAAGGTCCTGGTAGATCACACCGGGAACTCCCCGAGGGCACAGCAACTGAGATATGAGTGACCCTCAGTGTGCTCCTCTCTGATGGTAGAGCATCTTGAGACCAAGGGGGTCACCTCTGCCTACGGACGACACACAGCACTCCACAACAAGGACCCACTAGGAGCAGCACAGCTGACCACGGGGACAGTGCAGTCACCAGTGCCCCACCGTGCCAGTTTTCTGGGCCATCATACTATAGGCATGAGAGAACCCCATCCCATCCACAGGGTCATCCATGCCCCTGCTGGCCCGAGGTGAACTCCCCGTCGAGGCGCTGGACAGGGCATGCCAGGGGCTCAGCAGACCCACAGAGAGAATCAGCGAGTAGCAGGAGGGGCTGCGATGGCCTGCCTCAGCCCTCACGTACCAGCCAGACAGAGAGACAGTACTGCCTGAGGCATGCAGGGGCCAAGGGAGGCGATCAGTCAGGGGACACGACACGATCGTCGGTGCCTGTGTCTCGGGAGTGCAACGAAGGCTGGAGATCAGACACAGCCACCTTAGCAAACAGAGTGGGGACAACCCACCACCCCAATAGCCCACCGAACCCAGAGGCACATACAACACCACCAACCTCAGCCCCTCCAGCCCCTCCAGCCCCTCCGGCCTCACCGCCCTAACTCCCCTCGCCTCCCCACCATCCGAACCCACTGAGACCCAAGTGACCGCGACCGTAGAGCGCTGCCCGGGCCACAGCCGGACGGACACCGAGGGCCCAGCCAGCGGAGAGCCCGGTGGCAGCCCCTGACAGACAGGAGCATCTAAAAAACAGCGACCGGAGCTTCACCCACCACGAAGGAAGACCATGGAGAGGCGCCACGGGTAGAGTAGAGAGCCTGCGAGAAGGCCTGAATCCAAGATAGATCGGCATGGACATCCAGACAGAGCATATCCTCATGGAGCGGCGAGGAATGCCCAGATTCTGGATGTGTCACTGGAGAGGGCTCTCCGTCATGTTATTCATGACCAACCCTCGTCCTTAGACTGGTCAGAGCTTGAGCGAGGATCACTCGCACGACCTCTGGGCGATCCTCAGATAGCCCCGGCAGAATAGCGTAATAAGCCATATACAGTGACGTGTTTACTACCTAAGTCACGCCTTCCCCCTACACACGAACCACCAGCAGAGGAACCCTATGAGACCCCCGACGACGACGATGACTGCGACGGAGATCCCCGCTATGGCCCCCGTGGAGAGCCCGCTCCTATTACTGCCAGTGGACACACAGGAGGCCCCACTGCTGTCAGGGCTGTACCCACTGCTGCATGTACAGACAGAGTTATCGTCAATGGAGTTCTCGGGACAGCTATCCACGCATGACTTCCTCCCGGGGCTCACCTTCTTGTTAGGTCCACACTTTTCACATACGTCATTCTCGCTACAGTTACTACATCCGTCTACGGAGCATGTGAAGCACCCTGTTCCGGCAACATTGGGTTTGTTGGTCTGTGTTGTACATTCTGTGCACACAATTGCGGATACTGTAGCTAAAGCAGAAGGTGATGATGGAGCGCATTTCTTACAGTCTGCTATCCCTTCTGAGCATTTCTTGCACATCTTTCCATGAGTAGGGTCGTCAGTATCATCAGTGAAGTAAGTTTTATCAGTAGTACATTCGTTACTATTAACACATGTATTAGAGTCCTCGGTTTCGCCCTTTTTTAGATATGGTTTGCTGGCTGTTGCCTTACATTTTGTGCACTTGTTTTCGCCTGCATCACACTTAGCGCAATTATCATTATCAGTACAACGTGTGCATACTGCCTTGTTAGATGCAACGAAGAATCCTTCAAGACATGACTCACATGCAGCAATCTTATTTTCGTTACCTGTTCCTCTTTCTGGAGCTGCACATACTACACAATTCTCGATACCTTTATACGTGTTACCGCCATTAACCTGCACTCCAGTTGTATCACTGCACGATATGCAGGAATCTGTCGTGTCGGCCGCCTCTGGGCTTTTGAAGAATCCCCCAGTAGCATTACATTCTGTGCAAACGCCAGCAACAGCATTACGCCCTCCAGGTGAAGCAGCTTGATCGTTGCAGATGAGGAGTGCGACATCACTGCCAAGTTGATAGCATCCACCCTTGTACATGAAGTATGTGTTCTCACATTTTCCACATGTCTTATCGTCAACAAGCTCATTACCGTTAACTTTCTTGCATTTATCAGCCGCATTACCTTTTGGTGTACACTCCCCATTGATAGGAACGTTTCCATTTGTCGCGCATTCTGTACAAATTTCAGTGCCGCCAACCATCTCACACTTACCTGCTGCACAATTTTGTACTTGCTTACATTGTGCCGCAAGGGCGCTCAGCCCAAGATAGAAAGCTATCAGCAACATTGAGATTCTTCTTAATCCACTATCAAGAATCCTACTAGCAAAGATACCCAAAGCTAAAAAGCTCCATTCGGTTATTGCTATGCTGCCAGCTTAAAGAAATCCCTTTTTGATAATATTGTTGTACAAGAGATAGTTGTTAATGCCGAAAGCATCTACTAACTATAGTCTAGCACCCACCGCGGACCCCTGCACAACATGCAGGGAAACAGAAAATTCAAAAATAAGTAGCAATGCTGTCCCGCGCGCATGCTGCTCCTCTACCCTGTGGCCAATCAGGGGGCGGCCCGGGTGACCTCCCTGTGTTATGGGCCCACTGCTGGTTCCTCTCTTAATGTCTCTGCATTCCTGGGGAATTGGCCTCTTACGCCTTCCCTGTGCGGGTCGGGCCCCTGCGGACCCCCGTGCGCAGATGATCTCTTCTCCGCCTCTATAGTATTCTCATCCCTTTGGACTATGTCTGCGACTTCTGGTTGTCATGGAGGAATCGCGCTCAAGGACAGTCCCTTGCAAGATCCCGAGAGACGGTTACAGTGGTCGCTAGGGTCCGTGGAAGTGCGAATCAGTGTAGATTAGCCTATGAGACGCTCTGGTTTGTTGGGTGTGCATGGTGCTATTTCTGGCTTTTTGTAGTGGATACTATTAAGATTCCCCATCGCATGATAAGGCGTCAGATGGTCAGAGGGCGTAGGCTAGTACTCCCAAATTTAAACAAGGAGGAAACCCTGCTCAAACTGTGCCATTTCTTGAGCTAACGGGGCAGGATTTCTATCCCCCTTCTGGATCATCCTGGTGCTATCACTACCACCACTAATGGAAGCACCTAGGAGTGCAATACCTTGAGCCTGTTAGTGTAGGGCTCTAGGTCCTCAGAGCTTCCTACATGTAGATGCCTGTGAGGAAAGAATGGAGATCCAAGGAGGTTGTGTTGATTTGCCAGCAATTGGCCGGATGCCTGGTCCAGTACCCTCTATAGCCTCTTGTGGATACTAGAGCAGTTGACCCCCATCTGCTGATAAGGGAATCGAATAGCATTCGTTCATGACCTTTGGTCCTAGCTGTATTTGGTCCCGAGGAGACACGCCAATCAGCCCAAGCATCCTACC